TCTTCTTCGATTGTGACTTTTCTGCGGGGTGCAGGGGAGAAGCCCCATTTCTTCTTGAATACTTCTTCAAGTCAAAGTGATCTAGGAGTAGAAGGAAGTCAAAGGGTATCTTTAGCCCAATCAATATCAGGGTTCATAGTGGAAAGCCACGGTTTCCCAAGGAGGATCATATCATTGTCACTCATGTTCATGACATTGAATTTCCCAATCATGAGTTGATCATCGATTTTGATTGCAAGATGACAATAGTGGGTGATGGGGTCCTTGGAAATCTTTCCATCGGCAGTTCAGATAGGGAAGGGAGTTTCAAAACAATGTGTCTTGATTCTATGTTTTCTTACAAACATCCAGTGGATGAATGTGGCAGCTGTGCCGCAGTTGACAACAGCGGTGGTTTGCAATGATTTATTGGGGTGTACGGAGGAAAAGATGGTCGCCAGGACCCTTAATTCTTTAGTTTTTCCTACATTGTGTGCAATACATACATTGATACAAGGAGTGGCTAACATTGCGGTAGGCTCCTGGTTCAAAAATCCATTCTTCGGGCATTGAGATCTTCATCATCATCGAGATCTTCAATCTTGCTGGTGTCTTCTTCTTTAGGCGCTGTATGCCTTACCATTTGCTTTCCTTTATAGTTATTCTTTCTGGCATCTCCATTTTGGGGGTGGAATTCTTGATCGTTAGATCTGTGACTGACCTTTCCACAGGAGAAGCATTTTCCTTGCTTCATATACTCTCTCTTATCATTCTCAGAGAGGCGATCAACATCCATGGCATTAGGATCGTTGTTTCTGGGGGTGAAGCATGGGGTGGATTGGCAATCATTGAACCAAGTGTTCTTGTTGTTGTTCTGGGGTCTGTGGGAAAGGAGAAGCTGATAGGAGTTCTCAATGGATATCACCTTCTTGACTATTCCGTCAAGGGTGTCAGGGATCTCTCCAGAGTTGCAGAGTTTCGTGATAAGTGGCTGTTTAAGGCCTCAGAGGAAGTAATCTTTCTGAGCATTGAAGCTGTAGATCTCAGCTCAGTTACAGAGCTGTCGGAATGTGGCTATGTACTCACTTAAGTCATTGCCTTGTTTAAGGGCATGGAGCTTATGGAGCGCAGTACCAGCTGAGTCTATCAGGTTAAAGGTTTCTTCAAACTGGGAGACGAATTCATCCCAAGTTTCATATCCGTTCTTTTCTCCATGAGTGGATGTGGGGTCAGGTTGCTGGGCATGTTCGATGAAATCTTCCATCCATGCTGCAGCTGTGCCTTCTTTCATAAATGAGAGAGTGAAGGCAATCTTTCTAGTGTCAGTATCATAGATTCGTCATTTGTGTCTAGATAGAGTGTGACAAGACAGAGGAACCTTGAGGTTCCGTCTCAGTTTCCATCAAAGTCAGGTGGGGTGCAAATCTTTCTTTCAATTGGCTTAGGCATGTCGTCATCAGTGTCTGAATCTGTGTCTGTGTCTGGTTCAGGGGTAGGGAATCTAGGTGGTGCTACCAGTTCAATGGGCAGAGCATCAGGGATTTCTTCGTCTCTGTCTTCTACAGGTGCTGGTGCACTTGTTTCAAAATGAGAAACGATAGTGCGGTGTGTAATGGAAGAGGGGCCTGGGACAGCAAGAGTAGGGAGAACAGGAGTGTGGGGAGTGTCAAAAGATCCTCGCGACGAAGAGGTTCATCTAGGGGAGTTGGGTAGATAGGGACTGTATGGGATCCCAGATCATTCAGAGAAAGCCTTCTTGCTTTTCTTGGAAGGTGCCACTTTGGCAATCAATCAGTTTCGTGGATTCAAAGAGTAAAGCCCTACAGATGGAGGGGTTCAAAGGTAACTTGAATCTTTTGTTACGAACTCGGATAGAGCATCATTCCAATAAAGGAATCAAGGATCAGGGTCAATCAAGGACTAAGCCTTATCAAGTCAAGTGCCTCCCTCAGGAGCGATTGTCTAGACTCCCGCAGGATCTAGAGTTCAAATGGGACAATGGCTAGCCTCCTTCCCAAGGAGCTAGAGTTCAAGTATCAAAGAGAACCAAGTAGATTCAAGTTAGAGAAATACAAGTGGTAACTAGGGTTTATATACGTAAGGGAATCGTGCACAGACCAGGCTGGGCAAAGGGTAATGACTACTAAGAAAGGAAGGTTCATGGGAAAACAAGGTATGAGTCAGAGATAAGGGAGACCATGAGGAAACAGTGCAGTGAAAAGGAAGCGTTAGAAGTACAGCCAAATAGGAGTCCACAGTGATGATGGGAAAAAGAGTGGGGCACTGTAACACTTACTAGGTTTTACCTGAAACATCCTTTGCTTGAGACCTCCAATCTCTTGTCATCTGAACTGTACTTTAAGTTAGAAGCACTCCTTCTGACTTAACTTACACTGAACACTTGACTTATCATCTTGCATAGAATTTTGGCAGAGGTCCTGACTCTTATCAAGTTGTCTGTCATTAGAACTATCCTAGTTTGTAACACATGTGGCTTGGGGTGCCAGGAGGAAAAGCAACTGAGGGCACTTTGACTTGGCGCTGGAGTGGGGCAGTTAAGTGGCCCATGGGACAGATGAGCGCACAACTGCCAACATATTCATCAAGGTATTCAATCATAGATGGGGATCATGTACATTGGTATTTTGCAGTGCATCATCAAAAAACCCTGTGGGTATCCAACAAGCACCTTTCATCTCCGGAACTGGTCCTGGTGTAGCATTTTTGATGATGGTGGAAAGGTCCCATGTGTATATGTGGCCGTTGGAGCAGCTAGTGATGAGGAACTTTTCATCTGCAGAAAATGTCACAGAGTTCACCTTGTCTTCATGGTGAAGTAGTGTTCCAATGGGTTGATTGGTTTCGAGGTTCAATAGTTCCACTTTCTTGTCCAAGGGTGCTCCACTTGTGCATGCCAGGATGTGCTCATTGAGAGATAGTGAAATGGTATTGATGAACATTTTCGATATGCCAACAACAGCTGTCCATGTGGCTGTGTCAAATTTCATGATGTTGAACATTCCCCCTGTGATAAGTGTTTTTCCATCTGAGGTCCATGCCAGGCATGTAATGTTAACTCCATCATCAAGTGTTTTGAGTAATTTGCCTGAGTTGGCATCCCAGATTTTCAGCACTGTGTACCCACCTGTGGCAATAATATTGGCATCAGGTGAGTAGCAAACCACATTCATGCCACCCATTGCCTTGATTGGTCCAAGGACAGTTTTTCCACTCTCAACAGCCCATACTCTGAATGTCTCATCCCAGGATCCGCTCAGCACTTGCCCTCTACTCGAACTCCAGCACACAGAACACACTCTGTTTGTGTGCCCTGCCAATACTTTGATGACCTTGCCTGTGTCAACATTCCACAAATTCACTGCACCATCTGAGCTCCTGCTTGCTATGGTCTTACCATCTGGTGACAATGCTATGGTGTGCACTCCTCTTTTTTTGTCCTCCCATTCCTCCCAAAACTGCGTGCCCCTCTCCAAGTCCCAGACTTGAAATGACCCATCCAATGAATAAGTGATAATCCATTGTCTACCAGGTAAATGTATGATGTAGCAGATGTTGTTCTTCACATCGATCTTTCAGTAAGGAATTGTTGCTTAATTCTTGTGCTTCACAGATGCTGGATGCTCCATGATTTTGGTTTCAGGATTCACTTGATGGGTGCATGATAATTTCAGCTTTTACCTTTGATCGCCGTATGAATCTATCACTTACTTAGGATCCAGATCTGCTTGACTTGTGCACAGAAAGACAAATGTCGAACAAAAGCCACAATAGAGTGGGTGTTTTGTTCAACAGAAATTCAGGCCAGGAAGGAGGTCATTAAAGTCTTCTGCAGGTGCACCTTCATCACTTCATCCTCATGTTTGCCTTGCGGTTTCAGCACATGGCTGTGCAGTTTAAGTGCCCAATCATGACAATTATGCACATTGATGGCTTGGCATCATGGTCCTACTATCCCATAAGCCTGCATGTCTGTGTTTCTCCACTTGCCCAATGCAATTTTGCAATTATTGTATCTACCTTTTCTTTTCATAATTTTTGTTGAGTCTAATTAGAGTCATCCTGCTCCTCTGCCCAACCTTGGTTCTCAACGTCCTATGTGAACTTTTCTTCTTCGTCTCCCTACTAGCTAAATCGCAATTTGGTCATAACAATTATGATTTTCATGGATGAGACTATTCATCTTTGTCAGTACATTGTCTGTGCTCATGTCTTCAACACTCGAAGCTGCATTGTCGGTGCACAAATGTTCTTTACCTTTCAGCAAAGATCTCAAATGTGGCAGAGCAAAGGCTGTTGACAACACCATCAAGTGCAATATGATAACAAACATATTGGTACCTACCTTGCAGACAATTAGCAATTGGGTATGGTTCTCCACAAGTGGATTCGGTGAGATGAGCACGGCTACCCCGTCATTGCAACGCTCCTCAACACCAACAAGGACAGTGAGATCTGCTTGTATCATACAAGTCACAAATTGGCGAAGGTGAATAGCAATACGATCTCACAGGCATACACGTGACGCGGGTCGAAGAGACTTTCATGTATGGCTAGTCAGTGGTCTGTCATATTTGGGCTGGATGCGCTGTCCACAAATGAAGCTACTGATTGCTTCATTGTCGAGCAGACATATGCATGCCAGCAGTGCTATGCAATGTCTCCCAATGACTGCACATTGCCCCGCCCTTCATTTCTTGCGAACATTTGTCGAAGATCAAACCCAATTCATGTACACTGGGAAATCTATGTGATGGACTTTCTGGTTGGGGCAGGCTGCAGTCCAGATGTATAGATGTTTTGCCATACTTTCTCGTGTCATCGCTGAACAGTAACCGAACATCATTATCATACCTCAGGTACGCTGATATCTACCTAGGATTTTAAACGAGTCGACTGTATTCCATATGATACTCCAAAGTAAAAGAGCGGGCTGTCTGGACATGCTCTACATGCCCAGTGTCCTTCCCTAACAAACGCAGTCTGTGCAATTCAGCGACATATCAGTAAAGAAGGCTTGGTTCATATTCACTGCACCGGTTGCGGCATACAGCCGTCCACACAAGAACTGACTACTGGCTACGGACTGAGTCACAACGAATATACCATGAATCGTGCTATACAGGAATGTCCAAGATGTACCTAACGTTGACCGTATCTTGGGCATCGGAGGGGCTGCGGTGGAATAAGCGACGAAGAACTGACCTTGTCTGCGGTTCTGAGGAGTGGGGGCCGCTTTGTGAAGGGAACTGGAAACGCGAAGTCGAAAAAAAACGAAGTGACACCAATAGCAAGAACGTACTTGAGAGTCTGTGTGTTGAAAAGAGAGTCCACCATCCGGCCCGAGTTATGATGATATCAGGATGTGACGACGTGCCAGTTGCCGTAGCAGTGGCGAGAGGTTGCTGCAATGATGATGCTGTGCCTTGTAATGTCCCAGTGGGTATAACATAAGTATTGGGAGGTCGAGAAGAGCCAGAAGCTTTCTTTCTTGCGTGATAGTTCCTCTGTACAAAAGTCAGTGATAAAGAATAGATGAGAGTGGGGAAAAGGTACAGGCTCCATTAAACATTGATCTTCTATGACCAATCCCGTTTTCCGGATACCATGTTTTGAGCCCAGATGAGAGGGCGGGATCGTGCACGAGACCACCTGGGAGGATGAACAAGCTCGTTGTTAATGTGATCCATTGAAAAAGAAATGGATCTAAGCCTGCATTATCCAATAGAAGGCCAGCTTCTTTGAGGACAGCTGAAACGTCCCATATGTATATATGATGGTAGCCGCAGTGAGTGACGAGGAACTTTCCATTTGCAGCAAAGGTGGCGGAGTTCACGAAGTCTTCATGGTGAAGTAGTGTTCCGATGGGTTGATTGGTGTCGAAGCTCGATAGTTGCACAGCAGTTTTGTCGAAGGATGATGTGCTTGCGAGGATACGCTGATTGGGAGATATTAAAATGGTCTCGACGAAGTGTTCGCCTTCATCACTGGGATATTTCGAACGATTCGAAATGGTTTCGACTGTCCACGTGGCTGTGTCTAATTTCTTGACGAAGTCAGATTCCCCGCCGAAAAGTGCTTTTCCATTTGAGGTCCATGCCAGGCACCAACGTTGATCCTCGCGATCGAGAGTTTTGAGCAATTCGCCTGTGTTGGCATCCCAGACTCTCAGTCCCATCGACCCAGCTGTGACAATCATCTTGCCATTCGGTGAGTAGCAAACCGCGTACATCATTTCGAAGAATTTCAAGCCTGTCTTGATTGGTCCAACGATAGTTTCTTCACTCTCGACATCCCATACTCTGAAATTTCCATTCCAGGACTCTCCACTCACCACTCGTCCTCCATCTGGATTCCAGCACAGAAAATCCACTTTCTCTGTGTGCCCCGTCAATGTTTTGATAACCTTGCCCGTGTCGATGCTCCACAATTTCACTGCACCATTAGGACTCCCGGTTGCTACTCTCTTGCCGTCCAGCGATAATGCTATGATCTCCACTTCTCTTTCTTTGTCCTTCCATTCCTTCCCAAACTGCCTGTTCCTCTCTAAGTCCCAGACTCGAAATGACCCATTACCCGATGAATAGATGAGGATCCGCTGTCCACATAGCAGATGTAGGATGTGGGTGATGTCGTTCTTCACTTTGATCTTTCGGTAAGGCATTGTCGCTAAGTTCTCGTGCTTCGCGAGGGTCGGATGCTTCATGACTTTGGTTTCGGGATTCACTTGATGTGTGGGTCATAATTTCAGCTCTTGCCATCAAATCACATACGAGTCCACCACTTACTCGCAATCCAGATGCTACTCGATTCGTACTGAAGGAGGAATGCAGAACGAAAGCTGAGACGGAGTGGGCGTCTCGTTCAATGGAGATTAAAATCAGGAGGGAGGTCGTGGTTGTAGTTGCGTTTTCCTCGCTTTATCATCGGTTCGAACTTCGCTTCACAGCTTCAGTACTGCAGTTGAGCGCCCAATTATGGCAATATGCGCATTACCCCTCGGCACCACAGTCCTGCTATCCCGCAGTCTTGCATTTCGTCGGTATTGGTATTCTACCCTCAAGCAGGAACGCGCTTCCCGGATCCTCAAGTATTTCTTCATCTCGCGAATCAGACATGTATGTACCATGAACTCGGGGGTCGTCTCACCATAGCTTAGTGAGGAGAGTTTCGATTCTCCATTACGCACCCAATTTGAGGAGTGAAACACTATCTATATTTGAAGGAACTATCTGGCGCTCAAGGGGACCACCCCTTTCTCCACTATGTGGCTTCTTCACACGGAATCTTTCTTTTCTTGTTGCAGGGTTGAATCAGCAAGCAGGGCGCTGTTTAGCTCAGGACCGGAAGTCTGGCGCAGAAGGTAGAACCCAAGACCGAATAATTGCATTGGCCCAGTGAAGGTGTGGACTTACTTGATAGCAAGTGACGCTATATTGATGCTGAGATGTCGACAGATGAAAAGCTTTGCATGTCGTCAGAAGATTGATCTCCACAGCATACTATTACATTGTGTAAAGCTGTGAAGCGAGCACGAGGATGCTATCATCATATATTCATAGTAAGTTTATAAACAGTAGCCTCCCTCTCTATATCGAGCACAGCGCTCACTCCACAGCAGTTCTCAATCTGCGTATCAAGAAGCTCATTGGTCTAATTGGAGGGCAGGAGCTGAAATTGTCCCTCAGGTCCGATCCGCACAGCTGCACTCATGATCAAGCCTTGAAAAAACCCGAAAACCTGTGCAGAAGTTACATATAAGCGATCTCATTCTTGATTCAACTCTTTCAGTAAAACGCCTAGGCTCCACTCCGTTGCAACCTTTATTCTGCACGGGTTCATTCTCTGTACAAGTCAAGTGCCTGTAAGTGATGACTATCGGGAAAAGAAGAAACTGTTCATCCCAGGGCCAGCCTGTGCGTTATTCGTTTCCTTCTAGGTTTTTTCACTGTCTCATTCTTTACGCGGAGAAACTGTTGTATTCCTTTGTGTCGTCGTCTACTCGTCAATACACTAATTCAGCTTTCTAAACAAACAAGTACCTGAAACAATTCTACCTTCACCTTCCGCGTTAAATGGATCTGTATTTATATAACCACGTCAATTGATAGCATCCTGTTTGAGGTGTAAATATAGTTTTGTGCATCACCCCGCTGACGGCCCGTTCCAAAAGCAATCTAAGTATCAGATAGAAGACATAGCCTGGGTACTGGCGACCTCGTTGGTTGATCTCCACCCAAGCTACATTGATAATACATAGCTGCAGGTATAAGTACTACCCCATGATCTAGATTTCTTCGTTAACTTCACACGTACAACATGACGATATCCACACTCACTCTCAATGATGGCAATCAAGTCCCCTGGATCGCATTTGGCACCGGCACGAAGCTTCGCCAGCAAGATGCACAGAGCCCTGTCGAAAACGCCATCGCCAACGGTTTCACGCATCTCGATGGTGCCCAGATGTACGAGAATGAAGAGAGCTTGGGCATTGCAATCAAGGCCTCTGGAACACCACGCTCTGCGCTCTTCGTTACCACTAAACTCAATCAACTGCAGCCAAATCAGACTGCTAAGACTGCGCTGCAGGTGTCTTTGAAGAAATTAGGCTTGGAGTACGTAGATCTATATCTTGTGCACGCGCCCGGACACCATACAGGCCAGCTGAAGGAGGTGTGGAAGATGATGGAGGAGTGCAAGAGGGAAAGACTAGCAAAGTCCATTGGGGTGTCAAATTTCGGGGTTGCGCATCTGCAAGAGATCTTGGAGGGTGCCGAGTTTCCGCCTTCAGTCAACCAGGTGAGTTAAATCACTTCAGTGTTAGTATTACTTTTGAACAACCACAATGAAAGATTGAGATCCACCCGTATGTGTGGAAGTCTTTACAGCCTGTGATGGCGTTGCACAAAGAGCACGGCATCATCACGTCCTCTTATGGTGGCCTAACGCCTCTCTTCCGCGCACCCGGAGGACCCCTGGATCCCGTCATCGAGAAAATTCGGGCACGCCTTGAGTTCACTCGAGGGCAACCTGTGTCACTCGGCCAGGTACTTAACAAGTGGTTGCAGAGTACGGTATCCTGGTCGTCACGTAAGTTCCCTCTGTCCTGGGTATGCTTTGTTGTTGTAGATGCTTACATAGTATCGAACAGCACTTCGAGCAAGGCGGATAGGATGAGAGAGTATCTTGATACCGCCAATGTTCCAGAATTGACAGCTGAAGAGATCGAGTCGATTGAGAATGCTGGGGCGCAGCATTACTATAAATTCTTGGTATTGTCGGATTGATTAGAGGGGCGTTATAATACTGGTCAGAGTGCTTTGTAGTTAGTTTGTAGATCAACACTGACGGAAACCCACATTCTGTGAGGACACATATGTCAGATAATCTGTATTCCGTGAGTGTTACATCGAGCGGGATGTGTTGTAGCGAAAAGTATACATATGATCCCTACGTGCAATGTAGAGTTCACAGACGAGAGTAAAGTAGCGATAAGACTCGCCAGACTTCGGAACCATCACTGATCTTAATAGACCATCCAATCCTCCACATCACCGCCTATCCCTGGCATGAGAACTGCATAAAGCCTGCAACATGAGATGTAGACAGCTGAAGGAGATGTAAACCTTATTGTGCATGAATTGCCCTGTCAGACAATAAACCATATGTCCTAGAAAATAAAGATGAACCGACACGAAAACTGAGCTGAGCTTCGGTCCTAGGTAGAAATACGTACGGCACAGTCCGAAGCCAAAGATGATAGCCACGTGGCATCATTGAGTGCACAAAATAATATAGACAATGGCCATTGCATTCAACCTTTAAGTGTACATGATATTATGCCTGCTCTGGCCGAAATTCATGCACATACTGCCCGTTACGCAGGACGAAAAAAATGGTTCAAGAGGGAAAAGGTAGCAGAACAACCAGAAAAGCAGGAGGGAGTGTTAGATGCAATAGGATAGAAAGTATCAAAATGATGCACAAAATACACCACATGTCTTCCTCAACGTTTACTGTCTGTGTATTGGATGGACACTCAGCCGATCCAGAGCAAGAACCGAGTCCACCATCCGACATGCTTTAGGGTAATATCAAGGTGCACTGACGTTCTAGCTGCCAATGAGGTAGTAGCGACTACGGGAAGTGCGTCAGATATTACGGTAGTGGCGGGTGGTCGCTGTGATGAAGGTGGAGTATGCTCTGAGTCGCTCTTTGTTGGGTTGATACCACATGGCATGGGTGTCAGGATGTTGGGAGTCGCTTGTCCTCCGCATGAAAATGAGACGGTGCAAAAAAACCCAGAATCGAAATGAAAACGTACAGGCGAGATCTGACCGTACTGCAGCTGAACCACCAGCCGACTAGCGTCAGGGTTTGCAACTATCTCCCTTACCGCATGATACATTGCATTAGGATTGGGGTGTTGAGGGTCACTCGTCTTCTTTCTCGCATGATAGTTCCTCTGCATGAAAATGAGACAGTGCAAAAAAAACCTAGAACGGAAACAAAAACGCCCCGGCGAGCACAGTGCCGCACCAGCTGACCAGCGTTGAGGAAGTTTGCAACCATCTCCCCTCCCACATAATAGTTCCTCTGCCTGAAAATGAGAAACCAAAAAACGAAAACGCACAAGCGAGCTGTAATAACTCTGAATCAGAGGTCTGCAACTGACGTTCGGATCTCTAAATTCAGCATAACTTGACATTGCATACACTGAGGCGCTCGAGCCTCGCAGTGGACGTTTTGTTCAATGCATAGTCGAGCGAGGCGTCGCTTCACAGCAAGTTGAGCTGATTGTACAGATCACACGTCCAAGTATTGTCCGGATGTCCTCTCATATTGCAGTGCCAGTTTTGTTCCCATATATTATTAGCACTCTCGTTTTTCCGGTCCATGTGGAATTACAGTGCTCTCTTCTTGCGCGTACACCGAATATCAGCCTGCACCGCAGCTCCGGGCATGACTCGTGCACATGCTATTAGATGCATTCTTCTGCGGGTGGAGCATTTGAGCAAGTTGATCTGTGGAATCAAGTGTGTCGCGACAGAACGTTTTATGGGTCCGGGGCTTCTGTGGTCCGAATCACGTTCGATGCAATTCGGAATGAGCTCGCGGATGTCAATAAGATAACGAGGAGTCTCACCAGGCTTCGGAATCAACACTGACACCAGCACTCCATCAACAACCATCTCCCAACATGCCTATCCCTAGTAAGAAGGGCAACGCAAACCGTGAAGCTTGAGATCCAGGCAGGTGAAGCAAATCCTATGGGCCCGACGATAAAAGCAAATGTACGTCCAACTTGAAGTAAGCATGCATCACAATCTAAGAGGAGACAGACGAGGTACAAGTACAAGGATTAGCTAACACATACTTGTAAACTTTGGATACTGTCAAAGCCCCAGCTCCCAAGCGCTCCATGTACATGCTCACTTGAAGTTTTCAGAACCACTGGCTAGAGATGATGCGCATCAGCAAGAGAATCGATCTTGGCAGGAAAAACGAAAGGATCGCGCGTATTATTATGTAACGCTCTCCGACGTTAACTTCTTCACGACTTCAAGCTTCAACACTAGTGCAAGTCCGACTCCTAGTTATCGGACAGGCCTGATTATCTGGTTGACATCAACCAAACATCCCAGCCTTCTTCCGGCTAACACTTGTCTCCTGCCTTCAAATTCAAGCTAGGTCCCATGCATGTATTTTTATCATCAAATTCGTGCATAAGTTTATGTGAGAAAGTAGTGTCCGTCACGGTGTGCAGCCAAGTTTCAATCACGTCCATCTCCAGCCATCTTCCATCTTCCCCAGGCAACGTGTTTGAGAGTTGCTGAACAACAAAGAACAAGAATTGACGGATGTCGAACACGATGTTGATTCGAAAGCTCTTGAAACGTCTGTTTCAAGTGTTGGCGACGCTCGCAACTTCATCTGCACGGCGACTACTCATTCTCGTACCATACTTTCGACGCTTTGTGGCCAAGGTTAATGCTCCAATCTCACATGGTACTGACTCCAAGTTTACCACTGTAGACTCGTGTTGTACTGTCTTGACCGGGACTTCTAGTGCCCGATGTTCCCAGTCTACCTTACCATTGCCACTTCATACTACTCCGTCGAGTGTAGCGAACCCCGTGGCTTCAGTACCTCCGTGTGCTGTGCCTGTTTCAGGCGTTCCCCAGCATGCTAATCCGCCACAGCCACCTTTGCCTCTAGCTGTCGGTAATGCAATCTCTGCCAATGGCCTCCCCATCACTCTCCATTTTGTGCCATCCGCTGTAGATCACAAATCACGATATGACAATCGTCCTTTTGTGTATGTGTTACCAGCTCATTACAGTGAATGGCCTTGAGAAGTTGCCCTCCAGAGATACATCTCGCTCTAGCGGAATTCCAGCATTCACGAGGACCTTCCCCAACCAGTGAGTACACCTAGCCAGGCATTATGTTAAAGCAGATTACGAGTAGTGCAGATCATGTCCTTGGTTGAACGGTGACTGGCAACGGTGTGTACATCCCGAAGGCGCGCTGTATTTGTACAATGACCGCAAGGTAAGCAATGCACATTTATCTTTGGCCATCGACAATGACGCCTACAGAGAACGTTCACTGAAGCACACATTAACGAATATTCGTTCCGCTTGATGGACAGATGTGCGGATGAGCTATACGACCTGGCACGCACAAAATTACCAAACATTGACGCTGATGATATCGAGCTCGTCGTGCAGGTAGTACTGAACCAAGCAGATTTGTGTCAGTACTACTTCGTTGACCATGCAACCCGAACTCTCTTTTGGCTGCACGATTACGATCGAGAGACGGAGAATAATATATTTGATGGGTTTTCAGGCGTCTGTGATCTGAGTCATATTCGTACGTTATGGCAACTTGTGGCGCTCATGATATGAACAAGCCAACAGGATACGCCTTGGAGTCTCAATACTGGTTTGTCGGTTGTGGTCGTGAGTCTCACCTTTTTCTAGCTTCTAGTCGGACCGATTCTAATTTGATTGTCAATGTGTTTTAGATACAATATGACCATCTTCAACTGAAACGAGTAGGATGCATTGCGAACGCTACCCGAAACACGAGCTAGATCGAGTCAAACTCCTGAAAGAACTGAGGGCAGTTGTTGTGCATGCGAGTGCAGGTAATCGATTTCCTGTAATTATTCCTTCATCCTTTTTGAACGCGAAACTTAGAGATCATCACTTCGGATACTTCTTTGTCGCCTTTTGGTGCTGTTGAACTTTCCAGCATCCTGGAGCTGGTCAACCATCTTCAAGGTGTGACAAGTCCTCTTCGAACTATTTATCTTGTAAAATATAAAATATTATATATTTCCAGAGAACGCCCAGGAAACCGATTTCCCTCATCCCATTTGTGTCATTGGTACGTGAAGCTATGTACACGGTGCAATATATTTCGGAGATTCACTTTTTCGACGATAGCGAGGTTCATGCATTATTTCTGTATGTTTTCAGTCTTCACGTTTCCTCACTCAACTCATTTATTTTCAAGGCAAAGCCAAGTATTACAACTTCTGTGGCCTACCTTGGGCTCGTCTCGACGCCGACAAACCTGTGTACAACGAGATTGCTAGCTCTCACCCACTGAGCAGTAGTCTTTCTTTGGCCCTTGACGCCATGCTTTTTTGGGCACCACAAGCACACTTGGACGATCTTCGAAGGGTGTGGGTAGATGAGTGCCTCAACGCACCGCGGTGGAAAGACTACAATGCAAAGCTCATGACGGAGTGGACCGGAATCACCATCTACGTGCGTGTCATCAACTTAACATCACACTTCATAACTTTATCCCGAATTTGTTCCTACCAGTCCACCGTCATGTTAGCCGTAGATGTGAGTTTTCTTGCAGTGCCGAACGTGAACATTTCCACGTCACAGTCGGTCGGGATCATTGCTACTTATCTCTCGATCATCTTGATAACTGGCTCCTTGGTCGTCTCGGTCCTGCTGGTCCGCCAAAACCAAAGATATGGTTGTGAATCAGTGGACAAAGCAGTAAGCCGTTGCCTTGAGGTTCATCTCTCTTATGCTAACCAGTCTGCATAGGGAGACTTCATGTACAAGATGACTGACACGTTTTTCGGGGATAAAGGCCTTGCGACGGTCAATAGTCTCCCTTACGCAATGCTCATGTGGGGGTGGGTAGGATTGATGCTCTATGGCCAGGGCTAATGACAGTTACCTTTCCCCTTACCAGGATGATCTACTTTTCAATCGCTCTGCTGTACAACGTGTTCAAGTCTACGACAATAGTCATGCTGGCATCAGTTGTTAGTGGATGTGCGGTGGTTACCATGTTTATAGTGTGGTTCATCTGGACAGCAAAAGAGCTAGATATCTTCAAGCGACTAGCTGAGCTCATATTATCTGCTAGGAGTCGTATCATAGCACGCCTTGGCGTTCCCTAAAGTTCATGAGACGACAAGAGTTTCCTAGACAACTTTGACTTCTCCGTACATAACAGTTCGACTCATCTGGTAGTAGGTTCCCTAACAGCCCACAGATTATTATACGCTGATGTATCTAAGAAATACTATATAATGATAACAGTCAAGGAGAATGAAAACGAGATAATAGATGGGACAAAAAAGGCGAAGAAAACGGAAGCTAAAATGTTGCTCCCAAAATTTAGTTGTTTGCGCACTGGAAAGGCATGCAACAAACTTCGAGCATGCCTGTCTTATAGAGGTGAATAACACAATCATGCTCGTAGCATAAAATATCTAGGAATCACTTCGTGAAGGTCTTGGACGAACCCGCTGATTCGCAGACGAAAGGTCACATCACAGCGGGCGTGATGTAAACTCAAGCCTGGACAGCCGTTCACAGCAAAATGTTGCAAGTTACGAAGAAGCCAGACTCCATACGGAGAGGAAGCATCCGGCTTCAACGATGAGCTGAGCCATGTCCGAGATGTATTCTCGCAACTAGCGCAAATAAATGTGGTGTGTCCACCTGGCCGCTCGTCTTCACCAGTCAAGATTGCGTGTAGATGATCTTGAAGGTGTTCGCGTCCAACTATGAAGCACCGAAGGTCTGACGGGGATAATTGGAGGTGGCTCTGGCCACCCTCGGCCAGATGACTCCAACGGAGAATCGAAAGCGCATAGAATGAGGCGGGAAGGATCTCAGGAACATTACATTCCCGTGCGAGGCATATGGCCTCTAGAGCACATTTTAGACCGGTCTACAGGAGAAAAGGGAAGCTCACCAGCGGCATGAGGGAATGCGGCATAGGTCATTTTGGTGAGGTCTTGGGGCCAGCGCAGAAATAGCTGACGTATGCTCCATTGACGGAGGTCTGCGATGTCATATTTGTTGGATAGTCGTAGGGCTCCAGCTATGATATCAAAGACGACAGTTTGGTTATTGAACTTCCTAGAGACACGGTCATATACAATCATAGTTTGACGGATGAGGGGATGGCTCACTCGCGTTGGTACATCCATGTCAGGACGACTAGCCAATCATTCACGGAATCTTGTGACAAACTGACCAGAGGACACCCATACATTCTCTCGATGTCGACCGGCTGCGGAAGTTCGAGCATGTCCGCAAAAATGACAGAACACATGAGCTTGCTCCGGTGAATCTTCCATGATTGTCCTTCGACACCAATCACGATATCCCCGTCGGCAAACCAAAACTGCGACTGCTCAACCAATGATTCGGATGCTCTGCGGTGGCCCGTCCGTTGTCGTTTCGCTGGGGGAGGCGATATCCGCATATCCTCGTCGGCACTGTGCATCGTTGAAGAGTGATGAGTTTGAAGTTTAAACGTTTAAGTTGTGCGAAGTGCCATATTGACCTCACGTCTGTGGCGTGGAAATGGACGCGTCGCGTCTAATCGTGGACGTCCTAGCAAATGATATTATTCTATATACGTCATCATTCCACATCACCACCAGTATCGTCTCCTGCAATTTCGAGTTTCCGTTTACGCCCAGGGAGTTCAGCACCATCACCATACCCCACACCCGCCTTTTTCCGTAGCACCTCTATGTCCTGTTCAGCCTCTTCCGCCCACTGAAGTACAAGATGTCTCCCAAGTAAATGGGTGTGTTTTAGTGCAGCATATGCATTCTCCGCTTCGTGCCGGGTGAGGAACTCCAGGAACGCGAAACCACGCGAACGCGAGTCGAACTTCTTCGGAAGACGTACGGATTTGAGATGACCATGAGCACTACATAAATGCGGGTTGAATGGGATATTAGGCACATAGACGGTAGATTGTACTGACCTAAACAGCTCCCTGATATCCTTCTTCGTAGCTTCGAATGGAATATTCTTCACTATCATCTTCGTCGACGTGCTCTTGGCGACTGTATTGTCCTTGGGCTCGTCTTCTGTTCCGCGCCCAGCGAACTTGACGTGCAATGAATGTCCATCAAGTATAAAGCCCTGCATACTTTTCATAGCCTTCTTCGCATCTTCAGTCGTCTTGAACCCCACGAAGCCATACCCCATACTCAGCCGGGGGGCTTCAGCACCAGGAACAGCAGGTCGTTTGGGATCAGGCTTGGTCTGTACTCGCGCGAACGAGAAACCAGAAAGACCGCGAAAGACCTGTATCAGACGCTCTGCAGTGGTACTGAAAGCCAGATTCTTGACGAACAAAGTCGTCCCAGCAGACAAAGCAGGCTCGTCCGCATCAGCACCACTGCCAGCTTCCTGCTCGGCGATGGTAATCGGCTTGAATGCAGTTATTAGCGTACGGTCAGAGTTCCCTGCCGCATCCGTAGTCTCTTGGAACATCCCCATCGGACCCTTCTCCAAGTAGACAACGCTACTTCCGAGACGTCGGTAAGCTACAGCTCGAAAAGCCTTGGCAGCTTCATCTGCTTGTTCGAATTCCACCACCGCCATGGTACCTGCTGGTGGTACGATGACGCGGCTGAGTTCCCCGTGTAACTCGAACATCTCACGTATCTGTTCTGCAGTGGTGCCATAGGGAATGTTTTTAACGAGTATCGTAGTATCGGACCGCGCTCGGGAAGAAAATGACGATAAGATGACCCCCTGGGACTCCAGGTATGACTTCGTCTCTTGGATAACATGTGTTTCTGCGAGCGCAAGCTTGACTGCCGCATTATCTGACTCAGGACTTAAAATGTCTGCCTTGGCAATTCCCATCCGATCGGCAATAGACGATGCCACTGCATCACTCTGCACATGCATTGCATGAGATCTCGGTATATAGTGCGTAACATGACAAAGGCTTGACGAACATTCATGTACAACATACTCCAATTGAACTCCCGCCCAGCTGTAGCTTTACGCCGAGAATTCCTCTCATCTTTTAAAGTTTGTTTTTTCCCCTCGCCCTCTACTACTTCGAACTTGCCTTTACGGTCAACAGCAGGAATGATGTGGAGAAGACGACCTTGGAAGGACGTCTTGTCCAGAGCCTCGTACGCCGAGAGGGCAGACGTCGGCTGCTTAAAGGTTACGTAGGCTAGACCCTTCGACTGCTTAGACAAGCGGTCGATGGGTATATGGACCTACCAGGATAGAGATAAGTCAGCAAAGTGATCAACGACGCACAAATTGTAAAATGAGAATAAAAGTCAGATAATTTTTCTACTATTGGTTCCCGAGGATCAGCAAATCCTTGGAGGATCAGATGTCCCTAAGTGTTTATCATCAAAGAAAAAGCGAAAGAAATGGAGAATACACGACAAGGCTGCGGGATATTCACCTGTGCAACTTCTCCAAACGGCTGAAATGGCTCCATGATCTCGGCTTCCGTACATGAGAAGGCAAGATTTCGAAGGAATAATCGAGACGTCTGCATAATCGTCTTTGTTGTCGAGTCCTGGTGTTCCTCAGGAACGGCGCTAACCTGGTGCTCGTCGTCCGATTGCTCAAAGAGCTTGTCGGGTGATGAATCTGACACCAGGTTCATACGTCGTCGCATCCATTCGAGATCCGAGACAGCCTCGCTATTATCTGGTCCATCGGGTGTCGTCATTGTCTCGGAAGGGCCGGTCGACAGTACTGGATGAGATTCCTTAGCTTCATTTGCCCACGACGGACCTTTTTTTGTGCGAGGTTGCATGACATCCATGAACTGATCTAGTGGGGACGCTGATGCCGAAGGGGCCAGGGCGGTTGTCTTACCATTCTTGTCCGCCTTATGAACATGTGGTCGTGATGATGGTCCTGGGTCTGCAGCGATATCTTCCAGACGTCTTCTCTTATTTGGTCGAGGAGCTGGAGCATCTTTCGCACCCTACAAATAGATTTTTTAAAACAAATGCCGACACCTGGGAAGAAAAAAAACTTACCGCGACAACCATGACATTAATTCGCGTCGAGTCGATGAACGTGCGGTCAAACCAGTCCCTTGCAGCATTTGCTTCTTGATCCGTCTTGAAGCCAACGAAACCGAATCGACGCGATGTCCCATCCTGCTTGAGTGAAATTTTCACATCTGTGATGGTTCCAGAGGGAGCACCTTGTTGTTCGAAGTGCTTTCTGAGGCGATCTGGCGTCAGGTACGCGGGTAGATTTTTCACAATCAAACGGGACATCGTTGCAAAGATTCGCGAGGACGAGAAGAAAAATCTCAAGCTATACACATCAATTCCAACTCCGACCGGATATACCCGTGCTCGTCATTGCACAAACTGGAAGCGCTTTCAAGACTGCAGTATCTACCGTAGACCATGTCTGCCAAGTCGGTATTTCAAGAGGAGAAAAATCCACGGGGTATTCCCAAAGCTCCATTCATCGTGTGTATCAACAACAGTAGATCGGTGGTCTTCTGCTCATGCTTAATAATGTAGGCGAATGTCGAAGAATATCTGGGAGGCCCAGATGGCGTGGTCGAGACTCCCCTGAAGAATTTCCAGGATGCTATCGCGTATGTTTGAACTGATATATGCTCTATGATGATCTTGAACCTAAGGAAGTCCAGGAAGTACCGATATATGGATGCCAACCTAACGCAACGACGAAAAGGTCTAGAGGACAAGATCCCTGACATCAGAAAGACCTTGCATATGGTGGAGTTCCTGCAAGAAAGAAGAGTGAGTCCATCACTGTAAACACGTACGTCAACTTTATCTGATGATCATGTAGGAAGGCAAGAACAAGAACGACGATCTGGAGGATGATCTCAATGATGAGGAAAGCTCCGACAATTCCAAAAAGCCGCTTACCACAACGTTCGAATTAAACGACACGCTTTTCGCGGAAGCAGAACTTGAGGACACTGACACTGTCTATCTATGGCTAGGGGTAAGTTCAGTTGTCCTCCGTTAGTTTCCTGATGGCATCTGATGTTTCATATAAGGCGAATGTTATGCTATCGTACAAATTGTCGGAGGCTACGTCGCTCCTGCGATCCAAATTGGATCTTGCAGAGGCCAGCTTAAAAGCTACGATCGAAGACTTGGAGTTTCTGCGAGAGCAGCTGACGGTGATGGAAGTGAACACTGCTAGAGTCTATAATTGGGATGTTAAGCGGAGAAGAGAGCGTCGACTGGCTGGAGAAGCCGACGGAAAGAAGGGCGGCTAGCATTTGTTATTACTGCACTTGAGAATTTTTCGGTTGCACTTTAGCGCTATGATATCAACTTTATTCTATGTACTTTCGGCTTGCATATGCACGAACTCAGCGGCCATTGGTCACTCCGCTCGAGCTTTCAACAGCCTTTGGACTTCAAGCTGTGGGGAAATGACTCAGAGTTCAAATGATATTGCGAGATTGCTGCCTCTGCACTATCGCTAGCTCTCAGTCTGACATTGTCTTATTTCTGAAGGTGTCATACAAGCGATAATCTCGCATGTACCCATCTTGAAGCCGGGGTCAAGCGATACGACCGCCGCTTTTCAGGTGGAGGGCGCATATGGAATTGCATCCGCGGGATCAAACATTCCGTCCTTATGCTGGAACAATGTTTGCATGAATGTTAACCGAACAGGGGTACCTGAATGATCGACTTACGGTTACGCGGACGCTGGATCCCGGATAAATTGCATAATAACAAGTTAACGTCACGAGGACTCCGGGTCTGTCCACGGGTATGTTGCCACGTAGTATCATTTGAAATCCCTACTGATTCGCGCGCGCACAGAGACTAGTCTATGTGGATCAATATATATATATCACCTATCACTCCCACCACTGTTTACACTGGCAGATCATACCCCTCCTTCCTCTACCATGTCTGTCAACACGATAGGTGCGAAAATGCGCCCCAAATCCGCAGATTCTACGTCTTCCCCATTGCCCGACATACTTCCAGATATCAGCCCAATCACAGGTCCTGCAATAGATCTTTACGAAGATGGCTACAATGATCCAGTGTATCAGGCGAAAGCTCGCATCTTGAATCGTGCAATTCAAGACATCGGTATGGGTAGATATCAGGTCTGTAGCATTCTATAATAAACGTCTATCTCAATCGCGAGAACTCGAAAGATAGTGGTATCTCTTCGTGGTCACTGGCTTTGGCTGGTTTGCGTGAGTTGTATTGTGACCACTCCCTCCATGATTTCTGATGCAAACATGTATCCGGTCAAAAAGTGACTCTGTTTGGCCCGTGTGTTCATCCGTTTCTGGCGTATTTTCACCAGACTGAGGTTGGCTGTAGCTTTTGAGCGGACTTATCCTTACACCTGTCGTCAATGAATTCCACTTCAACGGGCCTTTCCTGTCGTTAGCTTCGAATATCGGCCTTCTCGTCGGTGCTGTGTTTTGGGGTCTTGGATGTGATATTTGGGGGAGGAGGTATGTACAGAATGCATCTAGATCTATTCACCCCTCATGCGATACTTAGGTGGTCTTTCAACATCACATTGTTTATCGCTGGAATATTCGGGTTGGCATCAGGTGGAGCTCCTAGTTTCGTTGCACTAGCATCATTGATCGCTATGGTTGGTGTCGGCGTGGGAGGTCTGCCGTTTTCATCCTTCTTGCAAAAGCCCATTTTATGACAATATCACAGGCAACTTGCCAGTGGATTCTGCTGTTTTTCTTGGTGATTAGTAATTTATATCTGGACGTGCCAGATAACTCATTGTAATTCTGCCAGACTTCGTCCCAGGTTCCCATCAGTACTTGCTCACCATCCTTTCCATTTGGTGGTGTCTCGGACAATTGCTGTCCAGTCTCGTGCGTATCACACCCCTCTTCGTCCGCGCGATTACTAATGAGACTTCAAGGTTGCTTGGCCTCTAATCGCTAATTATTCTTGTGCGAGTACCTCGGACTGCACCAGATCCAATAATATGGGATGGCGTTACCTGTTATTCACCCTGGGCGGAATCACCCTCTCACTGTGGGCCGTTCGGTTTTTCATCTTCACGTTATTGGAGAGTCCGCGTTTTCTATCTGGCATCGGTCGTGACGCTGATGCCATCGAGGTCATCCACAAATTGGCGAAATTCAACGGAAAGACATCTCCCATCACAATAGAAGAACTTGAAGCTCCCGACAGAGCAATGTCGGGCGGACATTTATCCTCCGGGGAAAGGTACAATATATTCAGCAAGAGCTCGAAATATGACACTGGTCATATCAAAGCTCTCTTTGCCACTCCAAAAATGGCTTGGTCGACTAGTCTCTTGATTGCTATCTGGGGTAAAGATGTAGTCATCGCTGTGTGTACAATGACCAACGAAACATAGGTGTTATCGGACTTGCCTCCACGCTGTATAACAATTTCCTGCCATATTTGTGGGTCTTCAACCTAGATAAATACCGTCTGTTTGTCTCATGCCTTGTAGACTTTCCAGCCGTGGTGCTGTGTTCGGGGATGGATCGCTGTACATAACCTATCGCAACGTACGTATAATACTTTGTCCTGTGTTTTCTAGCTAAAGCCGCTGTGCAGCAAGTCATCTTGAGTGTCATCGGTGTCCCTGCTGCCTTGCTCGCCGGCTGGGCAGTAGAACTCCCATACATTGGGCGCAAGGGTACTCTTGCCATTGCCTCAGGCAAGTAACAAGATGCTTCCAAGTAATTCCATTACTCAACGACCTCCTGCGAAATAAAGGGCTCACTGGCGCGTTTTTGTTCGCGACCACCACTTCCCAGACATCCAACCAACTCCTAGGGTGGAATTGCGGATATGTGTTCTTTAGCAACGTAAGTCAATTAGTGTGTCGGACTAGGAGACTAGATTAAATGTGATCAGATGATGTATGGCGTCTTGTATGCTATTTCTCCCGAGATCTTTCCTGCGAAAGATCGAGGAACGGGGAATGGTCTGACGTCCACAGCCTCGAGGGTGTTTGGCGTTTTGGTGCGCTCACTTGCCTTCTCATACTACTTGTTCTTACCGTGACCTGAACCTCAGGCCCCCATCATTGCGCTATATGCTAACCTCGCGACGGCGGTACCCGTATATATCGCTGGAGCTCTGATAATGTTTGCTGGTAGCCTGGCTCTCTTGTTGCCCTATGAGCCCAGAGGTAAAGTTTCTATCTAGTGTTTTTCACTTGCGATACCACGTTTCGACTGCTCGTGGAACTTGAATTGTAAGTTGTGTATTAGATTACAGTAACATGATCCAAAAGATTACTCTGGTACTTTCTCAAATGTAGCTTGCGAACCGTCGGAGTAAAATTTATGTAGGGAAGATCGCACCTGCGTGACTTGGGAGCGAAAGCAGATTGTAGAATGAATCGTCGGCAACGCGTGAAAAACAGTTATATTCCCCGCCCACACTCGGAGATTAATACTATGTGTCCATACTCTACAGACTACCAGCCAAATACTCCTGACTCCGCTAACAATGTGGTAAGCTTCCAAGAGGAAACAGTCAGGGGCTAACTGAGACTTAGCCTGAGCTTGCAAGTTTCTCCGAATTCTAGCTTGTCTCTGTATTTCTTCCTCTAGATCTGTTTTATGCATAGACGACTCCATTGCGTGATTGCGTACTTACCTTGATTGACGCGGTGGTTGCTTAAGCACGCTTCATTTTGAGATTTGTGGCGACTCAGATCGCGCGAGGATCATGTTGTGGTTTGTGGACGTGTTATTTTACATTGTTGTGCACGCGTTTCTACACCCGCCCCGAGCATTCATAGGAGGGCACGAACGGGGTGCTTCAAGTGACTGTGGTATAATGCAGCGAAATTATCCTCCAAGACAGCCCACAACCATCTGTGGAATTCTACTGTTCTGGGAATGACCACAATTATATGCTCATTTTTATATTTGTTCTTTTGACCAGCGCTTTCTTATATTTGTGGACCAAGAGTGTCATAGCACTACATATTCGGCTTTGGCAGTATCTCTTCTCTCTTCGCCTCTATCCATCATGCCTTCCACTTACCTTCTACCAGTCATGAATGACGTCGTCCCCCCTGCACTCGATAGTCGAAGAGTTACTCGTGAACTGACTACACGTCTTTGCTCTAAAGACCATCTCCTGCATGGTATCGACGACATCATGAAGTTCGAGCATTCGGAGGACTACGAATTACAACGATACGGTCGAAAGGTCTTGTCTTTTCTGTCAAACATCTTCTATAATCAACCGACGATTTCTGTACAGATCATCTCCCTGATTGAGGTAAATATAATTTTAATCATCGCAGGCTCTTCCAATAATGCTATCGGTAATCCAGGTCGCACGCAGCACTCTTAAACGTTTACAAGTGGAATTATACCTATTCGTTGCTTGTTCAGTAGCTCTCCTGCCGTTTAAATCGGCATATTTTAAACTACTTCTTTTCATCGAACGCCGGAAGCACGCCTTTGGTTCTGACCTGGACAGTAAGTATCGTTCGTTATTTTTTTTAATCATTCTCACCACTCGTATAGAAAGAATATCCCGGCTCTTGGATCCTCTATATAGTCGGTTTGTCGTATGCTACGGCGGAGTGGACCCCCGTGCCCAACTGGGCATCAAGGGATTACCAGCCCCTCCTGACATTCCAGCCACTTGGAAGAGCACCATACATCCTGTAGTTCCTGGTGTATCGTCAGCACAAAGACAGGAAGACGTGGCGTCCGATATCATGCTATGTATGTGAACCTTTTACAATATTCAGGAGGCCTATATTGATAAATAATTTTTAGCACCAGATGCTTTCGCGAGAAAAAAGGCGAGACTCGACCGACTCGGAGAATTTATAAAGGAACAATCTGCGAAGAAGTTCAGTCGTGGACGAGGACTTCCCATGCTGGAGGAATACCCAGCTGGCAACTCCGGGGAGAAACGTCTAGTACCAAGGCAATACGCAACGGGAAACCCAGAGGAAATGCGCCTGGTACCTAAGCAATACGCAACGGGAAACCCGGAGGAATGGCGCCTGGTGCCTAAGCAATATGCAATGGGCAGCCCAGAAGAAAGGCCCCTGGTACCTAAGCAATGCGCAACAGGTGGCCTGGAGGAAAGGCGTCTCGTACCTAAGCAATACCCAACAGGTAACCCGGAGGAAAGACGTCTGGTACCTAAGCAATACGCAACGGGTAATCCGCAGGAAAGGCGTCTTGCACCTAAGCAATACGCAGTGGGCAAGCCGGGGGCAAAACGTCTAGTGCCTCAACAATACCCAGCAGGCAAGCCGGGGACAAACCAGGCTCCAATGCCTAAGTATTCCACAGCGCGCGACGATCAACTGGGCAACAACGTGAAGCCTTCCTGCCCTGGAAGGGCGCTAACTCGAACATATGCCCAATACTTTGACGATGTTTGATCGTACACCTAGCTAAACTCTCACCCGCATTTCTTATTATATCGTGAACATGGAATCTATTCTACGCGCATCTAGTGGAAGCAATATCGTTATCACCTTTTGTAATATGGTTGTCCTTCGAAGTTTCATATATGTAACAATAATATATCTACGTCACATCACCCTCTCAGTCGGCGAACCATTCTCAGTTGATGCACAACTGGGGTCCTTGGCCTCCGCCTGCAGATTTGTAATGTAATCCATCCTCCCCATCAAATTCTCTTTCGTTTGTAACTCTCGGCGGCCGGGGGTGCCTTGGGATGTTGTTCCTCAAGCTTTATCACTGATAGTATTCATCACTTCTCCAATCGATTCTCTAAAGTACGTTCAATAAAGCTAGATCCGTGATCCAAACCTGTATCTGGCACGGACGCAGCTGGAAGGCTGAGCACGAGGAGGTAAGTCACAAGGAATGGAATCAGAATTCGGATACACCCAGGTCAATAAAAGGCACACCCGCTCGGGATTTTCTGGTGGGTTGACCTGCGTCTTGTATACACTTGCGAGTTCGCTGCTAATGACTACTCGTATCGTGCATGCATTGAGGAGCAGTCCAGCGATAGATGCAGCCGCGCCCCTCTAGCCGAAGCAGCTTATTAGGAGCTGTGCGCAGTCGCTGATGATCGACAAGGTAGTCACCAAGATTTGACATTGGCAGCCTTCAAGGGCCCTGTATATCCGTGAATTTTGCTGAACATGCGGAGAACGTATGTGCATGGGGAATCAATTTTGGGAAGTGGGGTGCGCGATTGAGAATTGAAGCTCTCCTCCATGTGCTACGGTAGGATAAACCATAAGCTCATGGTTCGTATATACATACCTGATTTGCGAGATGATGATATTCTCGAGCATATCCGAGTAGCCTATGCCTACGTAACGATCAATACACAAGATTGAACGAGGAATGTTTGCAAAGATACGGGAATGGCTTACCGATACCTGCTTTAGAAAACCGCACAATGTTCTGTATTTGGTAGACGATACGATATATAAACTTATACTGGTGATGAAGATCATTCAATTGTATGGGGATCTAGAGATCGAAAAGGCAGTAAATAGACAAGGGCGATCGGATTGTGATTGACTAGTGGGACGGCGACGACTGAGACCTTACAGAGGACATTGAGAACAAAGGTCTGAGAGGACATGCTTGATCGTCAGGTCATCCTGCTGGGGTCTCAACTGAAGTACAGAGTGAGGGGATAGATTTGAAGACCGCAGAATTGTATGGAACCAGTGGAGAAACACATGAATGCCGGCTTGTAAAATAGTACTAGGCGCGATACCGAGGGGCTAAATTGATGCAAATGAATATACTGGGCATGAATATAACTGGGCGCTTAATCTGCACAGCCAGTGTTCACGCTGTCGAATAGAGGATCTTCAGACGCACTGCTGTGGAGGAATTAAACAACGACCTCCTTCCCGAATTGACTCTGGATTGAACAAACCCCCACTCTGTCGCAGCTTACATTCTCCATTCATGCGTACATCTGCATTCTGATCAAGTAAGTGATTGATTCGTCCGGCACATCATATTAAGAGCTGAAATTATCCCTTGCCCGTTAGGGAAGTCCCCGAACCAAAAACATGCCGCACACAGCCCCAACAAATCAAGAAACTTCAGCAATATTAATCCCTTACCGAAAGATCGAAACAGTTAGACTCAGATCTGAAGACACAGCAGGGGATAATAGGATCAGACACATCCTACACCTGCCCGAAGGACAGCGGATCATTAAGCTTACTGTACAGGAAGTTCCCCTACCATTGTCCAAATGCACAGACAGTGCTCTGTAGCTCCACGTGCAGAAGTGAGGTTGGGGAAGTAAGAAATCCTTACGAGATGAACAAATCTGGTCAGCGCGTTCTCCTGCCATTAATAATGAAATGTGGTCCAGTTTATCTTGGTCCTTATCGTAGTGAGCCACCCTGCCAGAGGTGTTGCTTGCTTCAGCATGTGATGCTAGTGCAGATTTGATGTCAATCGTCGCAAGGACGACTCTATGTGCGCTTGAGGGAGCAGAGAAATGAGCAGGGTATGACGCCTCTTTTCGGCATCAAAATGACACGCTATTGAGCCTTCCGAACACGTTGTTTTCAAGCACAAGGTGGCGCAGGAGTCAACGGGCAAGCCACGGAGCTAGTGATTATTCAGCTTTTGAGAGTGAAAGAATTGATGAAAAGCCAGATCACATCTCGTTGAACGCCGGGTGACATGGAGTGACAATGAGGATGCATGGTTCTACAAAATTCCTTGCCAGAAGACGATCAGGATGGTGAATGGGTTTACTGCATTAACGACCAACCTCGCTCGGTGATGCCCTGAGCACATTATTGAACGAGTATGAAAGCTTCCAAAGGATTCAGAAGAATGTCAGAGTTGCCAAGTTTAAGGACTTATTATTAAACTGAATGGCGGACTGATAATGGGAACGGTTTGTGTAAAGACGGAGTCACAGAGGAGATCCTACATGAGATCTTGAGATCTCAACCCGCATAACAAAAATCTCGTGTTGTCTAAATCTTACATAACGCGTAGCGTGAGAGAACCAAATCAAGGCTTATATTGAACCGAAGAAGGGATGTGGACTCGCACGATAGCAAGACACTAGATGCGATGATGAAGAAGAATGTGCAGATGATTTTAGAAAACCAGCCCTGGGCCTTGATCTGCGCAGCCCGCGTTCAAGCTGTGAAGCAAGCACGAAAATACAGCATGAGTGCACCTATAACTCCGACAACGACTTCCCATTTGACTAGACTGCGCATCGAAGAAGACGTTCATTCCATCGCAACTTTCATATAGCGCATGCGAAGCACAGGTGGGCAAGTGACACCATTTGTGCAGTTTCTGAAGGTAGAAGCTGAGTCCTGACGTTGTCCCGTGCACATCATGTGAAGTCTCCGAGCAGAAATCACGTCTTCCCCTGCGCCTGAAATGCCAACAATATCAATGACAACACCTCGCCAAAAGATAGAAGGACACACCCATGTTGTCAATAACATCATACGCCTGCCTGGTGGACAGCGGATCATCAGCTGTTCGTATGACGGCTCAATTCGAATCTGGGACTTGGAGAGTGGAACACAGGTTGGGGAGGCCTGGAGGGATGAAAAGGGTGGGGCAGTGCTTGCCATAGCACTGTCACCAGACGGCCAAAAAATAGCAAGTGGGAATTGGGATGGTGCAGTGAGATTGTGGGATATCGAGACGGGCAAGGTTGTAAAAAAATTCATAGGACAGACAGAGCGAGTTTGGTCTGTGTGCTGGAGTCCAGACGGAGGACGAGTGGTGAGTGGAACTGACAAAACATTCAGAGTGTGGGATGTCGAGAACGGCGGGATAATATTGATACTCGCACCAACGAGGAAAGAGTCTAAGGAAAACTTCTGGTGGGCGGTGTGCGAGTACTCACCCGATGGCGATATGATTGCGACAGGTGGCGGGCATGATTATGGGCTGAAAGTCTGGGATGCCAACACAGGCGAATTGCTTAAAATATTTCAGATTGGAATTGCTATAGGGTGTCTGGCATGGACCTCAGATGCAAAGCTTTTCGCTCGCTGCGGATCCTTTGCGAGTCGAATCAGGAAATTCGACGTCCCCACCTGGACTGAAGTTGCTTTTCTGGAACAAAATTTTACTCAAGACGAACCTAATGGTTTTACTGGCGTTGCGCTATCTCCGAATGAGCGGATCTTCGCAAGTGTATCATACAACAAGACAGCGCAACTATGGAACATCGCAAATAATCAACCCATCGGACCACCCCTCCACCATGACGGGCCATTGAGATGTGTGGCCTTTTCGGCAGATGGAAAGTTACTCGTGACTAGCTGCTGGCAGCCGGAGAAGTGGCACCTATACATATGGGATGTCTCCACTATCGTCAGACAAGCTGGCCTCGAAGATCTTTTGTCAGATAACGTGAGCTTGAATAGCAATTCTTCTCTAATGGTAACCCATTTATGACGAGTTCACTCATACTCTTAGGATGTATGTTGCATCACGTCTCATCGAAAACCGCGCATACTGATTCGTTCACCGCAGGGCACTGTTAAAAAGCCTTTATTACATGTATGTTGTACATTGCTTACAATGTCTTTGCTTTTGGACATCTTACACCCTAGGCTGATGCTACCCGGCGACGAGCACCCGCCAATCAAAGACGCTCGTCGAATACCCCAAGGTTTCTTTGACGATGCCCGAGATGTATGTGATTTTTCATTCGTAATACAGAGTCCCGCTTGACACATACATTAGTTCGACACGTCACACAGCGCCGCATACCACGGGCGATGTGATCGTCGCACCTTATCAACACTCCAACTTCTCCTTGGTCGCTTAACCTCCTTATGGCGCCACCCCGATTCGCATGGGGCGGCTGAGCGCGACAGCATCCCTCGACCACATCCTCTCAGTTGGGCTCAATCTTTCATCTCTGGCATGTTACACAAACGAAATGCGGACACTGAGTTGCGAGAGACACCCGTAGTCGAAGTTCCACACACAAGGAGCAAAGCCTGTACATTTTTTCCTTCTCGGTTATTCTCTATCCCTGATCCATTTCACTCAGAGGAACTATCACGCAAGAAAGAAGAAGCCATCTGTCAGTTCATCTCGACCTCCCAATTCTCATACCATGCAGCAACCTAGTACAGTAATCCAGAACACACCCTCGTCATCGCAGGGACAACCTGCCATTACCACAACATCCGAAGCACTTTCTGCAGTTTCCACTACCACATCGGCGACTGAAATGATGTCGCGACGCAATATCACCGTAGTCGAGGCCGGATGCTGGATTCGTTTCTTGCTTTGGATTGGTTGTGCGTCTGTTGAGTATACAGACGATCAACATTAGGGTAGAAAACTGCCCTCCTGCGCTCCGTCGTTGTACCGTATTTCCTGCTTCTTTTGATGCCATTTCTTTTTTACAAAGTCTTGTTTATTGCCCTGTATAGGTATTGCAACATGCTTCATGGGACATGATTATGCTACTTTCATTGTATTACAATATGTGTATGCGCTATGTAGGAACCTAGGATTTGGGTCTTGTGTCGATCGCTGCAAACAAGTGCTGCCATGAGTCGTGCTCTTACCGTTGTCGGGCTTGTGCAGAAGGATTATGCTTCTCGCCCCACCCTATGACGACCTTAAGATGATGCTCAAATCTTTGTACGTGGAATGTCTGCAGATTATACAAGGTACTACCTTGATCTTTGTTGCACCGTTTCAGCCCTCAATCCAGGGCTCCATCTCAGAAACTACAAGTAATAACTTGCAGATGCTTGCGGGCTTGAACAGCGACAGGGGTCAGTTGCATCTGTTCTCCATCTTCCATGGCAACCCACACTGTTTGCGCTCAACTCGACAGAGCGTGGTGTGATGGTGAATGCCACGGTGTCAGCCAGCCTCGTTCATACTCACCTGTCTTCCTCTGCAGTGTTCTGTCTATGGAAGGCAAACCAAATTGACAGATCAGAGCGTGGTTCACTGGGCAATACACACAAGATTGCAGTGTTAAATAAGACACAAGGTTACTCGATGGTGTACATCCATAATAAGTCACCGCACCAACCTCCTCCTCCCTCCCCCTCTCTCTCTCCTCCCCCTCAATCCATGCCTCGCTGGTCCCCATCCCCACCCCCAAACCACCCAACCGAAAGAACCCCTACCTCAGGCTTTGACTAATGCAGCACAACCACAATGACCAACAACTTCCTAGAACAGACTTCAAAATATGGCAGCAAAACTTAAGAAAATCATCCAGCACCTGGGAACACATGCTCCAGAACCTCAACCCAAACACCTATGATCTAGCATGCATACAGGAACCATTCCTCAACCCGGTAGGCTTAGCTAATGCATCCAACCTCAGACAACTCTGGGATGTAATATACCCCTCCAATCACCACACCAACCTGGAACGATCTCAATCCATCCTCCTCGTCAACAAGAAACTATCCAAAAATAACTGGCACATAATCCCGCTCAACTCACCCAACATTACAGCGATTGAGCTCCACAGAGACTTCGGTAAGGTATGTATCTATAATATCTACAATGCCTGTGACCATGCATGCACCCTCCAATTTATGGAGCGACACTTAGTAACAGAAGAGACAGCAAATTGTAATTGAACAAATCCTGCTCAAGGCAGGACCAGAGAAATGAGCATGCACATGATCTGGCTAGGAGACTTCAACTGTCATCACCCAATGTGGGAGATGACGAGCAACAGCCACCTCTTCACCACAGCAAACCTAGATGCCACAGAAGTACTAATTAATCTATTAGCTGAATATAATCTCACTCAAGTGCTCCCACAAGGCATTGCAACACTTGAGGCATCAAACACAAAAAATCACACCCACCCAGATAATGTATTCTGTTCTGTCAAAATTGAACATACTTTCACCCAATGCGCTGTAGAATATCAACTCCATCCCATTATCACTGACCATTTCCCAATCATTAGCACCATAGACCTACAACCAGAACGCATCAACCCATCACTGCGATTGAACTTCAGAAAAGTTGACTGGAAAGAATTCAGAGAAGCCCTATCTACTTACTGTTAAGAACCATGTTGCTCAAGGGGGAGAGAGACTGACTCAGAGGGGCTTGGCCTCAGCTTGTATGCTGTGCCCCTTACCTGAGTATGTGCCCTTCATTTTGTATGAGGTCCAATGATGGTCCAATGAAGTTCGGAGGACTTCTGGAGGCTGGCTACTCTGCTGGAGAGCACTAGAGGACTTCCAGAGGAGCATGGGAAATGTCCAGAGGAGCACAGGAGAGTTCCAGAGGAATGCAGGAAGTGCTCAGGAGAGTTCCCACTGCAAGGTAATACTTCTACAGGAAACAGGATGGAAGGATAGGAGGTCCAAAGGTCCGGAGGACTGGAGGACAGGAGGACAGGAGGACAGGAGGACAGGATGATGGAGGACAGAAGGACAGGATGTCTGAAGGTACAGAGGGCAGGATGTCCAAAGGACAGGAGGATAGGATGTCCAAGGGTTAGGAGGATGGAACATCTGAAGGTACGGAGGGCAGAATGTCCAAAGGACAGGATGCCCAGAGGTATGAGGGACAGGAGGTCCGGAGGTCTGGAAGGAATAGGGGCTACATCGGACAGAGTCTGATGTAGAAACAAACAGAGGTAGACTACCCTAAGGTAGAGTTGGAGAGACAGGGATTGGACCTAAGTCCGGAAAGAGGGTAAGTGCCGGAAAGGCGGAGCTCTGGCCTAGGGAATCAATCCCTAGGCCTGATGGGTAGGACAGACTTAGGTGGACCAAAGTCCGAGAGAGGATTGGGCAAGTCTAAGTTGAAATTCAAACTAGGGAACTACAGGAGTATCTACAGGGGTTATATACTGAACAATATCTGAGGGGATCAGTAAGCAAAGGAGCAAGGCTATGTACGAGCATGTGGAAACACATTAGTAAGTAAGATGGAACATAAGTAAATGAACTCAGAGATGAAGGCTTGTACAAGGATCAATAAGCAAGACAGAAGAAGAGGTAACCAAAAGCCAGAAAGCAGAGAATGCCTAAATGGGGATAGGTGCAGGACATCAGACAGAGGGTGGGAATAGGTCCGGAGCTAATATCCGGAGGTCCGGAGATCTGGGGATCTGGAAGACAAGGTGGATACAGGACTGGAATACAAGAAGGTGGATATAGTTCTGGAATCTGAGACAAGGTGAAGTCTGGATGTCTTGCTGGATGAAGTGTGCATAGGGTGGACAGGATAGGGTTGTACGGATCAGGCTAGCAGTGAGGATCCAATGGTCCAGAGCTCAGGGGTAAATCTGGAGCATAGTCAATCCTGCTGAGGTGTGGAGCACAGCTAGAAGGGGATCTTGGAAGGATTAAGACAAGTCAGAGAGAGTGTCTCTGGCTCGAATATCAGTTATCAGATGACTTAGGATTGGGGGTCCTAAGCGAAGGATAGTTCAGGGTAAAACCTAGTAGATTAAAGTGAAGATCTAGCTAAGTACATAACCATGTATATATAGATATGGCTGGCTTTAGGGCCGGTACGTGTACGTCATTGAGACGAGTCAGAGATAAGGAAAGCTACGTCATCGAGATGAGTCAGAGATAAGGAGAATGAGTCATCTAGCAACGGCACGTGGCGGTTGTGATGTAATACAGCTGAGGTTGGTTGGTCTAATGATGGCACGGTAAAGTGCGGTCATGACGTAATACACAAGTAAGAAAAGAAATGAGATATGGGTAACCATGATTGTAACAATGAGCTGGATATGATGTGGGGTCTGGATGTAGGCTTGGAAGGCATGGGAATATGATGGAATGTGGGTCTGGATTGTGGGATATGACACTTACCTAGAAACATCTCTGCCACATGCTGACATCCAAACCATAGATCAATTCCAGCAAACATTCGCACACCTTACCCAAGCAATCACCAATACAGTGGAAGAGCACGTCCCGAAATCCAAGCAATCGCCATATGTCAAATGATGGTGGTCATCAGACCTAGACATTGAATGAAAGCAAGTACACAAGCTCAGATGGAAAACTAGAGACCTGACTGGCCAGGAGACAAGACCCCATCCACAAAGAGTTCTGCATTGCCCGCAACCAATTCTCCAAAAACATCAAGAAGGTGAAGAAGGAACACTGGGAAGAATGGCTCGAAGTGCTAACACCAACAAACATCTGGGACTTCCACAGATATGCAGCCAGTGACCCTACGGACCAAGTTCACACAAGAATCAAGACCCTGCAAGACCTGCAAGATCTGGGAGGCAACAATGTAATGCAGGACAATGAGAGAAAGAGTAAGCTACTCTACGAGACCTTCTTCCAACCTCCCCCAGAAGACAAACATGTTGAGCCCAATTTTGATTATATCTCACCCATTTGCGAGTTTGCACCTATAACTGATGCCCAAATCTCCCAAGCAATAGCAAAACTCTCACTGTTCAAAGCTCCTGGCCCAAATGGGGTACCCAACTGTGTATACAAGAAATGTGAAGGCCTGCTTATTCCATACATGGGGCCAATATTCTGTGCAACATTCAATCTCAACTACTACCCAGAGGACTGGAAACTTTCATCTACTATAGTGCTCTGCAAACTGGGAAGACCAAACTATAGCCTACTGAAAGCCTACAGGCCCATCACACTGCTCAACACAATGGGTAAGATCCTATCTTCATGTGTTGCTGATGACCTGGTTTATATAGCTGAACACCACAACCTCCTCCCACCTACACACTTCAGAGGCCTGCCTGGGAAAATCAACAGTAGACTCCCTTCACCTACTGACAAAATTTGCAACAGACACCTGGGCATTAATGGACCACTTTGTATCAATCCTATTCCTAGATGTCAAGGTGGCATTCCCGAGCATAGTAGTCAACCAAATGCTTCACAACATGTGACAAGCAGGCATCCGCTCAAATATATCAACTGGTACAAAAGACAACTAAGCAATAGAACGACCACCTTGCATTTCGACAACTACCACTCAGCCTAATTCAATGTCTCAAATGGGGTTGACCAAGGATGCCCTTTGTCGGTAATAGGTTTCCTATTTTATAACTCTCCCATCCTTTGTATCACTGACCCCAACCCATGCCAAGGGGAACTGAGTCTGGGCTTTATAGATGATATAGCAATAGCTGCATGAGGCAAGAGCTATGAAGAAGCAGATGGGAAGCTCAAAACCATGATGGAAAAACAAGGGGGTGCTTTAGACTGGAGTAGAGACCACAATGCTGACTTTGAACTAGACAAAACAGCTCTGCTATGCATATCTCACAGATGAATGCCAGACCCCAACAGAACAGAAAAGAGCATTCCCATCCCCTGACCATCCATCACCATCTGCGGACACATCATTGAACCATCCCACTCCCACAAGTTCCTAGGGGTAATAGTAGATGAAGAGCTCATGTTCAAAGAGCATGCAACATATGCACTTGTGAAGGGCACCAAATACACCATGGCATGTCAAAGAATGTCACACACAACGAAAGGAGCTCATGGCCACCTACTGAAGAAGTTATACAAGGGTGTAGTGATCCCTAAAATGCTCTATGCCACTGATGTGTGGTGCTCAGGCCTCATAGCAAAAGGACGAGGAGTCAAAGCAGCAGGATAAGGTGCAAGAGGCTTCGCCTCGAAAATGGCAAGGGTTCAGAGAATGGCAACAACCATGAAACTGGGGGAATGAGAACTACCGCTACCAATCTCCTTGATGCACATGCTGATGTCCTTCCTTTTCAATGGCTGCTATGCAAAATCTGCCAGAGGGCCATCCTGTGGATGATCACATTGCATCACACACACACCCTCTACAAGGGACTCCACACAGTGTACAACTTGTGTACCAGAAGAAACTTCCAGAGCTGCAAAAGACACCCATCGCCTATACATCACCTACTCAATGAATTCAACATCAACCCATACACAGTAGAAATCATTGCACCGACCCGCCACTACCCTAAATGGGCACCTGACGTCACCATGGATATCACAGGAGACCTGGAAACAGCCATTGCGAATGACACCTAAGGCAGATGAAGACTTGCAGGCCTACTCTGACAGATCAGCAGTGGATGGAGGGGTAGGAGGAGCAGCAGTCCTAATGAGAGGAGGCAAGGTGGTAAAGGAGACATGGTTTCACCTGGGAAATGACCAAGAGCACATGGTCTATGAGGGAGAAATAGTGGGGATGATACTAGCAGTTGAGCTACTGAGGGAGGAAGGAGGAGGAACCATGGCCCTCAGGGTCAACAACCAGGCAGCCATCAGTGCCACCAATGCCTTCATATCCAAACTGGGCCACTATCTTATGGACATATTCCATGATGACCTGCGCAAGCTGATCCCTGCACAAGACAATGGCAAACTAAAAGTAAGATGGACACCAGGACACCAGGGGATCCCTGGCAATGAGGTGGCCGACGAGCAGGCAAAGCTAGCCATGCAAGGAGACAACAGTGAACCCCACGCCATCCCAAAGTCCCTAAAGTCACGCAACGGAGCAATCACCACCCTCCCAGTCAGCAAATTGGCCTTGAAACAAAGGTTCTTGAAAAAGATCAAAGATGAAGCAGCAACTATCATGAAGAACTCACCAAGATACAAGCGCCTCCACAAACTCGACATGACAGCCCCATCAAAACATTTCTCCAAGCTAGTCGAACAGCTGCCAAGACACCACTCTTCTCTATTGTTCCAACTCCGTACAGGGTATGCACCACTGAACAAACACCTCCACTGCATTACTGAAAGTCTCCAGCCCTACCTGCCAACAGTGCCTCCAATGAGAAGAGACCGTCCACCACTTCATACTCAGCATGTCCAAAGTACACGAGACAACGACTAGCAGCTCCGCAACAAGTTAGGCCCCCTAGCAAGTCATCTCAAGAACCTCCTGAACCACAAGAAATGCATCAAACCATTGCTATGCTTTATTGCAAGCACACAAAGGCTAGAGCAGACATTCAGTGATGTAACACCACTGGCAGATGATAAAGAAGACGAAGAATGAACAAGCGCACCCATGCCAGGCCCCCCTATACCATATCACCTTTAGCTGGCCTTAAACATTCTCACACTACACCTGGACCAATAATTGTACACCACACAACCAAAAGAAGTAAATAGTTTATAAAAACAGTAAAATACTTGTATGTTTTGTCTACCATAGGGCATGGCCCCAACGGACAATAAACAATGATTAAAAAAAAAAAATCCATAATAAGTATGTCATGAGAATAGAGTTCATAAAGGTTAAATGTAGTTATATGTTAAAGACCAGCAAAGTCGGTGTAAACACTCGGCAGACAATCGCGTCTCTTATTTCTCAGTGTTGGGTAAGAGGGACAAACCTTTTGACACCCATCATGAGCGTGTGGGGTATCTCGTGTTCCTTCTGGGGTTTCTTGGAATCCACGCAGCGGATGATGTACGTGTACCGCATACCACCCTTCCCGTTGAGGAGTCAATAGAATTGGGTATATTGTCAGAAAAGAGAGTCGGGCGCTTAGTCTGCACAGCCAGTGCTGAAACTGAGGTGAACACGCAAGGAAGACGCACCTATAGATGATTTAAACAACCACCTCCCTCGTGCTTGAATCTCAACCAAACACAACGCACACTCCGTCGACCAGCTATCATCCCACATTCAGCTTTCTGTGTACATGTCAAGTCCACTTGAATTCTGAGTAAGTGATGGACTCGTATGGGATTTGGTGGCAAGAGCTAAAATTATCACGCACCCATTGAGTGAATCCCGAAATCAAAATCGTGGGGCATCATGGTTCATTTCAAGTCTGGGACTTGGAGAGGGACACACAGGTCGGGGATGAATGGAAGGACAAAGAAAGTAGAATGTGGATGGTAAGGCAGTGGCAAGTGGGAGTGAGGATGGCACAGTGAAATTATGGAACATTGACACTGGCAAGGTCATCAAAAAGTGGATGGGGCATACAGAGTCTGGAGCCTGTATGCTGGAGTTCAGACGGAGTTTTGCCGAGTGTTGAGCGGATCCTTCGATGGAATATTCAGAGTATGGGATGTTGATGTTGAGAGTGGAGAAACTATCACCGGACCAATCAACGCAGGGAGATTCACGAACGCGGTTTGCTACTCGCCCAATGGAAAGAGGATTGCAACAGCTGGGTTGTGAGTTGCCACAGAGGTTGGGGTGTATGAGCATGCGAGCTAGACTTGAACTCGTAACAACATCATTCGGTTACAGTAGTATTCAATTTGACGGGCAGCTTTGATCTTTGGAGCTGGTTGTCGCGTAGCATCAACCTAGGGAGAGCGGTTCCGTTGTCAGTCCGATTGAAAATGAGATGTATCTATGCTTACTAAGAAGTCTCCGTGATATCGTCCATGTGCATGAACAGTGCTCCGCAGCTCCATGTGCAGAAGTAGGTTGAGGAAAGAAGGAATCCTTGCGAGATGAACAAATCCGATCGGCACGTTTCCCTACCATTGAGAATAAAATGTGGTCCAACTTTCGGTTGTCTGAGTCCTCATCAGAGTGAACGACGTGCTACCAGAGATGGCGTTCGCGATAGTGGAAATCAACCGTCACAAGAGCGTCTCGATGAACACATAGACAGGTTTGTCCTCGGTCCTTATCACGGTGAGCAACCCTGCCAGAGGTGTTAATTTCTTTAGCATGACGCTGGTGCACCGTGCAGATGAGATGTCAACCATCACAAGAACGACTATATGTGCGTTGGAGGGAGCAGGGGAGGGAGCAAGGTACGACGCTTCACTTCAGCATCAAAATCACACGTGCAATACCCATCGAGCTTTCCGAATGCGTTGTTTTCAAGCACAAGGTGGCGCAGGAGTCAACGGGCGAGCCACGGAGCGTGTCGGAGTTAGTGGTTATTTAGCTTTTGAAAGTGAAAGAATTGATGGAAAACCAGATCACATCTCATTGAACGCCGGGTGACATGGATTGACAATAGAGATGCATGGTTCTACAAACTTCCTGGCCTGAAGACGATCAGGATGGTGAATGGGTTTACTGCGTTAACGACCTACCTCGCTCAGTGATGCCCTGAGCATAGTATCGAATGAGTATGAAAGCTTCCAAAGGGTTCAGAAGAATGTCAGAGTTGCCAAGTTTAGGACTTACTATTAAACTGAAAGGCGGACTGATAATGGGAATGGTTTGTGTAAAGACGAAGTCACAGAGGAGATCGTATATGAGATCTCGACCCACATAACAAAAATCTCGTGTTGCCTTAAACGTGCAGTGTGGGAGAACCAAAACCAGGGCCTATATTGAACCGAAGAAGGAATGTGAACTCGCACGGTAGCAAGACAGATGCGATGATGGAGGTCAACAGAAATGAAGAATGTGCAGATGATTTCAGAAAACTGGCCCTGGGCGCTCGATCTGCATAGCCCACGTTCGAGCTGTGAAGCAAACAGGTGAAACACAAGAATACCGTACAGCATGAACGTACCTTACAGGTAACTCCGACAGCGACCTTCCATAGACTGGACATCGAAGAAGACGTTCGGTCCATCGCAGCGGCTTTCATATAGCGCATGTAAAGCACAGCTGAGTAAGTGATACCGTTTGTGCAGTTTCTGGAGGTAGGAGCTGACATTGTCACGCGCGCATCATGTGAAGTCTCCGAGCAGAAATCATGTCTTCCCCTGCACCTGAAATGCAAACAATATCAGTGACAGTACCTCGCCAAAAGATAGAAGGACGCAGCCCATGTTGTCAATAACATCTTACGCCTGCCTGGTGGACAGCGGATCATCAGCTGTTCGTATGACGGCTCAATTCGAATCTGGGACTTGGAGTGTAGAACACAGGTCGGGGAAGCCTGGAGGGATGAAGACAGTGGCGCAGTGCTCGCCATAGCATTGTCACCAGACGGCCAGAAAATAGCAAGTGGGAATTGGGATGGTGCAGTGAGATTCTGGGACATCGACACGGGCAAAGTCATAAAAAAATTCACGGGACAGACAAAGCGAGTTTGGTCTGTGTGCTGGAGTCTAGACGGAGGGCGAGTGGTGAGTGGATCTGATGATAAGACATTCCGAGTGTGGGATGTCGAGACCGGCGAGACAATATGGATACTCGCACCAACGAGGAGGAGTCGGAAAACTTCTGGTGGGCGGTATGCGAGTACTCACCCGATGACAATATTATTGTGACAGGCGGCGGGCATGACTATGGGCTGAAAGTCTGGGATGCCAACACAGGCGAATTGCTTAAAACACTTCAGATCGGAATTGCTATAGGGTGTCTGGCATGGGCCTCGGATACAAAGCTTATCGCTCGCTGCGGATCCTTTGCAAATCGGCTCAAGAAATTCGACGTCCCCGCCTGGACTGAAACTGCTGTTCTGGAACAAAATTGTATTGGAGACGAACCTAATGGTTTTACTAGCATTGCGCTATCTCTGAATGAGCGGATCCTCGCAAGTGTATCATATAACAAGACTAGCGCAACTATGGAACATCGCAAATAACCAACGCATCGGACCACCCCTCCACCATGATGGCCTAGTAAGATGTGCCACCTTTTCTGCAGATGGCAAGTTACTCGTTACTAGCTGCTGGCTGCCGGAGAAGTGGCACTTATACATATGGGATGTCTCCATTATTATCAAAGAAGCTGGCCTCGAAGACCTGTCAGATAACGTGAGCTTGAACACAATTCTTCTCTAACAGCATCGCATTGACAACGAGTTCGCTCATACTCTTAGGATGTATGTTGTATTGTCTCATCAGAAACCTCGCACACTGATTCGCTCATTACAGAATACCGTCAAAAAGCCTTCATTAGAGGTATATTGTATGTTTCTTAGAATGTTTTTGCTTTTGAACATCTACACCCCAGGCTTATACCACCCGACAACGAGACCCGCCAGTCAAAGACGCTCGTCGAATACCCCGAGGATTCTTTGACGATGCCCGAGATGTATGCGATTTTTTGTCCGTAATGGCAAAGTCCCGCTTGACATATACATTAGTTTGATACATCACACGGCGTCGCATATCACGAGCGACGTGATCATCACACCTTATCAACACCCCAATTTCTCCTTGGTCGCTTAACCTCCTTATGGCGCCGCCCCGATTCAAGCGGGGAAACTGAACGCGAGACCATATCTCGACCCCATCCTCTCAATTGGGCTCAATCCTCGTCTCTGGCATGTTACACAAACGAAATGGAACAGACATCGAATTGCGAGAGACACCCGTAGTCGAGGTTCCATGCACAAGGGGCAAGCCCGTACATTTTTTCCTTTTCGGTGCTTCTCGATCCCTGATCCATTTTCACTCAGAGGAACTATCACGCAAGAAAGAAGAAGCCATCTGCCAGCTCGTCCCAACCTCTCAATCCTCATAGTACACAGCAACCTGGTACAGCAACCCAGACCTCATCATCGCAGGGACCATCTACCATTGCCACGACATCCGAAGCACCTCCCGTGGCCTACACCATATTGGCGACTGGAACGACGTCACGACGCAATATCCCCGTAACCCAGGCTGGATACTGGATTCGTTTCTTGCTTTGGATTGGTTGTGCGTCTGTTGAGTACACAGACGGTCTACATTAGGGGTAGAAACTACGCGGTTCTTATGTGATGTTGATATTTCCGTCTTCTCATCTAGATCTCGACTGCCCTCCTGCGCTCCGTCGTTGTACCGTATTTCCTGCTTCTTTAGATCACGTACATCAATTTGATGTGGTATACTGTCAAAAAATCACGAGCAGCTTTGATCGATGATCTTTTGGGCTGGTCGTCGCATAGCATTAACCTGGGAGAGCGGATCCGTCGACTCGTCACTGCAGTCGAAATCGAAATGCATATATGCTTACAATATCTCACAGAAGGCCAGTTCCTTTGATGACAGCAGAAACATCCCATGTTTATATGTAGTTGGAGTCTCTGCAGCTGGTGACGAGAAACTTTCCATTTGCAAAAAAAGTCAGTAAATCATTAGTGTTCATGGTGAAGTGGTGTTTCGATGGGTTGATTGGTTTCGAGGTCTGGATGGTGTGCCTGCGAGAATGTGCTCAAGCATCATTGGGAGATAGTCAGCGCTTTTCTCAAACAATCAACCTTGGGGTTTTATTCACACTTTTCCATTAATACTCTACGATTCTCCTGCCGTCACCGTATAGTATTTCTCGTTTAGCTCACCAGCACACAACATAGTTGGGGACTAATATCCATCGAGTCACATTGCGCATATCTTACAAGGACAATTGAGATCAATATTTCAACTGATGATCTTTCTTTTCACATTGTATGCAAGGTTGGGACAAGATCCCATTGCCCAAATGCACTGCAATACGAGCATCGCAACCACGCACCGACGCCAACATGATTGTCATCGTATATTCGAGCACGTAGTAGTGGTTCAATAGCATTGATTATGAGTACTTCATCCTCGTCAAGGACAGGATAACCGCCATTCGCCCTAATCAGAAAGCATCAATCCACCTACCCCATATGAACATCGTGAAAGGCAGACTGCTGACCGTCCCAAGGGCTTTCTCCAAAAAAAACGCACCTGTCATACTATACAGGAAGTCTCCCTGACACCATTCATATGCACGAACAATGCTCCGTAGCTCCCCGTGCAGAAGTGGAGCTGGGGAGGGAAGGAATCCTTACGAGAGGAACAAGTCCGATCAGCGCGTTTCCCTACCATTGAGAATAAGGCGTAGTCTAGCTTGCGGTTATCTGAGTCTTCATGAGAGTGAACACAATGTGCTACCAGAGATGGAAACCAACCGTTGCAAGAGTGTCTCGATGAACACATGGATCAGTTTGTATCGGCCCTTGTCGCGGTGAGCAACCCTGCTAGAGGTGTGTTTTCCTTTAGCGTGTGATACTAGTGCAGATCTGATGTCAATCGTTGCAAGAACGAATCTACGTGTGCTTGGGGAGTAGGGGAGGGTGCAGGGTATGACGCCTCTTTTCGGCATCAAATGACACGTACTATACCTATTGGGCTTTCCGAACGCGCTGTTTTCAAGCACAAGGTAGCGCAGGGGTCAAGGGGCAGGCCACGGAGCGTGTCGGAGCTGGTGGTTATTCAGCTTTTGAGAATCAAAAAATTTGATGAAAAGCGATATCACCTCTCATTAAATGCCAGGTGACATGGAGTGACAATGAGAGTGCATGATTCTACAAACTTCCTGGCCTGAAGACGATCAGGATGGTGAATGGGTTTACTGCGTTAACGACCTACCTCGCTCGGTGATGCCCTGAGCACATGCTTGAACGAGTATGAAAGTTTTCAAAGGATTCAGAGGAATGACAGAGTCGATTAAACTAAAAGGTAGACTGACGATGAAGGCGGTGTAACTTGAAAGACGGAGGAGATCCTACGTGAGATCTAGGCCTACATAACAAAAATATTGCGTGATCTTGAGCAACGTGCAGCATGAGAACAAAGACCAAGGCCCATATTGAACCGGGCAAGGCATGTGGACAGCAAGACACCAGATGCGATGATGCAGGTCAACAGAAATGAAGCATGTGCAGATGATTTTAGAAAACCGGCCCTGAGCGCTTGATCTGCATAGCCCACGTTCGAGCTGTGAAGCAAACAAAAGAACACAGCATGAATATACCTGTAACTCTGACAGCGACCTTCCATCTGACTAGACTGGGCATCGAAGAAAACATTCACTCCGTCGCAGCGGCTTTCATATAGCGCATGTAAAGTACAGGTGAGTAAGCGACACAGCTTCTGAAGGTGGGAGTTGACATTATCATCCCACGCGCATCATGTGTAGTCACTGAGCAGAAATCATGTCTTCCCCTGCACCTGAAATGCAAAAAACATCAGTGGTAGCGCCTCACCAAAAGATGGAAGGACACACCCGTGCTGTCAATAAGATCATACGCCTATCTGGTGGACAGCGGATCATCAGCTGTTCGCTTGATGACTCAATTCGAGTCTGGGACTTGGAGAGTGGAACGCAAGTAGGGGAAGCCTGGGAGGACGAAGAGTGTGGGGGAATGCGCACCATAGCGTTGTCACCAGATGGCAAGAAAGTAGCAATGGGGAGTGATGATGGTGCAGTGAGGTTGTGGGACATCGTCACGGGCAAGGTCGTCAACAAATTCACGGGACATACAAAGCGAGTTTCGTCTGTGAGCTGGAGTCCAGACGGAGGGCGAGTGGTGAGTGGGTCTGACGATGAGACATTCAGAGTGTGGGATGTCAAGAACGGCGAGACGATATTAATACTCGCACCGATAATGCGGAAGAAAGAGGACGACTTCGTGCGGACGGTTTGCGAGTACTCACCCAATGGCGATATGATTGCGACGTGCGGGGATAACTATGGGCTGAAAGTTTGGGATGCCAAAACAGGCGAATTGCTCAAAACATTCGAGATCGGATTCATTAGCTGCCTGGCGTGGACCTCTGAATCGGATGCACTTATCATCGGCGGAGATTCGGGTCAAATCAGGAAATTCGACGTCCCTACTTGGATTAGTACTGAAATCGCTGTTCTGGAAGGCAGATGGATTCAAGGCGAACAAGGCAAATTTGCTACTAATGGTGTTGCTGGCATTGCGCTATCTCTGAATGAACGGATCCTCGCAAGTGTATCATCCAACAAGACAGCCCAACTATGGAACTTCGCAAACAATCAACCCGTCGGACCACCCCTCCACCATGACAGCTCAGTGAGATGTGCGGCCTTTTCAGAAGATGGAAAGTTACTCGTGACTGGCTGCTGGCCGAACTTCTTGCCGTCGGAGATGCTAATATACACATGGGATGTCTCCGCCATCGTCAGAGAAGCTGGCCTCGAAGACCTTCTGTCAGATAGTGTGAGCTTTAACACGTTTCTTCTCTAATGTCATCATCGCATCGACGACGAGTTCGCTCATATTCTTAGGATGTATGTTGCATCAAAAACCTCGCATACTGACTCGTTCACCACAGGATACCGTTAGAAAGCCTGTATTAGATGTATGTTGTACGTTTCTCAGAATGTTTTGCTTTTGAACATCTTACACCCTAGGCTGATGCTACCCAGCGACAACATCCGCCAATCAAAGACGCTCGTCGAATACCCCGAGGTTTCTTTGATGATGCCCGAGATGTATGTGATTTTTCATCCATAATGGCAGAGTCCCGCTTGACACATACATTAGTTCGACACATCACACAGCGTCGCATCCCACAGGCAACACGATCGTCGCATCTTATCAACACTTGGTCGCTTAACCTCCTTATGGCACCGCCCCGATTCGCGTGAGGAAACTGAGTGCGAACCCATATCTCGAACCCATCCTCTCAGCTGGGCACAACACTTCGTCTCTGCCGTGTTAGGCAAACGAAATGGAGTGGATATTGAGTTGCGAGAGACACCTGTAGTCGAGGTTCCATCTGCAAGTGGCAAGCCTGTATGTTTTTTTCCTTCTTGGCTCTGCTCTATCCCTGATTCATTTGCACTCAGAGGAACTATCACGCAAGAAAGAAGAAGCCATCTGCCAACTCGTCCCAACCTCTCAATCCTCATACCATGCAGCAACCTAGCACAGTAACCCAGAATATACCATCCTCATCGCAGAGACAACCTACTATTGCTTTGACATCCGAAGCACTTCCCGCAGCTGCCACTACCACATCGGTGACTGGAACGACGCCGCGACGCAATATCACCGTAGTTGAGGCCGGATGCTGGATTCGTTTTTTGCTTTGGATTGGTTGTGCATTTGTTGAGTATGCGGACGATCAACATTAGGATAGAAATCAGGCTGTTCTTGTACTTCATTGGATTTCTCCGTCTTCTCATCTAGTTCTCGACTGCCCTCCTGCGTTCTGTCGTTGTACCATATTTCCTACTTCTTCCGATACCATTTCCTTTTGACAAGGTCTTGTCTATTGTACTGTATAGGCACTGCCGCACACTTCATTACACTACTTCCATTGTATTACAATATGTGTATGCGCTATGTAAGAATCTAGGACTCGGGTCTTGTGTCGATCCCTGCGAGCGAGTGCCGCCCTAAGTCGTGCTCTTACTGTCGTCGGAGTCGTGCAGAAGGATTATGCTTCTCGCCCGACCCTACGACGACCTTAAGGTGATCTCCAGCATGCTCAAATCTTCGTACGTGGAGTGTCTGCAGATTAAAATTATACACACACTGCCTTAGTCTTTGATGCGTCGTTTCAGGCTCCATCTCAGAATATAAATTTGCAAATACGTGCGGGTTTAAATGTCAGTATTGATAGGGGTCAGTTGCGCCTGTTCTTTCGAGGCTCTTCCACGGCAACCCACACTGTTTGCACTCAACTCCACAGGGCGTGATGCGATGGTGAATGTCACGGTGTCATTCATATATACTCACCTATCTTCTTCTGCGGTATTCTCTCTATCATAGGCAGGAAAAACCCTACTGGCAGATTAGAGCGTGGTTCACTGGACAATACGCGCAAGCTTGCAGTGCATAATGGGCTTTGATTAGACATGAGGTTACTCGATGGTATACATACATAATAAGTAGACATGAAATAGGGACCATAAACGTTACACGTTAAAGACCAGCAAAGTCGGTGTAAACACTCAGCAGACCATTGCGTCTCTTATTTCTCAGCGCCGCGTAAAAGGAACAAGATGTTTGACACGCATCATGAGCGTGTCGGGCATTTCGGGTTCCTCCTCCTTCTCGGATTGCACGCGGCGGGTGATGTACTTGTACCGCATACCACCCTTCCCGTCGGGGACTTGTTCGCGCCTGACCGCGTAGCCCGGTTCGGGGGGCGGCAGATGCGCTGGGTACTGTTTAATCGTATTGAGGATTAAGTGAATGAGAGCTGAGGATGACTTACATCTTGAAAGGCTCGTCCGTCATGAACGACTTCTTGCTTGTAAACCTCTGGTTCTTCGTATGGCTTCTGCAGGGGACGGCATAAATCAGCACGATATCGACAGAGGAAAGGGGACCTGTCAACCTTCACAGGCACTATTTTTCTAGTGCTGGCCGGGAGGGACTTCTGCAGATGAAGGCCTAAATCAGCATAATGTCCAAAGAGGGAAAGAGAAACTACTAACATGCAAGAAACGGTTGCACTTCTCGCAAACTGGCCTGCCGTTGAACATCGCTGCTTCTTGACCCTAAACGCAAAGAAATGTGAGTTGAGACGACTACAAAACAAGGGGGGCATACCTCTTGGATCACGATGACTGCAGAGCAGTTGGTCATTGAGCACACTTGTTCCATGATTCGAGTAGATAGGAAAGATGTAATGAGAAGAGGACTTTGAGCTGGAAGCTTTCAGTGGTGAGAGACGATGAGTGAGAGAGGATGAAACATGACAGCTTTTATACGAGACTGAAAGATACAAGTATAGTGGCAAGGTGTGGAAGGTGGGAGTGTGGAGGTCTAAGCACCGGTAGAAGAATGGTAGTCACAACGTAGTGGAACAAGCGCAAAACCGAGCCAAGACAATGCGCCGTGGCGCGTGAACAATAAAAACAGAGATGTGGCTGCATACAAGAGTGCTCCGACGAAACTGGTGTGGAACTCCCTACACTGAAGTTTCTGAAAACGCAGGAGAAGGTGATAATACTCATGTTCGCCTATCCACAGTGCTCACTTTGCGGCAGGCGATGATCGCCCGAAACATCGAGCAGTCAACTCGTCGCTGTGTTGTTGCACTGGCATGTCATAAGCCTCGGCAAGACCACAGCGCCAAGTGACACTGAAAAGAAAAGGATCTCGAGAGCGAGGGTGCAATTTGTGTACGTGTCGACATCTAAAGCAAATCCGCCAAGCACAGCACGCCCCTCCCCAACACAAGGGACATGGGTGTTGCAGAGACCATGGTAAGTGGGTAAGTGGGGCAGTCACGGATTGGTTTAGCGCCTCGTCATGAAGTAAATCCAGTTTTTAGCGCGTGCGGGTACAATGATATGTGAATTACGCACGAAAGGAGGGGAGGTAGAACATGACTCCCACCAGGGCTGAGCTGAGGGGAACGTCGAGCAGACACCGGTGCCTATACGAGCAGTAACCCAGGAACAAGCAGACTCTCTCCGCACTGGCGCATGGTGTTCAGTCGAAAAATGAATGATATCCGAATTTGCATGCGCATTTTGAAGCATTTTGGATGCAGAGACGTCGATGTTCATGAAGCAGCTTCAAACTTCCGTCATGTGGTATCGTCGAGTAGTACTTCGAGTTCGACTCTCAGAAAGTGCCAGTCTGTGCGAGAGACATTCTCGGGAGTTTCCGGCGGGTACCGGTCCCGCTTGAGTCTACCAGAGTCTACTCCGTTGCAGCTTTTCCTTCGCATGCACGGCTTCTGTGTGCAAGCCAAATCTGAGTACCTGTCAATAAGTGGTGGAGTCGTTCAGCTTTGAATGTACGAGCTAATGCTATTCCGCGCCCGTTAGCTGACAAATCCGAATCAAAACCATGTCATTCCCGAGCCCTCCAAAGCAAGAAACATCACCTATGGTGCTTCTTCAAAAGACGGAAGGACATACCAATGTCGTTGATGGCGTCCTACACCTCCCCAGTGGACAACGAATCATTACCTGCTCATTGGATAGAACGCAGGTAAGCGAGACTCGGAAGGACGAAGGAGTGTTGCGGTGCATGCAATAGTACTGTCGCCAGACGGCATGAAAGTAACAAGCAGGAGCAGCGACGGTACAGTGACACTGTGGGACATCGACACGGGCAAGATCATCAAGAAATGGATGGAATGCACAAGTGAAGTGGTGTCCGTCTGCTGGAGCCCAGACGGAGGACGAGTGGTGAGTGGGTCCCAAGATTCGACATCAAGAGTGCAGAATATCGGGAGCAGAGAGCCCCCCCAGCCAATTGAAGGCAGGGAATATCATTTGTACGGTTTGCTATTAGCCTTATGACAAGATGATTGCCACAGGCGGAACGTTCTCGATGGAATTCTGGTGTGCCGACACTAGCGAATTGCCTAAAACACTGCGCATGATAGTGTTGTGCCTAGCATGGACGTCGGATGGGAAGACCATCATCGCCGCATCACATGGGAGAATCAGGAAAATGGACACCATCACTTGTACAGAGATCGCTGTTCTGGATGGGCACGAAGCCAGTGTCTTTCGCGTTTCGCTATCTCCAAATGACTTCATATGCGCAAGCATATCGTGCGATAAAACGGTGCGACTATGGAGCTTAGAAACTGGTCAACTCATTGGACCACCCCTCCACCATGAAGACATACCAAGATTTGCGACCTTTTCTGCGGATAGAACGTTGCCCACCATCACATATACATGTGGGATGTGTACAATCGTCAGAGAAGCTGGCCTTGACAACCTCCTGTCACACAGTGTAAGCTTCAATGCATTTTTCAATCTTTCTTCAGACTGACGACGGCTTCGCTCCTCGTTTCAGGTGGTATGTTGCTTCAGGTCTCTTCAAATACCTTTCGAACTAATATTCGTTCATCACAGAACTCTGTCAACAAGTCAATCTTAGACGTATTTACTATGTTATATGTTGTTCACGGTTTCCTCAGTTTTGAGTATATATCCTAGGTTACTGCTACACAACAACAAGTCCCGCAAATTGAAGATGCTTATCGAAAAATTATTGACGATGTAGCACCACTACATGTTGACGTACGTGATCTGCGTCTATTACTAAACGGTTCCTTTCGCTGATATGTTTTTAGTTATTGCGCACTCACCACCCCAATTCTTGTGGCATTACTGTCGCTCTGTCGAACCGCGTCAATGCACCTCCCTCGGTCGCTTACGTTCCTTCTTTAGCTGGATGCTGGACTCGGTTCTTGCTCTGGATTGATTGTGTCCCTTTTCAACACACAGACGGTCAACATTAGGTGCGTCTCGGGCATTTTTATGTAGCACGCTTCATAATAATATTAATTGCAATTCGGTACGTAGTTAGTAGTCGGTTCTTGTGTTGATGGCTGCATGCCGCAGCCGGTGCAGTGAATATGAACCAGGCCCTCTTCATTGATGTCGCTGAATTGCACAGACTTGCAAAAATACGACAAATGTTCACAAGAAACTAGGGGCGGGGTAATATGCAGTCACTGGGAGACGTCGTGTAGCACTGCTGGCGTGTATACGTCTACTCGACGATGAGCCGATCGATAGCCTCGTTCGCGGGCAGCGCATCCAGCCTAAATATGGCAGACCAGGGCTCGGAACTGGGTCTGCATCAGACCAGCCACAAATGAAAGCCTCGTCGACCCGCGTTATGTGCATGCTCGCGAGCTCGTGTTGCCCTTGACCTTCACCAATTTGTGTATGGCATAAGTAGATCTCACCGTCCCTGTCGGTGTCAAGGAGTGTTGCAGTGACGGGGCAGTTGTGCTCGTTTCACCGAAACCGCTTGTGGAGAATTGTTCCCAATCGCTGATCATGCGCGAGGTAGGTCCCAAGACGTGGGTCGTCGTATCGCGCTTCATGGTGTTGTTGACAGCCTTTTCCCTTCCACATTCGAGATTTTGCTGAATGGCAAAGAGCGTTTGTGCACCGGCAATGCAATTTCGAGTATTAAAAATATGAGTGCAGACAACGTACTGACGAGGATGAATAGCCTCATCCACGAAAATCGTAATCGTTATGGCCAGATTGCGATTTAGTAGGGAGACGAAGAAGAAGAAAAGATCATGTAGGACATTGAGAACCGAGGTCGGGGAGAGGAGTCCAGTTAGATTCTCGACGAAAATATTGAGAGAAAGATAAATACAACAATCGCAGAATCGCAATGAGCGAGTGGAGAAGGATGCGGGTTTACGGAATAGTGGGACCGTGACGCCGTGGGCGCTTAAACTGCTGGAGCTGTGGAGCGAACATCTGTATACGACTTGGGCAACCGCCTCTTCTTGGCTTGAATCTCCAGTGAACGAAACGCTCACTCTGTCGCAGCTTTTTTCCGCATTCGTCTTTCTGTGTACAAGTCAAGTACATCTGGATTCTGAGTAAGTGATAGATTCATACGGTACTTGATGGTAAGAGCTGAAATTATGACGTACTCATAAAGTGGATCCCGGAACCAAAATCATGGGGCATTCAGCCTCTGCGAAGCAAAAGAATTTATTAATGAAGCCTTACCGAAAGATCAAAGTAGATGCCAGCACCAAACACATCCTACACCTACCCGGTGGACAGCAGATCATCACCTACTCATGGGATGGGTCATTTCGAATCTGGGACTTAGAGAGGGGTGCGCAGGTTGGGCAGGAATGGGAAGACAAAAATATTGGAGTGGAGACTATATGCATTGTCGCCAGGACAGCAAGAGCATAGCAAACGGGAGTTTGGATGGTGCAGTAAAATTGTGGCACATCAACACCGGCAAGGTCATCAAAAATTGGACGGGACACACAACATTGGGAGTGGAGTCTATGTGCTGGAGTCCAGACGGAGGACGGATATTGAGCGGATGGCAAGATGGAACATTCATAGCGTGGGATGTCACTAAAAGCGAAGAGACTATCCTTGGACCAATCAAGGCAGGGGATATCTTGCATGCGGTTTGCTACTCACCTGATGGCAAGATTATTGCCACAGGCGGGGACGACCTCAAAATCTGGGATGCTGATACAGGCAAATTGCTCAAAACTAGTCGAGGGAGGAGCAACATGCCTAGCATGGACCTCGGATAGCAAAACGCTCATTACTGGTGGAATAGAGATCAGGAAATTCAACACAGCCACCTGGTCACAAATAGCTGTCATTGAGCTGGACGAAAACTTCGCCGATACCATCTTACTAGTCTCCCAATGAGCGCATCCTCGCAAGCGCATCACTCAATAAGACAGCGCAACTATAGATCCTCGAAACCAATCAAGCCATCGGAACACCACTCTACCATGAGGAGGACGTGATCAACGCGACCTTTTCTACAGATGGAAAGTTCCTCGCTACTAGCTGCACCGATGGCCATTACACATGAGATGTTTCCGCCTATCGTCGAAAAAGCTGGTCTTCTGTCAGATATCGTAAGCGTAGATACGTTTCGTTCCCAATGATGCTGACAACAGCTCCCTCAGGCTGATGCTACATCGCGGTCAGTTCCAAAAATGAAAGGTTCTCGTCAAATACCTGCAGGGTTTTTTGATGATACACTGCGAGATGCCCATGTGCGTGATTTCTATCCATGATTGAATGCTTTGACAAATATGTTGGCAGTTGCGTACTCAGTCTATCCCAATCTAATGGGCCAAGTAACTGTTCCACCTCACCACCACGTCAACACGCCAACAGTCGCTTCTCCTTCTGGCGCCGCTCTAAGCCACATGGTGCAACTGAGCGCGACACCCAACCCCGATCCCACCCTCTCAGCTGGACTCGAAACATAGTCTCTGGCATGATGCGCAGACGAGATGGATCGGACATCCAGTTGCAAGAGGTCGAGGTCCCTTACACAGCAGGCAAGCCTGTGCGTTTTTTCTCTTTCGTGGTTCTTCATCGCTGACTCCTCTTTGTGTAGAGGAACTATCACGCAAGAAAGAAGAAGCCAGCTACCAGTTCATCTCGACCTCCCAAGACTCATCCCACCCAGCAACACAGTGGAGCAACGCAGAACATACCATCATCGTCACAGCTGCCACCTCCCACTGCCACTGCCAGTCCTCATACCACCATAAGAGTTACCGGATGGCGTTCTCGTTTCATGGTCTGGCTTTGCTGCATACCTATTCAGAACACAGGCGGTCAACCTTAGGAAAACGACATTTTGTTTCCGTGTGTTATTCGTATCTTTTGTTGTCTCATTCAATTCTTCATGACTCTCTTCTCGTCATCTTGTAACATTTCTTGGTTGGTTCATCAGCGTGCAGTATGGTGGTGAACCAATTGTATCCATTATTGTGCGCGCGCATAGTACTAGAGTTAAATTGTAATATTTTGCCGCTTTGGCCAACGTATGAAATCATGAATGGGATGCGCTGCTTATTTACCGGCAAGTCCCAAGACTCGAAACCACGATTTGCCACAATACTTATCACACTGGTAATGAAGCATATTGATGTCGTGTTCTATCTATGAATCGTCGAGCTCATCTTCTTCCTCGCTGCCCTCTACTAAATCCTCATTCACCATGTCTATGACTGCATTGATGGTCGCTTTGGACATCCTAGGCATAGCGCCCGGTCGCAAGAGAGGATGATGTGCTTCTTGGAGTTCTTCCTCAGATTCCTCACCACTCTCTTCGCCATTGGCATCACTTCCACGGTTGTCTTCCTCATCCGAACCGTCATCAGGTTGGCTACCGCTCCTGATGTCGCTCGCCTCTGAATCTGATGAGCTGCTATTATCAATATCTTCTGAAGATGCAATCTCGTAGTCCTCATCGTCCGAGTCCGAGTCATCCCACGCGGGACCATTTGTAGCAGTATTGCCGCCAATAGATGGTCTCTCCTCAGTTGTTGCCTTCTTACCACTTGTGGCTTTGGGAGGAGGTGGAGCGGAACCTTTGCCAAATAGGTGTTTGCGCTGCCTTGCCCACGCAGTTGATGGGGTCTTGCTCTCTACCGTCGACCATGGAGAACTCCGTCTCGACAATGTCTCCCTCTGCATTCTCTTTGTCGTTGTGCTCTTCAGCAGACGAGGATATCTTTCTCCCTAGGATAACGGAACACGTGCGACCCGTGGCACTGATCAGGCGAACACCATCTTTTGGGATGAGATCACCAACGGCCCAGAACTCGCATGGTTTACTCTCTCCCCAGAGAACTCCTGAATCAAAAAACCATAGAGTTCCAGGTTTGGCGGCAAAGTAAGCATCAATACCCGCTGCGCAGTGTCCCGATTTAGAAGTGGCACATGCACTGCGAAATACAGTTGCTGAGGCCTCGAGAAGAGAAATAGGGAGATGTGTCAGAAACTCGCGTAGGACGGAGAGAGTCTCTTCTCCTTTCGCAACTGTTGACGTGGATGGAATAGACGAGGCAGAGTAGGAGGTAGTGTCGAATTTAGAGGCGCTTATAGCGTCAAGTCCAAATATTATTTGGTGTGGGTTAGAAGTTGTGGCCCTACCCTTTCCAGGTACGTCGCTGGATAGCATGACGACTGTCCAGTGCTGCTTTGCTTTTCCGCGCGTTGGTACTAGGAATATTCGTGAAATACTAGAAATTGGGATTGAAGCTTCCATCGTATGAGATGAGGGATTTACAAAGCGTATCGTTTTCTCGTGAATTGTGATATCAACTTTTTTTCGAACGGGCGAGGTTGTGGATATCGAAGGGAGTGTAAAAATGGGCCGGTCGTCCTCAGGTACATCCGTAGTTTTTGGGCGCTTGGAATTTGACCCGACGCCTTCTTCATCAGTGCTGGCTTCTCGCCCGCGTTTTGTGCCTTTCTGTACAGCCAGGTCTTGAATAGCCCTCATGGCGGCAGGTTGATCTCGTGCCCACCCTAGTTGACCGAGTGCCGACATGTCTGTGGGACAATCACCGCCAGATGCAAATGCAAGTAGTGTGTCTACAGCAGAGCGGGCATGCTCGGAACTCAGAGATTCTATGATGGACGAACATTCTGATGGAAAGTGTTTGGACAATGCATCCAAGTATGGAGTGCTCGAATTCATCACGAGATTCTTACCGAACTAGATAGATGATATAGATTAGCGATCATACCTGCTAGATGTTAATTCCTACCTAGGATGTACCACAAAGTCACAACGCCACTACGCAGAGTCGCAAGTTGCTTAAGGCTAAGCCAACTTTCAGTCAGTTCCCTCATCGTGGGCTCAAGTCACGTGACTACACGCGTCACAAATAAGGCCAAAATTAGAATTCTCGTTCTCACTCAACAACACCGAATTGCCGACCCTAAACAAAGACGCGACTCTACCTCTTACTGCCATCATAACACCCTTCGCGTCCTTGTTGACTGCATTTCTCACATTTGCTGATCACTGCTTGCTTGTCTTTCACCCCAAATAGTCAGAGTGATCGCACCCCTCAAACTCTCCGTGCTACACCAACGTGTTTGTACACCATTCTACTTTCTGGTAAGCTCTCTATCTTTCGTTACTACCCTGCCATAATCCTGATTGACCGCTCGTAGCGCATATAATATTTTTCTTGAGTAAAATACTACACACTCTCACACATGGCACCCAAATCTACCGGAGGGAAGTCTAAGTCTGGCGCGCCCACTCAAGCAGTAGGAGGGGTTGCAGGATCCGGTACGACCACGACACCAAGAACGATACAGACTCGTAGTCAGAAAGCTGGCCTCCAGGTCCGTTCTGAGTGTATCCTCCATTGATCGATTTTCCTGATATAACCCCTTTTTTCTTTACCCTCTTAGTTTCCCGTCGGTCGTATCCATCGTTACCTGAAACAACGCACGCAACACAATGTGCGTATTGGAGCGAAGGCCGCTGTTTATACCAGTGCAATATTAGAGTATCTCACTGCTGAGGTGCTTGAACTCGCTGGTGAGCAGGTCAATCCGGATTGAAGACGCTTGTTCTTACACCCGTTGTCAGGAAATGCATCCAAGGACTTGCGCGTCAAGCGTATAACACCCCGGCATTTACAACTTGCCATCCGAGGAGATGAAGAACTCGATATCCTTGTTCGCGCAACAATCGCCGGAGGAGGTGTATTGCCATTTATCCACAAGAGTTTGACAGCTGCTTCAGGCAAGAAGAAGCTCGAGGGACAACAGCAGTAGTGGCTGTTGGAAGTTTACAGCAGGTGTTGACTTTATCTATTCATCTTGTGAGCACAGCGATCAGCTGTACTAACTTTATTTTGTTTTTGGCTGTTGTTACTTGCATCTGTAGTTTTTGTATCAAATGCATGTATGAGACTGGGGTCGTTCGGGCTGTTTGTGATGGACAGTTGACCAACTAGTGTCAGTGCCTATATTCCCCTAGTGACTGTCACGTCACAATCCTTAGGGCCCGTTCGGCAACCACTCGTTTCGTTTGTTTGGGTCCGTTTCGTTTTGAAACGGACGGATGTTAAAGTGAAACGGACACTCCCACGGGTGTCACACGTTGTCACATTCGTATAAACTCAGTAGATACTACATCAGATAGTGAATGATAACCATCAGTTTGTTGCTTGAGCTCTACAACTATGACCACTTCATCATCACAGAAGAGAAAGGCCCTCAAAACCTCTCTTAAGGCAACACACACTTGCAGAAAGAGAGCTGCAGTGAAAAATGCTACTTACAGTGCTCCAATGATGCAAGCAGCTTTTCACAGTTTTCAGAGCACCCCCACTGGATTTGTGACTGTCTTTGAGGACCTTTGCAGCAGCTGTAAATGCTGCAGACTTGAAAGTTCCATTATCAGCCAAGTTTCTATCAGCAAAAGTCTTGAGAGAGTCAAGGAGTGTTGCATTGTCCCTAGAACTCCACTCACATTCCATGGAATCTTGGTACTGACAGCCTGCTCTTGAGGTTCCTGAAGTAGATCAATATTCTCCTTGGTATCAGATGAGAGTCTGTGTTCTTTCTTAGGTGGCATGGTGGGTAGCAGTTAACAGAGTAGGGACAGTGGGATATTCAATTGACAAGAGCAAGCAAAGTAGTACTAGTGTGACACCGCATTATGCAGTGTGACAGGAAATGAACACCTTGCTGAACATGATTGTCCATTTCAAACAAAAATAGATGCAAATGGATGAAAACAAATGAAACAGATGCAAATGAGCAGTTGCCAAATGGGCCCTTACACAAGTTGTGATTCTGTTATGCCACAACTGAATCATACATAATACATATCCAGGATAATGCACATGTCCAGCTCTACTCATCATGCAACAATCAGTTTTCCTCAATTATGAGCTGCTCGTGTGTTCCCTAAGACAACTGCTTTCCCACCTTAATTCCTCAATTTTAGTATACTCTAAAGGAAATAAGCTAATTGTCTATCACATGAGACCTGCCTTTTGTGTTGTTCCATCACTAAACCCAGCATGGTCCTTAGGCCAGTTAGGCTGCCCAATTCCACCTGTAAGTATACTTATGCCAGTGACTGGCTATCACTGATGATTGAATGTCTAATACCTTGTGGCATATGTTGAACACCAAGTGCCTCACTTGCTGGTGAAGGTGGTGTTACCATGAGCACTCTGACTCCAATACAAGTCTGGACCTCTGTGCCCAGCATCATCCTGATTCCATAGATGCATCCTTGCAATGAAGAATAGTCCTGAGTCTGTACGGTAGTATGCGATCTGGAACCTGGTAGTGGCAAAGAAGAGTTGTGAAGTTGATGTTGTGGACGAGAGGTGTGCAATGCAATGTTGTTGGTATTGTTTTGTGAGCTAGACATGTTGACTGTTGACTGATGTACAGATCTCGATTATGGGTTTGTTGTGATTGGATGGTGATTGTTGACTTGAATAGAGGAGTTCAACCCTGTCTTACAATATATGGAGATATATATCAAGGCCACTGGAGAGAATGATGCCACATGTGTCAGTCCACAGGATTCAAGTGGAGACAACTCCAGACAACTATGTTCAAAGGTGTGCCAGTGGCACTACCACACATGGATACAGTGCCAGTGAGCGATTGATTGACCATGTGCTGTGCCTATCTCTGTGGGGAAATTTTACCAATACTGATATTACTATTTCTATAGGAGCGGCCTTGAGAAGCCGCTCACATATGGTGGATTTGTGCTCTTGAACAGGTTTTTGTTATACTACTGCAGTCTTTACTCACCCAGCTGGGTGGTCTGCTACAAAGATGATCAGCTTCCTGGGACAGCCCATCAGTGCTGCGTCAAATAGCTATGCCCATTCCTGAGTTATTCACATTCTTAGTAGTATCTGTGTCCTTGTAAAAAGGTGAGGCTGAGCAATGTCTTTATATATAATAGAAGCTGTTTGTTCATGCATGGACTAGCACCGCATTATGCTGACTTCCTCTCTCTGGTCAGATTGTTAGGTCCTGATTCATATCAGTGACAAACCCCCTGGTGGCTTGTTATGGGATTCACACCCACGACCTCTGACTAAAGGGTTTGAACTGAAGTACTCAAAATAGTTCACTCTAGATTTTCTGATATGTGTATCATGGTGCCTTATATGGCCACTTGTTATACTTTTTCTCCACTGCTGCAGTTTTATCCTGACTCAGTGTTGTAGTCAATTCAGTCGCCCTTGATATGGTACTTGATCATTCCCACTGCCTGAGTTTTTATCCTGATCAGTGGTTCCCATATCTCTGTAAAATGTGATGCCAGGCATGTTCTTTTAGCTATGTATATAGATGTCAACCTGTTTATTCATACTAATAGCACTGACACCTCCTCTGTCTTCCTCCCTGGTAGTGTTACTAGATTCCTTCAGCAAGTGGTTCATGTCAGCCACAAACAACAATCATCCTGCTATTCAGTTGCCAAGGACTCAGTTCTGTATGTTATCATCATGTTAATTGTGTTGCATAGCAACAGCTGCATTTACAGTGTCCTGGAAATCTCACTCGAAAAAGCTCTCAGGAAGTGCACTCAATGGATCATCCTCTGCTGGCACATGTTACATACTGCATGCCATACTAGTTGTGATACATGTTGTCCTTGTTATCTTTTATATCTTCCATTGGGAACATTGTGCAACTCTCCCATTCACACTGATGAACACCGATTTTTGGCCTGTGGTACTGAATGCTTCACTGCAAGTGTTTTACACGGTATGTGACCTCCTCTAGCTGATAGGCACATCAGTAAATTCACACATTCCTTAATGTCCTTAATCAGCTTAACACACTTATATCAAAACTTGTTTGCTCTCTCTCACATCATTTACCTAGCATATCTTATATTTTTTGAGTGTGAAACACAATAAAACATATATATTAATACACCTCAACATTTTTTTCTGAATACATTCAAGTTGAAATTTTGGACAAGTAGATCCATTTTCAACAAGGTGGTTAAGTGCAAATAAGTCTGTTTAAGGGCAAAATAAGGAATGTGTGAATTTCCTGATGCATACCAATCAAAGGACTTCATCTAGATTTACATGGCTGTTCTACTCTTCCTCACCCAATGGCTTGTGATGTCAAGAACACTGGCACAGTGTCAGAAGCTGACTGCCATTCATGATATCTCTGGTGCATGGATGGGCCTTGGTTCTGCACTCAGTAGCGTCTGGCAACAAATTGACATCCCTGCCTCATGGTGGATGACTTCTGCTGTGATGGTCTACCTTGCAAGCATCTCTGTGCTACATGTCACCTCTTCCACTCTCCTACAATTGCAACCATTCAATGCTTCTATGTTGACCTTTGTGCCAACAACACTAGCATGGCTAAACAACCTACCAAATTCCACTGTCAGCATAGGCAACTACACTGTATATACCATGAACTGGGCAGCCATTACTGCATCCTTACAAGTTCTCAATCGATTGTCTGGAGTGGCCTCTGCTGGATTATCTAACACTACAAGCTATGACACCCCAAACACAAATCCTATAGTAGGAAATGCAACCGTGAATGCAATGACAATAACCTCACATTGTGGACTACTTCCCAATGTATCATACTCTATGGATCACACTACAGGTTATCCCATGATCATAGCAAATTCTTCAGTTGGCAATGGAGCTTTTCTCTATTTTGGCACCTTAAACCCTCCCTGTATGTCATCATAGTTTTGAATGGTTTCCTCTGTGTTTAGATATGTTCATAGGGTCAGACCAAATACAAGTAATTCACCCCGGTCTTTATTCTACAGGTCCTCATAATAGCAAGGTGAGGCTTCTCCACCTGTCCCTGTGGGAATAATGCATTATTCATTGTAATTACAAGATACAGGTAATGCATTAATAATTGTATGTTCAATAATACATTACTTTTAATCTCCTTTTAATTTACTTTTAATACTTGGTGATAATGATAAATTTTGGTTAAAGGGTTAGATGTTAGATGTTAGAGGGCTTGTTAGAGAGTTAGAGGTTAGAGAGTTAGTGGTCAGTGGCTAGTAGTTAGTGGTTAGTAGTTAGTCAGGATTAGCCAGGATTATATTCTGTCTTGGAGAATTTAATAAAAGGTAACCTAGGTTACAGGTTTGGTGTACTGGTAGTTACAACAGTTAATGCATTACATCAGTCTTGTAACTATCATCAATTAATGCATTAATATGACATGGTAGCCTGGCTTCTCTGAAATCATCTATAGGCACCATAAATACTCTCTGACAGTCATCTCACATCAGGTCTTGAATCTTATAAACCAGACTGGCATCTTCTTTATGGTCTCTACACTATTAGACATCAATCCCTCAGTGCAAGGGATGTTCACCATACTGGTGCCTTGGGAATTGTCAAATTCTTGTGCATTGGCTTGTTTCCAATACTTCCATGATAATACAGATACTTTGCAGCAGGGGTCCTTGAAGTCTATTTTATACAATGCTCACTGTCAGACGTGAGTGCACACAAGCAGTACTTGACATGCAAACCAACAGTCTGCAGAACTGGAATCCTGTGTCTGCTTCACAATCATCTGGGCAGTGGGAGATGAACCAATGGATATCCAATAATTGGCAATTTGTGGTGTGTTGAAGCTCATTTTGAAGGGTCAAGACAGTTTGATGATGTACTGCATGCCCAAGATTGGTAATCTGGCTCTGGTTTCATCAGTCAGTAGTGGGTATTCATTTACTAGTATGACCAGAGCTTCCAAGTACAAACCCTTGATGGCTGATGAGTTAAAACTTTGCCTTCATTCCTATGCTGCAATGTCTTACTTCTGGTTCAATTTTATAGGTACATCATGTCATTGGTAGGCTTAAATCTCACCACAGAGTATGTACAATCCTTGCTGTTAGGTCTTCCTGTTGCTGCTTTCATTTTGAGCCTGGATCAACTTGAAGTTGCTATCACATGAGTAGCTGCACAACTTATCTGGATAGGTAAGTGGACATAACTTTCTCAAGCATTGTCTTATGCTTATGCTGTGCCACATGTCTAGTGGGGAAATAGGCTCATCCAATGGAGGGCTTCAACCTGAGAACAGAATGACCCATATCGACAAGGAGATAAATCACCTACACCTCAATGTCAGTGTGACCTGTACAGAACCTCCTTCCATTTGACTGATGAACCATATGGTAGATCAATATCATTCCTGTAAGTCCGTGATAGCATCTACTCCATGGCAAATTATTGAAGATGAGTGACTCCAGCTGTCCTTTGTGATATCTACATTGGTGATCATGATGGCACTGGCTCTATTCATGACAAGAGCACGCAACATATCCAGCAATAATCAGGCTGCCATCCAGAGTACAGGTGCATTGCAACTCTTGTGGCTGGGTCATCAATCAGCTTCTGTCAATGAAGTTATGGAAGATGTGGAACATCCAACAGAGGCCCACCTGTGCCATGCAGGCATGATTGACATTTTCCATATTTGACCAAGAAGAGTTGGGGAGTTCCACTGATAGCCTCTCTGGTCAAGTTGACCACAGTCGTGATGATGTGAAACTGGGGTTAGTGATATAGGCTATGGTGACTTGGACATTTTAGCCTTAGCAGGGACTATGAAGGGTTCATGTAGTGAGACACATTTTGTGAACAATAACTGATAGATTGTAGTCCATAAATTATCTGATTCTGTTGTTGGACTCAGAGAGATCCAAGACGAGGAAGACCAAAGGTTCCGACCTAGGTACAGAGAGTGAGTGAGTGAGGTACGAGTGCAAGCCAAAAACGGACTAAGGCGAGTGACATATTGACGTCGGCTTGTGTCCTTCCTTTATTTTATGTTTCACATTTATATCCTACAGTAGTCAAGCCACCCAGCTTAAAAGGGCCAGCAGTAGCGCCCAGACATCTCAGTTCTTTTCAAGAGACTGAGATGTAAGTCCTGATAGTCACCTGTATTCACAATGTTCTAATGCCCTAGTAGTGTACTTGTCCTTATAGGTACACCTACCATTAACAGAGTTCTTTTCAAGAGACTGAGATTGTACTTGTCCTTATAGACTCCTCGCCCTTTTTGCTCCTATATTCAGCTGCATCCGTATCACAAAATGAGTGAGTGGGTTGTGCAAAAACCCGCAGTGCTCTGGCACTCGCCTTTCCTATCGAAAACACAGTAAATTTCCAACTCCGCGGCACCTTATTGAGCGTCACGCGTGTTCGCCTTGAGACTGAAGAAACCGAAGTCGAACCGAGGTACACCACATAAATCTTGGCAGTCGTCCCTCCCTTGATCCGAATCTTCAACTTCCACAAAATGAGCTCGAAGAAAGAGAAGCCCATCCACTCTCTGATTGCGGGTACGACTGCTGGAGCAATAGAAGCGTGAGTGAGAGGATGTCCCACTACCAGAAGCATTGCTCATCTCCAGAAGATAGATTCGTGACGTACCCTACTGAATTTGTGAAGACCCGGTCACAGTTTGGTGGGCAGGTGGGGGGTTATTTTCTTCCGTTATGATAACTGACTGGTGTGTTATCTCTTGACTAGCGAGAGTCACCTTTGACTATCATCCGCTCGACTTTGCGCGAAAAGGGTGTAACAGGGCTGTATTCGGGCTGTTTGGCGCTCGTGATAGGCAATTCAGTCAAGGCTGGTGTTCGGTTCGTGAGCTATGACCACTTCAAGAGCATGCTGGCAGACGCAGAGGTGATCTTGGTCTGTTACCGGGAAGAAGGCATTGGCTGAGCATATTTTAAGGGCAACGTCAGTGCGCCTAAGAGTCTACTTGGTATGTGAGCTCGGTGTGGTAAGTGCATTTCTCTGATGATGAAAATAGCTGGTCTCGGAGCTGGTATGACGGAGGCCGTCATTGCTGTTACCCCTTCAGAGACTATCAAGTATGCGCATGCTTCTCTTTGTTCTGTCGATCTGTCATTCTTGTCCCTTATTTCAGAACTAAAATGATTGATGACGCCAAACGTACAAACCCGCAATATCGTGGTCTTGCTCATGGAACGATGTCTATCATTCGACAGGAAGGCATACTCGGTATATATCGAGGGCTCTTTCCCGTTGTGAGTATTTCGATGCATATAATATATGTATTTCTCAATAGTGAATCCTAGATGATGCGTCAAGGAGCCAACTCTGCAGTACGCTTTACGACATACACGACTCTGAAACAGTTCGTTCAGGGAACAACGCGACCAGGCCGGCAGTTGCCTCCAGGGATCACGTTTGGGATTGGTGCAGTAGCTGGTTTGGTGACGGTCTATATGACACAACCGCTGGAGTAAGCACCGCCCCCGTATGTGTTGATGAGAGCTCATCGTTTTCATAATCATAGCGTGATCAAGACGCGGATGCAGTCACTATCAGCGCGCCAGCAGTACCGTAACTCATTCCACTGTGGATATAGGATCTTGACTGAGGAGGGAATCTTCCGGTTTTGGACTGGTACAACGCCGCGACTGGCTAGATTAGTTGTGCGTTGTTTTTCATTATGTGACGCTGAGGTTATTCAAATTTTACTTCTATAGATGAGCGGAGGCATCGTGTTCACGACCTATGAGAAGATTATTAGTATCATCGGTGGTCGGGAGCAGGAGTAGCGGTTCACACAGGATGTTCCCGAACCAAATATACACCTAACGCACTGCTCGAGAGCGTGATACAAGTAATTATGAACCTGCGGGCGGCCCTCCACGCGACATCAGCCTTATCTTTCAGAGCCCGACTAACAGTGGTTCATGAGCAGATATTACAGGGTACAAGTTGTGGCGAGTGCTAGCACACCAACTTCCACGCACAATCACAAGTCTATATTTCAAAGCTGAGGTTCTTATTCCGAGTCAATCAGGATTCTCGCAAGCTTCGTCATTTCTTCCCACTGCCTCTTCTCGTGGTCCGCGACCCCATTTCCGGAAGCCTCAACAGATTGTAAAGCATCTACAAACTTGGTCATTTCCTGCTTGGCCTGAGTAATGGTGCCGCCAGGCGAGTATATCTCCGTCAAGTGCTCATGAGAGAAGCTCGCAATCCAATACCTGAGGCAATAGTGGTCAGCCGCGCATAGGACATATCAGACAAGCCCACTTGGAGTTCTCGTAGTCGGGCTCACGCCTATGAGCGATCGAGTGCAAGTGATCAGAATAGGGATTGCCTTCTTGGGTTTGTACAAGCTCGTGGCAGCCATTGAAATCATCATTAAGCAGGTGGAGAACTGGTATCGGCATGAACAGAGGTTTCTAATCACCTTGACGAGTTGAATACTTACCTGCTCTGACGTTGAGATTAGCTGACAGCTGGTTGATCTGAGCTGTTAGATCCTGGCGCCATATACCCTTCGGCGAGAGCGGAGCGGGAGGTGAACGAGCGAAGAGGGTTTGCACCACGGTCGACGACCAGAGTTCTGGCTTAGCCATCGTAATCTATTCGAACCTGCTGAAGACTCGGGTTAAATAAGGGGTCGTGATATACAAGTAGTAGCGCCGGCCCGCTGGCAGTGGGAAGACTCCATGCGGTAGTTGATCTCGTGCTGACGTACGACGACTGAGTAGTACTGATCGGGCATGTTCTCATGATTAGTACAGATTCTACAGATTCTTCATATCACATCATAAACACCCTTTATCAACACACTGGCACGGTCCAATGTCGAATGTCCTGCTTCTGAGAGCTGCCAATCAAGACAGCCCGGATCGATATGAGAATGCTTTCAGATCTCGCGGATACCATCCAATATCAGTTCCGGTGCTAGAAACCGTCATAGTTTGCCGCGAGGAGCTAGCACGCAGATTGAGCATCGGTCCAGAGAAGCAGAGCCTTTCTGGAGTCATAATCACGAGCCAGCGAGCCGTTGAGGCGTGGTCCGAAGCTGCTCGATCGTTGATCATTGCTGATAACAACACACCTCTCAAGCCTGAATTTGGTATGGTTCATTGGATAAACGCATCGTATCGGACCTCACAACCAAACAGACTGGTGGTCTGTGCCGTTCTATGCAGTTGGAGAAGCTACATCGGTCGCGCTTCGTGATCTTTGTGAGAAGATACCTCTGTATACACCTAGAGATATTCGAGGCGGCTCAGAGACGGGGACTGCGGAACGCCTTGCCGGATTCATACTCAAAGATCTTCCCTCGGATGGAACAAGTAGAAAACTTCTCTACCTCACTGGAGATAAAAATCGCGACACATTGCCGAGGATTTTGGAGTCGGCTGGTGTTGCATTAGACCCACTCCAGGTCTATGCCACAAAAGGCTCATCCATGTTTCCTCACGATTTATCGCTTGCCTTAGAACGTCTCAAAGGAAAGTATTTCTCAGCCTTAGATACGCAGCACTTTTGAAATCCATACAGAGGAGGGATTATCCTGGGGATGGATCGTCTACTTCGCCCCTTCGGCAGCTGAATTCGTGACGCCAATCCTACGGAATCATTTCGCTCTGCCTGCGGTCAATCCGAGCACGGAGGATTGCGCCAAACTTTCAGAACATCATCATGTCAAAGTTGCTGCGATAGGACCTACTACGGAATCCTTTCTCCAACAGACTTTGAAGTTATCGGTGGCAGTAACCGCAAGAAACCCCAAGGCAGATGATCTTGCTGATGCGGTCCTTCAACATGATGAGGCACAATGACATGCAGTCCCATACGACATTCCATGTATACCTCTCATCAATTGTCATTACTGCAGAACATGCTAAGTACATATGCCGCTGCCAGAGCTTCGTTCACTTTTCACACAATCACACGGAATTGATGGACATTACGGAATGAGAAACCTTACGAATTGTCGGGCATCAATTTCAATACAATTTGCCCAGTCTACCCGACACACTGACCATCTTCTAACTACACGTTCTTTTGCACCACGTTCTTTACTCTACGTACCCTGAGACAACCTAAACGGCAGCGCAAAGCTGGTTCTTTCACTGTTACGACATGAACTCTCCGCTACTGCGACAGGAATATGGCGCCTCGTCGACTAGCTTGCTACCTCCCAGGGCACAAGGTCGTTCCAGGTCGTCGTCAACAGCGAGCGAATATGACATGGGATTTGCAGGACCAAGCAGGTCTCCAAGTCCGTCGACGTATGAAGTAAGTTTTAGAAATAATACCTAATGTCCTCGGTCGATTAAACTCGCGGATAGAATTCGCTCGCCGACAAAGTATGCCAATGCTCTTCCCTATAATCTGTGCCATTTGTGACATCTGTCTGTAGTATTCCTTGCAACTCAATCCAGAAGACTGGGGCACGAGTGCCCTGCATGTAGGCACACCTGAACCAGACGATTACCTTCACACTCCAGACCCAAAGCGTGATCTCAAAAGTGATAAGGGAGGCCACATTTTCACTGCGCGAGGGATTGCAAACCTGGGATGCCTGTTTCTCTTAGTCGCATCGATGCTTATGTTATTGTAAGTTATGCCACCTACTACACAAACATGCGTGTACTGACATTCCCCCAATAGCCTCGGTAAGTTAGTGCATCTCAGTATTAGATGCATGTAGGATTCGGCAGCTGATATTCTTGGGCAAAGTGTTCCCAATAATCAGCCACTTGTCTAGGAAGAAGCCAACTCCTCAGAATGGATTCAATCTCGGTGGCACCAACGCAACGGGGCAGATTCCATCGATGCCTGGCAACCGTGGCGTCATAGACGTCGATACTCCGAAGGAAGCCTACACGAAGGCATCGTATATGAACCAAAACGACATGTGGGACCTTGTTTTCTCTGACGAGTTTCAAGTTGAAGGACGGTCATTTTATCCTGGAGACGATCCATACTGGGAGGCTCCAAACTTGCACTACTGGGGCACGGTCAGTCAAGGTCGCGCAGATAGATTGTATGGGACTGAAAACATCGAACAGGATGATTTGGAATGGTACGATCCAAGCCAAGTAACGACGAAAGGGGGCGCATTGCAAATCACGTTGGCAAAGGTTGATCCTGCTTCGAACCACAATCTTACGTACAAGTCAGGCATGGTAAGCCAAGATCATCTCATCATGGCATACTGAGGGACGTAGTATCTTGTAGGTCCAAACATGGTAACGAGTTCGATTCTATGTTACCTTCGACACTAACGAGTGCCTAAAGGAATAAATTCTGTTTCACAGGTGGCCTCATTGAGAGTAAGCTACATGTGTTGTTTACTGCCGATATCTGCTGATCACTGAGATGTAGCTTCCGTTATCCTACCGGGATCTAACAATGTCCAGTAAGTAAGCTGCTCTAAGATCATTGCGTCCTGCTGAACACCTGCCATTAAAGTGGTCTTTGGCCTGCTGTGTGAGTTTAGATTTTTCAATATGGGAACGTGATTAATGTTTTCTATCAAGCTGGACAATGGGAAATCTAGGTTCGTGCATTGTTGTCTCGTCGCTTTGAGTATTTAAACCAACCATTGCCAAAGGTCGTGCAGGTTTCGGTGCTAGTTTAGAAGGATTGGTGTGTAAACCTCTATCGAAGAGGTCATATTAATCAGACTATTCCAGTGGCCATACTCATATGACAGCTGTGACGTTGGCACGTTACCAAATCAAACTTATCCTGGGACATCCAAACCGCTCGCTGCTGTACAGAACGGCGATCCTAACCATGGTGACGTCTTAGTTAGTTCGCTGCACGAATTTTCGTCCTAGATCTTCATTTATCTTTTGCAGTCATTTTTACCTGGTCAACGACTGTCAGCTTGTACCTGCCCTGGTGAATCACATCCCGGTCCAGTCCGTGCAAACGGCGACTATGTCGGCCGTTCCGCGCCGGAGATCGATATCTTCGAGGCGACAGTCGATGGTGGGATTGGGAAGGTTCGCTTACTCCAAGTTTCAATCAGCGTTGACTCACAAATTCATGAAGGTCTCCCAATCAGCACAATGGGCTCCTTTCAATGTAGGTCTGGATTGTGGTTATTTGGGTTGTTATTGACTCTCTCAGGCGGGATACAAATGGTTGAACACTTCCGACAATCTACAGATTTATAATTCAGACATGACTGTCCTGAATCCTTACCATGGGGGTATGCGCTCATTCTTCATGCCCAATTTGTACCCAACAGTTGCATTGCAGGAGCGTATCAACAAACTACTAGTGGTCTCTCGCTCACGGACCAAGACTGCTACGAGCTAGATAAGGGTTGCTACAGCATCTATGGGTTTGAATACAAACCAGGGTTTGGAGAAGTCCGACCACAATCTACGCTCTGCTCACATATATCTTCAGGTTCGATGCTGGATACATCACTTGGATCAGTAGCGGCCAGGCCGTCTGGACAATTTATTCTGGTGGACTTGGGCCTGATACTGAGACCGAGATTGGTGCACGTATCATCCCTCAGGAGCCAATGGTATCATAACAACTTTTCTCGCAGCGAGCATGAAAATACTGACCACACTATGTAGTATATCATTGCCAACCTTGGATTCTCACTCAATTTCGGGGGGATTGATTTCGAGAACCTCCAGTTCCCCACGACCATGTTGATTGACTATATTCGCGTCTATCAACCCTCAAATGCACACAACATTGGGTGTGATCCCCCCGAATTCCCGACCGCCACTTACATCGAGACGTAAGTCCCGATCCCAACCAAGACTTTTGAGGTTTGCTAAACATTTTCAGATACAAGGAAGCTTATACCAACTTTAATCTGACTGGGTGGAGCTTCCCGAACTATAATCAGACAGTACCTAAGAACAGATTGAACGGAGGGTGTTGAGCACTTATCCACGCCATCCGTACATTCACGACATACAGCATCATTTGCTTATGGGGATTCGGGCTATTTCATTGCATATCATTCTTGCACCACACACATTTTACTGACGGTTCTTGCACATGGACTTTGCACGTCATAATTTTGCACATATCCTCATTACATTCACGACTGTTACTTACCTTTGGTATAGATACTTATAATCACAATATTTGATTCGTTGATTTTCAATCACGTGAGGAATCGCGTCACGGTCAGCCGCTAGCTTATTCGACCCTTATCGTCCTGTGTCATTTACCACCATCCCCTCACAGCTACTTCACGTTCTTTTAACCTACAAAAGAAATCATTTTTGTAATGCCCGCTGTCTCACGAAAGCGAAAATCTCGCGCTCGGTCCGGATCAAAGCCATACGAGCGGCTTCCGCATTCTTCCAGTCCTGCACTTTCCGATGACCAGGACGGTGACGAATGCCTTCCCTCACCAATCTTAGTTACGGCGGACAAACCTGGATTTCCTACATACGCTCAGTACAAACGTATAGAGATGGCATACCTACAGTCGCTGTCCCCGCGGAAGCGTGACAAGGCCCTCATATCTCAGTGCATGTTCGACAAGATCTGGGATGTACTACACCAACCGGACGCATGTACTATCGGGACACCACAGTTTCGCTTCTGGGTCCGCAAGATGTTCACGCTCAGCACGCCCGACACAGAGGATGGCGACAACGAAGTACCAGTTGTTATCCTCCATGAGAACAGACCGGTCGCGGTTCAGGAGCAGCTATACGAACTTTTCTGCTACTGCCATGAAGAGTCCAACCACGGCGGTCGGGACAAAACCTGCGCTATAATCCGCCAGCACTACTCATGGGTCCCAAAAGAGCTTACTGCACAGTTCGTCAAAGCTTGTCCTACATGTACCTTCAAACGGAGCGGAAACCCAGAACTTATTGCACTAGTCCAGGGGAAGATGTCCTCGCGCGAGCTGAATGAGGAGCAAGTTGAGGAAACCAAAGGTTCGCTGTGCCGGCCAGGTTCCCCTGAAACAGGTTGGCAGTTTTCCGGAGGTCCACTTGATCAATCCCCACTCGATCAAACTGGGGATGTCTCCTGTTCCCTTGACACTACAAACGGCTCTCCGTCCACCCCTTCACCGTCCTTGTACTTGCGAAGCTCTAAGCTACTCTTGCGTCCCCGACCACCCTTGCTTGATTCACGGCTGGAAGACCTCAACGGCATACATTTGAGGCAAATTCCCGTTGGCTTGCATCCACTGGCCTTGGACCTTGCGAGTCTGTGCAGTCATTCCGATGCGAAGCCAGGTGACTTACCATGTCTGGCAGAAGCATACCGGGACGACACGATGGACGACCAGTACAGGCTGCCCGCTCTGTGGCCCGAAAACATCTCGGATTCGCTCCCCCCTGAACTACAGCGTCTTCAACTGTCGAGCCCAGTCTGCACTCAGAACGTACAAATTAACCAGATCGATCCTGCTTTGCTGACAAGGGAGGAGACAAATAACAGGGAAAGAGAGGGCTGCATGGGAGAACTGTCTCCCTTACCACCTTATTCGCCGTCGGGCTTCAGCTTGTCGCCTAACCTCCGCTTCCCGCCGTCCCCCGTGACTCCCGAGGAGCAACAGCATCACAGCGTGTGTGAAGATTGGAGACCGTCAAGTCTGAGGATCAGTCCAGCACCTTCTCGATTGCGGTCTGACAACCTGTCAGCGTACCTGACACCAGCGTTTAATTTTGCGACGGACAATAGGTCAATGACAGACTCCCAATACCATACCTTGCCCGTCACCCTTTCGCCACCATTGACACCCCTGACGCCATTCATTAGTGCTTCACCTACGCCTGCTGAAGAGGGAGAATTCGGAGACGAACTGCTGAGAGGATATTGACGATGATGTAGATGATATTTCAATGATTATGTCGCAAAAATTATGTACATTATCCGTCCCTTGAAGGAGACTAGTCCAGATCAACGCTGCATGTACACAAGTATGTTGGCCCCCTTATTGGGCCCACCAGAGTGCACTAACTCGCGGTGGAGACGAAGGACCGCCCTATGTTGCGGACGAGTACGGTTGAAGTCTACGCTACTAACCCTTCGGTCCGACGCCAGTCGTATCTCATGTCAACTCAAATTTGGAGCGATGCTCACCAGAAGCAGTTGCATTGACATATTCCGGGTACCAGACGAGGCTTGAGAGGACTGTCCTTGAGGGGGCTTGTGATGAATCAATGTCACAAGCTCCCACAAGGCCAATCATCCCTAACTTGCTATGAGCAAATCAGTAGGTCGAATAGAGCAAGAGTGGTATTGAGGAGTTGGAGGTGGGTGGGTTTACAACTCACACTGTTGGCGACCTTATATACGTATCGCAGGTGTTTGCATTGACCACGCTTGATTTACACCAGTGTGAGTGTATTTTTATTTATTCACTGTTAGCTGCAAGGCTTTGCCACGCCTCAGAGTGAGACATTTCCGCAACAGTGTTTGTGTCTAAAGCACAATGGCGGCTAGTGATGTTCCGGCCCGGCTTGACTCGAAAGCCGCGGCTTCGGCCTGGCTTCAGACGGCTTGGGCTTGCAAAAAATCCAGGCCGGGCCAAAGCCGCCAGTGACGGCTGGCTTTGGCTCGGCTCTGGCCTGAGCCGCGGCCCGAGTACTGTAAATGTAAAACTGCAAGTATGAACTTGGAGTACTCACCTGTGCAATGGGAGGGGAGGTGGGATGGGCCAGCGGGAGCTGGCCGGGTAGGACACGAGGCAGTGCGATGGTCATGACTCCAGGAGTGACTCAATGACAATGACAATGTTAGTACTGCTGCAGTCCAGTTCAGTCTGGTTCAGAGGAGGTTAGACGAGAACCGAGAACTGAATAAATATTGCACAAATATGTGCAGATACATGCAGGTAGTTGTAAAAACAAGTACAGATATGCAAAAATGTCTGGAAGCATTTGCAAATGAATACCAGTGCATAAGAACGTCTGCGAATGCGTCCAAACTGAACACAGTGGCAGAAACATATGCAAATGAATGCAAACATGCGAGAACGTCGCCGAAACCGTCGGAATGCGAATGAGAGTGTATGGCGCTGGATCTTCTAGAAAGATGGTCAGCATAAGAAGGACAAGACACCAACAACACAACCAGCACCATCCAAACTACTATCTACTACCCCCACCCGATTCCAACAGCCGCTAGTGCTTAGCGCACATGCCCAGCGCACATCAGTGAATGCTGACATGGCTCAGACATATGGGAACGACACCAGAAGGCACCAGAATAAGACAAGGAGTGGAAGAGGGCAAGAAATGGACGAGGGAGAAATGTTTATGTCTTGGGTATCTATGTAAACGAAGTAGTTAGCAGCATAAAAATGCACCATACACGCACCTCTGCAGCTTAGAGAAAGGCGTCCACAATCCCTCGGCCACGCTCAACACCATCAACCTCTAGTAAAATATCGCAGCTTATTCCAAGCACCGCATCCCTTCGAGTTTTTGACAGACCTGTTTAAGAAGTCAGCTCAATGTCGAGCAAGACATGTCAAGACCTCAGAAGCGAATAAGGGTGGCACTGACCGTGCCCTGAGAAGACGCCCGTGATTGTTGAATCAATATTTCTGTGAAGCTGTTGAGCACTTCTGGGGGTTTGGGTTTGAAATTGGAAGAGTGAATCCAGAGTGTTGGAAGATCCTGCTTCAAAAAGTGAAGAAAGGAGCGGCATTCCATCTCACTTTTTGTCTCTTGTCATCGTCGATAGTAGTACAGAGGGTAGCTTAGAGCCGCGGCTCAGGCCGCCGGCTTCGGCTTTCCAGAATTCCAGGCCGGGCCAAAGCGTCACTTGGCCCGGCCTAATTGGGCCCGGCTTGGCTCGGCCCACGGCTTGAAGCCGGGCCGTGCACATCACTAGCTCGAATATACGGTTCCCGTATTTTGAGGTTTATACTGGATGTAATTCGTTCGAGGTCACTTTGCGTCTCGATCGTCTGGTGTTATTATCACCTGACAATTAATTGAATTTTGAATAATTTCTATCAATAATATTGTAAATGAACACGTGGCTCGGTAACTTGACATTGATCATCGTATGATGGTCAATGCTACACTGGAGTAGGGGACCCCTAGGCAGAGGGTGAGAGGAGGAGAGAGTTTGGCGGTGCTTGGGTCGGAGTTAGCCGAGCGTAGCGTAGTCAGAGTCGTCGGAGGCAGTAGCAGAGAGCAGGTCTTTTGTTGTCATTCGATAGCAGAGTCTTCGGGCATAGCCCACTCCAACACCTAGCTAAAGATACGCGAAACCCGTTAAGATCTTGTGCTGGATGTGGGCTTGCCGGATTTCCAACCAGTCAAACATCGCCAGCTTATTGATCTTGTGATCAAAACACACAAGGATGACGCTTTATTGTCGATGTGGAACCTCTGTCGAATTACCGGGCTGCCAGTGGGCCACCGCCATTGTGCTTTAGACACAAACACTGTTGCAGAAATGTCTCACTCTGAGGCGTGGCAAAGCCTTGCAGCTAACAATGAATAAATAAAAATACACTCACACTGGTGTGAATCAAGCGTGGTCAATGCAAACACCTGCGATACGTATATAAGGTCGCCAACAGCATGAGTTGTGAACCCAACCCACCTCCAACTCCTCAACAACACTCTTGCTCTATTCGACCTACTGATTTGCTCATAGTGAGTTAGGGATGATTGGCCTTGTGGGAGCTTGTGACATCGATTCATCACAAGCCCCCTCAAGGACAGTCCTTTCAAGCCTCGTCTGGTACCCGGAATATGTCAATCCAACTGCTTCTGGTGGGTATCGCTCCAAATAGTATGCCAACGCGGGAGTGATCGAGTTTAAGGCGCCCTTCAGGTGGGTCTTAAACTTGGTCAACTTCGCGCTGGTTGCGTTGCAACCTCGCATCCAAGAATGGTGTGAGTTTCTCTAGGATTCTCAGAAGGAAATGTTATATATCATATCGTTGAAGTATAACCACTGACTTATCGCGTGCCGCAAGACACAAATTCTATGAGGGCCAGCCTTGTGCTGAAGTCGGTAAATATGAAAGACGCGAGTTTACTCGCGTCAGCACAGGCCAGGTCCTGTTGGGCTTCATTATCCTCGCTGCGCATCTTTGGAGTTGATTCGAAGATGTGGAGCGAGGGTAGACGGAGGTGGAAGGTGCCGTGGCAAGAATTCTAATTACTAGGACACGACTATGCATGTGCAAACTTCTAATCGGTATTGTCCCCAATTTTCTAATGGAGTTTCCGCAGGTAAGTATCGTGGTTTGTCATCTCTTACAGCAATAGCTTACCATGTGATGCAGGACGTTATGTACGTTCTATGAAGGCTATCTGACACTGTCAAATGTGAGCATTGGATTTATGTCCGCATGTGCCAGTGTAAGCTCGCACTGTCAGATTTCAGGCGCAACTTAGATGTGCGAAACAAGGCACCGTACATGCTATGCACAACAATGTCCATAGAAGACTTGCGACATAGGACGCAACACTGGTCCTTTCCGCCGTCATTAGCCCTAGTGTTATCGGTCGTTGAACAATCTTCTATTAATTCACAGTGATAGAATTGAACAGGAATCGACTACTTGCGTGAGCAACAGTCACAGCGCCAGGATACATCCGATGCACAATCATCCCCAGCAGACGGGGCAATAGACGTTTGAGAAATCATCTTGCTGGTGGCGGAGAGGGAAGATGCCTTAGGTAACGCGCCATCACTGAGTCAGGAGACACCTTCGTTAGATTATGGGGGGTTAGAGTCGGGAAAAGGCTAGGAAGGTAAGAGCAAGATTGACATTTGGCTGGCGCGGTGACGACGACTAACAGCATATGTAGGACATTGAAGGCGAGGATCGGAGAGGATAGAATGATGTGTCAGGCAATCCACGCGACCAGAATTGCAACATGAGGGGATAGACAACAAGAATCGCATTGCACGAGTCGAGACATATAAGAGATTTGGTCGATAACAAGACTACGAAACGCAATTCTGGGAGGTCAGTTGGAATGAAGAACTTATTGCGCATACTGAAGACTGGGACTTGGGCGCCTGATCTGCATAGCCATGCCGAAGCTGTGAGGCAAAACACGAAGATACAGCATGGCAGGCCCACCTCGTACGGGGCTTAGAAAACAAGCTCCTTATAGCTCGACACCCTTCCTCGATTCTGGGAAGAAAACGCCCACTCCATCGCAGCTTTCGCTCTGGTCAAGTGCAATATCTGGATTCTGAGTAAGTGATAAATTCGTACAGCAATTGATAGTAAGAGTTGAAGTTACCACGCACCTATCAAGTGGATCCCGAAACAAAATTAATGAAGAAACCAGCCCCTGCTAATCACAAGAACTTGACGACAACGCCTTACCGAAAGATTAAGATAGATACGAGTATCAGACGCATATTGCCCTTGCCCGGTGAACAGCAGATGATCACCTATGCATGGGATGGCTCATTTCGAGTCTGGGACTTGGAGAGGGGCACGCAGGTTGGGGAGGAATGGGAGGATAAAGATGAAAGTGTGAAGGCCATGGCATTGTCGCCGGATGGCAAGATGGTAGCAAGCGGGAGTTCGGATGGCGCAGTGAGATTGTGGAACATCGACACGGGCAAGGTCATCAAAGAATGGACGGGGTATATGGAGAGAGTGCGTTCTGTGTGCTGGAGTTCAGACGGAGAACGAGTGATGAGCGGAACCTCCGATGGAACATTCAGAGTGCGGGATGTTGAAGGCGGTGCAATAATGATCGGACCAATCAAGGCAGGAGAGTTGGTGAACGTGGTTTGCTACTCACCCGACGACAAGATGATTGCTACCAGCGGGGACACGCTAAAAATCTGGGACGCCAACACAGGCGAACTGTTCAAAACATTCGAAGTTGCATTTTTGTACTTGGCATGGAAAGGAAAAACGCTTGTTGCTGGGGGATCCAAAATCACGAAATTCGACACAGCCACATGGTCACAAACAACAATTCTCACTGAAGACTCGGGCAATAATACTGGTACCCATACCATCTCATTATCTCTCGATGGGCACATCCTCGCATCACACAACACCTATACCGTCCAGCTATGGAACCTCGAAACCAATCTGCCCATTGGAGCACCACTCCACCACTGTGAAGATTCGGTAACATACGCGACCTTTTCTGCAGATGGAAAGTTCCTCATTACCGGCTGCGATGACGACCACATGTACACATGGGACGTTTCCGCTATCATGAAAGAAGCTGGCCTTCTGTCAGATCTTGTATGCTTGAATACATTTCATTCTTCATCACACTGACAATAGATTGCTCCCAAGGTTGATGCTACACCTCGACCAGTCCCAACGACGAAAGGTGCTCGTCGAATACCCCAAGGATTTTTTGACAGTGCACGAGATGTTGATGTATGTGAACTTCATCTTTCATCAAATGCTTTGACCGATATATTGTTAGTTGCCGAGCTCGCGTACTCAACCATATGGGCAACATGACCGTCCCACCCCAGCACCACGTCAACGCACCGGCAGTCGCTTATCCTCCTTCTGGAACCGCTTCAAGCTACATAGGGCAAATGAGTCCGACACCCGATCCCGATCCCACCCACTCAGCTGGACTCGAAATGTAGTCTCTGGCATACTGCGCAGACGACATCGATCAGATATCCAGTTGCGTGAACCACCAATAGTTGAGGTCCCGTACACAGCGGGCAAGCCTGTATGTGTCTTCCCTCAATCCTTCTTTATTTCTGACTCCCTTTCGCGCAGAGGAACTATCACGCAAGAAAGAAGAAGCCAGCTGCCAGCTCGTCTCGACCTCTAAAAACTCACACCACGCAACAACCCAGCGCGGCAACTCAAGGCGCACTATCGTCATTACAACTACCACCTCCCACTGCCGCCACTACCTCGACACTTTCCGCTGTCGCTGGTACTGCCGGGGCAACGGGAACTGGAACAAGCTCACGTCCTCATATTACTATACGAGATTCTGGATGGCGCGCTCGTTTCATCCTCTGGATTTGTTGCGTTCCTATTGAAAAAACAGACGATCAGCATTAGGGAAGCGATATTTCGATTTCTATGTTCCATTCATCTTTGTTGTTGACTCATCTATAGATAATTCTTCACGACTCTCGTGCCGTTGTCGTCTAGTGTTTCACAGGTGTGTAGTATTGTAGCGTAGCAATATCCACCAGGTGTTGAGTAATTATGTGCGCATGCAAAGTTGACAAGAGATAACACCAGGATCAGCGAGACGCTTGTCAAATATTCTGAGGATTCTTTGACAATATATACGACATATATGTGAGGTTCATCTATAATGCCGGAGTCCTGCTTGACAAAAATATGAATTCTTACAGTCCCATTTCATGAGCGACGCGACGGTCCCGCCGTATCAGCACGTTAGTGTCGCTTACTGTACTTCTGACGCTGCCACCCCGATCCACATGAGGCAACTGAGCCTAACACCTAATTTCGACCCCGGCCAACTTAGCTCAAACCTTCATCTCTCACATCCAGTTGCGAGAGCCACACGTAGTCGAGGTTCCGAGCACAAGGAGCAGCCTATGCATTTTTTCCCTTCTTGGTTCTTCTCTGTCACTGCCCCGACTTCTGTAGTGGCTCTACGTATACCAGATTAGCCTGGGTCAACGGTAAAATCCGTCTCAATGACACACGCCAATTCTTGACAGTCTTGACTCCATCAAGCTTCAAAACTTCGGCTTGAAACACAATACTCACTTTGTCAGTTCTTAAATCACTGCGACTCGTAGTCCGCTCGAGACGTGCCAGTGGTGAACAGCTTGCTAGGCATAACTTTTTCATAATGGAGGTGCGACCTGCGTTAGCATGACTCGAGTTTCATCCAGTTCGCTGGAAATTTCAGCATGAAGAAGTTCAACATTGTTTCTGAGTTGATGTTGTCGACTGACTGACTATCCCATGCCATGGTAGAGTGTTGGCCAGTCAGGAGGATGCAACGGGACAAAATGGAAAGCTACACAATTTCAGGTGACTGAATCATTCGACAGGACAGGCTGTATGGTCTGGCAGATCCCACAGGAGCACTTGTAATAGATAAAATGTGGTGAGTGACATTCTTGCCCGTCTGTGCCCGGAAACAAGCGCGGGAGAGCCATGATGAGACGGACCTGTTCAAGCCAGAAAGACATTTTTTACCTGCCAGTGAACCTCTATCCACAAGGAAACCCCGACTTGAAGGTAAAGCAAGTACATGTTCGCTTTCCCTGTTCAAATTCTGCTGACAATGAAGACTGGTGCTTCACCGTCATCAGTCCACATTCCACAATGGGCCACTTGACCAAGCTGTGGATGCGCTGTGGATGTGGGCATTTGCCGGGACTCCACAAAAAGCTCCCATCTGCATCTTCTCCATCCTTAGCTTTTAACACGCCAGTCATTTTACATCCCCAGCCTTCCTTGTTGCCGCTGGGCTTACCCACTGGGTTCCCCAGTATCCCCTTATCTCAAGGCCCCATCGCGCTTCTCAGCTTCTATTCGCTGCAGGTTTACTCCGCCCAGCCCTCTAGTGACTACACCCCACTCCATAACTACTACACGCTGCCCCCCGTTCCGGGTTTTCATCTTCCATGACTTCCATGAAACCACAGAGCGGCCTTTTCCCGAGTTTGCTGGGTTGCGACATCCGCGCGTCTGTGCCAAGCGCTCAGGCCAGACCCCATCCATTTCGCACACCCTCATCCCCGAACACATCATTCACCGGGCGTTTGTGCACACCTATCGAGGAGGAGGAAGAGGAAGAATCGACTTCCGTGGAGCCACAGGGTGGCCTTTTCCTGTGCTGCGACACCAGCGCGTCTGTGCCGAGCGCTCAGGCCGGGGCGCCCTCTCCATCTCGTACACCCTCATCCCCGAGTAGATCATTCATCCGGAGTTTGTGTACACTTATCGAGGAGGAGGATGATGATGGATCGACTTCCGTGGAGTCACAGGGTGGCCTTTTCCCCGGCTGCGACACCAGCGCGTCTGTGTCAAGCGCTCAGGTCGGACCCTATCAATCTCGTACGCCCTCATCCCCGAGCCCATCATTCATCAGGCGTTTGTGCACGCTTATCGAGGAGGGAGAAGAAGAATGAGCATTGAGAAGCAATTGAAGAATCGAAAGATGGTGTATGGGGAGATGGGATTTCAATGATTGTATGTCGTATGAATTATGTACATTGTTCATTCCTTAAGCTAAGACTGGTCCGAGCGATGGCATACGTATATACTGTACAGCATAAACCTGAATTGAGACTTCAAATTTCAAGTATAACTAAGGAAGACAGATGAAAAAAACACTTTCGGACATTATGACGCTGACTGAAAGCCCAGGAAGTGCAATGGTGGACATTATGTATAAACCAAGGAGCTATGATAGAAACAAACTCGAGCGGAATGAAAACCAGATCAAACTCTCTGGCTGCCTAGATGCACCTGCTGACAACCACTGATAGTCTGACCATCGTCGTAGACTTACCGCGTCGTACACAACGGCAATCGCAAAATAGGTTGAACTATTTCTTGCGCGAATTGGAGGACACGAGCATCTCGGTAATGTCATGTTTGCATTGAGGAGCGTTGCAGCGAGGGGTATCCATGCTCGTATCACCGCAGTCGCTCGCCAAGCACTGTACCAAATCGGAAAGATCAAAGTGGGCGCAGAGATGTAGGTTGTCATTAACACGCTTACCGGAGCAGTTGGCAACGTTTGACATGCTACGTTCAGGAATTCCACCAAAAGGCAAAGAGTGTCAGTCCCAGCGATGCAACTCGGGTATCAAAGACGCGAGTGCAGGTGCCGTACTTGTAGATTTAGAGGTGAGATGAATTGTCTCATCGTTTGAACTTAGGCATTCTTCTTGCCCGACACATGAGTATTTTGATGTGGATGCACTCCCGAAGTCAGATGCACAATCGCGGGTTGAAGACTTCCTGCTTAAGCTATAGTGAGATAAACACTACGCGCATCGTGCATATATACCTGATTTGCAAGTTGAAGAGATGCTTGACGATCCGAACAGCGCGTCCCTGCTTGATGATGGAACGTCAATACCAATGTATAACTCCAACCGAAGGATATGTGTTGAAAGATAGGAACGGAAAAATGTATGATAGTTTGTACTCAGTAGGTATGAGTAATCCCTTACTGGTGACGGAGAAAGCCTATCCAATGTGTTAGCATGACATGTTCCTTCAAGTATGGGGACATGGATCTGGAAGAGACTGAATAGACGAACAATAGGAAAATGTAAGGAAGATAATGATGCTGTAAGCTAGCCAGTAGGGAGAACTTTTGAAAAAGTTCACGTAGGACGTTGAGAACCAAGGGCGAAAGAGGAGTTGGATGAGCTTAGTTAGACTTGCCACAGAAATGCAGAGGATGGATACGACAATTGCAGAATCGTATTGGGCTAGTGGAGAAACACAGGGATTACCGAGGTGTTAATTGTATTATCATGATTTGGCGCTTAAACTGCACGGCCAAAACTGTGGAGCGAACACGAGGCGAGGAAAATGCACCAGTAAAAGACTTGAACAACGACTTAAATTTCCATCGAACGAAACTCCCACTCCGTCGCAGCCTTCGTTCTGCATTCGTCTTTTTGTGTACAAGTCAAGAACATCTGGATTCTAAGTAAGTGATGGGATGTAATGGCAAGAACTGAAATTATCATGCACCTATTGAGTGAATCCCAAAATCACAACCGGGGGACATCCAGCCCCTGCGAAGCAAGAAATTTCAGTGACAATGCCTTACCGAATGATCAAAGTACAGAACGGCATCAGCCACATCTTACACCTGCATGGTGGACAGCGGGTTATCACCAATTCATGGGATGGCTCATTTCAAGTCAGGGACTTGGAGAGAGGCATGCAGTTCGGGGAGGAATGGGAGGAAAAAGATAGAGTGGAGGCCATTGCATTGTCGCCGGATGGTAAGACCATAGCAAGCGGGAGTTCGGACGGCGCAGTGAGATTATGAACATCAAAACGGGCAAGGTGGTAAAAAAGTGGACAGGGCATACAGAGAGAGTGGTGTCTGTGCGCTGGAGTTCAGACGGAGGGCGAGTGGTGAGCGGATCCAACAAAATATTCAGAGTGCAGGATGTCGAGAGCGGAAAAACTATCCTTGCACCAATCAACACAGATTTATCTGTGGTTTGCTATTCACCCGATGCCAAGATGATTGCCACTGGCGGTCCGGATGACCTCAAAGTCTGGGACGTCGACACAGGCGAATTGCTCAAAACACTGGAGGGAGGATTTATGTGCTTGGCGTGGACCTCGGATGGAAAAACGCTTATTGCTGGTGGAATCGAGATCGCGAAATTCGACACAGCCACATGGACTGTTCTTGATGCTCGCAGCATAATCCTCGCCGACATCATTTTACTATCTCCCAATGAGCGCATCCTCGCAAGCACATCAGTCCTGGACAAGACACTGCAACTATGGAACATTGAAACCAATCAACCCATCGGAACACCACTTTACCATGAAGAAAATGTGAGCTGTGCGACCTTTTCTGCAGATGGAAAGCTCCTTGTCACTAGCTGCCGCGACGACCACATATATACATGGGATGTTTCCGCTATCGTCAAAAAAGCCGGCCTTCTGTCAGATATTGTAAGCTTGGATGCATTCCATTTTCGATGACACTGACAACGGATCTGCCCCCCCCCCCCCAGGCTGATGCTACACCGCAACCAATTCCAAAAATGAAAGGCGCTCGTCGAGTACCTCCAGGGTTTTTTGGCGATGCACTGCGAGAGGCTAATGTACGTGTTCCCCATCTATGATTAAACACTTTGACAAACATGTTGTCAGTCGCGCACTCGTCTATCCCGATCCCATGAGCCGCATAACCTTCCCATTCCAGCACCACATCAACGCACCCTCAATCCCTTATCTTCCTTCTGGCACCGCTTTAAGTCACACAGTGCAACTGAGCCAGACACCCAATCGCGATCACAATCTCTCAGCTGGACTCGAAACTTATCTGGTATGCTACGCAGACGAGATAGATCGGACATCCAGTTGCGAGAGGTCGAGGTTCCTTATACAGCGGGAAAACCTGTGCGTTTTTCTCTTTCACAGTTCTTCTTGAATCTTGTATGCAAAGTTGGGATATGATAACGTTAAAATTGAGTATGTCCGCGATGAAAAATGCAGAATCGCATTGGTCCAGGAATGCAGGTTTGCGGATTGTGCTAGTAGGACCGCAATGCCGAGGGTCAACGCAGATTTGAAGGAAGTGGACATATCGTCAGAAAAGAGTGTTGAGCGCCTAATCTGCACAGGTACTGAAGCTAACACGACTCGGAGGATCCCGCAAGGAAGACACCTGAAGTAGACTTAAACAACCACCTTCCTCCTGCTTGAATCTCAATCAAACGAAACGCCCACTCTGTCGACTAGCTATCGTCCCGCAATCTTCTTTCTGTGTACAAGTCAAGCAGATCTGTATTCTGAGTAAGTGAGGGATTCGTACGGCATATGACTGACTGTAAGAATTGAAATTATCGCGCACCCATTAAGAGCATCCCGAAACAGAAATCATGCAGCATCCAGTCCCTGCGATGCAGGGAACCTCAATAACAATGCCTTACCGAAAGATCAAAGTAAAGGACGGCATAGAACACACTTTACGCCTACCTGGTAGACAGCGGATTATCACCTATTCAAGAGGCGATGTCTCATTTCGAACTTGGAAAGGGGCACGCAGGTTGGAGAGGGATGGGAGGACAAAGAAAGAGCATTATCTGTCATAGCATTGTCACCGGACGGTAAGACAGTAGCAACCGGGAATGACAATGGCGCAGTGAAATTGTGGAGCATCGACAAAGGCAAGGTTGTCAAAAAGTGGACGGGGCATACAAAGGAAGTGCTTTCCATGTGCTGGAGCCCAGACGGAGGGCGAGTGGTGAGCGGATCAGAAGATGATACATTCAGAGTATGGGATGTCGAGAGCGAAGAAACTATCATCGGACCAATCAACGCACAGAATTATCTGTGGGCAGTTTGCTACTCACCCGATGGCAAGATGGTTGCCACGGGTGGGTCGATGGGGCTCAAAGTCTGGGATGCCAACACAGGCAAATTGCTCAAAACACTGGAGGAAGGATTCATGTCCCTGACATGGACCTCAGATGGAAAAACGCTTATCACCATAGGGGGAACGGATATCAAGAAATTCGACACAGCCGCCTGGTCACAAACAGCGATTCTCGAAGACTTGAAAGATTCCCATACCATTACATTATCTCCCAATGAGCGCATTCTCGCAAGCACATCACACAAGATGACAGTGCAACTATGGAACCTCGAAACCAATCAACCCATCGGAACACTACTCCACCATGAAGAGTACGTGAACTGCGCGTCCTTTTCTGAAGATGGAAAGTTCCTCGCAACTATCTGCAACGATGACCACATATTCACATGGGATATTTATACTATCCTCAAAAAAGCTGGCCTGCTAGGTTTGTTAGATTGTAAGCCTGTATACATTTCATTCTCAATGTTACTGACAACGGATTTGTAAGGATGCTATATCCTCTACGCCCTGACCAAGACTTCAAATGAATACGCTCGGACTGGTCCATGCGTTCGAAGCCGTCCATGTAACTCATTGATGCGAAAAGCGTTACTTTTCACATCCCAGTCACACGGATACATTCTTCTCTTTTCCCTTCATTATTAGGAATGTATACAGAAACATAAGGAAAATACACGGGGATGTCACCGCCACCAGAAAGAGTCTCAAAGACGATGCATTCCTGGCGGGGGAGAGAGACTCTCCGAGTTATAAGTTCATGAAAACCCTAGGTATACCTGTTCAGGAGACACCTTCCTCCGAAGATGGGGGCCTGGAGCTGGAAAAATAAAACTAGGAGGGTGTGATCAGGATGGCAGATTACGATTTGGCAATGGGGTGACGAAGAACTCACGTAGGACGTTGAGTACGAAGATCGGAGATAGCAAGTGTTCGGAATAGTGGGATGGATACGTGTCGATTCTACCACGAACACCATCTTGGAACACGATGTCTTACTTGCACTGTATAACGTACATGAAATGAGCGAAGGGATGAATTTGACGTGAAGAAACAGACTGACAGGTACAAAGCTCAGAGGGTGAAGCGTTGACATTCGAGCCTGAGTTTGATCATACAAGCATGCACCATCCTGGGTGGCTCAGGTTGATAGGTGCAGCGACGCTCTCGCACTTTTCCGTTCGCATTTTCCTTGACAAGCAGTCTACGTGCGCTGAGCCAGAGGGTTGTGCCCCTTGATGATTGGAAGACGGAAACATGATATAAATAACGGTCTACAAACGTACCATACAATTCGGTCTAAACGAAGCCGTGCGTCTCGAGTCTCGACAAAGATTTCTTGGCCAGGCGTTCATGTGCCACCCATTACTTGGAGACACTGTCTAATTTATTTGTTTGTGCGTAGGCGAACCTAGAGCTGGAACACATGAAGCTGGGAGGATGTGACTAGGACTGCGAAGATTATGACGCATTGGTCGAATGGTTAAGAATTAATTTAAGAGACCAAAAACGACGTTCAGATGGGAGAGCATGATGCGTGTGGCCTCGTGCAGCCCGGTAATGTCCTTGTTTGCATCGAGGAGTGTTGCACCAAGGAAGGTGTCCATGCTCGTCTCAGTGAATCCAGTCGCTGAGAACTGTGCCCAATTGCTGGTCATCAGTAAGCGCCAAGAGGATGGAAAAGGAGATCCCCTGAAGTTGGGTTGTTATGGTGAGATGCACATTGAGCCTAGTAGTGGGTACATACACGATTGGTGAAAGGAACAAATGTGTCAGACCAATGCACTCCCGCTTGATGGCAAGATGGTCGAATCATTGCTTTCAGCCAAAGGAAATGTGTGGAGACAGCTTACCGAAGCATCCTGTGCAAACGCGCAATGATGACGTCCCAGTAGATGAGGCAATAGACGGTTCAGTGAATGAGGTCCGGGCGTACGATGGAGGAGACCATTGAAATTGTTTGTTCGGTACTGCACAGATACGTTGCTCCCAGTACATAGATATAGATATGGAAGACGAGGGAAATGATAGATTGCACGAAGGCTAGAAAAATATGAGCAGGATGGCTAGATTTCAAATTGGTTGGCATGGTGACAAAGGAGGCGATAAACGTTAAGAACCAGGGCCGGAGAGAATAGTATCATCATGATGTATCGAGTTGAATTCTCAAGGGAAATGCGGTGCAAGAGTAGATAATAAGACGGTAGAACCATATTGGCTCAGGGAAATACAGGAATGCAGACTTGCAGGATTGTAGGACTACGATGCCGAGGGGTCAATGCGTCAATTGTCATAGTTGGGCGCTTGAACTGCACAGCTAGTGCTGAAGATGTTAAGCGAATGAGGATGAAGCGAGGAAGACACACCAGTTGAAAGTTTAAACAACAACCTCCCACCCCGCTCTAATTTTCATTGAACAAACACCCACTCCGTCACAGCTTTCGTTCTGTATTCGTCTTTCTGTGCACAAGTCAGATACATCCTGGATTCTGAGTGAGTGGTGGGCATGTATGGGATTTGATGGCAAGAGCTGAAATTATCATGCACCCATTAAGTGAATCCCCAAACCAAAATTATGGGGCATCCAGCCCCTGCGAGGCACGAGAACTTGGCGACGATGCCTTACCGAAAGATCAAAGTGAAGGACCGTATCAGTCACATCCTATACCTGCCCGGTGGACAGCGGATTATCATCCCTTCATGGGATGGGTCATTTCTAGTCTGGGATTTGGAGAGGGGCACGCAGGTTGGGGAGGAATGGAGGGACAAAGAAAGAATCGTGGAGACCATAGCATTATCGCCGGGCGGCAAGACCGTAGCAACCTGGAATGAGGATGGCGCAGTGAACTTATGGAACGTCGACGCGGGTAAGGTTATCAAAACATTGACGGGGCACACAAGTTGGGTAAAGTCTGTGTGCTGGAGTCCTGATGGAGGGCAAGTGGTGAGCGCAGCCGACAACGTATTCAGAGTGTGGAATGTCAAGAGTGGAGAAGCTATGACCTGTCGGACCAATCAACCCAAGGAACGCGGTGTGGGCAGTTTGCTAGTTTGCTACTCACCCGATGCCAAGATGATTGCGACTGGCCTTGCGGACGGCCTCAAAATCTGGGATGCCAACACAGGTGAATTGCTCAAAACACTCGAGTGTGGCCAAGTCTTGTGCAGACCTCAGGTGGCAAAGCGCTTATTGCCGGGCGATACAAGATCGACACAACCACGTGGACTGTTCTTGACCTGTGCGAAATCTGCGTCAATACCTTTTCACTATCTCCCAATGAGCGTATCCTCGCAAGCATATCATTCTCTGACAAGACGGCACAACTATGGAACCTCGAAACCAATCAGCCCATTGGAACACGACTTCACCATGAAGACAATGTGAGGTCCGCGACCTTTTCTGCAGATGGAAGGTTCCTCGTTACTGGCTGCTTCTACGGCCACCTATACACATGGGATGTTTCTGCTATCGTCAAAGAAGTTGGCCTTCCGTCAGATATTATAAATTTGAATACATTTCATTCTCAATGACACTGACAATAGATCTGCTCCCCCAGGTCGACGCTACACCGCAACCAGTCCCAAAGATGAAAAGTGCTCCTCAAATACCTCCAGGGTTTTTTGACGATGCACTGCGAGAGGCTAATGTATGTGATCTCCATCTATTATTCAATACTTTGACAAATACATCGTCAGTTGCACACTCGTCTATCCCAATTACATGGGCTGCATAACCATTCCACTCCAGCACCACGTCAACGCACCCTCAGTCCCTTTTCCTCATTCTGGCGCCGTTCGAAGCCACACATGGCAACTGGGCCTGACGCCCAGTCACGATCCCGACGTTTCAGCTGGACTCGAAACCTACTAGTGTCTGGCCTAATGCGCAGGCAAGATAGATCAGACATCCAGGTGTGAGAAGTCGAAGTCCCTTGTGCACCGGGAAAGCCTGTGCGTTTTTTTCCTCTTCCGCGGTTCTTCTCTATTGCTGACTCATTTTCGCGCAGAGAAGCTATCATGCTAGAAAGAAGAAGCCAGCTGCCAACTTCTCTCGACCTCCCAATACTCATACCACGCAACAATCCAGCGGAGCAGCACAGAGCATCCCGCCATCATCACAGCAACCACCTCCAACTGCTACTACATCAACAATATCTACAGTCGCTGGGGCCACTGGGACAACCTCGCGTCCTTACATCACCATAGTTTCTGGATGGCGCGCCCGTTTCATGCTCTGGGTGTGCTGTGTGCCTATTCAGCATACGGGCGGCCAGTATCAGAGACGTAGTAGCGACTACTATATCAGCTACTGGAACAACGTCATGACACGATGACATCACTGTAATACAGGCCGGATACGGGTGTTCTGGATTGTTGTGCGTCTGCTGAATTGATATTTTCTATCATCTCCATGGTCGTCTGCACTCCCTCGTTGTATTGTATTTCCACTACGGTTTTGGTTTTTGAACGAGTCTTGTTCTATTGCCCTATGTATTTTAACTGACCGTGTCAGACATTAGAATGCTTTGCGATGCGGAGACCCTGGTCATTTGCCAAACTTACATGATGGATCTGAAGGTGAATGCAATCTACATAACCTTCTTGCTAGATCGGCAGTGGATAACATTTGCGCATTGAATAGTTTACACCGGGCAGTACCGACAAAAAATTCCAACTTCATATGATTTCGAGTTCACCATGCCAGCCACGCAATGAAAGACTGTAGAAAAGTGTGAATTAAAGTTCCAGTACGGTCGCATAACTCAAAACATACTTTCGGGTATTTCCTCACAATTGCTTTACGAGTTTCGTCCACGAGCAGGATCCCCAAAGCAAAGGTATATGGAAGACCCCAGAACATCCCAGGGATAGGCGCCGTGCCAAACACCCGCTGGAAGCCAGGTCCATATAGGTTCACGATACAGATCAATATTGTGCCCGTCATGCCGACAAGTACCAGCAGGTTGCGACGCGGGCCCCATAGAGGATTTGATTGCAGTATTGATACTCGGCGGTTGCGAACCGATAGAAGAGTCCCATACTGTCCAATGGCCACCGTCACATAGCTAGTGACTCTTAAAATCAGCATCGCGAGAGGAAAAAATGATGACGCACTAAATGCATTGACCAACATCGACGAAGTGGGTTAGTTGACCGGAAGTGTAACCTTGCCAGCCCTCCCCCCATTTGCTGAAAGTCAAGATGACATCATAGAACCCGAGGCCCTGCTGGCTCATGTACAAGAACCACATCGCCATCGCGCAAGGCCACAGCATCAGTCCATAGAACTGGGAAAGTATACATAAGCACGTTTGAGTCACCGAGGCCATGAAACGTACCAAGTAGACATGGAAGAAAAGGCGCCAATCCGTAAGCCTGTCGGTCCTGGCGTTGCGTGGTTTGCGCCGCATCAAGTCTACAACAGGAAGTGAGCACTGGAAAGCTGATGAATGCGTGAACACCCACCCCACTCCGGCTGCTCATACATTAGCGAGATGGACATGATGACATCGTTGGTGATGCAATAGCAGACTTGTTGATACGAGTTCATGGGAATCTGCATGCCTAGTAATACATTTGCGAGGACCGCCATGAACTCCGAATAACTTCCAGCCTGCAACACCATGAGTGTCAAACCCGCTGGGATTATACTGCTTCTGCAAATGCAACTCACAGGCATGAGGTACAATGTAACTTTCTTCAGGTTATCAAAGACTAGCCGACCCATCTCTATTGCGACAGGGATGGAAGCAAAGTCATTCTTCAACAAAATCAACGCGGCTTGAGAGTGACGAGATGAGTATCGTCGAAAAGACCGTTAGGAAAATCTATACCGGCTTCCTTGGCCACATCACTGCCGCTACCCATCGCGACACCAATATCAGCAGCTTTGAGAGCGGGTGCATCGTTGACACCGTCACCAGTCACAGCCACAGTATTGTCGCCGCGGGCCTTGATTTCCTCGACAATCTTCATCTTTTGATCAGGAGTGGTGCGGGCAAACACAATTTCAGTGTATTGCCCGACGATGACATTCCAATCAAACGGTGTGAGAGATGCGACGTCTTCCCCTGTAAGTACTAGGGAGCGGATAGGATCATCATCGGATGGCTTGATAAGATGATAATCTTTCGGCGAGACCTTCTCAGATGCAGCGGCTCGGATATCCTGGATGGTATCAACAACATGCTGAGTAATGATACCGACCTGGAAAAGGGGTTATTAAGGATTTTATAATGGCGGAAGACAAAGAAAAATTACCTGGCGTGCAATAGCTAGAGCGGTGAGCTTAAAATCACCAGTGACCATAAAAACTCGAACTCCAGCTCGTCGAATGATGGAAATCGACGGCGAGACATCCGGGCGAGGAGGATCGCAAATGCCAATTAGACCAACCAAGGTTAAATCGCACATTTCCGAGTACATGAGATCTTCCATGTCATTCGGCTGAAGTCCAGTCTTGATTTCTTCTATGGTTTTCCTACATCTATTACCTCAGCAATCGAGATTAGATGTCAGGGTGCTAAGTCGAAAGTGCTCTTACTCACAGCACAAGTACTCGTTGGCCTCGGCTTGACCAGTCCTCTTGAAGCGTGGCGAACGTCTGCCTCGCCCTACCCGTTAACTTTACGACCGTCCCGTCACTCTGTAGCACACTGCCGCAGGAAGGAAACAAAACATCGGGAGCTCCCTTGACGAACATCCATGTCGACTCTACGTTCTTCTCAGCGGTGTTGACTTTGGAGACCACAGAAAGCATCCATTTGTTGCGGGAATTGAAAGGGATCTCAAACTTCTTCTCATATTCCTGCTGAAGAGTACTGGCATCCACACCAAGCTCCGGAATTGTAAGGGCCTCGGAGAAACGTAAAAGAGCAGTATCAGTCGGATCGCCCTTGATCGCACGATCCTGCACAGGAAGATGGTTGGTCGTTGCGTCGAATTTCGCGCCATTGCAAAGCCTCGCGATCTGATGGAGCGCCTTGAACGCAGAAAATACGGCAGGGTCTGACGCCTTCGTAACTCTCTCATTGATTTCCTCGACACCAAATATGTCATCGAGGAAGGCAATGTTCTCTACCATCTGTGGGTCCATCAGCAAGCTGGTAACAAGAGCAGATGCATTATTCATTTACCATCTTTCCCGCAGTCAACGTGCCTGTCTTGTCGGAACATAACACAGACATGCATCCTAACGTCTCGATGGTCGCCAGGTTCTTGACCAACACCTGACGTTTAGCCATGCGACGGGCAACAACAGTCAACGAGAGTGCCACGCAAATCGGGAGGCCCTGCAAGATGTCAACTAAGAAGAGAATATAAACTTTCACTGCTGGCCACCTACTTGGGGAACGAAAGCAGTTAAGCAGCCAATCGAATTTACGATAGCTGAAGACACAGTGTCATACCCAGGATACGTTGTCCGTAACCAGACGCCGTATAGAAGAATCGACAAGGAGAAGAAAAAGAGTGCGAGACACGAAATGATTTTGGTGAAAAACCACACTTCTTTTTGGATAGTGGTAAGCTTGAACTTTGTTTCTCCCGACATCTTAACAAGGCGTCCCATGACGGTCCTATCTCCAGTGGCGAACACGACTCCATGACAAGTCCCTTGTACGACAAAAGTGGAAGTCAGTGCGAGGTTACGAGTCTCCAGGGCATTCTCAGATGTTGCCTCAAGAGCTCCTGGTACCATTTCGCTGCAAATGAACTTCAGCCGAATTCAAGCACGCAGGACAAGGAACAGACCTTTCACCCGTCAGGAGAGAGCGATCAAAGCGAAGGTCGGACGATGCCTGCACGACACGCATGTCGGCCGGGACGCGGTCGCCAGCGTTGAGCACTGCAACATCACCAACTACGATATCAGCAGCCTTGATTATTTGCTGGTTTCCGTCCCTAATGACCGCAGCCTCATGTGCAATTAGAGACTTTATCGACTTCATGATTCTGCTCGCGTTCCAATCGACCAAAGCATAGAATGTAGCAGAAACAATTATGACCAGGAGCTGTAGGTGATGAGAAGGGGGAAATCGAGCATTAGAGTTGAAATCACGGACCAACAGCACGGCAACACCAAGAGTGAAAGCTTCAGGAGGTCCGAGTGGTTTATAGGAGAGCTAACATGTATGTTAGAAAGGTCACAATGGCAGGTAAACAACGGTACTCACGATACTCAAGATGAACGCGATCCACATGAGAAAATTGAAACCACCGAAGATATAATTAAGCGATTTCTTCCAGTAGACTGTGGGTGGAGGACTAATGACATTCTTGCCATCACGCTCCTTGCGACGAACAGCAGCAAGCTCCAAACCGACTGTGGGATGACTGGAATACCGAGTATATACTTCGTCGACACTCAGTAAATGAGCATCTATGCTTGCAATTGCGTCCGCTGGGTCTGGCGGGGATTTTGAAATCGTCCGAGTCTGTTTCTCTTCGACGCGAACTGATAAGGTACGGTATCTGTTCGTTGTTTGGTCAGCGATATACTGTGCGGGAGGTAGAACACAAACGCGATTTGAATGCCATAGTCTTTCCCGGACCCGGGTAAGTTAGGAGAGGGTGTTGTTTCTGACATCAAAGTAACCTCCTTGAAGGTCTTTGCTTCCTCTCGTTATTTATCATATGTTATCCTCAAGGCAATGCATCGACCGTGCCTTGCCAGACCCTAAAATTTTTAGTTTTTACCAAGAGGTGTTTTTGCCATTCATGCGCCCGGCAGGCAAAATCCCCGAGACATCACGCACTGGGCGTTGTTAGTGATCGATTGATCTGGCGCTAAATGAAACAGACCTAAATGATCAGCCCTTGGAGCCAATGATATTTACCCCCATCGAATGAACTTGCGAAGTGCCTCCTGCGTCTGCTGAAACCTTGCTTGTCATATTTATTGTAGCGGAGTCTGGGAGAAGGTGGCAGGCTAGACCGAAAAACGGACGAATGGTTGAAGGATGCGACAAAGGATCCCGAAAAGGAGTACTAGTAGTGGTAGGCTTTGAAATACATCACACTTTTATCAGTCGTCACTGGTTGTGGTGCTATGAAAGTTCCGGTACCCTAGATTTAAAAGAGTACCGGGCTGGGAAAACAAATCTCTGTCACGGTCGTCCCGATCATCACGGCTCCGAACGTTGGCCCGTCAGCCACAACCTCATTTGGATTTGAGGTTTGTCTTTTTGTTGTGTTCCCTTCTTGCCTCGTTCTCCTCTGAGACTCAGGCTGTTGTCTCCGTTGCTATTAGCTTCTGACTCTTCCCCAGTTGCCAATCAAACTTTCCGCGACCTGTGTCACTTGTGATTTCGGATTGAGAACCCGCAGACGATGGGACATCTGTTGTGTCGTCATGTGTCTTGCACAAGCATTTTGGGTCTCTCGCGAGCGGTTACCTATGTGTAACGAATATCCTGGGGTGTGTTATTGCCTGTCGTGGTACCTAATCTCGGGTTGCTTGTGGACAATTTTGTGACTCTTAATCGAGAACAAACATGCCGAGATCATGCGCGCACATTCATTTGTGTCCTCATCCGATCGCAAGGATCATGCCCGCGATCTGCTTCACATATATGTATGTGATGCTGCGTGTATGCCTCATGCTAAATATTATTTTAAGCTTCCGGAGTCTCCTGACGCCATAATGTCAATCCATAAGGCTTTCGATGCGTCACATCATGTAGCATCCCAGCGCCACGCTCATTCTGAAACCAATGACTCAAAATGCATGGCTCTGAGAGATAGTGGCGCTGCTCGACATCGAGATGCTTATGATCCAAATTCAGGATATATCGCGGACATTAGCATCGTAAATCCGCCCAAAGAACATCCTCACAACCCACTTCGCATACAGTATGCTGCGAAAACGAAGCTATATAAACATGCAGCAAGACAACGGGTACATTTGCATACTAAATTCAAAGAATCGTCCTAGAGTATGACTCTCCCGGACTTCATGACATTTGTGGAAACCGGAATCGATAACCTAGAAGGGATCACCGAGTATATCGCAAAGCGTCACGAGGAAGTGTTCAGAGCATTCTTCCATGGAACTGAAATTCTGTATGATCACTTAAGATCATGCGATAAAAGATATGAAGGGTATAGGTATGCCCTCCGGGGTCATGATTCGAAGTCGAGGGCGAGGTAGCCGCCATTAGGGGCCGCCTCTGGTCAGGGAACATCAATCAGTGGAAAGTGCTTTCTCATCGAAAACGTACCCCGCTATGCTGAGCAGGAAGTCTCCCTGACGCAGAATAGTTAGCACAGCAGAGGTAAGTATAGGGCGATTTTGCTGATCTACTACCACATTTTTGGCTTTGGCTGTTTGACGTACCGGCTATATTAAAACAACGAAGGAACCAGTGGTGGGGATGATGGTGATACAATAGCAATGACCTCGATCAACTGAGACCCATTGATGTTTAACACCGCAAACAAACTCATATCCATTCTAGTAAACATGACGATGGACTGGAAAAAAAAATAGAGTGTGATGCTGGATTGACGGAACGCACGTAAAACGTGACTCTAGATCATGTTCCACTCAGTCATGGGAATATTCAAACCTATCCGTAATGCACATGACATTCGAGGCCAATCAGTCGTAGGTCCATATGAAACTCTCTTGTTTGCCCAGATGCACATGCTAACGTTACCAGCGTGACATCGATTTTCGTAGGCTTAACACTTTGTACAGAACGGTGATCGCAAACTAGGTTCTTGCGTGACTCGGATGTAGCTTGGTTATGTCCTTGAGTGGTCCAGTGAGGGGGGTCATCTTTCTCTTCACCGAAACCACTCGTCAAGCTTTCAAGCACTGCATCCAATCTGAGAAATCGACGTGGGCGCCGACATGTAGGTCACTTATCGTTGGTGTACTTACCAGTGTCATGGACAGATTTGAGAATTTCTCTGAAAGACGAAGAGTGTCGATGGAACCTCGAGTATGAAAGACATGAATACAGATGCCATACTTTGAGATTTGAAGACAAGGGAATGAATGCTCACATCCACGAAAATCGTCTGAACGATGCGCTTTCTTGAGCACCAACCGCCGAGAGTGAGAAATCGGTTTCAATGACGGCAGTTTTCAGCACATCTCACAACCCAATGTTACTGAAAGGTCTTACCTTCGGAAGTTGATGTGGATACATGTAAGGCAGGTGACCTGGTGATATTTGGCTGTGAAGTAGACCCTGGCAGGAGCACGAGTCGTTGCACAAGAAGGAGCGCAGTTTCACGTGACAAACGAGGATAGAAAGGAGATCCACTTCAGCAGTAAATAAGCTTTCGAGTATGGAGATCTCCTGAAGTCGGGTTGGCAGTCGAGAGTTAGAACTCTTGTCCATATCCGGCATGTTATGGTGGGATGCACCTTGAGCCTTATAGTGAGTACATACCTGAGAAGAAGAAATATGTCAGACTAATGCGCTCCCGCTTGATGGCAAGATTGTCGAAACACTGTTTTCAGTCAAGGGAGAGACGTAGGGACGGTTTGGTGAGACCTCGCAAAGAGCATAATGATGTCGTCCTAGACGAGGTGATGGACATTTGAGTAATGAAGTTTCAGCGGGCGATAGAGGGAGACTGTTGAATCTGTTTGTTCGGCACTGCACAGATACGTTGCTCCAAGTACGTAGACGTAGATCTGGAAAAGATGGGAAATGAGTGATTGAAAGAAAACTAGGAAAATGTGTGACCAGGATGGCCAGATTGCGAATTAGATAGTATGGCGACGAAGAATGCAAACAACTCATGTTGGACGTCGAGAAGAAGGTCCAAAGAAAAGAAGATGCGTTAAGTTGCACTCTCAAAGGAATTTCGGTGCGAGCAAATAGATACGAAGACTGCATAATCATATTGGCCCAGGCAGGCTTGTAAGATTGTAGACCGTGATGCGGCGAGGAGTCAATGCAGATGAAGAAAGTGGGCATATTGCAGTGGAAAAAAGCGTTGGGCGCTTAATAAGCACAGCCAGTACTGAAGCTGTGAAGCGAACACGAGGCAAGGAAGATACCTGCAGAAGACTTCAACGACGACTTCCCTCCTGATCTGAATCTCCATCGGACGAAACGCCCACTCCGTCGCAGCTTTCATTCCACATTTGTCTTTTTGTGTACGAGTCGATTACATTTGGATTCTGAGTAAGTGACGGACTTTACGGAATCCTGTGGCAAGAACTGAAATATCGCCCACTAATTAAGTGAATCCCGAAACCGAAATCATGCCGCACCCAGCCCCTGTGCAGCCCAAGAAACCAGCGATAATACCTTGCCAAAAGATCAAACTAAAGAAGGTCATCATGCACATCCTACGCCTGCCCGATGAACAGCGGATTATTATCTATTCGCAGGATGAGTCATTTCGAATCTGGGATTTGGAGAGGGGCACGCAGGTTGGGGAGGAATGGGAGGACAAAGAAAGAGGAGTGCGTAGCATAGCATTATCGCCGGGCGGCAAGACCATGGCAAGCGGGAATATGGATCTCACAGTGAAATTGTGGAACGTCGACACGGGCAAGGTCATCAAAACATTGACTGGACACAGGAGGGAAGTGCGGTCCGTGTACTGGAGTTCAGATGGAGGGCGAGTGGTGAGCGGATCCAGGGATGAGACATTCAGAGTGTGGGATGTCAAGAGCGGAGAAACTATCCTTGGACCAATCAACGCGGGGATTGACAACGTGGATGCGGTTTGCTACTCACCCAATGCCAAGATGATTGTCACGGGCGGGAAAATGGGGCTGAAAATCTGGGATGCCAACACAGGTGAATTGCTGAAAACATTCGAGATTGGACTTACCATGTATACTATGTGCCTGGCATGGACCTCGGATGGAAAGACACTTTTTGCTGGGGAATCCAAGATTGACACAGTCACATGGACAGTTCTTGTCAAGCGCAAAAACATCTCCAATACCATTTCACTATCGCCCAATGAGCGCATCTTCGCGAGCACAAAATACCTGGACAAGACAGCGCGACTATGGAACCTCAAAACCAATCAACCCATCGGAACACCACTTCGCCATGAACGCGACGTGAAATCTGCGACTTTTTCTGCAGATGGAAAGTTCCTCATCACTAGCTGCCTCGACCACCTATACACATGGGACATTTCCGCTATCGTCGAAGAAGCTGGCCTTCCATCAGATATTGTATGCTTCGATACATTTTATTCTCAATGACACTGACAACGGATCTGCTCCCCCAGGTTGATGTTACATCGCGACCAGTCTTAAAGATGAAAGGTGCTCCTCGAATTCCTCCAGGGTTCTTCGACGATGGATTGCGAGAGGCTAATGTATGCAACCTCCATCTATTATTTAATACTTTGACAAATATGTTGTCAGTTGCGTATTAGTCTATCCCAATCCCAAGGGTTGCACAACCATACCACTCCAGCACCGCGTCAACGCACTCTCAGTCGCTTTTCCTCCTTCTGGCGCCCCTCCAAGCCACATGGGGCAACTGAGGGCGAGCAATCTCGAGCACGACCTTTCAGCCGGGCTCGAAACCTGGTATCCGGTATGCTACGGAGACAAGATAGATCGGACATCCAGTTGCGAGAGGTCGAGGTTCCCCACACCGCGGGCAAGCCCGTGCGTTTTCTCTCTTTCGCGGTTCTTCTTTATCGTTGACTCGTTTTCGCGCAGAGAAACTACCACGCTGGAAAGAAGAAGCCAGCTGCCAGCTCGTCTCGACCTCCCAATACTCATATCACGCAGCAACCCAGCGGTGTAGCACAAAGCACACCATCATCACAGCAACCACCTTCCACTACCGCTACTTCGACACTTTCCGCAGTCACTGGTGCTGCGGGAACAACGGGAACACTCTCGCATCCTCATATCACCGTTGCTGGATGGCGCGCTCGCCTTGTGGGCTGGTTGTGTTGTATGCCTATTCAGAACACAAATTGTCAATATTAGTGACGCAGTCCTAACTACCGCATTGGCTAATAGAACGGCGTCGCAACGTAATATCACTGTAATACAGGCCGGATATTGGACATCTTTCTTATTCCTCGTTGATATTTACCATCGTTCCAACGGATCTCCATTCCATCGTTTTTTGTATCCATTTCTGTCCGTTGAGAGATAGACTCTGTAGGACATCGTCGTGGCGTCATGCACGCACAGTGGAGCATGAAAGGGCCCTCAGTAGAGCGCGCACATAGCGTCGACATCAATTGGAAATCGCCCCGTGCTTACAATATGTAGATAAACAAGGTACGATATCATTTTTGTTCGACCAGCTGACAAGGCCAGTTCCACCAATTTCTCTCAACAATATAGGCCAGAACAAATCTTATTGTCTTGTACAATCCTTGCCGAAAATATCACCCTCAATCCACACACTTGTTTAGTAGCTCCTGCTATATTCTTGAATGATGCAGTGCATTGAGACGGCAGAATCACGGACCGAGGTATAGCACGCATCAACTTGTTTCGATTTGCTGCTGCCTTCGATGTCTGTTCGTGCATGATTGCGAGTCGACGAGGGCTGCGCGAGAGTGTGGCAATCGAGACTTCAACATCCCGTGCTTCAAGCGGCTGCTCTTGAATTCCGTCGAGGAATAGGGATGAGTTGTCATCAAGAATGGATGTGATAAATGAGGGGTCCTGTTGGTTGAGAATACGAGGGCCCGCCACGATAACGAATTTGATTTCTCCTCTGTTCAAAATCTCGGTGAAATTTAAAATTTTTGTAGAGATTTCGCTGACTGCACCCAGCAGGTTGAGCTATTTCGGCGACTGTCTTCTGTTGCTGTAAACGTCAGACAAACAATCCTCTCCCTGAACGTCCGACCGAATTCAGCCGAGCGGCCGGCAGGGGCCTAAAGTAGGATCCAGACACACCCCCAGAGTGTCCATTTCCCGGACATTCTCCCAAATCAAGGATTGAACATTTTTGTGCAACTTAGATCTGTGGTTCAATTCATGCACCATCCGGCTGGACTACTCACGTTGTTGTCATCCCCAACTAGCATACCCCAAAGTTCTGAAATATCGTTGTCGTACGTTTGGGACCCGAGCTAGTGTTGCCGCGAAGCGAACTGAAGGCTGAAGCGAATCGAAGTGGATGCACTACCCGTTTCAGATACCAATACCAATGCTTGGGACCAGAGGCTGGATCGACTCATCCGTCGACTGTAAACTGGGACTTACGCTCATCTTTCGGTCCATTCTGAAATGATCAGAATGGGCACATAAGATGAGATTGACGCATTCGTGCTCACGTACTCGTTTGTCCTACCGCTGACTGACGCGGTTGTTGTTACCAGTATGTACCACGAATATTTGACCCCGATATGAATCCTTACTCATCTTGTAGGTCACTCTGACATATGTGTCGCTGATTCCCCAGATCGAAATCCTTCGAGACATAGCACCAATAGGATCACGTATGCTGGCCAAATGAATCATTTGCAATTCCCAGTCCAGATTTCCGCCAGCATGACTGTCGTAGTAGGCGCGGCTCTCCAGACTCGGATCTCCAGAGCCCAACAACTTCTCTTGATTATATATGTAAAGTCATAAGGCCCGTGAACTCGCATGCCAGCATCACTTCATATCCGGGTACAGCCTATGGTGAGTTGTGATGCATCAGTTGGTATGGGGTGCTTAAAAAGCCATTCATCACTTGGATGCACTGTGACTTATGATGAGTTCCTTCCAATCCTTCTTTGCGCTCATCCTACTGCAACTTCCTGACCTGCGCATATCTGACAACACACAGCTCCTCCTCAGTGCTGCGGCTTGTCTTGGCGTCATACTATTAATCTCTCAGGTCTACCTTTTTAAATCAGCGAGCAACCTTCCTCTCCCATCTTCCCCTCCTACTTGGAGACTTGGGGGACACTTCCTTCCACATCGCAAGTAAGAATTTGCATTCAAATCGTTAACTTTTGAAATCTAACTGTGTCCTATCACTGACAAGACCATTTCTCGTCATAGCGAGATGGATTGATGAGTACGGTCCTGTGATCACCATTCGATCAGGATTTGAGAAGATTGTTTATATCGGGCGTTACAAAGTCAGTCCCCACACCTGCGTTGTCATATCTAGAGTCAGCAACATTTTTTTTACAGGCCGCCGTGGATATCATGGAGCATCAGGGTAAATCAGTAGCCGATCGTCCTCCATGGATTTCCTTGGGGATAGCTAGCGGCGGAATGGGCTTCGGAAGTGCACCCTTTGGGGACAGGTTAAATCGGATGCGTAGGTCAGCAGTCCACTATACTTCCCCTTATCTATCCTACTTCCCAACGTGTTGCAGAGCACTTCATTCGCATCTCCAGCCTAAAGCAGCTGAGGCCTATCAGCCCCTGCAGATGTCGCACGTGAAGAACATAGTTATTGGCATTCTCGATGATCCACATAACCTCCAGCGCCATGTGGTAACGTAAGCATTGCTGGTCATGATATTATCAGTAGTACTTTGCTTACGGGTGCTTTGAAGCTATGCTGCGACGACAATTATGAAAGTTGCGTACGGGAAGAATACGCCTACATTTGCGACTGATCCCGAAATGGTTGAAGTTAATCAATTCCTTAAGATGGCTCGTGCACTTCAGCGTCCTGGTGCTTACCTGGTGGATTCGATCCCGTGGCTCAAATATTTTCCTTGGTATGGCCCGGACTTGAAACTGAATTTCGAAAGGAGCAAGAAACTCCACACTAGTGATCTAAACCGCGTGAAAGAGCAAATGGTATGCATTTCTCTTTCAATCTTTACCTCGTGACTGAGCTGTTGCAAAGCGTAATAACGAGGACATTGGGCCTTCGTTCACGAAATATATGCTAGAAAATAGCCATCTCTATGGTTTCACAGAGACTGAAATGGCCTTTCTTGCTGGTGTCTTTCTGCAAGCTGGATCACAAACGGTGAGGTGTTACCTTGTTGTCTCCGAAGACATGTGGCTGAAAACAAGCAAAAGACCTCTAACACCATATGCACGGTGCTCATGGCAGCCGCATGTTTCCCGAGGAGCAAGCTAAAGTTCAGGCTGAGTTCGACGCGATCATTGGAAGGCACCGAGGTAGCTTCATTCCCTATTGCAGCACCATGGTTTCAATAATTTCTGTACTAAAGCACCGACCTTCGCCGACCAAAATTCCCTTCCTCGCTTGCAAGCATTCATCTCTGAGGCTTTGAGATGGAGACCTCCAGTTCCAGACGGTGGGCATCTTCGCTTTTGTTTTACACCTAGGTGCTACAACATTCACGCTGCAGCATTGGCTCACCGAACAATCAAAGACGTGATTTGGGCAAGTGATCTTTGAACGACTATCGCGCGAATTATGATCTTGCCAATCAGGAAAACTATTGTATTCCAGCTGGGACCACGGTATACGGCAATGTTTGGTGAGCATCGTACTTCAGGATGCCAAGGATCTAATGGCCACTGCCTTAGGTCCATCTCTCAAGATCCGGATGTCTTCCCGGAGCCTGACGCGTTCAAACCTCAGCGCTGGATTGATGGCCAAGGTAACCTGAGAGACGATATAAAATTGTTTGTCTTCGGATTTGGTCGGCGGTAAGCATCATCTTTCAAATATTCGCTTTTTATTTTTGGAAATGACATCCCTTTCAGCGTATGCCCTGGTCAACATGTCGCGAACAGGCAAAGGTATTTTATACGCACGCGGTCTCCCAAACTCACTTCGGTTGGTACAGATCGGTGTTCATAACTGCTCTCCTTGTTCTTTGGGTCTTCAGGCTCATTCTGGATCCTACGAAGCCATTAGAGGACATGGGGTTCATGGGCGGGTCAATGCTAGATTCCCGACCGTGCGAATTTGAGTTTGAGAAGAGGATTCCAGAAAAGGAGCTCAGGCGCATGATGCAGGGTTATCCTGAAGTTGCATGAGAGGCTTTGATGTCTGGATGGCTCAGAGAGAGAACAAAGAAACAATCCCCAATGAATCAATATCAACGCATCCCTCCAGGACGGGTAGTATGTTGTCATTTGGCCTGAGCCGATTCTGAATTGTGCATCATGTATTTCCTGTCTCCAAGAAGTGTCTCCGTGTCTCCACTCTCACTGTATGACAGCCTGTGATAATGTATATATATATACAATCCGCTCGCCTGTGGACGGCTCAGTCGTATCGTATATTGTTATCCTGTCGGATTCGTTTACAGCAGTAATGAAGAGTAAACTACGTTCCCCATCTCTCTTTCATTTAGTGCGTGAAAACAACGCCCGAATGTCGCGACGATTCCGCACCCTGGACAGCGCTGTGTACAGTTGACCGTGTGCAAATGCATCTGTACGAAGGTGGAGTACATGCCTGAGCCAATTGTAAAGTGGCGCAGAAGAGGAGTTCGGGTGGAGCGCGCACATGGCGTCGATGCTTATTGGAAATTACTCCGTTCTTACAATATGTAGATATAAAGACGGCCCCATTCATGTAGACCTCTTCGACAGGGACCAATATCTCACGAACTGTATAGCAATGGCCCTGCAGATTGGAAGACTTGCGCACCTAAAACGGCCGGCGAGAATGGCGGACTGATGGAGGCCACACCTCCATCAGGGCATTTGCGAAGTTGGAGACGCGGCGGGACACAGGCGTCCCCCTTTCCTAGATAGTAATATCCTACATAGGGTATTGTACCCCACATGGACAATAATTGGATTTTAAAAAAACATTAAAAAATGTAGACCTCTGGTAGCATATATGCATCACTAGAAATTCTGCACTCGGTTCTTGTCGATGCTTGTGACATTCTTGAACGAACGCTGTGCTGAGTGTGTTTTCACTCCTTGAAGCTGTTGTCATTTGTGTGTCCTCTTGCTGGATCTCATACAACGATTTGAAAATGATGTGCAAGTTTCCGCCATTGAATGACTTACCGTCGTTCTCACTGTATCTCCTTTGCGCCCTCAGGGCCTCATGTACGGTACTTTAATTTGCGTAGACGCGACGCCTCAGGCCTCGGTTTGCTAACCATTCGGCTCTTGAACAGCTAGTTGCATGCAACAAGTCCATTGAATAATAGTCGTGTCACTTGTTCATAAGCATCAACTTTGTTTGGCCAGTGCAAGGCGACTCAACTCGCTCGTACCTCCATAGTAAGGCAAGTCTAGTGAGCATCTTCAAAATAATCTGAAGAAAGCCACTATGACCACAATACTGATTTCCTCGAAGACGTTACTGAAATTGCTACTCCCGCAGCGCTCCAATTCTCTAAGTATTGAGATAACGATTGGGAGACCACCTCCTCGGTTGCTGTGGTATAATCCGCGTACTAGTGTTAGTGCTTACGAGGCCGCGAACCTCAGAATCGACCTCTGCGGCAAGGTATCAGCCCTTTCTTTCAGTACGCATATGAGGAGCGTGAATGTTTATCACCCAAGACAGCCGCCGTCGGGTAAGGTGGTAGAACGTGACATTATCAAAGTACTGCCACAACTGAGGTCGCGGTGGTTGAGAGGGATGTCGAGCGGACATCAGCACCAATACGAGCAGTAATACTAGAGATTGGCTGAGCTAGTATGCAAGAGAATAGGAAGGTTCGCCGAGGAAGCTAGGATGGTGTTGGGTTGGTAGGACCGTCTGCATTGTTAGAAAGGCCACCAGGCTCTTCAACTACACAGACGGCAGTACCAGGCCACGATGAAACTTAGAGCTATGTAAGGCTACTTATCTGTCTTCGACGGCATTTGCTCACACTCGGGGTGCGTCATTCGTCATATGGTGGTTAGCCGTTCGTTATTTGTGGTAGCAAGTGATTGCAACTCACGTCAACGTTCAAGTTGAGGAGATCATCCCAAAACTATTACAAATCGAGAAGTTCTCTATGCGTTGCTGTTAGCTTTTCGTGGACAGAAAGAAAACTAAATACATTACAGATCCAATACTGATCTGATTTGTATATCGCGACTGAACATGAATGATTGAAGCTACTTGGGCAAAAAACCCGCAGGGTGTTTTAGCTCAAAACATCGACCCGAACCTAGCAGAAAGAACCCTGGAGTGAGCTGTGAGGGCAGGTGGGCCACAACAGCTCATGGGACGAATTGAACGTCGTTCTAAATCTGCCGTTAAGAGATGCGTCGAGCGAAAATTTAAATAATATAGAAATTTGGTTAACAAAACTTGCACTTATTGGAGCGAGATGCATTGAATTCTGCTGAAGGGAGCGGTGGGCGGGTGCGGCGAAACGAGAGTACTGGTGTACTCGGCGAGCAGAATGGACCTTGCGAGTCGTGGTACGACTTCTTCTATGGAGTTGTGCCTCGGACTTACGTATTACTATAGAACATAACCTCCCTCCCACTTCTCCCCAAACCCACATACTTCACACATAGTTTATTCTATATAGATACTGTGATATCAGGTTGGTGTCCATTTTCTTCTTACTACAACATTTCTTGGCGCGATTTATGATAACCTCACTGGCAGGCTGGGGTTACCACGGCTCTTTTGAATCGACAGGTAGCGCAAGGAGCGCTGGTACATTTGGTTCGGGCCAACCCAGACTTGTAATATCACCTTTCCAAGTAGATCGGACGATTGCCACCCAGATGGCTATAAGTGGGTCTATCATACTATCTGTGGTCAAACTCATCTGTTGACTAGTACAAGTTGGCAAAGTCGCCCAGTTGTCAGAAAAGTTTGATCGTCTGAAGGACACGATTCACAAATGCGCGCCAGTTTGGATAATATCCTGCCCTTGGACCCCGCGAGCACTTCCACTTCCTCGCCTTCCAGTACGGAGCCAGGTGATCTGCTGTCTGTGCTATACTACGCGACCTGGCGCGATTTAGTAGACGACTGTTACAGAACAACTCCTTTGTTGCCTGAGGACAGCTCAGGCTCGCTCCCCCCTGCACTCCAAGAATCTCAATTGTCGCATTCAGTTCGTATTCAGCTTCTGCAAGACAGCCAGAACGCTCTAGATCTGCTGTTTGAGGATGCTAAGACAGACAACCAGTGCATGGGCAGAGGATTTTCCATACCACCTTATTCGCCGCGGGGCTACCTCGCGCCCCCGCCGGACGACGTCCCCCTTTCACCGGAGGGCTACATCAATGAGCCACCTATCCAGTTCTTGTTGCCGGCCTGCCACTGCCTTCCACACCCACCGAGCTATCTCGCTTTTACGTTGCAGTTCTACCACAGTAACTTTGGGTTGTCGTATTCCACGACTGCCGTGGAGCCGCACGGTGGCCTTGACAATGATTGGACACCCCCGAGTTCGCCGAGTTGCAGCCTCGACGCATTCGTGCCAAGCGCTGGTCCCTATCCATCTCGCATACCCTCACTCCCAAACACGTCATTCAACAGTCGTTCGTGCGCACCTACTGAGGATGGATAAGTGAAATAAGCGTCAAGAAGCAGTCGAAGGATCGAAGGATGGTGTAAATGAACTTCAACGCTTGTATGTCACATGAATTATGTACATTATCCATTCCTTGAGGGTAAATAAGACTGGTCCGAGTGACACATACGTATATACGGTACAGCATAAACTTGAATCGAGATTTGCCAAATTATAACTAAGGAACAAAGACAAAGATGAAATAAAGGGGGAAAAGAAGAAATTTTATTGAACTTTATGACGCTGACTGAAAGCTCAGAAGGTGCGATGATAGACTTTATGCAGAAACCAAGGAGCTACGATAGCAATGAAAAATTGAATGAAAACTAGACCAGACAGCGACGTAAGGGATACATAGGGCAGAAGAGGGAGATTACAGCACGAGTAGGGTATCAGTGGCGAGCAGCGGGAATGGACACATGTCGATGGCTTTAGGGTTCCAGCCCTGAAATTATCGCTGTAAATCGGCACGCCTATGACCTGGATCAGTGAAAGTTCAAAAGACAACTAAAGCGACGGAACGCACTCTCTGATAGTGTCATACAAGAACTTGTAGCTCCTAAGATTACCTTTCAAGCGACGAATATCAAGGCTGTACGTGTCTTTCAAACGATCTATGCGTGTCAATTCGATCGAGAAGCGAACTTCATCCCCTGCGTCTTGACTAGTGTCACCATAAATTGCCTCGTGGGTACCCAACTGTGAGTCGACCGGCGATGAAGCCATGGCACCAGTGTCATCGTCCATTGAAGCTTGGGATGGCGCCACGCCTGATACCTGGGAAGACTGCCTGCGCATAAGCAAACCTTTGAGCATCCCTCCCGCTGACGATGAAGTCGATGGCACAGGCAATCCGCGCTTGTCAACCTGGTCATCAAAATTAGAACAATCTACAGCATCGACTAGTTAAACTCACCCCATTGGATGCTGCAGACCCAACTATCGTGAACGCAGCCAACCCATTACCGCTTCCACTGAATCCCAAGCCAATAGCACTACTCTTTTTCCTCTTGGCACGAATACAGCGGTACTTGTATTCGCTCTCCGATTTGAGCTCAATGCCCATCCCCTCGAGCACCTGGCATACGTGTTTGATAACTTCGGGAGGAGGCCTGGTCGTGATAGTGGTCTGGTCGACAGCGCCATGGTGAATACGCAAAACATCTTTTGGTGACGACGAAGACGAGAACATGCGTCCGGCTTTGCTGAAGGAGAAGGAGGCGTCTTGTGATCTGGATAGATCTGCATTTCTGATCTCCACTCTTGAGGCAGGACTTGGCGAAGGATACTCTGTCCTGCGAGAGGCAGACATTTCAGGGGAATCGTCTGGCGCGTCCCTGCCAGCCCTAGTACTCTTCCTCCGGAACCATTGCATAACGTTCCGTGCCTTCGTCGTTGAAGCTGCCATATCGCCAGTGGGTCCGTCCTGCATCTTGCCCAAGGTGGGGAACACAGCAGTTTGCTTCTGGGGAGAGGCAACAGCAGACGGAGGAACGCTCCTCTCGTCGTCCTTGACCGGCGTGTCACCAGTTGGCGTCTTCTTCGAGAGTGATTTGATTGAGCGACTGAAGGGCTCGACCATAACGGTAAGAGTATTCCGCCGATTCTTTTTGCTTGCCTCAGCATCAGTGATGTTGTTGGATCCCCCTGGGCTGAGGAGCGAAGACTTGGACTGAGAGACTGGAACATCGCTAAAGCTGTTCTGCGTTGAACCTCTCTTCTCCTCTACGATAGAGGATGCCCCAGCGGCAGAGCTCTCCGATGGCACACGGGATGTGGATCCATTGGCTGCAGATTGCTCTCCATTTGTACCAAAAATCTTGCCCAAACCAAACTTGTCGATAGAGAGACCTTTCCGGTGGCGACTAGAGGCAGAGCCCGTTGAGTTGGTACCATTGCCTGTGTTGACAGACCGAAACGACTTGTCTTCCGTAGACATGGGAGGACTCGCTGGAGAAACCGAGACGGTGGGTGTCCGGTTTTGCGCAGCGCGTAAGGTCGAGGAAGACAGCTGAGATGGTTGGTTTCGTGAGGAAGGAGTATTGGCAGCAGGAGGAGCGGGAAGTGGTCTTGGACTTGTATTGAAGGAAGAGTCGCGACTGGACTTTTGCTTTGCAGGAGTACTGATATTTTGGGTGGAAATGACGCGATCCGAGGTACCCGTCTGAGAGCTGTCTTTCTTGGTGATAGAGTGACTGAAGTTTGGAGCAAGCTCCGGCACTGGAGCACTGTGGTCGGCATACTCAACCTGAATTGTATGTCTATCAATTGTGCCTTTCTTCTTTGCGGAGTCTGGTTGAACAAATGACGGAGGACCGTTACGTGAAGATAGAGCTCCTTGAGAGCTGCCTTCTCTACTACTCCTTCCAGCCGGCGGGGTTTCATCAGGCTTGGAAATGGTAACAGGAATATGAACAGCGTGCGAAGACGGTGCGAAGGGATCATCATCATTGGACGATTGTACTGTCTTCGGCATAACGATAGCAGAAACTGTGCCTTTCCGGGAAGCGGGAACGGCATTGGCGGGAGAAGACGAGGAGTAAATGGATTGGTCTACTGAACTGTCATAAATCAGCTCCGGCTGGCCAGGAGGGTGGTCTCTGTATGAGTGGCTCCTTGGCGGTGGTGCCGAGGTGGCAGCACTGTTTAGGATGCCTTCAACCCGTGCGCTCTGCGTCCGTGACACCTTGGTAGGATCTTTGGCTGCAGCCGCGGCCGCGGCCTGCCTCATCTGCCTTTGGTATGCCAGTCTCCTCTGCTGGTGCTGTTCCATTGCAACGTGCTCAAGGTCATCCACGGTCTTCTCGAAGAGGTAGGAGTACGTTGATAGCCATGGATGTGCCATGATGGACCGCAGATCAGCACGCCGTGTGGGATCAGGCACCAGCATCATGGAGAGGAGATCTCTAGCTTCTGCGGAAACATAGTCGGGAAAAGAGAGGGGTGTGTTGACAATGTATTTGTATAACAGATTAATGTTATCGCCGTCAGGGTTAGCAGGGTCATCGTCAAAAGGAAGATATCCTGCGAGCATGGCATACAATATGACGCCACAGGACCAGATGTCAACGGCAGAACCGACATAAAGCCCTTCTGAGATGACCAGCTCTGGAGCAGCATAACAAGGTGAACCGCAGCTTGTCTGCATGAGGTCATCTGCGCGATGCTCGAAGCGATTGGCAAATCCAAAGTCAGTGATAATGACATTACGATGGCGATCGAGAAGTAAATTTTCAAGCTTGAGGTCGCGGTGAACGATCTTCTTTTGGTGGATATACCAGACGCCCGAAATTAGCTGAGAGAAGAGCTTGGCAGCATCTTTCTCTTTTAGATACCGATGGGCCAGGATGTGATCAAAGAGCTCGCCGCCGGAGGCATACTCGAGAATTATGCCGATATATTTGTCCGTTTCGATTACGTCGTATAACCGAACGATATTGGGATGCTTGAGGGTCTGTGGATCGACGGTTATCGCCATTATGAACTTGAATCTGGAATGTATGGAGTTCTTACCCGAAGAACCTCAATCTCACGTTCTACCTTGGACATCCGCACAGAGGTGTCTATGTTGCCTCGCCGTATAAGCTTGACAGCGACTTCTTCCCCCCATTGACTGTGTAGCCCCAGCTTTACTTTCCCAAACTCTCCTTCGCCAACAGTTTGAAGTAAAATATAGGGCCCAAACTTGGGAATCGTGCGCCTTGGGTGGGCTGCAGTATACGCCACAGCAGCTGGGTGCGAGTAAACGTCGCGATAAGCAGGCTGATCTTCGGCTTGCTGCTGCAGTTGCTGCTGCGAAGAGACTACTTGGTGTGATGCTCTTTGTCTCCGTGACGTGGACTGTGACGTGGTTACAGGTGATGGCTGCACAGACACAGACACAGTACGCGAAGCGCCATGGTGTCGAGAAGGACCTGCATAAGAATTGTCTGGGATTTGAAGACTGTCCATACGAGCGAAGAGAAACTAGTGAAGCTCGCAGTTAGACTTTGTAAATAGTTCGACCCAAAAACTGGCCACTGTTTACAGATACATATAAAAACAACGCAACCGCGTGGGGATTGCTGGACCGCCCAAACATAACTAAAAGGGTAAAAGAGGAGGACTCACAGCTTCTTCCTATACCCGCTTCTGATAGTATGTACTGCGGCTCAGATCCTTAGTTTTAGCCAGCAGTTACGAAGGATGACAGGATGGGTGATAAATGCAAAGAATGTTGATATTCGAAGGCTTGAAATGAGAAGACCACGCGCGACGGCGTGGGAGATGATGGCACACCTGGCATCCCGTTGATCGTCAAATCACCATCCTAAAAGAAAAACTGATTTGAACAAATTGCTCACCGTCCGCTGGAACCTGGGTATTCTGCTACTACTTTTGCGCTGTATGAAAACAGCGGAAAGACAGACGACTAGCAAAGAACCGAGAACGCCGTTCACAGCCTACTGCTGTGAACAGACTCGCGGTTAGCGGTTGTTCAACTTTTCCAACACCGCACCGGGATCTCGGCATCTTGTCATGGGAGTAAGAACATCCTTAAATTTAGTGAATTTGGTGAGTGACATGTATGAATTTCGCTTTTTTGACTTCTTGTGGTGGCCACCGCCTCCCGTATGAAACTTCTCAAGAGCTTCGTCAAACGCTCAATTCCACTTTACCACCGTCCGCGACTGCCACTTTCAGCTCCTCCTCATCTAATGCTGGCTGAACCCACTCCTTCAGGAACTTGTCTACCTGCTCTGGTGCGCGCCCGATAAAGGTTTGCGGTTCCAACAGTTGCTCTAGTTCCTCATGGATAGGACTAAAATATGGGTCGTTTCGCACACGTGCGATGAGATCATTCTCGAGACCGAGGTTCTTCACTTGGTGTGCTGCTTCGTGGGAGAGGACCTAGTATCATGAAAGTATAAGTATGGTTGCCACAACAGCGATATGATGTATAGAGGTCATTTACTCTGATTTTCTCATGAGCTTCTTGCCTATCGCCCCCCTTCTTGACGATAGACATGATAATATTTTCAGTCGCCATGAATGGAAGTTCTTGTGCGATCCGACGCGCGATAACCCTTGGGTACACAACAAGGCCCTCACAAACGTTTTGTAGCGTCGAGAGAACTATATCGGCCGTCAGGAATGCCTCAGGAAGAGTTATCCTTCGGTTTGCACTTGTCGTCATGTCAGCATACAACCCACAAACCCCTGATGATTGGGGATTACCTGTCATCGAGTGTCCGCTCAAACCATTGTACACTAGAGGTCATAAGTGCATTTTGATGAAGGACCATCAAGTGCCTTGAGAGACTACACACGCGCTCCTGAGCGCATCGGGTTCCGCTTGTACGCCATTGCGGAAGACCCTATCTGCGTTGACTCGAAGGGCTCTTCCACTTCCTAACAGATGACCGTCAATCACAGTCAAATCGTATCAACAGGATATAAGACTACCTTGAGGTTCGCTAGCAACCGCAGATCTGTCGCGATCTTGTGCGCTGTGGCGCCGAGGGACGCGAGAGGGGCAAGGACGTCGATATCTATTTTCCTCGAATATGTCTGCGAGGTAACAGGATACGCATAGTCGAACCCGCTGAGTTTTGTCACAAGTTCGTCCAGCTCTTCGACCTTGTCGTGGTCGCCGTCAAATAATGTCAAGAAGCTTGCTTGTGTCCCGGTGGTGCCTTTGACCCCACGGAATCCGATGTCATTACGTGCCCGTTTTATGTTCCTTAAATCCCATAGAAGCTCCTGCGTGTGTAATACGTGTTGAGTCGCATTCTGGTGCTTAATATATTAGACCTTGCACCTGGATCCACAGAGTAGCGCGTTTGCCCACAGTTGTAAGCTGGGCTGGTTGGAAATGCGTGAATCCAAGCGTAGGCAGTGCCCTATATTGCGCAGCAAAAGCCGAGAGTCGTGAGATTACAACAGCAAGTGATTTAAGGAGGAATGTCAAGCCAGTGCGAATGAAAATCAAGTCCGCATTACTAACATCGAGTGTCAGCCCAAGTCACAGCGGATATGAAATCCCGACACTTACTCTGTCACATAGCACGACGTTGCACCGAGGCTGAAATGAGCGCACATTCAGTAAAGGGCCGATAAGGACAGTGACACGACATGCTGGATAATACCTGCGGCAGCAGGTGCAACTTGTCCGAACGTATGAACATGCGCCATGACATCGTGGCGCCGCTTCTTTTCCTCCTTCGCAGCGATATCAAATTGCTCTGGAGTAAGGTCCTGACCGCATTGAAAATGAGGTACGTAACAGTGCAATACCAATCTATTCACCCACCAAATTGCTCTTCATCTGTTCGAGTGCCTCATCTGGGATAGGAAGTCCGAGCTGCTTTTCAGCAATCGCAAGATTGAGCCATAGCTCTCTCCATGTTTTGAACCGATGCTTGTCATAAAATTAAGCAGGAGCTGCGATAGGCGATGCGATCACATACAGCCGGGGAGAAGAGATGAGCCATTTCCTTGCTGGCATATCGGCTACCGCAGATGTGAATCGGGACGGAAATTGATTGAGTGAAAAGTGAAATACCTGGAAAGAGGAGTCTGATAAGTTTCGTACGCCTCCATAACTTGAACAGTAGCGTTTGACTTGGGGGCTAGATTTTTGTGATGATCAAGATCAAGATCTTTTAAAGGATTTTAGATGTAACCACGTGGGATTGTTGATTTCAGAACATTTTGCCGATCTCTGCCACTACTAGTCTCGATATACGGCGGCGGAGCTTGTAAAATGAAGTACATGACAAGCTGTGCATACTATGTAACAAGCTACGAATCTTCCAGCCATGCAACAAGAGCGAAAGCTGCAGCAGCAGCGGCACCACCAACTAATAGCGTGCTGACTGCTCCCCATATGTAGCCTCCAGCACCCTGCCCAGCACCTGTAACACGAGCTTTCACAGCTCCGAATATCAACAAGACGATACCTGTGATAATACAAGAGTATACGAGCGCCACGTGCGCCTCCGGCACAAAGAAGTATGGAATAAGGGGAATGATTCCGCCAACCAAGTACCCGAGGCCAATCGTCAGCGCCGACATGTATACTCGTCGCTTCGAGATTTCCTCTAAAAAAACAAAACTATGAATATGAGCACTATTTATAAGTAAAACAATACGTACCCATTCCCTCTCCAAATTTGAGCAAAAACGGTGTCAGACCGACTTGATCCTTCCATCTCAACAACTGCGCTTCTTCGTCTGACGATGAACCGTTCGCATCGACCTCTGGGTCAAATTCCACATCTCTGAGGCACTTGGTGACTGCCTGACACGTCTTCTCGTCGACACCTACAGGGACAAGTACAGCGCATACTTCCCTTTCCATTTCTCCGACGCAGCTCCGTTGCACCCGTGCCGATGTGTGGCGTCGCAGGAAATGATAATGATCCCGTTCTGCCGAAGATGCTAAGAATCCACCAATGCCCATAGAAATAGCACCAGCAATGAGTTCGGCTATACCGCCGGCGACAACTAATCTTGAGGTGCCCAAAGATGAAAGACCTGCTGCCAGAGCAAACGGGACTGTTAAGCCGTCTGAAAGTCCGATGACACTACGAATTATCTCAATGTTCCGTCCGATACGATGAGGCCAAGACAGTTACTTACACATCGCGAACGATATCAGGATCGATGAGCGTACGGGTATCCTCGTCTTTCAAGTCCTTGCAGCAGATACCGTCCTGACGACCGTCTCTATCGCATCTCGTCAGCAGCGGTGGGGTAATTGTTCCACTAGCGTCCAGAGGCCATACTGGTGGCTTAGTGTTCATGTTTCCTCCTCTGTTTGGTAACGAAACAGCAACTGTGCCATTTGTGTCAGATTCTGAAGCCATTCCAAGAGATAAGTTAGCGAACAGAGTCAGCAGACTCGCAGAGGGGAAACGTTATCTACGTAGCCAGCTTAATAATACATTGTGCTTGTTTGCTTCGTCCAAACTTCTGCCAAGCCGAACTTCGGAACCGATCAGTGCCAAAAAGAGTCGAGCACGGAAGGTCAAAATCATAGCTAGTTTTCTCGTCCAATCAGGTGAGAGGCAATTAACATTCTATCAATACTTGCAGTGGCGTCGCCGGCATCGTCAAGTCGCAGTATGTTGGCCCCAGAGATCTAGTTTTCTAAACTGACTTACCAATAATCTAGTAGGCAGATTCCCCGATTCACGAATCCCTTACTACGATGTATGTACCACCAATATCAAAGTGGTGAGTGGTGCATGAACGTTTGAACCATGGATTGGATGGCGACTTCCCAATGGACTTCCCAATGGAGATACCAGGTCCTGTTGGCAATTTTTGGCAATTCAGATAATCCATCGCGGAGTCATTGTCTCGATCGCGTCGTCGCACTGGCTCGATTTCATACTAGGCTACCCGAGCGAGTTGTGGAGGCGCAGGGTATCCATCTCTTGTGGCACGCCCGTCGTGATGAGTATTTGTATTTCCGTATTTCGTGGCTGAAACGTCATGCATGGAGGCTCAACCCATGGTAGTGCACTCACGGTTTGCTTTTTCGAACAGCCCTTTGGTTCAGATGGTCACTTTCATTGCTATTTTTATACCTCCCAGTACCCACATTATCTGCGTGCTGTAGGACTTGCTCTCTTCGGCAACCGAATTCAACCTCGAGGTAAATATAGCTTGTGACAGCATGGACTTCGTTCATTTGAATATCATGCAGATATTAATGTTAGATCACATCATGCCCTATTGTCCTGTCAGCCTCCGTGCTTACTGGAAGTTTGAACGACTTGTGCTGAGAGAGCGGTTGATTGATAGCGGCTCAAGTTAACAGGCTTTTCGCTCAGCTGGCCCGATCCATCGTATAATCTTCCGGGCCTTTTTTATATCCGGCAATTTAGCGGGTTCGCCTCTTTTGGGAGTAGCAATCGTGACGCTGAATAACGAGACTACGCTGAAGAACTGTAAATTCATATTCTTGCCCACGACATAACCCGTCCATTCATCTGGTGTTTAAAGCTAAAAATGCTACCTATGGGTTGCATGTTTGCAGAAACAGAGTCAGCCATCCATCAATACTAATTGGGAGTATAAACAACACCTGAGGTAGATGATGGTCCATCATGCATCATGGCTATCTTGCGGCCCGAAAACCTATATGGTCCGACACCCATTTCATCCTACGCCATTTGTTAGATTCGACCCCCCCCCCTCCCACTACAAGGCTCCGCACCGACGGGTCCGCTATAAGGCTCGACGTCGTTACCAAATTTCAAACAAATAACACTGAGAGGCGCGTCTCTACTTGTCATTCGACTGGGTACCGGCCAGAAGCCTGCGGTAAGTACTTCAAGCCGGAACATATTAATGGACACGCCACGAGGCAATGTAACCGCTGCATGCTGACAGTCTTCCATATCCGAGCTGCTGGGAAACTATGAACTGCTGTTGCGGGGGTGTCGTCCTTGTTAATACCATTACGAGACTGCGGGGTCAACCAAGCATTCCGCGTATCTTTCCGTGCCTGACCTCAGTTGTAGGTGCACTTTCTACCATCCATAAGTATTTTGACAGGAGTGGACAGTTATGCCAAAGGCTGATGAAATAGTAGACTTGACAGGCATAGCATTCACGATGCCACGCTTGTGCAATGACTCTCATTGTCATTGTCATTGTCAAACTGAACACGTTTCAATTGTGCGCAAAGGCACAGATAAATTGCAACTTGCAAGACAATCACCGTTGTCAATTGTCTTGGATACGGCTTGAGGACTAGCATACTAGTAATCGAGGGTGCTGGCCTTGGTGGTTGCAGAAACCTCAATTAGATCTCCGACGGTCATCGATCGTATAGTCTGAGAACGTAATTTCCAGAAAGGTTGTATAGAACACGCAAGTTCTTGGCACAAGGCAGTGACAGTTAAAGGCTCTTCCAGCATTTCAACGACTGCCCTCCTGCCACCATTGCTGTGTACCATGGGTATGTTCAGAAATAACCACAACCATGATTTTTGCTCACCATCCTTGTCATCACGGACAGGTTCCTTACGTGACGGGCCTGCAGAAATGGCTCATTCCACTGCAAGTAGCGTTCGTGTACCCAATACTGTGGAGGAAACGTTCCCGCTTACCCAAAGACTATCCGCGTCTGCCAATCGACCACGCATAAGTACAGCAAGCAGCAAACCTCAAAAGAAGTCCTTCAATTGGCTGGCTAAGTTCAAAAGAGCTACAACTCTAATGATGCGACCGAAAAGACCGATGGCCAAAGCCCCCACCGCGTGGAGAAGTATTCAGGCGATTATTTTTGCTTCATGTAAAATCACTTGCTTGCAATCGATGCACTGCGTTGATCTTGTCTTCTAGGGCTAAACGTCTTGTTGGTCTTTATCCCGATATCTGTATGTTACTGTCCGTCTTAGCTTGAATTATCTAACGTATGGCGTCTGAAAGTGGGCCATGAACTTTGCTCTACCCGATCAGCACACTCTTATATTTGTTTGTGAGTACACGATTCGACCTTCAGTAACCTACCTTACAGATCGCTCTAGTTGCATTTCTGGCTATCATCCCACTGGCCAAGGTAACACAGATCCATTTTTCGCTATTGTTCGGGTTTCATGTGCCCACAGCTTCTCGCCTTCGCGACTGATGAACTGTCACTACGAGTCGGTCAAACTCTAGCTGGTCTTCTCAATGCTACATTAGTTAGTGGTTCATATATCGGTCCTTTATCACGCTGAAATTTGAGGGCTTATAGGGAAATGCGTCTGTAATTTTTTGCTCACTTGATCCCTTTCTTATCTTGTTTCCTTTTACGCAAGCGTTGAACTCATCGTATCAGTATGTCGTGCTAGCCTCCAGCAGCTTGTATGATAACCAATTGACCCATTTTAGATCATCGCGCTCGCAAAGTGTCAGCTTACAATCGTCCAGTCGTCCTGTACGTGTCTTTTACTCTTTTGCAGTTTCCCTTGACGCTGACACGTATTATTTTCCTATAGTGGTGGGTTCTATCCTGAGCAATCTCTGTAAGTGTTTGAGCTTTCTATGACGAAATCAATTAAGGCGTACTGTAGTACTGGTACTGGGCATGTGTTTCTTTGCCGGTGGTCTCCGCTTCTCAGAACAGGGATTTGGTCAAAGTACACAGTTGCTTGTTTCATGTTGGTCCAGACTGTTGATGCTCGCGTCTATGGCTTAGGTGCTGTGCAACTTAATTCGTCACTGCTCACCATCAGCGTGATTGCCGTTTTGTTACCTGGGGCTTTTCACATGGCTCTTCAGGGCCAACCACAATACGACGAATTGTCGACCGATTACAACATATTGAAAACTAGCCATGGTGTGCGTGGATCATTGTTCATGATATGTTTGGCCTTACATTCTTCGTATAGGTTGCAATTATTCTCCTTTTCAGTAGGTCAACAAAATGATTTTCCTCGCAGTTAATTCAACCCACTCCAATCATCCAGTCTACGCCTCATATCTGGTGTTCCAGTTATTTTCCCACAAAGCCCTCTACGATGATGACAATGAAGATATGCAACCAACCAAGGAGTATACGGGTCAGAATCCATTTCGGTTGCACAGGACACACAGGAATATCACGGACGGTGAAAGAGTGTCTTCCCCGAGTTCGGCACATGATGGAGAGGCAGCTATAGCGTTGTCCCGCCCCGCGGATGCCAACCCCGATGTGGAACCTGGGACCCATTCTATAGCATCAGCGGAGACGGAGACTGAGGCTCCTGAGCAACCACTGATGAACCTCGCCGTGTGCCTTTGGCTTTTGGTTGTCGTAACTGTGGTACGTGCTTATCGTGATAGTCACACGAAGTTTCCAATCTTTCTTCGCTTTAGTTGGTTGCTGTTACTGCAGAGTTTCTCGTTGACTCAATTGATGGCTTGACTTCATCTGGGTCGATCAACAAGGAGTTCGTTGGTGTTATTTTGCTCCCAATCGTTGGTAATGCAGCGGAGCATGTCACTGCAGTTACTGTGTCTGTCAAGGATAAACTGACTTTAAGTTTGGGCGTGGCTGTGGGTTCGAGTATTGTGAGTTCACTCCTACAGACATGACTTCTATAGCAACTCACCGTTTTCAGCAAATTGCGCTCTTTGTGATTCCGTGCGTTGTGCTCCTGTCCATTTCTACATAGTATTCATTCAGATGGTTTCAGGTTCATCGTGACACTTGGCTGGATTATGGGTAAGCCTTTGACCCTTCTCTTTGACCCACTGGAATCCATCGTATTGTTTCTCTCTGGTGCGTTGATGCGTTGATGCTGGAGAACGTACTAATCGGAAGGTAAAAATAGTCCTCACTGTCAATTACGTCGTGCAGGACGGTAAGTCAAATTGGTTGGAAGGGATGATCCTCATGTGTACGTTTCTGTGGCATTTTGGGATGTGTTTCGCACTCATCGCACTCTCTAGGCTTGTACATGATTTTGATCGTAACGTTTTGGTATTATCCTGGTAAGTCCCTCGTCAATGTAACTGAAGACTATCCCACATATTAAACGGTATTCTCAATAGGTACCCAAGGGATCTTCCCAAATTGTTAGGTCAAATCCGAAGCATCTTTGATTAATGGAGGACTGCCACGGGCCTAGTACGAATGGGCTTCCACTAGGGTCAATTCCCTATCAGATCGTATTCTGTACCATATACCTTCAGCACACTAGTCACCCGTCCCTTCTGTCCAGTGCCCACTATCATTATGGTCATACCTTTTTCGTTCTAATTTTTATAGTTCGCACTAGCAACCCATCCCCGTCCTTATTCTTATGTGGTTGCCGCTGCGCGGGTCGTCTTGTGAGAGGAACAGAGGGTTCTGTTCCAGTTTGCTACTGCTTACCTTCTAAATATGATTTTATATACCAATCTGAAGTGCACATCACTGCAAGGCCAAGTGTGGCTGATGGGCCTTCCAATATACTTCATGGCAGATCACATAGCTAGTCTAACCAAGTCTCCGGTGACGTCAACTCTGACCTGGTGGGTGAGTTGTTGTTTCCACGAGCACACCACGAGCACGTTGTGACCCACATGTCATTCTCACTGATATATCAAGTTCATCGGGAAAATGTAAAAAAGCAGACGCGTCCTTATACTTCAAGGACAATCAGCTGATTTCCCGCATATGTCGTCGGTAAGTAGACCAACAATGAGGAGCTGCATGAGACTCGAGTTGAGAGAGATCGGCGGAGGGTAATTGCCTGGAGGAAACTCTGAGCTTATGGTTCAGAATGTTTGTGAACACTCCTGCCACAAGCACCTCCACTAAAAGTGGGTGTCAGACTCGGATGTGCCATTCAGCACAGTATCGACACAGTTCCATGATTGGTGGACGGACCTTACCGTAATAACTACAATGTGCTATCTCGAAGCGCAGGCCTGGTTGGAGTTAATTATGAATCACCTCTTGAAGCACTGTCAATAGCCGCGGTGTGATGACTGAAGTTTTTTGTCTAGCTGAGAATCGTTCGATCAATGAATGGATGCCCCAGTGATAGAGGCGCTTCTCCATTCCCTGGCAACGTTTGTGTCTTCTAGGTGGTCGCAATCAGTTGTCTGAGTGATATGGAAAGCAGATATATGACAGTGGCAAAAGCCATCAAGTCACTTGACTGATAATGTCGACACTGCGGCCCTTCAGGCACCTGAAATCGATCTCCTGTGAGTTAGTTCGAGGAAGTTCCGGTCTTCTGCCCCTGATACTTTCCCACTTCACAGCATCACTGATGCCACGTTAATAACCATGGTGTAAAGACTGAGCGCTGAATTTTGAATAACGAACCTTATAGAGGAACATTGTTCCGGAGCTTCCAGAAGACTTACATCATGGGATCTCAATATTCAATGGCTATATGTGTTACCCCCAGCCGGTAGCACGATTTATGCCAACGCCGCGGCGTCAGTCGGATTTCTTCCAAGCATCATCGGGAGTTTCAGACTAGTGGTTTGATCGCACGGTCAGTCAGGCCCCACGGGAGAACGTTGAACCTGAATTTGAGAAGAGTTTCACCTGATATGCATGGTGTGCAGGTGTGGAGCTGCGATGACATATTGACACATTGAAAGAGCATTAGTTAACTGGACCCTGAATCAATACTGAGGCGATTCGCTCCTTCGTTTCAGCATCCCCAACACCTTCTTAGGCTCGATTGTACTGAAGTCTCTAGTGGCTTAATGGCAGAGGCTTAGAGCGTGATGCTGGAAAATATATCTGCAAAATGGCCCACTGCTATACTGATTTTTTGTAGAACGAGGTCCGTTCGTATGACAATGTTGGGCTAGGATTTTTCGATAGGATCCAGCTCGAACATAGAAAGGGTGGACTGGCCCGGGGGAGTCTGCTTCGGTCTGCGCCGCGCCAGCCTACGCCAAGTATGTGGATGTCAATGCATGTAGCGTACTGCGGTGTACCTCACTTTCTCACCTGGTAAACGGTTTTGTTCCTAGATTACTCTGTAGGGGTTATAGCAGGGCTTGATGGGAAATGTTAATGCTTTCCGATGCGACGCACAGTACTGCTCCAATCATGGTGCACAGCCTCTGCCGCGGTGTCAAAACCGTTCGTGCCAATTTAATTTCAGGCATAAAACCACAAATAACATCAAATACATGCAAAGTCGCTGAGTTTCCGCCAACAGCTTGCAGCCTTGCACGCTCGTCATAAGCACGATAATATTGAATGTTGCAGGCCCTAAAACCAGCTCGCACGGGGACACCATACTGGGCAAGAAATGTCATCTATGCCGATCGCAGTATCATCGTTTTGAACAAACCTGCAGGACTTATCTGCCAAGGCTCCGACGCTTCCTCCGAAAACGTAAGTGAACTCATTCTTGGAAGGCAAATGAGATTGCTACAACCTCTGGTATAACAATCAGAAACCTCGAGATGTTGACAAATTCAATGACCTACTCCATGGTGCGTACTTCCTTTTCGTGTTTGACGTTCATGACGCGAGGTATCTGTCTCGCTTGACAGACGTAAAAGATACTTTTGCCTTGGAGAGCCTGCCGTGCCCTGTCCACCGCCTTGATAAGGCATGTTCCCTTTCACATCGTCCTATGAGCACTGGATAACCTAGCTGTCAGGCTACCACCGGGACACTACTGTTAGCGCGTAACTCCTCAACTGCTCGTCAGTTTTCACAACAATTTCAGTCGCGAGTAGTAGAGAAAACATATTTGGCTCTTGTGCGTGGAGGAGAGAAGTCTTTCCCGACTCGCAGTGGAGAGATTAGGGACGCCCTGGAATTTAGCGATGGGCGTGTGTCCATAGGCGAGAGCTGTGGTGCAAAGTTTGCTGCTACTGATTGGGAACTTATTGCGTCTTCCGTACGTGTCATCAACTGCCGCCTACTGCTGATTAATTAAAAATACAATGTAGCCCATAGCACCGCTGTCGCTGCTCAGGCTAACTCTGCACACAGGACTAAAACATCAGCTTCGCATTCACCTGGCACATTCCCTGCACAGTACGTTATCGTTCATCCCACATCTTCGAAGTGTTTCATGGGGGTTATAGCACCTATACTGGGTGACAACTTGTATGCGAGGAGTAGCATTTCCGAGAAGATTGCTAAGATCACTCGACTACCCGAGAAGAGGATGTTCTTGCATGCAGCGCAGTTGACGCTCTCAGTAAGTCCGCGGATGACTGCCGACATTTGATGAAATTCCTGATGCGTACATACTCAGAGGTACAGAAAGACAGGGCCCAACAAACACTTCCGACTCAGGGTCGGGGCTCCCATACCCAAGGACTTCCTCACAGTATGTAGAGATGCAGGAATCTCGTTGGACCACATATATGTTGATGGCGGCCTGTCCGTTGACGGCCAGCATGTTAGCGATGTTCCAGATCTTGAAGGCAGATGGCTACGAAAATCTCCAGTATCGCGCTCATAATTACTGACGAAATGGAGCGTCGTGTGTTGCACGATATGCACCTAATTTGAACTACGTAGAGCGGTGACTAGGGCTACACCCTACCCTTCATCTTACCACATTTGTTGCACTGTGGGTCACTCAGCCTTTTGTTTAGGGCTCGCATAAAGTTGGACGTTCAAGATGTCTACTTAAATTGTAGTGTTTTTCGCCAGGGATACAAACATTTCATCAAAAGACTTATGTGTTGGTGGAACTCGATGCTTGTGCGACATAGTGTCCTACAATCAGCACCAGTTTACTATTAAGAGCAATCTACCGATCAGTTGACCTTGCCATGTTCTTGCTGTCCCCACGAAATTTCGGAGATGTTCAACCACAGTACTCCACAATATCGATTGCTTCCCCTCATCTGGGTATCACATTGTCCTGTACATGATGCGTCGGCACGTAAAGCGCACAGACATAGCTAATAGCTACCGACTTCTCGAAATTTGAAATCAGTAGAATGCATTGTATGTAAGGTGATGCAAGGGTATAGATAATATGGCAATTTATGCTTATATTGTCCACGAGCTCGTCCAACGAGCTTGCATGCTGCGGCGCCCACAGCTACAAAGAAACCTTACTATATCGCCACATATTGGCATTAGAAGGTAGATGATCGTGTTGGGGGTTGTGGGGGCGCGCCAGTTGTTTGTACCTGACCTTCTTGCTGAGCTTTAAGTAAATTTCCGACGCCCACAGCTATGGCGCCAACTGCTTGAGCGACCCCAGAAGCGAGGACAGTTCCTCCGCTAATTGCAGGGATCGCAGGGAGGGTCCCTGCAGTGATAAGAACAGCACTCAATGTGGTCATAGCTCGTGGGTGCTCCGCACTCAGGAAATTGAGGGCATTGCACGCATTAAGGAGCCATGTTGGTGCGTTCGATATAGCTGTGACAGCTGAATCAACGGGTTTCAGCATATACTCAGACGAACTAGCACGTGTCACTCACTGCCATCAGCGGATGGTGTAGATAAGGCAGTTACCGCATTGTCAGAGGTCAACGCGGGGTTGGAGGTTAACGCGTGGTTAGAGGTTACGGTATGGTTAGATGAAACCGTAGTGGTGGTTAGCGTAGAAGCCATGGAGTTCGCGCGGATTGGTGACTTGCGAGACCTGATTGCAGCCGTAGCAGCGATCGCGGAATCAGAAAGCATCTTCATCGGATTTGGCCGTCCCTGCTTAGATGGCAGGGGCGGCGGAAGTTCTACGATTTCGGAAGAAGCCATCTCCTTCTGTGACCCATCCTTGTCTTTCAAGGATTTCCTTCTGGTAAGCCACAGCATGCCTGACGGTTTAGAGTGGAGCTGAACAGTCTCCGTGATGTTGGCATCAATCTCCCCTGTACCAGCGTGAGTCAACAACGTGCGGGCAACGATATTTACGTACACCCCATGTTTCGCATTGCAATCGTGAACTTCTTCCAGCTCCAGCGGTATTTGCCCCCATTTACTTTCGCCATAACGCTCTTGAGCTCCTGGAGTCTGGCTTTCGCCTTGTCTCCCATGTAGTGTTGTGCAACTTTGTGCCAGTATTCCTCTGGCACCTTCCGCTCTGCACAGCCAGCTTTAATCTGATGCAAGAAGTCATCAACAGGAATGTCCTTCGTGGACTCGCCGTAGAACCTCGGAGGGTTCTCCCAAGACTGGTAGATAGGTTCCAAATTGAACTCCTTGATTTTGAATGCGTCCAGCATAGTACTAAAGGATAGTGAACGACGGAAATGCGAGGTGACTAGGTTAGGGATGAAGTTTCGGAAATCGGGCGCTCCGAGTATTTATGCAGTGAGCCTCGTGTTGGCGGTAAGGTTGATATCCACCGGGGTACAAAATAAACGTGCATTGCTACTGTCTTTTGTAGTCAAATGACTAAAATTTGATATGGCCGATCAGATCTAATGTTCCAAGGTGAATTGGAGTTCTAAATAGATCTAGAACATACGGGACATACGGCGTGGCGAGACATGAGGCTGCTGCTGCGATTGCCGAGTGAATAGCAGAATGAATGCCCCATTACGCAGGAGAAGAATGGTGGCCGCCTGTTTGAGATAATCGCTTGTCGGGCGTAATGTGGGTAGGTGGCATGTCTATGTTGATGGGCCAGTCGCATATTGTGGTAGAGTTCGGGCCACTGTCGAGTGCAACGTCCTCGAGGTTATGTAGAAATCTGTGGAGATTTGAGGAATGCTAAGGACCCAAGATCGAGCCCAGAAATAGATCAACGTAGCTGCTGATTGAAGAAACGGCACTGCGTCAGCGCAGTATACGGAGTACTTGTTATGACAGAAGCGAATTCGGAAAACGTTCTCCTGTTTGTTTGCTGCACAGGGTTCGGCAGCTATGGGGAAATGAATGAGGAGCTTGCGGATGGGCGACGTACACGGCACCGTGACAAAGCACTTTGGTCGGTAGCCGCCACGCTACCACCGGTCACCGCTCAATTGCCGCACGAGTGCTTAACGAATATTGTTCATCTTGTACCTCGCGAACGAAGTGTGGCCCCATCATCGAATAACGAGCGCTCTTATTCTATCCCTTTGACGTCATGCAGAACGCAAGCGAAATGACTGGATCCTTGGAAAATATATTTAGAGAATCCATCAGAGGACGCGGGGTATACTTATTTCAGGTTTAGTGACGTAGCGTTTTGTCGAGACAAACGGCGCCCACGCTTCAGTTGCTTATTCGAGTGGAATCTGCGCAACAGGCTAAGGGTCCCGCACTGACATGGCAGTGATGTTGTCGATCCCAGCCTCGGAGAGCCATGGTTAACTGGCATCGGCTCATATGACTGTGGAACATTACCGGGGCGAAGTTGCGAAATGACTAAACGGGAGGTGCTTAAAGATTGCTTACAGAGTGCGACCAAGCTGATGACTTGAATGACAGAGGCGAACTTATGTAAGTGCAAGAGAGATGAGGTGAACGACTCGGAGGTCCGGTCGATGTTGTACTTAGAAATGAAGCCCAGGAGGTAGAGGATCCTGTAATGCCTGACTTGCTCCACATAATACAGGTTCGAATATCCTCGAGATGTCGTTAACTGGATATTACCTCGATCTGGAGGTGCAGTTTCCCTGATGAATCTGTCAATGCCGCAGCGGAGTTTCAGTCAATGTCATGAGGACATGCTTAGAACATGCTGGAAGAAAGCGACAACGGGTTACTCACTCAGGCGTGCCCGCGAACACATTCCACATATTACACAATCCGATGTGAAAGTCAAAAGCGTGCTGGGATATCACAGCCCAGAAATCCCCACTAATCATCGTCGTGTCGTATACCCGGAAGAAACCATACATAGAATATCCAATATTGTAATGCTTCGCTCTGGTACTTCATGAGGAACATAAAGCTCACTAGTGACATACGACTTAACTTGAGTTCTCGAGATTTGAAAGCCCGTTGGCGTCAATGATCGTGTGTATATATCGCCGAGTGAGTCAATGTTCTGGACATCGCTCCGAAACACCCTATCACAACCCTATCGAGGTGACTTCACCCTTCAGTTGGCACCCCAAAGTTCATCTTTGGGTGCTTCGCAACAGAAGTCCAGAATATACGCATGGTCTTCAAAGTCTTTTGGACTTCCAACGAAAACACTATCACATGGGACGAGTGTGACCCCCTTGAAAATCACGGGAAGAAGTTAACAACCGCCTTCATTGCGCGTATCATGAAACCCGTCTGACAACCAAGATGGAGTGTTACTATGAGCACAGTCCGGTTGAACGCACCGTCAAGATCCTTCAGATTCTCCACCTTCCAGCTACTTCTTCAGTCTGAATGTTGATTAGCGTCACGTGATTCAGCCAGGACGCTGAAGATAAGGATCAGATGACTTATCGAGGTAATGTTATCCTCTCTTCAAGAGGAAAACGTTGACTTCAAAGCGGGATGGTACATCACGATGTAACCACCTCTACCGGGGGGTACATCAAAAGATCTAATCAAGAATAGACACATTTAAGTCAAGCAGTACTTATGTTGATAAATGAAAGAATCACCACTTGCCGTGTAAGTAGCACCGGTCGAAGATTTGGGGACTTTGAATGGTTAGTATTTGAGATGGATTCTTGTTGAGAGTTGGTAATACATTTGATTCTATGGACCCCACTCACACGTCGCTTGGCGGCAAATATACCGCCATGGTGAATGTGATACCATTGATGTGTCACGAGCTGTGAACACAAGCCCGTAATCATGACGAACAAATGTACCGTGACGTGGCTCGAACCACGAAGAATTAGTAGGGGGGTACCAGGTTGGTGGCGTTTGTCTTCAACTCCGGGCCATCGCTGAACATAAGGTCACCCTGATCGACAACTCCTTTGTTGGCATCTTTCAGTCTACCAGTGAGAAAAATACCGCTGTGGAAACATTCCAGTTCATATGCGATCACTAAGAGACAACAAGCTTGAGCTTCTGAAGCAGATTTCACAGATCCTTTTGTGATTTCGAATAGAACACTTCGGCGTAGGCCCATATGGATCACTGTACTGGAACCACAGTGGCGCTGGCGCGTATGCCTTGTAGGATCAGGATTCAGGAAGCTGACTCTCAGCCACTGGGATCAAAGCTATTTGATTTAATTTTAATTTTAAATATTGCGGTGCACGGTCCGTGGTTAACGTTGAGCACCGTGGCGCTGCTAGGCACAATATTGCTTACGTAATATAAGAATACTTCAATTGCAGTTATGATGGTCTTGTCTCTCTCGTTCACTCACACCGGTTCAACCGGCTCAATTGCAGGTTTCAACGTGTGAAATCCGTGACATTGAATTGCCGAGTATGCGTCGCCGGACTGACAAGTTTCCATTCCGTTATTACCTTCAGAAGGGGCGATCAGCTCGGATTTTGCTATGTACCACCGATTTCTGCGGTCCTATACGTGCGTAATTCATGCCCAGGAAACACGTCGAACAGGGTCGTATCTGCAGGTCATTTGATATATCATAGTGCCTGACCTTCGTCATTTGAGGCAGTCTCGTATCAGCAACTTCGGCCTTGCGAAGATCAGTGGGATTTCCATGACAAGCTCGGAGCAACGTGTTCACGCAAGGCGCCCTTTTCTGACTAGTTTTCTAATAATGCGACAAACCTCATTCGGGCCGCCATCCCACCTCCAAATGAATAGATATTTGTGTTGAGATTATTGCTGCTACGCCACCTTTCACCTCAGTATCAAGCGCTAAGCTTCAAACCTTACGGCCGCTCCACATAACCAGGGCCTAAGTGCCTGATTTCGTCATTTCTTGTTCGAGCGCGTTCTCCTGTACTGGACTCAGTTACCCCTACTACTCCGCAAATCCTGGTCCCCGAGCCCGGCCTGTCTAGGGAACCCTTCTACCTGTCAATTGCTATGCCATCCCTCATTCGAGTTATTATCGTCGAGGATTTTCGGTACTTCCTAATGACGGAGAACATCTCAATCTAAGATTGTTGTGAAGCTATAATTGTGTCGGTTTGTGTCCTTACTTGCAGATTCAGCGTACAGTCCAGCTATGCCCTCCCCGATTTCCGTCATCAGATGGAAGTCCCCCATGATTTTCCAGAACGCCCTTGGCAGAGTTTCTAGACAGATCCAGGGACAGTGTCTCTATGGTGTCGAGCTTCCCGAAAAGTCTAGTCAAGACCCATTACGATAATGTCGCAAAGTTCATACACGAATTCGAACGTGAATCCTTATATTGGAATCACAATCAATCTTCGCTCCATCGTGAAATTGCGATGCTCTATGTAATAATATTGGTAGCGATATCTACAGGGAATGGCAAAATCAGCGCATCCGTCAATTTACCACTGAATGGCAAAAATCGCGCAGTTTATACTGGGTACCCAGGAAAAAATGAAAATAAATTATGAGAAACCTTTCGACAAGAGCGCTTGGGATAAAAGAGCGCGTGCGATAATCAAGATCTCGTCAGTCTCGGCCGCGGAAGTAGCTTGTACACGATGAGAGTTTCTTCTCGCAAGTCATCCGAGCACGAGAGAACGCCAGGCTATGGAATTCAGATAGGGTGCGTAATCGACTGGGAATATGTCCGCGATGGTTTATTCACCAACTCTCCATATAGCTATCGCACTCTCTCCATTCGCGTGGAAGAGAAGGACCTCCCTTCAAAGGCTAAACAATCTGCAGATCCGGCAGATGCCATAGCTAGCATCGACGTCCATCTCATCAGCACAGATGAAGTCTACACCCGTTACTCTTGCCATCCTACAGTTGGCCTCGAGGATGCGGCAGTTCAACGAAGGTCCAAGGATGCAAAGAATGTCATTAGCCCACCCCCGACCCAACACTGGAAGAAGATCCTTAACTATATCTTCGGAGGCTTCAATTTCCTCATGTGGATCGCATTTATCGTCACAATAGTACGCGTTCATGAGTGTTATCTTGACCAGTGCTTCACATTGTGTATCAGCTTTCGTACAAGCCTCTGGGAGGGAGTAGCCCTTCCGCTGTCAACCTTGGGGTTGCAGTTCTGCTGGTGTGTTTGGGTCCAATGTCATGTTTCAGTTCATTTACGCTCCTCAGATGCTCGTCATTATCATCTCAGCCACGTTCTACGCCTTTGTGGACTGGAATGCCAGCCGAATCATGAAATCCATCAAGTCTCTTATTGCCCACGAAGCTGCTGTAATCCGTGATGGCAAGCAACAGCTCATTCTTGCTACGGACATCGTCGTCGGGGACATTGTGGTTCTCAGTACCGGAGATCGAGTTCCTGCAGACCTAAGGATCGTGACGGCTTCGTCCGACTTGCGCTTTGACCGTTCGCTACTCACTGGAGAAAGGTGATTACGTTCCAATCATGTAAAAGCTTGCCTCATAGTTTGCCAGTGATATGGTCCCGGGGTCTCTCGATGCTACATCTGACAATGCCCTGGAAACGCGCAATCTTGCACTGACCTCGACCTTTGTGACACAGGGTACCTGTAATGGTATTGTGTTCGCCACTGGTGACAGGACCATCATGGGACGCCTCGTTAAAATGTCTGGCGAGACAAAATTCAAGCTTACAACCATCCAGAAAGAGGTCTGGTTTTTCACCAAAGTTATCTCCTCAGTCGCCTTCTCGATGTTTGGTATATCCTTACTGCTCTTCGGCGTGTGGTTGAGGACGAGCTATCCTGGGTATGACACCATCAGTTTGGCGATCATGAACTCGATTGGTTGCCTTACGGCGTTTGTGCCTCAGGTACATGATCTAACTTGTTATCCTTAATAGCCTCTCTGACATCATTTACATGAAGGGACTACCCCTCTGTGTCGCCCTTTCGTTGACTATCATTGCCCGTCGCATGTCGAAGCGGCATGTTCTTGTCAAGAATCTCGCAACGATTGAAACGCTTGGATGTATGTCCGTCTTGTGTTCAGACAAAACTGGTACTTTGACTGCCGGCAAGATGGTCCGTTTCTACCTGCCTCCGGGCGATTTGTTTTCTTGACTAACATTTTCCAGGTGGTCGAATCAATCGCCTTTTTGGATCACCGTCTTTTGGTTAGTGAAATTGACGAGAAGATTTCCGAAGCACCAGAACCTAGATTCTTCGCTGGCTTGAGCGCTTTGCACCAGACCGCACGGCTGTGTAACGGTGCAAAGTTCGACTCTGCGACTGCTGACCGGCCGATTCACGAGCGAAACGTCAAAGGAGATCCCACTGATACGGCCTTACTTCGCTTTTCCGAGGCTCTGTCTGTCCCAGCCTTGAATATTGATACGTCAGCGCTGCTATCATCTTCGAGAAAGCTCTTCGAAATTCCTTTCAATTCGAAAAATAAGTGGATGCTTAGCGTCGTCCAGGAGACTAGAACGGCTAAAGGAGATATTACTGAGAAGGATTCAACAACATGGATGCTCGTAAAAGGCGCTCCAGACATGCTAGTAAAATCTTGCACCACAGTGATGAGGTCCGATGGCGCCGTTGTCCCGTTCGATGAAGCGTCAAGGGAGTACATAGACAGTCTTCAAAGCGATTGGTCGAGTGAAGGGCAGAGAGTACTTGCCCTGTACGCGTTGTATGCTTGCGTGGAGATAATTTACTGATACTCGTTCAGGTGTCGCAAGCCATTGGAGGCTTTGAAACCGAACCTTCCTCCGAATGAAATGGAAGAGTTGATGTACTCGGAGATAGGCAATCTCACATTGGTCGGACTGGTTGGTATCCGCGATCCGCCCCGTCCGGACGTGCCCTCAAGTGTGGCCGTTATCCGTCGTGCTGGTGTCAGGGTTTTCATGGTGACTGGAGACTTCAAGCTCACTGCTGTTGCAATCGCTCGCCAGGTGAGTTGGATCGATCGGCTGCCTCTTGGTACTTAGGATTAACTTGACTATAGGTCGGCATCATTACGCAGCACTCCGTTGATACCATCAATGACGTCAGGGCCGCATCGTCCGAGAAGCACCTCACCGATGTACCAATACGTGCTATCAAACCTTCTGAAGATGGCCCTATCCGTGCATTAGTACTCACAGGAGAGGATGTCAGCACTCTTACCACTGCTGACTGGCACATAATCGTCGGGCAATACACTGAAATTGCATTTGCCCGCACCACGCCTGAACAAAAGATGAAGATCGTCGAGGAAATCAAGGCCCGCGGTGACAATACTGTGGCTGTGACTGGTGACGGTGTCAACGATGCACCCGCTCTGAAAGCCGCTGATATTGGTGTTGCGATGGGGAGCGGTAGCGATGTGGCGAAAGAAGCTGGTAAGATCATGATATCTTGTTCAAGATGTCAATTGACCCTCAATCCCTCTCAGCTGCACTGATCTTGTTAAACAACGACTTTGCGTCTATCCCAGTGGCCATCGAGATGGGTCGCCTGGTATTCGATAACCTGAAGAAAGTGACGCTTTACCTCATGCCTGTAAGTCAATGCATCATCAAAAGTAAGATACTTGCTTACCCAACTCAAGGTTGGAAGTTACACAGAGTTCATGGCAGTAGTCACGAATGTTGTCTTTGGAATGCAACTTCCTTTGAGTTCCTATCTACAAGTTTGTTTCTCCATCACCAATGACGTGGTCATGTCAATCTCCTTGATGTACGAGAAAGCCGAAGCAGGTAAGCTCTTCATTTTTCATAGTTTTTGTTGTTCCTCAGTGCACGACAGATCTCATGTTGCGGAAGCCTCGCAATGCTAGAACCGACCGCCTTACAGATTGGAAATTGTTCTTCCAGATCTACTGTGTAAGTTATTCCGCACTAAGCGATACTTGGAGCTCACGAGTCACTTACTAGTTCATTGGGCTCATGGCCTGGCCGTGCGCGATGAGCATGTGGTTTGTATACATGGATCAGCAAGGCCTCGGATTCCACGATGTTTTCTTAGCCTATAACAACTGGACCGCTGGTTATCACGGCTTCACTGGGGATCAGCTCGTTCATTTCGTTAGTGTCGGGCAGTGCATTTAGTGAGTTGTGATGACATCTGCTCCCAAGGCTTGTATTTATTCTTCATAAGCTACGTGACAATGGTCTTCATGCAGTACGGAAACCTCCTCGCCATCCGAAACCGCAGGGTTTCCTTGCTCCAGTCCAACCCTCTATGGGGACCTCGCAAGAATATTGCAGTTCCAATTGGCATGGTCGCGACCGCCTTGATTGCGGTGATCAATCTGTATGGACCAGGCTTACAGAATGTCTTCCTGACGACCCCTATACCTGGTATGTTCTGGGGCCCTCCATTCGCCTTTGGCTTGGGAATTCTCTGCGTGGACGAAGTCCGTAAGCTGATTGTGAGAACATATCCGAAGGCAAGTGCCAACCTCTTCTTGTTGTCTTAATCCTCATGGCAAATTACAGTCGATCGTTGCCAAAATGGCTTGGTGAAACCTTTGGTGTCACTTTAGTCTGTAATCATGTTACTTGTCTGTCGGTTTAGGATCGGCAATTTCTGATTCGTGCCAGCGCCGGTGTCTAAGTCAACGGTTGCCACACCCCAATACCCGTCAGTTAGCCGACAGTATAATAGAACAGTAAAGTATAGATTACATCAAAGGAAACAATATTATACGGTGAATAAATATGTATGTATTTGTTGTACAATTCCCTGGAGGACATTTCAGGAACAGCTCATTGAATGTTATTATGTAACTCTGCTTGCATTTACGTTGGTACCTGTTGGACTTGAAGCATTGAATTCTGGATCTGAATGTTCATTGTCATTTCTTCCTTGACTTACAGCACTGTTGATGAACGAATGTAGGTGTCCTCTTCGTCATACTTATGACCATTATTATTTCTAGTAACTGCAGACGGTCCATGGTGTTCCATCACGACGTTTTTTCACAAAACACCCTTCTGCTGTCTGTCATCTGCACAATGCAGGTTACCCACCGTAGGAGTTGAAGTTGGAGATATCGATATCCGGAGTATTGATTGGGTAGCTCAGCGACGGGCGTGTAAGGGAACCGCGCAAACGTGGCAGAATAGGTATGCGCGAGGGCGGTGAACGTCAACTTAAGAATAGCCATGTAGACAAGTGCTATCGCTTAAAAGTGAGTTGCGAGTCGAATACCACACCAATTAACTTTCCTACCCTTGAGGATAGTGATGCCGCCACCACCCTACTTACAACGTATAATAGGACGGCACCCAATTTTGATACGTTATGGGCCGGTGGCAACCTTGATGATCATCTTTGTCTTGTTCGCAGGGACCTCTGTCGTTCTCACAGAGGTTTATTTGAACGCGAACTTCAAAACCTAAGTAAACATGGATAATGCTACGTTGAGCCTCTTCTATGTCAGCGGATCCCTTGGTGTAAGTCCCGTATCCAAAGAAAATAGACTCACGCTAACTACTAACACACAGCTTGTATTGTGAATTTTCTGGTCTTGTTATCCATAGTCAAAATCTGACATATTTTAGGCTCGCCGACATGTTCTCGATCGACCTCGATGGGCAGACATTTTCTGTGAGCATCGTCTTGACATCTGTACATTCTTGTCTAAGAGTTTTCAGGTTCACTGGTCTCTTGTTGGCGCCTGTGGACATCAGTATACAGGCTCATCAAACGATATCTGTATTCAAAATCAATTCGTCAACAATGTCGCCCTGTACCTAAACGAGTAAGCGAACTTTCGCCTTTCAAATCTGGCCTTATATTGCCCATTAGAAATGCCAGTGTAAATTGGAACCTAACAAGCCCAATAGGCACGTTTGATCCGTCAATGATTCAAAATCCTTCACCAGTGACATATATACCCGGAAGAAAGTGAGCTTTAGTCCATATCTGCGCCATGCATTGATTCGAGCATCTTCGAGATAATTGCCAGCAGAAGAATATGATACAACTTTGCCCACTGATCCATTTCTTCCGTATACGCTACAGAAGCAAGCATCGACTCTTTACTACCCATTTGATCAGTAAGGGTATCACTTCGTTCCTCCTCAGATATTAGTATCATTGATTCCCTGCAGGGACTCTGCATATGTATCGCTATTAGCCATTGATACTGACAGCAATCAATCACTGCCGATATCTGGCGTCATTTGATATGGAAGTATGATAAATTGGGTTGGTTTCAGTGCGTTTTACCCGACTGCAGTAGGGAACGAGACGTTGTATGCACTAGCCCTAACTGTTCAACGACAAAACATGGTCAAGGCGTTCGCCCTCCTTCTAGTTGTCACAAACTGTGAGAGTTACTACCTATCATGTAAGGTCTAGCTTGTTCTCATCGGACCATAGGGGTTCTCTCTGTTACCGTATTATGGATGACAGTCCTGGTGCTGTTCCGTGCGAGCGTTAATGACAACCTTATTTTGATCTCGACAGCAGGTGTGCGAGCCGCAGAGGATTGATAGATACGCCACTGACAGGTTTGCAGTACTTTTCGCACTTCCACAGATCAGGGCCAGTATGCCGGATTCTCCGCCATTTGGTAAGTACCAGCAACCCTGCACATGAATTTTGACACCCTAACTAAGATCAATAAGGCGCTTTTATCGGTACCTCGAGAGCAATGCTGTTTGGGGGCTGCAACTGACGCATGATCCTAGATATTGCAGGTTACTTCATGAATGTCTGTCTCGTCAGCGTCTGTGTAAGTCTACATGCACAAAGTGCTTTTGCGATGATTCTCACCCCTTCTGTAGACTTCAATTCTCCTCTTCTCGCAATTACAGTACCATTATCAGCCAGTAGTCAAAACATCGGTCGAAGTAACGCGATTACAGAGAGCCACTGTTCTTACGGGCAGGTAATGAACGGCGGCTCTATAGGTGCACATTGCAAGTGCCCTTACATATTGTACGACATATGTTCCTGGACCTCTCTTGTTGTCTTTTCCTATGGTGCTTCATGCTCTCATATTACAGTGCTTGTCGTACGGCCGCAAGTGACGAAGTCTATCAATAAGCACTCATCGAGCACTCATACTAGTACTTAGTACGTCCCGCCCCTACAAAATAATGTCAGTGTCTGCATTGCGCACTGTTGCACAGGTCAGTCTTTCTTATCCCCATGGATAGTCGTGCTGTAACTGTTATTTTCTTCCTGGCGTCTGAATTTATCTGTGTTCCAGCACACCTTCGTTCCGCGTTCAACATGTTAGATGTTGACAATGTACTAGCGGACCAGATGGTTCTATGCTTACCTAGGTTTGACACTGCTGTTTCTTCGGCCAAGTATAAACCCTACTCAATATAATGTACGTGTGCACTCTTCATACGTTGATATGTTAATCTCAGGCTAGCCTTCCCTTTCAAAACCCGTCCTAGGCAGGAGGGTAGGATCCGTAAGTCGACTGTAGCAGGTGACCGTGACATTGTCAACAACCATGCTGTCCACGAGTTGCAACACGCCAACATTAATTTCACCCATGTCGGACCGTGACACCCCTCCAAGTATACCATCGGGCGATATCTTTGAGCTTGACCCCTCGCTGGTTAATGCCTCCCGCTAAAAAATGTTGAACAAAGGTTGAGGCCACAGATCTCGATGTCCGGGACAAAACCGATGGCGACACACTGGTATCGCCAGCTCCCGTGTTAGAGTCTCCGCCACCAAAAAAACGACGAACAAAAGCTCATGTCACGGACCTCGATGTCTGGGACAAAACTGACGACAAGATTAGTATATGTATGTCCCCCTCTTCATTCAATTTCATTCTGCACTGACCCTGTCAATCACAAGCCACATCACCAATAACGCATGCAAACTGGACAAGGAACGAAAAACCTCAATCGGGGCATCGAAGAGTGTATTCAGCGGCATGGTGTCTCGACTCAAGGTCCGAATGTGAGGGTGCCAAGCAAACCTTCGCAGCCTAATTTCAAAGTATACTCCGAGGCCCATTGTGTCATTGCGAGCATGTGCTGTCAACAGAAGACAGGATTATTCCGCACAACTAAGCTTCGTCCACATCATACCAGTTTCGCACATAGTCCTCACCCGGTGACCCGCACCCGCTCAGCTCTGGCCCGGGCGGGGTAGGCCTCGAAAGTTTCAGCACCCCGCGGGTCGGGTGTGCGGTATGACCCGGCCAACCCATGTCATACCCTAGTCCCATTCCACAGCCATGATCCTGGCAACTTCACGACAAATGATCATGCTATCTTCACTACTTAACACAACACCCGCGGCAAAATGCGCCACAATTCACCGATCCTTTGTCCCTCAAAGCAGACCACCAAGACCAGCAGCTTCCAAAGCCAATTTTGACAATTGCTCCAAACTGGCTAAAAATGACACTGGATTTAGACGTGCACGTCGGTTTCGAAATATAGTCATATACTAATAGCTTTGAGTCGACATAAAATCAGGTACCCGAGGCAGTGATGCTTCATTGGAGGTACTCAAAGTGACTGTCCACGAATTGTCTGTAATCATAGCGCAATTATTGGCTGCTATCAATATGACCATCATGTGTTCCATTAACTCAGATCTCTATATGCAGTATGACCAATGTGTTTAGCATCAGATACACATTATCAAAAACACTCGCCAAACAACAAGTGACGCAGAAGACTTTTGCGACGATCTTCAACTGCTGTAAGACCGGTTTTCTGTAAGGCATCATAGTAGGAAACATGACCTGTTTAACACATTGGGCTTGTCAGAAAACACACTAGAGCGAACACCGAACTCGTGACAACCCAAGAAAATACCATCGAGAAAAGATTCGGCACGCGTTCTGCAGCTCAGAGCAGCCCCACATTGGGACGTAGATTAAATTTCACCTTCAAAGCTACCGGAGGGACGGAATGCTCGCGAACGTTAGGTACAACTCAAGAAGGCTCTGAAGGAGATAAGCGGAAGACGTATCAAACGAGAAGGAGCAATTACCCCCGCGCACCGACGACAGGCGGTGGGGGTTATGAACGACTTGATTGTCACCGCAAACAACCTCGCGCCATGCACTGATCCAGTGCATACCGGTGACAACATCGTGCGAGATAGTGTGGATCACTTCAAATTCCACGTAGGTGGTGAGAGAGAGTGATCCTCGTAAGAAGCAGTCAGGACCTCGACAAATCATTCACGAGGCTGCGAATGAGAACGTCCGACATGAGGGCGTGGAATATTGAGATTAAATGAGGCGATAACAGGCAGGAGCCCGATATTAATGAAGGCCAACATGAGGGACACAACGATGCGAAGATAGGCAACGGGACAAGGGACGACGGATAATCGCCAGCCTAGAACAGCCTGATCACATAGATCGAGCCAAAACAAGTGATTGCGCAGGTTGTGCAGGATCGAGAAAATAAGCAAGCTATGTATATGACCCACAGCAGAGAAAAAAAAGGAAATCGGTTCATGCGCGTACAAAAATACCGGTGCCTTGACAGAACCCTCCCCATTTTGTGGAGTCAGGGATCTTTTAACTGATGCGCGGAAGCCATGGCTTTAGCGGCTGCAGAACTCATTCTTAGCTGGACGTTAAGTTGAGTCCCACGAATACATCCCTTCCTGGGTTATAGCTATGCGTGCATGTGCATGCTCCATGCTGGTTCACGGTCGTCTCCGAACGAACTAATAATATAGTCACAAATAATATGAGTACTAATCTTCCCTCTCCCAATGACGGACGTACTTGTATATTCGTATATTTGGTGAGATCCTAACACGGGTCATCCTTTGGTCATCCAAGCATATAGAGTTTCATGTTTCAGGTAGAGGGTGGAGACCGTTACATATATACACACAGGGGTCGTGGAAAGAAGAACGCTGCCTTCTTCTCCAAATGGGGATCTTAAAGCAATTAGCGTTTTGTCAAAAATAAATTAACAGATTGATTTGAGATTGATCTCGATGTAAAATTTTGAAAACCCGGGACGTGCCATGAGAACTTTACTACGTACAGGTCTGTACAGGTGCCAAGTAACGACGTTAGCCTGTTGGTGTATCCCGTCCAGCTGAGCGCATCCAGGCGGATCCGCACTTCCTCATTTGTTATTCCAATCTTCGGATCACTGATGGGCGGCGGCATATCGATGCAACCTTGCACGGTGTATTTATGCCCACTGGGAGGTGCGAAGTCCTTGGACAGAAACGAACGAGATCTAGCCTCAGATACATTAAATTCAAGAAAGGGGGGAAGAGTGGTTGTCGCTCAAACATCGCCTAGCTTGGCCACTACGTACCTTACCACAGGATTGCAAGCAGTGTGAGTACCATACCACGTACGTGAATAGAAAGGATAGAGGAACAGCGTTGAGCGTCGTCTGTACTCCCCAAATATGACCAATCGCTGCGCTAACATTATCATGACAGCAGTCTAGAGCTTAACGTCGGACACCTGCAATTGCTCGGTCCGATGGATCAACCTGAAGGCACTGCCTGGCACGCTAGACGGTCCGCACCTGTCCACACTGAGGGTAAGAACATCCAGTGTGACGGGATTCCGCGCGGAGTATGAGGTGAAGCCAAGGCACCCACATATATAGAAAGAGCGGCCCCCGTGCCATATCAGCAAACAGGCGTCAAGTGCGCAACGGTCTGCCGAAGACCTCATGGGTCCGTCCATTTTCCCGCTGGGGGATGTATGAAGGTCTTCTCATCACAGACGAGCAGAGAGCGAAAGAAGTTGATGCAGTGATTGCAGTGGCATCACTGCGTGTGCATGGTAGTATGTAGTACCCAGGTTATCGTGACCTTCAAAAAGTTTGCTCGGTTATTGGCAGATTATCATAAAAAGTCCAAACACGGTAGAATCCGCGCACGGGTGACAAAAGTGTTACGGGAAAAGGTACAGACGAGAGCAGCAGCGTGCCGACCATACCAGAGTAACGAGAGTTCGTGGGTGGTAGAGATCACCAGGTGGCGAGACTGTGGGGGAGGCGACCGATGGACCGCCAGCGGAATACGCATGAGGACGCAGCGCTGCTGTGCGTCAAGGGCGCATGCGCGCAACGTGGGCAAATATTGTAGGGCGCCGTTGCATGAGAGAATTTCTGTATTCATTAAAACTTGTGGACTTGTGGATCCCGGAGGGGCCCGTCATGACCGTATCAGAAGAAAGACGGACAGCCAAGAATTCAGAGCAGTCAAATTACGTAACCGCCAACTTCCTTGTCAAGGGGTAGCGGGCCGAGATTTTCCCGCGTCATGTGACTATCGAAGACCCCGAAGTGACGTTTAAGCAGAGAGGCACAGAGACGTGTTTTCTGCACCATTTTCGTGGCGGAAAATTCTGAATACGCTGTAGGAACGTGTAGTATGCTGTACCGTGCAAGGGATAAATTTTCCATTCGCAAAATTCGAGTTTCTGAATTGCTACAGAGGGAATGACGGCACAATGGACTACGACATTCTCGATGCGGTGGGCTCCACGGCGAAACCCGCGTGTCCCAGGCAAGAATCCTCGTTTCACCTTGCTCTGGGTCACGCGTTTTGTTGGCAGGAGCCCGGATGCGGTAGCGTGTCCCAAAGACAGACTCATTTTTTCGTCTTCATGGGATACGCAACCTTTTTCGGTAGCCGAAGTTATATGCCTCGCAGGTAAATATATTGCCCTGCGCCCTGCACTACATGCTGGCATCATCGACGCGAACCTTGCCGCTGGCTTCCTCCCCATCAACATCCGTTCGTCGCCAGCGAGCGCGTGCTATGTGCAGTCGTCGCATAGCTGCTGCCGTATCCAGGGACACTGTACTTCCGTATCCCACGACAGGAAAGCTTATGTAAACAGTTGAGATTAGATTAATCTTATTGAGGCGAAATTATTTTTAAACAATGTGGCTGTGATATCACGGAGCTTGCCGTCAGCCACAAGGTTCGGGATGAAAACACTTGTTTCCGCGTCGTTTTCGATGTGGCAACATTGTAGTTAGCCAGGTACAGTACGTTGAATTCATCTCGTGCATCGGCGCGTTTTCCACCGCCAAAACACATTTGGCGTGTCTCCATATCCTGATTCACGTCAATGCCGACAACAAAGTACTTCTCTCGAGTACACCCGTGCCCCACAGCTAGCCTGACACTTGATTGACCTCTGTGGGAAGTAATCTGACCTGAAAATCTGGTCTGAACCGTTACAGGCGCCCTTAGGACCGTGTTTTCAGCGCGAGAAATGACCTGTCCTGAAAATAAGGTCTGCTTCATTTAGATTTTCAGCATTACTAGATCACTGACAATGCCTGCGTGATGTCTCGCACAGTCTCGGGTGCTCTGCCGGCGCATGAATAGCGAAAACACCTCTAGGTGAGAACTAAAAATTCTCGCGTCTGGTAAGGCACAGTTGATGCATTGCCTTGATGATAGTATTTAATAAATAACAGGAGGAAGCAAAGATCTTCAAGTAAGTTGCTTCGATGTCGGGCGCAACACCCTCTCCTGAGCCCGGGGCCGGGAAAGGTTATGGCATTCAAATCGCGTTTGTATTCTATTCGCATCACCTCCCGTGCGGTATATCGCTGACCTCACGACGAACAGATACCGTACATTATCAGTTCGCGCCGAAGAGAAACAGAGTCAAACGGCTTCCAAATCACCGCCAGATCCAGCGGACGCAATTGCAAGCATAGATGCCCACCTACTGAGTGTCGACGAAGTATATACCCGGTATTCCAGTCATCCCACCGTCGGTTTGGAGCTTGCCGCTGTTCGTCGCAGGGAGAATGATGGCAAGAATGTCATTAGTCCCCCACCTACCGTCTACTGGAAGAAAACGCTTAATTATGTTTTTGGTGGCTTCAACTTTCTCATGTGGATCGCTTTTATCTTGACTATCGTGAGTGCCGCTGTTCACTTGTCATCGTGACTTTTCTGATATGCGTGTTAGCTCTGCTATAAACCACTCGGGCCTCCTGAAGCTTTCACTCTTGGTGTTGCCGTGCTGTTGGTTCGTAACTTTCAACTTTAGTGGTCAATTTCCCCCTTCTCATCAACTACAGCTCCTCGTCATTATTCTTTCTGCTACATTCTATGCTTTGGTCGATTGGAACGCGAGCAGAATCATGAAGTCGATAAAATCTCTGATTGCACATGAGGCTGTGGTCATTAGGGACGGAAACCAACAAATAATCAAAGCTTCTGACATTGTAGTTGGTGATGTTGCCGTGCTCAACGCTGGCGACCGTGTCCCGGCCGACATGCGTGTCGTGCAGGCATCGTCCGACCTTCGTTTTGATCGCTCTCTCCTGACGGGTGAAAGGTCTGTTCCTTGTCCTAGGTACTGGAATTTGGCTGAAGTCCAATTGCAGCGAAATGGTACCGGGAGCTCTTGATGCAACATCCGAGAATGCTCTGGAGACTCGTAATCTCGCACTGACTTCTACTTTTGTTGTGCAAGGGACATGCCATGGTGTTGTGTTCGCCACGGGAGATAGGACCGTCATGGGACGCCTTGTCAAGATGTCGGGAGAAACAAAGTTCAAGCTTACCACCATCCAAAAAGAAGTGTGGTTTTTCACCAAAATCATTTCGTGTCTCGCACTCTTTTTCTTCAGCTTGTCAATTCTTCTATACGGCGTTTGGTTACGGACAACGTATCCTGGGTATGATGCTACCGCATCTGTTGCCATCGTGAATTCAATTGGCTGCTTGACTGCTTTCGTTCCCCAGGTAAGTGGCCAGCAGTGAAAGTTTATATTTCCTTCTTAGTTGACATCTTGTAGGGCCTCCCGATTTGTGTGGCACTCTCGTTGACTGTTGTTGCCCGTCGCATGGCTAAACGTCAGGTGTTGGTCAAGAACCTGGCGACCATCGAGACGTTAGGATGCATGTCTGTATTGTGTTCCGACAAGACAGGCACGTTGACTGAGGGAAAGATGGTAAGATGAGCGATGCATCAGCTCTTGTTACTAGCTCGCTGACGGACCTACAGATGGTAGAGAACATTGCCTTCCTTGATGACGTATTTGGTGTCGACGAAATTAACGAGAGAGTTACGAAGGCATCAGACCCTGCAGTATTTTCTGCATTGAAGACACTCCATCAGATCGCGAGGCTTTGCAACGGCGCAAAATTCGACGCAACAACTAACCACCTTCCTGTGCGGGATCGTGCGATCAAGGGCGATCCGACTGATACTGCCCTTTTACGTTTCTCCGAGGCCCTTTCAATTCCGGAGCTTGGTGTGGATGCCAGTACTCTTCAGCAGGAATATGAGAAGAAGTTTGAGATCCCTTTCAATTCCCGCAACAAATGGATGCTTTCCGTGGTTTCCAAGGTCAACACTGCTGAAAAGAACGTAGAGTCGACATGGATGTTCGTCAAGGGAGCTCCTGATGTTTTGTTCCCTTCCTGCGGCAGTGTGCTACAGAGTGATGGGACGGTCGTCAAGTTGACAAGTAAGGCGAAGCAGACGCTCGCCACGCTTCAAGAGGATTGGTCAAGCGAAGGCCAACGAGTACTCATGCTGTGAGTATGAGCACTTTCGACTTAGCACCCTGACATCTAATATCGATTGCCGAGGTAATAGATGTAGGAAACCCATAGAAGAAATCAAGACTGGACTTCAGCCGAACGACATGGAAGATCTCATGTACTCGGAAATGTGCGATTTAACTTTGGTTGGCCTAGTTGGAATTCGCGATCCCCCTCGCCCGGATGTATTGCCATCGATTGGTGTTATTCGACGAGCTGGAGTTCGGGTCTTTATGGTCACTGGTGATTTTAAGCTTACTGCTCTAGCTATTGCACGCCAGGTAGTTTTTCTTTATTTTCCGCCGCCACAAAATCCCTATTGACCCCCATTTTCAGGTTGGTATCATTACCCAGCATGCTGTTGACACCATCCAGGATGTCCGAGCCGCTGCATCTGAGAAGGTCTCGCCGAAAGATTATTATCTTATCAAGCCATCCGATGATGATCCTATCCGCTCCCTAGTACTTACAGGAGAAGATGTCGCATCTCTCACACCGTTTGACTGGAATGTCATCGTCGGGCAATACACTGAAATTGTGTTTGCCCGCACCACGCCTGATCAAAAGATGAGGATCGTCGAGGAAATCAAGGCCCGCGGCGACAATACTGTAGGCTGTGACTGGTGACGGTGTCAACGATGCACCCGCTCTGAAAGCTGCTGATATTGGTGTTGCGATGGGTAGCGGTAGTGATGTGGCCAAAGAAGCTGGTATGGATTTTTCTGATGGTCTTTTCGATGACACTAATACCATCACTCTCAAGCCGCCTTGATTTTGTTGAAGAATGACTTTGCTTCCATCCCTGTCGCGATAGAGATGGGCCGGCTGGTCTTTGATAACCTGAAGAAAGTCACATTGTATCTCATGCCTGTAAGTCGCATTTGCGGAAGCAGTATAATCTCAGCGGGTTCAATGCTTATGGTGCCGCAGGCCGGAAGTTATTCGGAATTCATGGCGGTCCTCGCATACGTATTAATGGGCATGCAGCTTCCCATGAACTCGTATCAACAAGTCTGCTATTGCATCACCAACGATGTCATCATGTCCATCTCGCTAATGTATGAGCAGCCGGAGTGGGGTGGGTGCTCACGCATTCATCAGCTTTCCAGTGCTCACTTCCTGTTGTAGACTTGATGCGGCGCAAACCACGCAACGCCAGGACCGACAGGCTTACGGATTGGCGCCTTTTCTTCCATGTCTACTTGGTACGTTTCATGACCTCGGTGACCCAAACGTGCTTATATATACTTGCCCAGTTCTATGGACTGATGTTATGGCCCTGCGCGATGGCGATGTGGTTCTTGTACATGAGTCAACACGGCTTCAGATTCTATGACGTTATCTTGGCTTTCAACAATTGGGGGGCAAACCAACCTCTTCTCACCCTCGAACAACTAACCGAGCTCGTCTACGTTGGTGAATCCATTTAGTGCGTCGTTTTTTTTTTGCTCTCGCGATGCTAATTCTAAGAGTCACTAGCTATGTGACGGTGGCCATCGGACAGTACGGGACTCTTCTATCGGTTCGCAACCGCCGAGTATCGATACTGCAATCAAATCCTCTATGGGGCCCGCGTCGCAACTTGCTGGTACTTGTCGGCATGACGGGTACGATATTGATCTGCATCGTGAACCTCTATGGAGCTGGCTTCCAGCGGGTGTTTTACATGAGGCCTATCCCTGGGATGTTCTGGGGTCTTCCATTCACCTTTGCTTTGGGGATCTTGCTCGTGGACGAAACTCGCAAAGCCATTGTGAGGAGATACCCGAAGGTATGTTTTGAGTCGCACGACCGAACTGGAATTTGAATTCACACTTTTGTATAGTCTTTCGTTGCGTGGATGGCATGGTGAACTAGAAATTATATGATGTCGGAACATTTTTGTCAGTACTGCTCGGTGTAAATTAATTAATCAATATGCAAATGGTATCCACTGCCCAGCAGGAAGGCTATATAGATTGCATTTACTTTGAGAATCGTTAACGTTGGCAAATGTTAGCAAGCCTGTGCCGGAAAACGGAGCCTGCGGAAGATCACGCATCCAACTGAGCGGAAGCGACATTTCAAGTTTTTTCTTCATTCGCTCCTTTCATTTCGGAGCTCGAGCTCGCTCGGATTCATTCTCACTCTGGACATCCTTTCTTTTGTACCCACCCACCTCTCCCTTTTAATACTCTGTTTCGCGGACAATTTGCAAATTTATCACCAAAGCAATAGCGATTCCTACATTTTTTCTCCGTTTCAAGTCTGACACGATCGAAGTGCACCTCGAGCTACGCTCGATCCAGCCAAACCACCCTAAGATCGTGTCGACGAACAGGCAAAGATTCTGCGACGGAGTCAGTGATAGTGCAGTGGCTCGGATCTACGCTAAATAGAGTCTCATAATCACACGATCTTCCTCTTATCAAATACTGGGAATTTAGTCATCCTGATAGTTGACCTTCTCCTACCACATCGCAGACAGTCTTCTGCGTCCGCAACTAAAGCCATTCGAATCTCTTTGCTATTATATGCCCATAAGGTTTATAGACACATTCCGAAAAGACAACGTGACAGCCAAACCAACTTTAATCAACTCTTATCAAGAATCCCGTCATGGAACCTTTCAAAGCACCACTAGTCTTCTCGACATTCCCGCCGAGTCTCTTACTCACATCACTTCATTCCTCTCCCCCCCGTCGCTTCTTGCACTCTCCAGGACAAACCGGCGTTTCAATGAACACATAAATGATGATAATACATGGTATCGGGCCTTTATCAACCAATTTCTTGGGATCGGACCCGAGAATGACCTCGAGAATGAGAGGATTCTCTTACTGAGGAAGTCAGAACGCACTTGGCGAAAGGAGTTTATCATGAGGCATAACTTGAGGAGGTTTGTAGATGTGTCTCATTCAGTTCTGCTCTTATCTTTTATCTCAGACGCTGGGAACGTTCGCGGAATGGGACGATTACTCATTCCCCTCAAGACACTACCATCGACGGCGTCCATTTGATGTCTGAGTCTGGTCTCCTCACATCTTCAATTCAATACGGAGTAGTGGCTCGCTCACTTCCCCTCAGCGGCAAAGTTCTTAAGGGGTACCTCGATGCTGCCGGAACAGGATTGGGTATAGGAAATCCTAATGTTGAATTTACACCCAACGTCTCTACCTGCAGTCTCACTTCCGATGGTGGCACTGCCAGGGCTATCTGGGGAAAGCGTAACGGGGAAGTGGCGGTGACTACGGCTGCTCGGGTCATGGATCCTGGGCGTGCATCTTCAAAGCTAGTTAGATGCAAAGTCGAAGATCATCATGATGGCGTTGTGAACGAGATTGCGTTGGATCCTGCTGTTAACCGATTTGTATCCGGAGGCGCCGACGGGCAAGTCAAGTTGTGGGATACCAAGACGGTTGTGTGCTTGTGGTCTAGTGACAAGCAGCTCCAATCGCTTGTGGTCGATCCGTTCCTTAAGGTATCTTCTGCTCTTGCAGATGGCATCATCGCAGGTGCTTTAAGTAGTGGAGACATTATCTTCTGGACATCGTCCCGACAAGTCCATTCGGACGACTTATCCAGCCCGGCATCGTTTGCACAACATCGCATCGTGTCGCCCATCTCCAAGGGGCAACTATCTCCCCAGGATGCATTCATACCCAAACCTCAACCAACTGTGCTACGTGTCCGTCGTCGCTCACAGACAACAGCAGCGCTACTCATCGGGTACTCCGATCACTCGTTCTTCTATCGTATTGTAGTTGACCTCACATCCGGCAAATACGAAACTACCGCATTTGGTGATCCTTCATTCGGACACAACTCCATCATAGAACCTGTCTTTGCAGCTCAGCCAGATGATTGCAATTTCATCATTACTGGTGATTTGCTAGGTTCCGTTGGCATTTATGATTGGGACACCCCTCAAACATCCTCTTCCGTCGTACCCTCCCGTAGATTCGAGGCTCACGAGGATGACGCCGTGACTGCGCTTGCTTGGAGCTCGGTCGTTTTTGCCACAGGCTCTGCACGCGGGACAACGACGGTATGGGACGCGCTCACCTTGGAGCCTCTTAGGTTGTTTTCGTCCCCGGTTCCCCGTACTGGACCGGGCCGCGAAGTTGGAGGTGTCAGCAAGATTGTGATTGAGAAAGAACTTTTAGTCATCATTGCTGACAATAGGGTGATGTCATGGAAGGTGGGACAAGTACACCACCGTGATGCTCCGCACAAAAGCAAACATGCTCGTGCGAATAGGAACCCAACTTCCAAAGGACAACGTATGCACGTTTTACTCTTTGTAAATTCTCAACTGATCGAACGTTGCAGAGCGATACAATCTGCACAAGGTCATCAACGAATCCAAACGTGAATTAGAAGAGGATAATACATATGCGCGGCATACCATGGGGCGAGAAAGCGAGCAACGTTCCACTCTAAACGTGCTTGGACTGTCGGAATCAGAGGCAGTAGAATATGTTTTGATGCTCTCCCGCGAGGAAGAGGAGCATCGCCGAGTTTCCCATACCCTCGATGAGGGTGTCTTCGAGGTTGACTTTGAAGACGAAACTTTCTTGCCAGTCGCTTCAAGTTCTTTGACAGCGGGTGGTTCTGCCAACCAGTCTTCTCCCAGTTCTATCTATTCCCGTACCTATCCACGCGCCGCCCTTCCCATGACCAATAAGAAAGTACAGGTGTCTCCTGTCTTCGTCCCGGAACCTATGGAAGCTGGCGTTACCATAAGCCCACTCAGGATACCTACATCCCTGCCCGGTTCTTCGACGGGTACAAGGTCTTTGCCGGAAGTGGCTCGCAGCGCGTCGTCCTCTTTCGAACACTTTCCCTCGATCAGCTCTAGCATCTCCTCATCGACCAGCAGCCTAGAGCATATTCGTTCTGCTTGGAGTACACCCTTACGGTCGCCGCCTTCATCCCATGGAGCTTCATCCCCACATGTTGGCACACCTATCTTGCGCACGTCTAGTGCCTCGTTTTCTTCGAGCATGGAAATTCATGATAGGCGGTCCGAGGGAGAGCTCCTGGCGCCTCTGGATTCAGACGAAATGGATGAGGATTTGAAATTTGCGATTGAGTTGAGTCTTGCGGAAGCGCGTAGTCGAGGCGAGGTTTGAAAGTGGGGGATAACCAAGTTGTTGATACACGAATACACGATGGATTGAATAGAGCACCGGAACAATCTTTCTAATTAGGTCTACATATTACATGTCGTGAATGTAGTTGTGGCGTGTCGCTATTTGCTGCAGAAGGTAGACGTAGACATTGAGCTCTGAACGGGAAGAACTTTATTACAGTGTCCGTAATGAGGCGGAGGACAGGGCCTCTGGTTCTTTCATCTAGGAAAGTCAGAAAAGTCCATCCCCTATCATCTAACCCTTGGAGCATACTGTAATGGGAAGCTTCTCTGTTCCCCTTTCATTCCCCTCACATGATCCTCGCCATCAGCGGTTCGGTGTTTGGAGAATAGGTGTAGGGGCCCATCACGACTCACTCTCGGACTCCTTTCTGCTAAGTTCGGGTCGATGTTTCGGGCTAAGAAACCCTGCGGGTTTTTGCCCAAGTCGCTTCAATCATGTGTCCAGTCGCGATGTACAAATCAAATCACTATCAGATCGATAATGCATTTGATTTTCTTCCTAGGTGAGAAAAACTGATAGCAAAGCAGACTAACACCCAGACAAGTTTTCATGCTTATCGGGATTCATGATTTGAGTGGGCACCTCGCATGACCCCGACTCCACCACCGCGTTGCGTGTTCTCGTGGTGGACCAACAAACATATTTATGTAGGCAAGATCTGATGCAGAAGGACGTACGTACGAGAAAATTTTGGGCAACAATGAGGGGTGGACAGCCTAGCCACCTATAATGTGGCGCTTGACGAATCCTACGTTCCAACGGAAAGTTCTTCGAACAAAATGTCGCGGCCTACTGCGGTTCGTAAAGCTAAGATTCAGATGTAGGCAGTAAGGTTGTGGAGTGTGTTACTGCGATGGACTCCCGATGCGGATGGAAGGAGTACTAGTCTCCCCTAGACAGCCCTTTATCATGATAGACGAAGGAAGTGACCTATAATCGTTCCAAGGACCAAGGGGTTAGTGTCGGAGACTCAGAGCTGAGCATAATGGCGCTGCTTTTCTTGTTCCTCTGAGATAGATGACTCATACAGAATTTGTAAGCAGACTGTCACTTGCTTTCTGTGTTCGAACTTCCTAGTACCCTCCTAGGAACTAGGGGTCGGCATTGCCGACTTTTTACCTTGCGGAGCTCTTTCGCCATCAGCAAAACCGCCCGGAACCAGAAAGGCACGCCGGTTCCCGGGAGGACTCCCACGCCATTTCGCTGACGTCACCAACCTCTCAAGCATGACGCGTTGTCCCACCAACCTTCCTCGACTCCTCGCTGACCCCATACCCCTCGCAAGCACTACGAATCGTGCCCGAAGATGCCTGCAAGCCTCCCACGCCTCTTGCAAGGACTAAGTTGGCCTTTTGACACCGGTTGGTACTACCTAATTTCCATTTGCTCATCACCATACCTGACCTCTGCCAGATTTCGCACTTACTCTACTGACGTGTAGGCACATCCTTAGCCCAGTCTCGATGTGCACCTGTTCTGGCCCCATTTTGATGTTCTGTCCATCAACCAAGTGGTGAGTGCAAGCTTAAATACCCAGTCCTCACAGCTGCCCACCCTTTTCTGCCCACCACTTCCCACCAGAGAATCAACCCTCTCAATTACAACAACCAATGTCTTGTCCCATCTACTGCACCACCAACCTATCCAGATTGCAGACCCACAAGTGACACAGCAGAGTCCATAATGTCTCTCTCTACATGTCCCATGCAGTCACTCCACTGAGTCCAACCTTCTGGTCATAGTTGTGTTTGCTCTGCATTTAAATGCTGTCACTACCCTGTACTTCTTGTTATACATGAATGGAACTTTGTTTGCACTGCAGCCTTCCAAATGCACTCAGGCTGATCCTCAGCACTATAGATCTGCAAATCCCATGCCTTCAACCTTGTTATAATCCTGCCCCTCACCATCTTCTGCCCCTAGATCATTGTCATCTGATGGTGCATCATTGTCCTCATCTTTGACAACAACCTGATCAAGGCCAGTATACCCAAACTCATCCATCTCATCTGCAATATCATTGTCGATGAGATGTTCTGTTGTGAGTGGATCTCAAGTTCCATTTCCTTCAATGTCCTTGTCATCATGCTCTTCACTGCTCCCCCCGTCTTCATTTTCATCCCCATCTTCATCACCACTACCCTCAATATCATCCTCACCCTCACCCTCACCCTCACCTTCCTTGTCCTTGCCCTCGCCATTGTCATCCAAGTCTTCCTCAACATCACTTTCCATTTCACTGTTGGAATCTTGAGCTTCACACTCCTTCTCCATTGTGAACGGGAGTTTGTCAAGCGCATCGTGATCATCAAGTAGACATTTTGTGGCTTCGAAGATGGGCTTGTGACCAACACCACCACCGCAGTAGCGCATAAACATGTCTTGGTCCACAAATCTACAGGATAGGTAAGCTTGCCATCTTGCTACTCAAAATAAAAACTAACATATTAACATAGAAAAAATTCCAGTCCATAGGTCTGTCTGATATGTGATGGGCAATAGAGTCTGGTGCAATCTGTTGTGAACCTCCACATGCAAACACTGGAATTAGATGCATGCCATGAACCACATGCATCAGGTCTATGAATCTGAATGCAGAGGGATCATCTGCATCTAGGAATCTGACATGAGGGAGATGTTTTGCTGCCCAACATGAGGGATAAGTCAAGTCACGCCTGAGCCATCAAACCCAAAGCAAGTCAATTCACTGTGGTGTGGAGCTTTGGGACTCAGGCCCATTATGCTGAACAAGGACATGAAAAATTCCGATGGCTCGAGCATACCAGTATGGATGCAGATTCTCATTCTCATCTTCATGTGCGAGGACCATTACATCAGCTCGTGTACATGGATTGAGAGAGTCTTGAGCTTGACTGAGGTCATAGGTAGTGTACTTAATGTGAAGAACTTTGTGCTGATAAATTTGATTATTGATGATGTGAATTGAGTTCTGCTGTGCTGCCATGAACTGCATTTCATCACCTTCATATTGATTACCGAGTAGGCATCCCAAGACATGTTCTTTGAGGTGTGGGAGGAAGTCCTTAAGATCTTTTCAGTACGAAGTTTGAATGACAAGTCATCGAGCTCACATGAACGGCAATATCATCAGTGTGTTTGCCAAGCCATGCAGAGATATCCCAATGGAATTTTTTTGAGGTTGAGACTTGGTAATGAGATTCTGGTGAACAGTAGGGTAATGGTTCTTGATCAACAAAGTGAAGAGAGGGATGCTGCTTGGTAGTGTTTGATGGAACTATTGGTGGGTCATTTTGAGTCACTTGTATTTGCTCATGTTTATCTCTCAACCTGTGAAGTATCCATTCCCATCGCTGATGCTTGGTGATGCCTCATGTGAATCGATTTTTGTTTGTGCGTGCATAGAACCACTTGACACAATGATGCTCTAGCTCACCCTGTCAAGTAATCAGCCAAATTGTTTGCATATGATGTGAAGAGTGTAGTACTTACAACTTGCATCGAGTAGTTGTCTGTTGTCCCATACAGCCAGATTGATTTCACATAGTCACTGAGCACGTGAAGCTTATATGTCAGCATGTTGAATTTTTGTCGCTTTGAGGCTGCTTGTAGAGTGACATCAGCCTTCCCCTTGCCCTTTGCTGCCTTGGTACCTTGTCAACGCGTACAAGTGGCAGTCTCTCGTGGAAGATCATGTGTGTCGAACTTGCTGCATGTTACACTGCAGAACTTGTGCAAAGCTCTGCCGAGACATGTTGTGCAGTTATTGAAGTGATGCAGTGTAGTCTCAGTATGCATCTGCAATTTTCCAAAAGCATGCCAAGTGGAGAGCTCAAAGAGGAGATTGAGAATAATTGAGTTGTCATCTGGAAGGAGTGATTTGAAGACAGGCATAGAACACTGATTGAGGACAAATCTAAGTTCCAAGACCATAAGCACAAAAATTAATATTTTACCTGGAGAAGATCTTTGAAGTCATGAGCAGCAAGTTTTGTCAAATCAGAGACATTACAACTGAATTTGTGTATTGTGTCTTGGCCAAATGTTGGGACCAAATGAAATCTAGATTTTTTTTGAGTAAAAACATTTAGAATAGATTTGGAGGAGACAAGAAACCTTTTGTTGAATCTTGGAATGAGATCACCCCCAGATGCATGAAGAATATGGATAAGGTGTGTTAGTGTTGCTTTCCAGGTGCCAAGCTCAAACTTGTGCATAAAATCAGGGACAAGCATCGAGTGGAAGTCAAAGCCAAATTTTGAGAGTTTCTCAGAAAACACATTCTGCAGGTACAAATGATGAGCTACTATTGACCAGATTCACCAAAAAAACACAAACCTGAGTAGGAACCATTGATGTTACACCAATTAAGTTCTCGACAAAAGTACTGACCACACTGCGACCCAATTTGAAGATGAATTCACATGCATGTTCAATCATGGATCGATGGTGATGGTCATCAACTTGGATACCTTTTTCTCACTGCCATCGGTCTGCCCTGTTGCCCAATTTGTCAATCTTGGACTTGTTGACAAGACAGCGAGGACAGGGGCATTGTCCAAGAAATTTGACACATGTGAGAAGAATCTTCTCAGGGTAGTCAGCTGCATATGTGAAGAACCGAGGAAAGACTCTGCAAGAAATGCCATCAGGGAATTTCATGACTATGCCATGTTCCCATGCATCAATGAACTTGTCATCAAGCAAAAATGACCATATAGCATGCATAAGTTCCCATTTGCAGTGTGTGAGGACAGCCACTGTAGTGCTCCGCCTGAACCATCGGAGATAAAAATCTTGAATCATGTCTGGTAACTGGAACTATTATTAGCACAAACAAGCGAAATTATCTGTTAAATTAACATACCTTTGGAATATAGGCGAGATGGTGAGCTGCGAAGGATGTTGGCTTCGACCGAACATATTTTGACTGATTACCAATGAACATATAGATTGGCCACAGGGCAGCATTACCGAAACTGGCAAGATGCGTAGAGTCAGACCATAGCATAATTGCTGTGGCAACTGTTTTGAGATTACATCCAGGCTTGTGGGGCCGGGAACGGATCTTCTCGTGTTCTTGGAGCATTGCGTCAGATGTGTAAAGTTCTGTAATAATATGTTCAGGTGGTTTGTCCTTGTCAGGTTGCCAGAATAGTTTGTAAGGGCTAGTATGAAAACCTTTCGCACCTTCCTCCTCGAATGCAGCTTTGAGAACCTCCAGAGGCTTCTGATAATAGAGTCCCTTGACCTCGAACATAGGTACATCACTTTCTGCATCAAACTTTTCCTTCTTACAGGGCAGGCAGATTTTGACGGAGGCTTCATGCCATCCATCGGATGAAAAGATAGATGAAGAAGGGTCATTTTCGGCCCTATCGAGACGTTTGGCTTCATGTGTTGGGTTAAAGTCACATAAATCTTCTCGGTCAAAGTCTTCTGCCAATATAACATCGTCAATGAGATGTCTAAGGTCCTTGATTGATTTCTGGAGAGATGAGTTATAGAACCAGTTCATGAGTCAAAATGTTGAAGCATTAAGAAATGGTGCAAAATAATCCCAATGGACAGCTTCCAGTGATGAACCAAAGCCAGCCCACCATGGACGATCATGCTCAATGGCCTCATCAACATGATGAAAGGTAGGGGCATCACAAAGGTGGTCAAGGTAGCTCAGGTTCTTGGGGTCATAGGTGGGGAAGGAGTATGGATATTTGCAGAATAGATCAAATGAATCATGCTCTGTTTGCACCCAGTCCACACGTTGTTGAAAATCATCATCCATTATATTGTTGGCAGCTGGAGCATCAGGCTCAACAGGTGCAGGAAGTACAGGTACAGGAATAGGATTGGACAGGAGTTGGTCACGATAGTGTGCAGGGAGATGCCTTTTCCACAATGGTAGTCCAGATTGTCAGTACTCTATCTGCACATCATCATACTTTGAATGAGATAAGAATCCTATCATCAGATATAAAAAATTCGACTCACATCACCATGATGATGCTCCAATGGCGTCTGACTTGGCTGTGGGGTTGAGGATTGAGGTGGAGGATGGTTTTCCACACCAGTAGCAGTAGGTGATTCGTGGTGTTGGCATTTACGGTGCTGATCAAGAACATTTTCAGTGACAGAGAGCTGGGATTTACACCAGCAAATGAGATGGTTTGAGAGGCCCTGGTCAGAAACTTCAGTCCCATAGTTTGGGCATTGCACCATGAGGAATATCAGAATGATAGATGATAGAATATTCAGCAGTAGCATGGGGTGATGCCAGAGGAATCAGAGTGAAGTGGCAGTGATTTTGGATGCCAGCAGTGGTAGTGGGTTGTTTGGTTGTATTATGTTGATGTGAGCATGTGCCATAACCACACTTTAATCTCCTTGGCTATGAGCATGCCTTGTTCCCTTGCACCTAACTGCTATCATGTCATCAGATTCTGAATCTTTGTCATTATTGCCACCAAGAAAACACAAGAAGTTGTCCTATTCAACTGGATCTTCATCACTGTCAGAATCAAGAAAGCACAAGAAATTGTCTGATTCTGGATCTTCATTGCAATCAAGCAAACACAGGAATAGCACAGATGAGCTGCTTCAGGTGGTACAAACCAATCACAGCAAGAAGATTAAACAGTAAGCTTATCATTATTCTACATTATATTTAGCTTGGAGCTAACAATGATAAGCAGATCAGATGATACAAATGCGATATCCGACCCTATTGAGATGTATAGAAACATTGGACGAAAAGTTACCTGTGTACTTGATCTCTTTGGTCTCCAGCATGATCGTGGAGACAAAATCAGCTCTGATCTGTAAGTCCTTTTTTGTGTGTGATCATCCCTCACTGATACTTACTATGAATACTAGGACCAAAGATGTGATAGAATGCCATTTGCACTTGTATAATGGCATCCTGGATTTTGTTCTGAGTCTTCGTGATGAGCTTGACACAATTTCTACTGACAGACTATCTAAGATCATCTCTGCGGTGAGTATATGCGCTCTGTATATGACTATATGTGCTCTTATTTGATTCTGACATGATCCAATTTTGTCCAGATAATGAAAGGGATGAGTGACACTCAGTCAATGGCATTTAGTTCTGTCAAACACAAAGGACTCAAGTATGTGCCACTCAACATGCACAGCAAGAACAACGCACTTGATCCACCAATTCCTGAAGTTGAAGATAAATCTATGCAAGGCATTGCACATCCTCAGCTTGCCCACTGGCTCTGTCCACACAACAAACTTCACATCTTTGATAGCGACCCAGAGGAGTAAGTTATCTCATTGATTACATCTATCAGCTCACTAATACTACAACACACTGCTACAGTGGGATGGAGAAACTCCAGTCAGGCAAGATCAAGATGGCAGCTATGAGTTGGCCTACTGGCTTCTACGAACATGGCATTTACGACCCACAAGATAAGACTAAGGGTCTTTTCAGAAACCACATCATCACCCAAGTGAGTCACGCTGTGCTTGCCTTTGCTGATGTTCTATCTAATCATCACTCTAGTTTTATGCTCACTTGTATATTGGTCCCTTGGCTGTGATGTCAGAGTCTACCTCAAGCAAAGCCTCAAAACAAGCAAGGAACCACGCATTCGGTTTATCATCAGTGACAAAACACATCATCACAATAGTTCACATTATTGTAAGTTATTTCTGTTGCTCTATTGATTACACTTCTGATTGTTCATTTTGAGATGTACTTCACACTCAGTCAAGCGCAAAACTGGACCAGCGAAATTGGCACTATGAATCTTGAGGAATTGTTTTGGAGCATCATTGACATGCTTGACGATGACGAGGATCCATGGGTCAAAGATACCATGGCATGGTGGATGGCGTATGTTTTGAAGCATTGTTTTTGTTTTTACTGATCATGCTTGCAGCTGTATCGGAGTGAAGACCAAAGCTCTCACTAAGAAGCCAGAAAATGAAGACAATGACAATGAAGAAAATGACATTGCAGATATCAAAGCTCAGAGGTTGGCTAGACGTAGTGCTATGAAGACTAAGGTTGCAGGTGGTATGTGTTTGCTACAACGGAGAATCAGTACTTACATGATACAGCAAAACAACTGGCAGGGACCAACACCTCACTCACTACTGGCTCACAGCCTCAAATGCTGTTATCCAAGGACAAGGTCCTGCCAGGAAGAAACCTGCAGCCCCCCTACCTCCAAAAGTCAAGTGTCGCAGTGGCCATCTTGATACATATGAGGAATCTGAGGATGAAGATGAGTCTCGTCCCCTGCCTTTGAAGACTAAACACCCCCAACTTGTCACTACTCCCCCACCTCCAAAGACCAAGCACACTCAACTTGTCGAGTCTGATGATGACATTGAGGATGTCAAAGCACCTCCCATCAAGAAAAAGACGGTCCCACCTCCGAAGGCCAAACGCCCTCAACTCATTGAGTCTGACGATAACACTGAGGATGTTGAAGCCCCTCCCATCAAGAAAACAATGGTCCCACCTCCAAAGCCCAAGTGCACTTGACTCATCAACAAGGATGTTGAGGATGTTGAAGCACCTCCTGTCAAGAAAACAATGGTCCCACCTCTGAAGACCAAGTGCACTCAACTCATTGAATCTGATGAGGATGTTGATGATGTCAAAGCACCTCCTGTCAAAAAAAAGCTGGTCCCTACTCCAAGTCTTCCAATGCTCAAATGTGTTCAACCAGTCAAGGCCCCAGAGGAACCTGCATATGAGGCACCTCCCAACAAGGAGACACCAGTCCCCTCTCGACCTGAGTCCCCGCTACCCAAGTTAACTGAAGACGAGTCAAGTGGTGCATTGTTTGAACCCGAACCATTGCCCAAGAAGAAAGGGAAGAAAGCTGCCAAAGTTCAATGTGTGCCTATGAAGTGGAACCCTACTCACCAAAAACGGCCCAACGGTTTCTAGTGTCTTCATCATTGCAGTTCCAATTTCTTGCAGATTTCATTTGTTCTTTTTCATTGGTCACTTGTGCTTAGTTCTGTCTCCCCCTTGCACTGATACTTCACTTGAGTTGCAGTACTTATTGTTGTCATTGTCTTCTAGTCTACTGGTTCTACTAATACAGTGGCCTGGATGGCCTTGCATTTCACTATCTACCTCGTGTAACCTTTGAAGACCATGTAACCTCCTGAAGCCTTGAGTAGCCTCACAAGCCTTGCATCAACATGCAAATCTCCAAGCCTGGTAGCACCTTTCTTGACAGGAGTGTTTTCATTCATGGGACTGCTAGCCTTGCGCAGTGTAGAAGGCTTGTATGGCCTTGTCAGGCCCTTGAAGGCCTCATAAGACCTGAGTGGTTTTGCTGATGGCTTAATTTGACTTGCCCACAATATCAACAGGGCCAAATATCTTTGATTACTTGCCATTCAGACGCACAACATTCTGAGCATGATACAAAAGGCTGTAAACTTTCATATGGGTCCATATTCACCTTCATTAAAATGTCTCTTGGTGTCTTCTACCAGTTCTTGCATTCTTTTGTCTTCTATATGAAGATCTTCCAAAGGGTGTTGAAGGGGTCTACGATGCAGCTTAGCATGTTTGAATTGCTGAAGACTTCCAACACCGAATGTGCTTTTATATTTAGTATGTTTAATTCATTATGTGCATTATTTATCATTGATGAGTGTCTCATCAGTCAAACCACTTCAGTCACCCCCAAAAGTATACCTATTAGGTTGATAGTCCTGTATACATGTATTAACCTAAGAGGTGTGATTCCTCTGGTTTTTCCCATTGTACTGTAGGTATGGGATAAGTCCTATGGGACAAAGCCAATGCTTTCCCAGCCCACCTGGGACATAATTTTGTGAACATTCCCATGCGCTTTCCCCATAACGTGAGTGGTGTCAGGGGTCTTTTGGGCTGATTTTTTTACCATATTGGGGGGGTATAGCTGGGATCATGAAGGTGTGGTATAGGGATCATAGGAGGGTGGTACAGGGACCATCAGAGGGTAGTATAGGGTGGTATGAGAACCATCTGAAGGTGTTATCAGAGACCATTGGAGGGGAGTATAGGGATCATGATGGTCTGAATAGTGTGATCCCCAAGTGATGATTCTGTAGGTGTGGGTGAGTAGCTGAGACCAGGCATTGGTTGATCAATATTTGAATGGTGCAATCCCCAAGTGATGATTCTGTAGGCGTGGGCAAGTAGCTGAGACCAGGCATTGGTTGATCAATATCTGAATGGTGCAATCCCCAAGTGATGATTCTGTAGGTGTGGGTGGGTAGCTGAGACCATGAATTGGTTGATCAATATCTGAATGGTGCGATCCCCAAGTGATGATTCCATAGGTGTAGCAATTGGAGGGTACCATAGGGTGGTATGAGAACCATCAGAGGGTAGTATAGGGATCATGATGGCTTGGTATGAGAACCATCTGAAGGTGTTATCAGGATCATGGTAGGGTGGTATGAGGATCATGAGTATATCTGCTCAAGTGATGATATGTCATGATGGGATTTCCCCGGCCACATATACTCATGTTTGGAATTTCCTGGCCATATATATGCTCCAGCCAGGACTTACCACCCACATATATTATCAAGTTGGGGATTCCCAGACCATCAAAATTCTTCATTCGGGAATATCCAGACCACATATATTCTCAAGCCAAGAATTTCCACACTCCCTTATTCTTTGGTGGGGAGTATCCAGGCCCACATACCATCCAGTTGGGGATTCCCAGAACATATATATTATCACATCAGGAATATCCAGACTGACATTGTCATGTTGGGGATTCCTGGACCCTCATATTCTTCAGTGGGGAATACCCAAACCCCCCATATTGTCAAGTTGGGACATCCCAGCCCACATATATTCTCATGCCGGGAATTCCCAGCCCACTGAAATTCTGCAGTCAGAAATATCCAGACCCCACATTGTTAGGTCAGGGAAGTCCAGACCCCCATATTCTTTGGTGGGGAATATCCAGACCCCCCATATTGTCATGTCGGGGATTCCCAGACCATATATATTCTGCAGTCAGGAAGTCCCAGACCACCCAAATTATTCAGTTGAGAATTCCCAGTGTGCAATAGTAACCTGGTTAGTCAAGTCCCTACACTTGGAATTTGCAGACCCCCCAACTCTTTGTCAAGTCAGGAATTCCCTGACCATATATAGTGTCAATTTGGGAATTCCCGCCCCACCAAAATTCTTTAGTTGGGAATATCCAGACACCCCAAATTATCAAGTTGGGAAGCCCAGACTACATATATTCAGGTGCCGGGAATTCCCAGTGTGCAAGAGTACCCTGGCAAACCAAGTCCCAACTTGGAATTTGCAGATTCAACAACTCTCTGTCAAGTTGGGGATTCCCAGACAACCCATATTCTTTGGTGGGGAATTCCCAGGCCCCCCATATTGTCAAGCTGGGGATTCCCAGACTACTCATATTGTGTTGGTGGGAATATCCAGACCCCCTTATTGTCAAGTCGGGGATTCCCAGACTATATATATTCTGAACTCAGGACATCCCAGACCATATATATGCTGACATTGGGAAGTCCCAGACCAACCAAATTATTCAGTTGGAAATATCCAGACCCCCTTATTGTCAGGTCGGGACATCCCAGTCCACCTAAATTATTCAATCGGGAATATCCAGACCCCCCTTATTGTCAAGTCGGGACTTCCAAGAGCACCCAAATTATTCAGTCAGGAATATCCAGACCCCCCTTATTGTCAAGTCATGGATTCCCAGTCTATGTAAATTATTCAGTTGGGAATATCCAGACCCCCCTGATTGTCAAGTTGGGACATCCCAGTCCACATAAATTATTCAGTTGGGAATATCCAGAGCCCCGTATTGTCCTGTTGGGATGTCCCAGACCATATATATTCTGATGTTGGGAAGTTCCAAGCCACCCAAATTATTTAGTTGGGAATATCCAGACCCCCCTTATTGTCAGGTTGGGACATCCCAGTCCACCTAAATTATTCACTCAGGAATATCCAGACTGCTCAAATTATTCAGTTGGGGATTCCCAGACCACCCAAATTATTCAGTCGGGAATATCCAGACCCCCATATTGTTATGTTGGGATGTCCCAGACCATATATATTCTGACATTGGGAAGTTCCAAGCCACCCAAATTATTCAGTTGGGAATATCCAGACCCCTCTTATTGTCAGGTCAGGACATCCCAGTCCACCTAAATTATTCAGTCAGGAATATCCAGACCCCCCTTATTGTTGGGTCAGGAATATCCAGTATGCAATAGTAACCTGGCAAGTCAAGTCCACACTTGGAGTTTTCAATGTCTTATTTTGATAAGTCACACTGAATATTTGTTGCTGTCGTGGTATCATAGTTATGTGTAATGATCAAGACAAATTCAAACTGCATTTGGAGACAAACAGATATAAGGTTCATGAAGACAGCACAGGGAGATTGACAGGATGACAGAATAGGTAACGAAGTTCATTCATAATCTTTGAAGTAATCATGATCATAGCCACCATCCTCTACCTCCACCTCTTCTTCATCTTCTGTTGGAGACACCCAAGCCTTGGTAGCATGCCTTGATGGACCAGCAACAGGGGCAGATTCTCGGGTATATGCATACTGGTGTTGGACCAGAGATCTGGAGTGAGCATAGCCATGATGACAAGAATGGTGAATAGGTGGTGATGGGCTATGATGACGAGGTTGTTGAGTGGGACAGTGGTGTGAGTGACACTGCTGCTGATGGTCATGGGAATAATGGCTAGTCATGATAATCAGTAGCGGATTTGTGTGACAAGCAGAAGACATACTGTGTAGCACTGCTCATCATCCATCTGCCAACCTTGTGATCCTCACCATCACTCTCATCTCATCGGTGCTTCTGAACAAGTGGTACTTCTGCAACCTTGTGAGATTTCACAGGTGTGCCAGGTGCAGGGCAAGTCATTCAAGACATAAGTCGAGGGTTCGAAGTATGCATGACAACACCTTTCTGCGACAAAGGTTGACAAGGAGGGACTTTGGTAGGGATGGGATGGGGAAGTGGCATGACCTTGCGGTGATCCCTATGTGGTGGAGAAGGGGACCAGACAAGTGGTGAGGAGGGCTGAGGAGTCGGAGAATTGCGAGGGGGGGAACCAACAGAGTCCAGAACCTCAATACTAGGCAGCAGATTCTTCATAAACAGAACACAGTCCATGAGAGTATGCTGGACTTTACCATCCATGTTGGTGATGAGAGGGATGTTCAACATGGTGGAATCTTTGTTGCTCATTAAGTCTTTAGACTCTGTCAGAATTTAAGTGAGTCGTGCCATAATACAAGTAAGTTCAATCTTACCATCCGACCAAGGTACAAACATTAACTCTGTCTCAGGAACCTTCACCCCACTTAACTTATCTTTCCTTTTCTTCTTCAGCTCTGGGTGTTCAACACAAGCAAGCTCCATGCTGTAGTCAGAGCCCATGCAGCACTTTAAGTAGGGACCAACCAGTGCCTTGAGCTCATCTGTCTTCAAGTCCTTGAATACAAAATTGGAGCCAACAGGAGGGACACCTGCAGGCCAGTTGACGACCTGTGCTTGGTGAAGGTATAATGAATTGAGCATAGTTTTCCAGGGAATATTTTTCACCTCGTGCGGGATGCCAGCACCTTCTATAGCTAGAATGAATGCAATGATAGATATGATTACAAAAGAACTTACCAAACTTTTCGAGCATCATAATGGGAGCTACATGGTGATTGTGGTCACAAGTTCCCTCCCCTTTCTCGCATGCAAGCTTGGGATTGAATTTCAGAGCCGTAAAATGAGTAAAGGATGGCAAGGAAGCTGTATCGTCAATGCAATTGTACCTAGAATATAGAAATTAATATAGCAAAACATAGAGGGAAAAGATAAGTACTTGATTACGGTCATCAAGTAATCAACAAGTTCTTTGATGTCTGCTTGCTTCTTATTGACAAGCTCCAGGATAAGTGGTGACCCAGCAAACACCCCTGCCACTCATTGACCTGCTTCAGCAGTACCTGTATATAATATGAAACCCCCCACATAAATATCCTCAAGGCACAAATAAGCTTGGCACTGCAAATGACTTAAGACAACATAGAAATGTGTCGGCAATACTGACTTACACTGAGGGCAAAGGCATTGCATACAGCCATGATACGGTTGTACAACACTTTTGAGGACTCTTCTGTGATCTTGGAGCTCCTGTCCCAGAACTCGTGGATCTCCTTCCATAATTCAGGGTTTTCACACTTATCACAGTGTTTGACCCAATGGTCACGTTGCAACTGCTTCCAGTCATTTGTAGACACTAGAAAAAACATGTAAGGAAGAGATTTGATGAGTACTGCACACTACTTACTGTCAGAAGACTTGGGGTGCTTCATCTTGTACCATGCTTGGTACATGTTCCAACTATTGTCAGCACAAGTAGTTTTCACCACTAACCCAGCTTGAATCAAAATCGTTTGTACTGATTTGCCATACTCCTTGGCAATCTTCTCTGCCTCTGCAACTGTTTTGTCACCCAAGGTGATGGCCTTATCGATGGCTTCTTGCGGGAGTTGGCCAGACATAAGGGAATCACCAGAATTTTCATCAAGGTCGACCTGCTGCTGACTGTTGTCAAGGTCAGCCTGATGCTGATTGTCATGTTGCTCTTCATCATCTGCAGGGGGAGGTAGCTGCTTCCCCTTACCCTTGGCCTGTCGAGCAGGAGGTGTGGGTGAGACGTGATCCTCATCCGCTTGTTGAGGCTGTGTACCAGGAGGCATGGGCGACTTGTCAGCATCATCATTGTTGGAGCCTGACTGGCTCTTCTCCTCATCGTTGTAGTCGCTGTCCTCAGGAGAGGCCTCTGGCAGCACGGCATTAGAATACTATAATGCAGTAATACTTGTCTAACATACTGTCTGATTAATCATCACTGTCATGCACTGCTGATGATATTGTCTTGTGCTGATGAAGCTTGCGCTTCTTGAAGAGTATAGGGCTGTCTACAGTAAAATCAACCACAGTGTTATCATCCTGAAGAAGGTCTGTCAGTAAGTCGTCAGAAAGATGAACACCATTGTGCTTACTGCAAGTGCGCCAGAATCCTTATTGGTAGGGGAGGGTTCAGGGCTTCCATCTTCAACAGAACCTTCGGCAATAGGCAAGGTATCTGGGAGCTGCAGGAGTTAAGGGTTAGTGACTTGACTCCCATAGTAAAGTGACCATGCACCTTAGAGAATTTGTGATTAGTCTTCATGATGCGGGCAGGGCCAACCTTGCATGGAGGGGGAGCCTTGCGAGCAGGGCCGACCTTGTGAGATGCCGATGTCCTTGCCATTGTTCAAAAATGGACCATAAGACATGTAGTCTGTTGGTCCAAGTATTCCAGGATGCATAGTCACAGGAAGGAAACAGTCAATGCGCAGTCAGACCTCGGGAGGGGGAAGATAAAGACAAACCAGGGTGTAACAGTGAGTGGAGGGTGAAAACAAGGGAAAATTTCCTGGAACGAGTAAATAATGGGCTTTTATATTGACTGAAAGACTTACCACTCAAGAAGGTTCGGAGGCATTAGGTTAAACACTGGAAACCAAATGGAGCTAACATATGAAATATTGGGTTAGTTACTTGGGCTGAGGGATCAGGCCCATCAAGTCGATACCAAGGAATGCAAGACAAGACACATTATGGTCAGCATATTCAGATCAGTGAAAAATAATCAGTAAAATAGCCTTGCCCGAACAACAGTCCATGTATTGCATCCACTAACAAATATACAAATTCTCGGCACAAACAGCCATGATTGGACCACATATGGACAAAACACATGTCTGTTCAGAACATGGCATAATTGCAGAACTAAATTGGCTGTGTTGATTTTAAATGCAATAGAATGAATATAGTGTAAACAGGCTTACCATGACTCAGATCACTGAATGAAACTTGTAGATACAGGAAAAATTATGCAGGAAAGTGGTGTGGGACGACGGGGGGCCTGCCGAAGTGGTCAAAGAAACATTGCACATAAAAATCACAGGCTGGTTGCATGATCTGGAAGTATGTAGTAACATTGAAAACACTTGCATCCAATGGCGCATTGAGGTGTGATGGGGAATCCTCCCAGCAGGACAACAGCTTGTGGAAATTTTCAACATAGGGGAAAGCATCAATCATCTGATGGCTCCACAACCCACTGTCGTCATCGGGTAAAGATGATGACCACATCACAAAGCTGCCCTCTTCAGGGAAAATACTGTAAAGGAGATCCCAGTGATTATGTTGTGACTCTTCCCACGATGCACGGGCCATGACTCAATCTAGAGCTAGAAGCTCATACTAGAAATTGAGTTCATACAATTCCCAGAGTATAAGGCGCATCAAGCGCAAAGGAGGGTTGCAAAGAGACATAATTGAAATGGACATATTATGCCACTGCACATTCTCACCAATGGCCCATGTGGTTCCCTGGGTGTCCTGAAGATCTTTGCCAAATATTTGTGTGGCTGCTTGCTTCTGTGAGGCTGCAGCAGTAGGACCTGCTGACAACGAGGCTATTATGGAGGGCTCGCCAGAGGGGCTACTGTTAAGAAAATCTCGCCAAAGTTGTGGTGATGGAAAGCGCTCTGGAGGGTTGTGATCAATGTGCCTGATCCACAGCAGTCATGCAGCAAGCCAGTTTGCAACAAATAATTTCTTATGCTCCGGTGAACTAGGAGTAATGAGAAGTGCAGGCTCAGGGAACCGATACCCTTGATCAATGAGACCCTTTTTGATGCGATCTTTGTCCTTGTTTGCTCTCTGGAAGGCGGAAGTCCAAAAGCCGATGGCTTCAGGGTTTTCTGGGTGATGGAGGTCCTCCCATTTGTCACAGTTAGGTTGGCCATCAGCAACCTTAGAAACTTCTAAAGACAAAAAAATGGTAAGGTTCTAGTGTCAATTACAATAGAAATACACACACTCAGCTTCATCAATTGAGATAAAGTAATGTTTTGTGCCTTCTTATTTTTTTGTCCCTGAGAGGGAGCTTTACCACTAACTGGGGTTTGAAGCAGTGTCAAAGGCAATGGGGCACCAGGGTTCACAGTGAAAGTGCCAGTGTAGGCCCGACAGGTATGAAAGTGATGGTTGAAGCCACCAGGGCCACAATACAGGAGGGGGAATGGCCACGCGATGTTGCCTTCACAATAGATGTTCCTCGTCAGATCATCTGGGAATGTCAGGACAACCAGTTTGATGATGTTCATCTGGGGAGAAATATAAGCCTCTGCATGAACAAGCCACACAGGCATGCCAGCATTGAGAAATATATCACAAGTCTTTGAATCAGTAGTAAAGCAGCCCATCCATCTTGAGTTCCCATCAAGTGGACCCCAAGAGGACCAGCCTGAGGTGAGACGAGGTTGAACTATCTCAACGAAGTCCATGAAAGCCATGATGTCGAGGAACAAGCATTGTGCTTGGGCAACAAAGATGATGATATCGCGGTATGTCAAGGGATGTTGCCAGAGCACATTGATGTCATGCTTGAGGGATGCGAGCATGTTAGTGATGATGTCCTTCTTGCCTGCCCGATTCACCTGCCATGGTTGAACTCGCTTGCAAGCAATGGTAAGCAAGTTGTCAATACCATTGATGATATGTGAGTGTAGTGAACCGATGGTGAATGCAGTCCCAGGTTGAATGGCAAAGTCAGCTGTAGTGGGAGTGAACCAGGTGAATTGCAGGTCAATTGATGAGGCATCCTTGCAAGGGATGCAGATGGCATATTCGAACTCTTTACAATACATCTGTGGCCATTGGAAACAATCAGCAGCTCCAAAATGTCCATCTGCTCAAGCCCTGAGTTCTTCTAGGTCATCATTGTGGAGTTCTGGTACCCAATCCATATTCGGAGTGGTGATGACAAGTGGTTCTTGATAGCCAATGGCTCTTGTGTCCAGGGCACTGATAGCCACTGTAAACATCTTGTCAGAAGGTAATAGATGGCATATAAATGATAGTCTTACCATCTGGGCACCTGTAAGGAGTGAACTTAGTTAATGCAGTAGGCATAGTTATCAAATCAAATCAAATCAAATCTGTAAGACTGTATCAATTTGGTGTTTGAAAAGATTAAAGTGAACTCACATCACAAAGATGAACTAACAATGGGCTTGTGTGATTTTAACGCACATAGCACAGTAGAAAAGTAAGCGCAGGGAGTTCCCAATGAAGTTTGTGAGCCTGGAAGGTTATCAAATCTGTAAGACTGTATCAGTTTTGGTGTTGAAATTGGTTAAAGTGAAGTCACATCACAAAGGCGAACTTTCAACGGGCCTGTGTGATTGTGATGCAGGTAGCGCAGTTGACAGGTAAGCACAGGATATTCCCAGTGACGTTTGTGAGCCTGCAAGGATGTGAGTGTTAAAATCAATTGAAGAAAACAAACCTTGTGAAAATGTTTGGTGCAAGAGTAAGGCAGGCAGCGAGTGCAGAAACTAATGTAGGGTACTCCCAAGAGAGCAGCTGGGGCGACTCTCCAGATGTGAAGTCTAGGAGATTGCTTTCAGTGATACGAAGTCAACTGCAAGCAATGTGAACGGCTCATAGCCAGTTCAATGGGTCCAGGTGAATTTTGAGAGGGAGACGGCTTGAAGGGGTGACGAATACAATGGGTGAGGAGGGAGTGTAAGAGGAATTTGAGGTGGGGAAACTGGTGTGTGGGGTGAAGTTTGAACACAAACTTGGATTGGTGGGAATTCCCATAGATCTTGTTGATTATCAACATCTGTTTGTTTGGTCTTGTTGTTGCAGTTGTTGCACTGCAAACGTTGTCCTGGCATTAACTCATCATCAATCTTCACCTCTACCTCCTACATCTATCAATCACCTTTCCCATGCCATGGATTTTGTTTGGCCACATTCTCTCTCTCAACACTCACGCCTGGACCCATTGAATTGGCTACGTGCCGTTCACATCACTTGCAGTTGACTTCATGTCACTGAAAGCAATCTCCTAGACTTCGCATCTGGAGAATCACCCTGGCTGCTCTCTTGTTGTTGCACCAATGGGGTTGAAGACTCTCTTGGGAGTACCGTGTGCTTTCACTGACAACTAATCCTACCTGACTTGTTTTAAAATTGGTAAGTGATTTTTTCGACTGTATTCTCAAGATCTCACTGTAAATATCAGTTCAACCACACCAGGGTTAGCGACTGTCATTGGTGAGTATTTTTTTTCATATGTCTAACCAAGTTTACTGTTCACATGAGTATCATTCAGTCATATACACCACACTTGGCACATGTAAACGCACTAATTCAGTCTCACAGGTAAGTTTTCTAGATTGCTGATACAATTCACAATTGACTCCAGCCCAATTATTTGTGCCGGGCTTCCCAATAGGCACTTTTGAAATGAAGGTTCAAGATGGTGACCTTATGTACACAATGCCATATAAAACAGTCTTGCCTGTTTACATCGAGACATGTCAGTAGACATTTCCTTTTTTCCTTTTTTTTTTAATGGATATTTGTACCCTGCAGTCTGACTACATGTCAACTACGCACACTTTCAGTGACTTCGCGTCCTACAGCACTTGTACATTGAGACTATGCATCTCATGGCTGTGTGGCATCCCAAACGACCCTGTCATGCAGGTCCCTCATCACATCCCCACTCTGATCACCCGCCACCTGTGACTCCTACAGACTCACAGCCGACGACTATCATTTGTGAACTGTGGATGGTTTGTTGCAAATGCCGAGCTTCTTGGACTTACCACTCGGTTGCACCTCCCCTTCTTGTTCTACCTGGCCGGCAGTGCTTTACCCAAACTATTTCATCTTCATCTCAATGCTTGCTTGCCCAGGATCAAAGTCACCTGCATTCCCCTAGTGGTGCTGATCCTCCAGATCACGATCCCTTCATCACCGACAAACCTCTTTTCAGTGACTTCCTCTATGAGCCTGATGGTCCTATCAACCTTCCATGCCCACATCTGTCTGGCCTCCAGAAGAAGCAAAATCAATGGCGGAGATGGTCTCAAGAAGTCATTCCTTCCCTCATCAAACCTTACCTTGCCTACTGCTGGCAATCAGAATCCTTGCAATCCAACCCTGACCTTGGTCTCCTCACCAGAGACAATTTACATTGCAGTGCGTTCTGTCGCTTGCGATCACTGGCAGTCACCTGTGTACTCTTTGACCGTGCATTCTGTCTTTTGTGACACAAGCATCTTCACTTATTTTTGCCATAAATATTAGGTTTGCAAGTCATCAGCATTACCTGCTGTGAGTGTTGTCCAGCACCACTCCAACTCATGACACATGGGTTATTTGCATGTGCTCCTGTTACCCTGTCTCTTGCAGTAGACATCTGTGTGTTGGAGCTAGTAAAAAATCTGTTTGTATGGATGACTCCCAACTCAACTGCATGGTGCGATGTGCTAGAAATTTTTTTGAATGAGCAAGGTTATAAATTGAACACCAAGGTCAGTCTATCGCTATTTACATTGTGTCGTCGTGTTCACTCCAGTTGATAGGACAGTCTTAGATGCCGGTTTAGCAATGCATATCATTGGTATACTGTTCTGACCATAATGGCATCGGACTACCTTACCACATTTATCTCTAAATCTCGGCGTGCTGGTGCAGAAGCAACAACCAACACACCACAACTACTAAGTCAGCCAAGTGCTTACCTTTCTTCATGTTGTCCTCTGTGCTTTGGTGGGAATGACTGGCGGCAGCATCATGATCTGACCACAACGTAAGACACTTAAATTTCACTCTATATCTTAGCTCATCATTTCATTAGGGTCAACTGCATCATTTGTGTTGATGCCTGCTTCACCCAAAAGCACTCCAACAACCCATGAAACAGTAGCATGCAAGATCCACCTAACCACATGCCAACTGTTTTTATCCCTGAACCCAAAGTCAAGTTGATGGAAGACCATGTCAATGACTGCCATGGGGGCAGAACTGGGACATGCAAACAACCAAGGCAGCCAGCTGAAGAGGTTCATGACGGGTATGAGGACAGGATGAGGATTCCAGTGTCTGTCTTGGATGGGTGCAGCGAGTCCTTTGTGGCAGCAGACAAAAAGCGCCAAAAAGCAAGTACACGCTTTTTTGCAGACACTGGACTCATGGCATTACTTTGTCGACACAATCGAGTGCTGTGGCTCATTAACATGACCTCTGCTGGCGAGAAGCAATATTACTCCCTTGCATTAGTGAAGTGGCTCTTCAAGCATCTACCGCCTGATATGCTGGTGGGGTTGCTATACGACATTGGATGTCAACTTGAGCATAGTTGTCAGAAGTGGGGCTTCCTGGATGACTCTATTCTATCATGTATCAGCTTCAGAATATCTGTGTTTCATGCATACGGTCACCAGTGGCCTTGTCAAATTGTCTACCACCCTCAAAAGTGTGCTGGGTTTGGGCTATCTGATGGAGAGGGCTGTGAGCATCTATGGAGTGCCTTGAAACATCTCATTCCAATGCTTTGAGTTTCTGGTGTATGTTACACGCTACTGTATGTTTCATGCTGGCTGGTACTGAATGTTTTCTCTTTAGTATCACCAGCGGTTATTTGTACTGGATGTACAAGTGCACTACTTGGCTCTCAAGTCTCTGGATGCATCAGGGCAATGGTTAGTGCAGAAGTGGATGATTTGCCAGAGGAAGAAACACGCAGCTCTGGATGGCCTGAGGGATCTTGGGTCTGATGAGGACATCCTCCGAGAGGAGTGGGCAGCCCAGATAGCTCATCAGACAAAGCTGATAGCTTGTAAGTAATTTTCTGGATTTTATTTGACAACCTGTCATATTTATTTTTGTGTACAGGCAGATCTAAACATAAAGCTGCAGAGGCTATTGTGGGCATTCTTGCATTGGAAAAGACCCTTGAAAGCCATCAGAACACTGTACAGCAACTCGAACATCAGCTCATTAGCAACAATGTTGATGACATGACTACTTTCAATCTCCAGCTTCATGATGCACGTGCCTGATGTGCCAAGGTCGTCAAGACCCTTGGGCGGAGATGAGCCACATTAGGTGTTTCAGAGTATGCCGATCTGCAAAAGTTGAAGAATGTTTATCTTCAAGTTTGTATGAATGCCCACGCTTTGAAAATGTGACTTTGAGAGCAACTCCAACAATGAAAATTCAAGCTGGAAAAATTGGAATGGTCTTATTGAAACACAGTCAATGGTACATTTAATTATTTTTCATTCATATTAATGATTTACATTGAGTTATAGAACTGAACGTACACAATCACACAGAGGCCTCCATCAAGCGGCGAGAACCTATGATCCTCAAGATTGTCTCAACATACAACTCCTTGTGCAACCAACTGCATGTGCTGATACATCAACGCAAGGTGCCTGCTAATGCCATTCCACCCATACCTATCTCATGTGATGGTATCTTTCAGCTGGATGTTGATGATGACATTTGGCAAGATGTAGGTCTGGAAGATGAGACTGTGAACCCACCTCAATGGCTTGCTGATGACAATGTCCATCAGGGAATTTGTCTGTTACTTGATCTTGATCACTGTTTGGAAGAAGAGGACAGGTTAAGACACAAACACTGTGTTATGCAAGAGTGCATGATCACAGAGTGGACTGCACTTCAGGAGGCTCGAGAAGTCGCAAGTGAGTTGCCTACTTAATCATTATTGTTGGTATGTCCTAAAATATGGTGTTAGATGTTGATGTGGCATGGCACCTCGAGAAGCATGCTGCACAGCTATCCCTCATGTGCTTTGAGTGGCAATCAAGAGTACATCCCATACCCAGTGCATGGGAAATGTCTGATAGTTGGGGACCATCCTCCACTGATATTGCCCATGCTGGACATTCACTTTACCATGTAAAAACTGTGCAGCCTGCGAATGCTGACTCGGGGGAATTGTCAGAGGATGAGAGTAACAATGATGACATCAATGAGGGAGGAGTTGATGATGAGTTGATGGTAGCAATAGAGGAAGTTGCATATGCAAATGAATATTGGATTGTGGAATCAGATTCTGAAGGAGACCTAGAGTACTGGGATGAAGTACATGTGCCATCTTCTCTGACCTTGTATTAAATTTTCGTGTCAATGAATTTCATCAGTATTAGACACTCGGATATGAGGAGAGTAACAGATATTCAGCATGACTTGTCAACTGTAAGACATTTCAGCTTCAAATTAACCAAAGTAAACTCCATTAATGCTGTTTTTCTGGATCACATCGAGAGTGTTGGCAACTCAGTGAATTTGCAGGATGATATGGGGGCTGGATATTCCCAACTTGACAGTAAGGGGGGGTGCATATTCCCAACTTGACAATATGGGGGTCTGGGACTTCACGATTTGAGAATATATATGGTCAGGGAATACCCGACATGACAATATGAGGGTCTGGATATTCCCTACTGAATAATGTAGGTGGACTGGGACTTCCCTACTTGACAATAAGGGGGGTCTGGATATTCCTGACTGAATAATTTGAGTGGTCTGGGATGTCCCGACTTGACAATAAGGGGGTCTGGATATTCCTGACTGAATAATTTGGGTGGTCTGGGAAGTCCCAACCTGACAATAAGGGGGGTCTGGGAATTCCCGATTGAATAATTTAGGTGGACTGGGACATCCTGACTTGACAATAAGGGGGGTCTGGATATTCCCGATTGAATAATTTAGGTGGACTGGGATGTCCCGACCTGACAATAAGGGGGTCTGGATATTTCCAACTGAATAATTTGGTTGGTCTGGGACTTCCCAATGTCAGCATATATATGGTCTGGGATGTCCTGAGTTCAGAATATATATAGTCTGGGAATCCCCGACTTGACAATAAGGGGGTCTGGATATTCCCACCAACACAATATGAGTAGTCTGGGAATCCCCAGCTTGACAATATGGGGGGCCTGGGAATTCCCCACCAAAGAATATGGGTTGTCTGGGAATCCCCAACTTGACAGAGAGTTGTTGAATCTGCAAATTCCAAGTTGGGACTTGGTTTGCCAGGGTACTCTTGCACACTGGGAATTCCCGGCACCTGAATATATGTAGTCTGGGCTTCCCAACTTGATAATTTGGGGTGTCTGGATATTCCCAACTAAAGAATTTTGGTGGGGCGGGAATTCCCAAATTGACACTATATATGGTCAGGGAATTCCTGACTTGACAAAGAGTTGGGGGGTCTGCAAATTCCAAGTGTAGGGACTTGACTAACCAGGTTACTATTGCACACTGGGAATTCTCAACTGAATAATTTGGGTGGTCTGGGACTTCCTGACTGCAGAATATATATGGTCTGGGAATCCCCGACATGACAATATGGGGGGTCTGGATATTCCCCACCAAAGAATATGGGGGTCTGGACTTCCCTGACCTAACAATGTGGGGTCTGGATATTTCTGACTGCAGAATTTCAGTGGGCTGGGAATTCCCGGCATGAGAATATATGTGGGCTGGGATGTCCCAACTTGACAATATGGGGGGTTTGGGTATTCCCCACTGAAGAATATGAGGGTCCAGGAATCCCCAACATGACAATGTCAGTCTGGATATTCCTGATGTGATAATATATATGTTCTGGGAATCCCCAACTGGATGGTATGTGGGCCTGGATACTCCCCACCAAAGAATAAGGGAGTGTGGAAATTCTTGGCTTGAGAATATATGTGGTCTGGATATTCCCGAATGAAGAATTTTGATGGTCTGGGAATCCCCAACTTGATAATATATGTGGGTGGTAAGTCCTGGCTGGAGCATATATATGGCCAGGAAATTCCAAACATGAGTATATGTGGCCGGGGAAATCCCATCATGACATATCATCACTTGAGCAGATATACTCATGATCCTCATACCACCCTACCATGATCCTGATAACACCTTCAGATGGTTCTCATACCAAGCCATCATGATCCCTATACTACCCTCTGATGGTTCTCATACCACCCTATGGTACCCTCCAATTGCTACACCTATGGAATCATCACTTGGGGATCGCACCATTCAGATATTGATCAACCAATTCATGGTCTCAGCTACCCACCCACACCTACAGAATCATCACTTGGGGATTGCACCATTCAGATATTGATCAACCAATGCCTGGTCTCAGCTACTTGCCCACGCCTACAGAATCATCACTTGGGGATTGCACCATTCAAATATTGATCAACCAATGCCTGGTCTCAGCTACTCACCCACACCTACAGAATCATCACTTGGGGATCACACTATTCAGACCATCATGATCCCTATACTCCCCTCCAATGGTCTCTGATAACACCTTCAGATGGTTCTCATACCACCCTATACTACCCTCTGATGGTCCCTGTACCACCCTCCTATGATCCCTATACCACACCTTCATGATCCCAGCTATACCCCCCCAATATGGTAAAAAAATCAGCCCAAAAGACCCCTGACACCACTCACGTTATGGGGAAAGCGCATGGGAATGTTCACAAAATTATGTCCCAGGTGGGCTGGGAAAGCATTGGCTTTGTCCCATAGGACTTATCCCATACCTACAGTACAATGGGAAAAACCAGAGGAATCACACCTCTTAGGTTAATACATGTATACAGGACTATCAACCTAATAGGTATACTTTTGGGGGTGACTGAAGTGGTCGAACACCAATCTCGCGGCACTCCCCATATCTTCATTCAGACTGCGGCCGCTGTCCAAGAAGCCTTTGAGTCTAGCGGGTCTCGAATGATTTATACAGACTCTCCTACCATCCTTGCAGATCAAGTGTTATGTGCAGATCCAGCAGAGTTTAATCGTACGTCAGTTAGTTATATGTTGGCATCTTTTACCCTAATTTATTACTGAGGAATCGCTCAGAAAATGGCACGCGACTTAGATACTACAGTGGTGTATGCAGATACACTTCTGTTAGCAGAACGGTTGAGAGATGCTGCTCTCAAAATTCCTCGAGTGGTCAGTTAAGAAATTGGTGCTTGGGCTGTTTGTCTGACAATTAACTTACGGACTTTCTGTGTTCTCTTTTGCCGCATTTTTGATAATGGTTATGTCGTTCGTTCGTCGTATTGTCCGCTGTGAATGAAGTCCATGACACCTGTTGTGATGACATAATCTGAATTAGTCATTTGCTCATATCTAATTGCGGAATGCGCCAGGCTGTTGACTTTCATACAGAAATGATGGCAAGCAGCTACATTTGTAGAATCGCAGGTCAGACGATCAATTGGAGTCGTGGTTCATATTCAGGCGAGTAGTCTTTGTCACTATGCATTTTTTCATATCTTGGACAGGTTTCAGGTATAAATCAATTTGGACGCATTCGCGCTCTCGTATGCTCTGGATATTGGAGCACATAGCATCCTCGCATATGCTGTGTGCTTTTGCATCAGCGTGGTTGAAACAACCTCGAGGTTAATTGTTCGCGCTGTTATCGAACCTCGGGCCATTCATAGCATGGCATATGTGTGAGGGCCAGTGATGAAATGAGTTTGCCGGATGGATTTTAAAAAAGTAGTGTAATTATTGTTCGGGAGGATCGTTCTTGAAGATACTTTGTACCATTATCTCATTCGCCATAATGTAATTCTGTGCAGAATCAGCAATAACGCAGTCTAATTCATTTTGGTGTGTCTGGTGTCAGACGGTTCGCGATGATCACGTGTATATTTTGTGATGTTTACCACCACAGGTCACGCCGCATTCAGAGACCTTGCTCCGCAAGGTAACTCCGCAAGGTAATAAGGCAGACGAAATAGAACGAAGTTCCTTATCTGAGTTAAGCATCAAACCTTCGAACTTCTAGTACACGCAAGGTATAGCTTCAATGCTCATATCGATGCCACTTCTCAGATCTGATGGGAAGCTTCTGCCAGTGTGATGCATTGTGCACAAAGGTTCTCGCTTTGTGCGAATCCAATCCCAGCACTGAGGCGTGAGGACAAGCGCCTAGGGGTTCCTTATTAGTAGAGGGGCCAAAAATCACCGTCAGTGGTTCCTCTCTCTCGTACTATCAGCAACATGGCTCAATATTCAACAGCAAATCGTCTTTCCAAGTCAAAAGATCAACCTAGCCTGGAATATATCATCAATCATGTCCTCCTTCCCCTCAAGTTACCGCAAGGGAGTTACCAATCCCTCGAGAACGACCTGGTCTTATCTCAGGCAGTATTTGATGCTGCTATCGCCTTCAGTCACCAGCTGCCATCCAATAAGCTGTTTCTTTGGATGAGCAGCTTGAAAATGCTTCGCAATCTCAAAGATTCAATCAGATTCAGCGTGATGTCTTCAAAGGAAGTCGAATCTCAAATCAATGCTATGGGCACTGAAGGTCTGTTGTTTTCATCTCATTTGCATTGTTTTCTGTGTTGAGTATCGATTTTCAGATGTCCTTGTATATGTGATTCGCGCACAAAATGCTGCGGTGGTCATGAGAAAACTCGAATCCGAGACCATATTCGAGTCATTTGAGGTCTCTCCTGACCCCACCGCAGTAATGGGCGCAAAGGGAAAGCTGATCTGTTCTTATCCTGGACCTGCTATCACAGTTCCAGATACGAACATTGATAATGCCACCTTTGCCACCGAGCTCGCGAATTTTCTTGTTTGTATGGATCAGGATGTCCTTGATGCGGCGGCGACAAGGAAAAAGGCTAAATCCACTGTTCTCGAAAAGAGGGACACTTCACATCCAAGATATATCACGGAACTCCTGACTGGTATACTGCGTGGCCTCGGGAGCATCGCTGATGTTCCTCGCATCCGCAAGCGCATCGGAGATGATGTGCTGTGGGACAGCGTGAAATTGCCGTGGAGGCGGTCTCCACTTTGGCTTGTCATTCGCGTTGCCTTACAGACAACTCTGGAGCGCAGTGCTCTTGGACGAACAACATATAAATCGTTCATGCTGTTCTTCATGGCGAGGCTCACAACCCTTGCCCTCGGCTATGGCTTGTCGAATGATATCTTACACTTCATGTCGGCGAAAATTGCGTGCCGCCTTTTCAAGCTTGGATCCTCTGCATCTCTGGAGTTGTCGCAGATGGTCAATAAAGCCACCAGTGATGTAAGGAGTGTCCTGGAGGAAAGATGGAGATCTGTTCAGAACATGCAACAGATCTCGCCTCTTTGGGCTCCTGAGACCCTCCTAGCCTTGCGAGATACTCATCTTTCCTTGAACACGAGCCGAGAGTACATATGCCAAAGCTTTGCAGAACGAGCATTCATCCCCCAAAACAGCCTCATTCAATCCCAGCCATCACACGCGCGGGACAATCAATGATTTCCTTGACGCCAAAACTAGCTTCCTGGTAGCTGCTCATGCCTCAGAACCATCTCTTGCCCTTGCAGATTTCGAGACCGCCATTAGTTCAGGGATCGACGACTGGGTGGCGCGCGTTGCACCTCAGAGTATTGATTCCGTATGCGTCTCGATTGAGGCATGCGCCTCTGCGTACTCCTCGAGAGCGCTTACGGCTTATAAAGGAAACCCGGAGAATTTATCTATCATGCTTCTCACCCTTCTTGAGCTCTGGGTAGCCATGGATAAGATCGTTGTTGGACAAACTCCACTCCTGGCAGAATACTCCCCCGAAATCCCATTGACACTTTGGGAGTGTCTTTTAATCCGCAAAGCTTCTGGCCTTGATCGTTTGAAGATGTTGTACGCCTACCTGAAAGCTCGTCATTGCCAGGCTTCCAGCGGTCTCTCAGCATTCTCGTTTACCAGCGATGACAAGTCGTTCGCAGCGCGATACTTTTACCAGTCATCCAAGCTGCAGAGTTTGAAGGTTCGCATCGAGGCAGATGGTCAGAAACAGCGGGGGAAGAAGTTGACCGAGCTTCGGACCCTAAGCAAGAGGTACGGTGACCTGGAGACGCGCGCAGCAAATTTAGCGCACGAATACGCTGTCAACTCCCGCGGCTGGGAGTACCACAACAAAAAGCGTTGTCAAAAGTGTTGCGTGGAGAAGGAGATGCAATCCATGACGATTACAGTTCATGAGTGGCCGCTACCAGAGCGTAAACAGGAGGCGATAGTGGTCGTGTTTGAGCTAGCATGCCCCGTTGCGTTCGACATGTGGAGATCCATGACATTTCATGTCTTCGTTGATATCTGCACTCCAAACAAGATTTCGTCCACTTGTCCCTTCATGACACTGCAAAAATATGATGCCTTGCATCAATACCGCACGTGTCACCCAAGCCAAAGGCTCACTTTGGCGTCAGATGCCAAACCTTTCTCCAAGTGTCATTACAGTAACACTCGCATTCCTATGCAGGACACCAAAGTCTGCGTGAACAATGGACTCAAATTTCGGCCTTTCGACACAACCACAGATACATGGGCGGCAGACGTACTACTGCGATGCGATGCCACCAAGCTGTGCACTTTCCTTCTTCCAAAGGGACCATATGATGGTTTGCAACAGTATCTTGCAGGGACATCCCACACGTCAAACGAGGTTATAGCTAATCAGGCAGATTGTCACAGGGACATGACTATATACGAATTCATCGCGTTCGGAGCCTTGCGGAGTGGACCTCGCTTGCAATGGATGAACGTGCTACGTGAACTCCGTGCAAGGACGCTCAATCTTCGACGTGAGGAGGTTCATCTACTGTTGGCGCAAGCTATTTCACAGGTTGGCCCATTTTCGTCCGACGATGGCCTTATTTGGCACGAGGAGTTGAACAGCGTGCCCTTCCTGGGTGCACTACTCAGAGAGCTGGAGAATTTGATGGCGAGCGTTGAAGGGAATTGGTTGGAAGCTGTCACAATCGACACTATCGTCATGCTTGTGTGCCGCATCTTGTCCTCGACTCAGGAAGAGAGTGTCAAACGTCGCGGATACTTGTTCCTTCGAAGGATACGAACTGCAACTTTTACGTTGTTGACACAACTATCTGGGAAATTGCAAGCTAGCAACGAGGAGACGGTCAGCCAGGATTTACAAGCGCGCGTACGGGATATAGCAGTCACCTGTCGCAGCACTTTCGATGTTGACGGAGACGCTTCACTGCTCCTGACATCGGACGATGACATCAGGGTTTTTGCATATTGTGCGGTCATGATTTATGACAACACTCCAAGCCAATTGAGTAATCTTCCACAACATTCCAAGCTACTGCTAGAGCGAGACAAGAGATGTTGCCACGCATTAGAATCAGCTATTCGTCGATACGCAGAGCTTCACAGGGAGGGTCTCGATTCCGCGATGGTCAAGATTTGGGGCAGTCACAGACCAGGAACTCCTTGGAGGGCACTGACGGCTTCAAATTCTCGTTGGCTTGTGGCGCAAACTGCTCCATCGCATTCCCAATCACCACAGGACGTGCACATCAATTTGATTAGTGGATGCTTGCTTGTTGACGGGAAGCAGCTGGGCAGGCTCCCTTCAATGATAGTCCAACATCCCACTTACCAATCAATTTTCGGCGATGTGAGTCTTTGAAAGTTGTAGCTTTGTCGGTACATGCTCACCTATCAACTACAGCAAGTTCTGGACATCGTTCCAGCTGATATTCCTGGAATGGAATATGCGACCCGCGGGAACCTCTGCGACCATCAGGTTAGTAGTTACTCTTGTTCCCATCATTTAGTAACTAATGATGCACTCGCTTATTCCTGAAGGTGTCTTTCTCTCTCCGTGACTCGAACAATCTCATCATCCATGCGAAGCATATCAAACACGACTCACCCATCCTCCAGCTCATTCCGAGCCACAAATTTGAGGACGACCTACCCACAATCTTGGTAGCAGGCCATACTCATTGGCTCAACCTTCGCACGAGGGAAATCGAGATTCGGCCAGCAGAGAATGCGTGGAAATTTTCGCCTGATAATTGGGTCTTGAAATTTGCTGTTTCGGGTTCCTCGACGATGCAGAATTCCAGTGGTGCTACCCATGTCGACATACGCAGCCAGATGTGGGATATGATCTCCAAGAGGCTGCGTCCTCTGGAGGATACATGCTTCCTCATGGTCACGTATAATACAGCACCCGGCAGCACTCCCTTGTTGAAGGCTGATTTACCTCGTTATGGCCTCGAGTTCTTCATTGATGAGGACGGAGACTTGCAGTCCCGTAACATGCGCAACATGGTCGTTGATGTCATTCAGTTTACTGGCACCATGTTGGGATTGGTTAATCAACTCATCCTGCGCCCGAAGTTGCAAGTTGCGGATGAGCATCCGCGCGTCGTCATCATCCCAGATGGTCGTATCTCATACTCTGCGAATGGTCACCATGTCCGCGTCATCATCACTCCTGAAGGTACTCGAGTGACATACCGGTTGTACAGGATTGATACAGATCTACGCTGTCTCACTGGGAATGTGGGTCTGACAAGTAAGCTCTATCAGGCGTTCCTTTACGCTGTTACCAGCGGCTGCCTCCCTGATCCCCTGACAGGCAGAACAGGGACAGAGGAGGCGTTGCATCTCTTGCATTCCGCAGCTTGCCGATCGTTTATGAGGCTTCGCTCTCGTGACACAGATCTCTTGCGCGAGATCAGTTCGCTGTCAACCAGGCGCGTCTGGTATCCCATTCATCTTCAGAAGATGCAGAAAATTTCGTGGTCATGCCTTGCGCCCCTTGCACAACACCATGGATTTCATCCAGCCGCAAAATCTATCATGGATTATGGCATGCAGCTTGCGACTTTCTCAGAAGAGTCTGCAAACCTTCCGCTCGCCTATGAGCTTCCACAATTCACCAACCACCTTCTTGAGCGCGCGTCAGTTCGTGCATCGGCGATCTATCCTGATCAGTTCACTCTTCCATTTCCACTCGGTGATACAGATGTTATTTATTCTTCACGTGATATTCCCGATAAAGTCGCGGAAGAGAGGGCATTTCGAACCGCCTTCATGGTGCACAAGTGGCCAAGCAGACTTCCAGTGCAGCGTAATCTCCTTGGTTTGTTGACTCAGTGGCAAAATTTTGAGGGCATTGGCGAGCCGCTCAGCTTGCAGTACTCCAAAGACTGGCTTCAACCAACTTTTCCCGACATTTTCCTTTCTGCGTATGACCGCTGTCGTAGGGCTACAAAGAAAGATACATCTCAACTAGTGTTCACCCTAGCTTCGGTATCGTACAGCTTGTTGGAAGATCATGCGCTCGTGTCAACACTCCTAACCTTCGCCACAGTTCCTGAACTTCGTAGCTTGGGAGGCCCACCAAAGTTCACGTCCTATAATCTCTCGGATGGCTTCATGCTGTCTGATACGATATTGGACAATATCATCAGTTCGTGCACCGAAGATTACGAAATCAGCCAGGAGAGACACCTACCTACAATGCTCGGAGAAGATGAAAAAACTCTTGGGAGGCGTCGTTATTCAGCTTTCGAAGACAAGTGTCGCTCTGAAAAGCAAGTCATTCTCAGCAGAGTTCGGGATGCCTGGCCGTCCGAAGATCCTCCGGCACTTAATACGCTGCAAGTGGACTGCTACAATCTCAGTATACTGTCAGGGAAACTTTCTCCAGTATTTCGCAGCTGTTGGCGAAACCGTCGTCTGAAGCTACACCTGGATAGCCTGCAGGGGACCCTAAACCAGTTCTACACTCCCAATCATCCTTCGAAACTACCCTCTCAATATGATCTTGAGCCTCACCTCGAGGAATCGGATGTTGTATCACCGGCCTCGTCCATTGATGCCCAGTACCTTTTCGGTCGAGATGCACCTGTTATATCTATGCATGAGCCCCAAGTCCTTCACAAATTGAGTCAAAGAGATTCTATATCTCCAGACTCCGGAGTCACAACAAGGTTGCAACAGCCGATCAACGACTTTCGTGCCCGAGGAAGTGGTGACAAGTTTCGCTGCAAATATGCCGATGATCTGGACCAGAGTAGGTCAATTTACTGTGATGAAAAGATGGTTGCCCTACCAGATCCTACGCCATACACGATGGATTTACTGCTCGAGTGCCATTCTCTCCATAGCTGGCAATTTCAAGATTCACTCGCATCTATCTCATACGCCCTCTCCCCTGCCTCTGCTGCTGAAAACACATTATACAATGCTGGGCTATGGCCTCGAGTTACACCAAATTTCCTCTTCACTCGCATGGCTTCTGCAGCAGGAAGTTCTTTGGGGAAGGCTTGGCGTGCTACTCTTATCCAGTTGTCGCAGATACTTTTGCAACTGCAACGCTCGCGAAGGCTGTTGGTGTTTGCCGCTAACAAAAACTGGAACGAGTTCTTCAAGGAGTTGGAGAGCGAAGAATGTGCGGAATTTGATCCAGAGCCGTGCCCTGACTGGCTCTTAATACAGGTGCGCTATAAAGAAATCAATCACTGATGGTAACTGATAATGACGCCCTTAGATTGAAAGTCAGTTCTTGGCACGGCCAGTCCAGGTCAAGGTTGCGCTGGAGATGATGTCGCCATGCACAGGAATAAATACTTCTCTGCAGCTCAACATGGGCGAAGGAAAATCCTATGTCATTGTTCCTCTCGCAGCAGCCGTACTTTCTGATGGCCACAGCTTGGTCCGAGTAATCGTACTGAAGTCGTTGTCGGCTCAGATGTTTCAGCTACTGGTTGAACGACTCAGCGGCCTTGCACAGAGGCGTACCTTATTCCATTCTCCCGCGCACTCTCTATCGACTCATCGAGGGTGAAAATGTATCGCGACCTGATGCAAGAATCCATGGATGCCAAGGGCATTTTGGTCGTGCAACCGGACCACATTCTGTCATTCCAGTTGATGGCTATTGACCGTCAGCTGCCCCCTCTGACTGAAGCTGCTGACCATCAGCTGGCGCCCTCTCGGATTGAAGCTGCTGGAGATATGCTTCGGACTCAGTTGTGGCTTGACAATCACACACGCGACATCCTGGATGAAAGCGATGAAATTCTGCACGTCCGCTACCAGCTGGTATACACTGTGGGCCTCCAAAGGTCACTTCAAGGTCATCCCGAACGGTGGACGACCACACAGCAAGTGTTAGGTCTTGTCGTGAAGCACACTGCCAGGTTCATGAGAGAATTTCCCTCTCGCTCAGAAGTGTCTACTCGCGAGCACGGAGTCTTCCCTTTTGTTCGAGTTCTGCACCCGACAGTAGGTGAAGCATTGGTCCAATGGATCGCACAAGATGTCGTTAGCGGGGCACTTGACAACATCAGCTTCGACCAAGCATCTTTCCACGCGAAGCAGGCTGTCCACCAGTTCATCGCAACTGAGAAGATCTCCAACACTTGCATCAGCTTAGTAGAGAAGTGCTATAGACACACTACGGTCTGGCCCGGCCTCCTAGTCTTGCGTGGACTGCTAGCATGTGGTATCTTGGTGTACGCCCTCAAAGAACGTCGCTGGCGCGTGGACTACGGCCTTCCCCCGAAACGAACGATGCTAGCTGTTCCATTTCGCGCCAAAGATATGCCCTCGCTGCGCGCAGAGTTTGGCCATCCAGACGTTGCTGTCATCCTCACGTGCCTGTCATACTATGATGGGGGTCTCACGCTCCAGCAGCTGATGTTGTGCTTCGAGCTCCTGCTAAAGCAGGATAATCCCGCCCTTGAGTATGAATCCTGGGTACTTGGACTTCAGTCCATCCCAGAAAGTCTGCGCCACCTCAGTGGAATCAATACGGAATCCGCAGAGCAGCTCCGTAACCTTCAGCAACGTTTGAATTCAACAAGGCAGTCATAGATTTCTACCTGTCCCGAGTAGTTTTTCCCAAGGAAGCGAAAGGATTCCCCAGCAAGCTCACCTGCTCCGGGTGGGATCTTGCTCAAGAGAAAAGACATCTCACAACTGGCTTTTCTGGTACCAACGACAATCGTTATTTGTTACCAAGCTCAATGGTGCAGCATGATCTTGATTACCAACGCAGCACGAATGCCCGAGTTCTGGCGTTCCTTCTGCGCTCAGAAAACAATCACTATAGACCCATACCGCCCGGCCAGAAGGTGCGACATTTCATCGATACCTTAATCGCGCAAACCCCCGAGGTCCGCGTGCTCTTGGATGTGGGTGCGCAGATGCTGGAATTGAAGAATCAGGAATTGGCCGAGACATGGCTTCGAGCCAAGCGCGACGCCCAAGCTGCAGTCTTCGTGAATGACGATGATGAAATTGTCGTCGTCAGTCGGGATGGGACAGTGGAGCCCCTTGTATCGTCCCCCTTTGCCCAGCAGCTTGACCAGTGCGTGATATATCTGGACGATGCACACACCAGAGGAACGGATGTCAAACTTCCTTCCGGCTTCCGGGCTGCTGTTACGCTTGGTCCGAAAGTCACGAAAGACCGCCTGACGCAAGGTTCGTGATCAGAGTTCATGCGTATAAGTTTCGACAATAACCAATGATACAGGATGCATGCGAATGCGGAAGTTGGGCAATGGACACTCGGTCATGTTCTTCGCTCCGACGGAAGTTGACCGAGGCATTCGTTCGGCGACTCAGAAAGCTGATACCGACGATGTCGAGGTGGCAGATATCCTGCACTGAGCGATGCTCGAAACTTGTCTTGACATTCAGATGCGTGCATTCCACTGGGTTCAACAGGGATTGGATTTCAGCACACGGCATTCCGCATGGACTCAATTCTCGCGCGCCCCTGCCACTTCGATTTCCACCCTGGAAACAGCGTGGTTGCAGCCAGAGGAACGTTCATTAGAGGATATGTACGCACCACGCAGTCCTTCACAAGTATCCGACGTTTGCGATGCAGACATTCGAAGCAAGTGCGAGGAGCTCGGAGTTTCAATGGGACCCGAAAGGAGTATGGATGAAGAACAAGAAAGGGAGGTAGTCCACGAGATAGAGAAGGAACGTCAAGTTCAAAGACCCCCCAAACTAAAACCTGCAGCTCAGGACCTGCATGCGGACGTTCGTCGATTTGTCAAGACCGGCCGAATTCCTATAGGGTCCCCCGCATTCATTCCAGCGCTATCCAGCCTTGTCAACACTACTGCTGAATTTCATGAAGGCAATCAGTGGGCACGCAATATTTTAGTCACACGTGACTTCACTCGCACAGTGGGGAGTTTCCCTGTAATGGAGAAAGCAGATGAATACCTGCGACCCGTCAATTGGATCGTATCCAGTGACCTTGGAGTGCTGGTAGTCATGAGCCCGAACGAGGTGGACAGACTACTGCCCGATATCCGGAACAGCAATGTGGTTCACTTGTGCGTCTATACTCCTCGCACCACAAACACGATGAAGGCATGCGATGATCTTCAACTCTACCGCGTTCCTTCGACACCACATCTGACACTATCGGAACCGCTGATTTGCCAGCTCAACCTTTTTGCGGGTCAACTCTATTTCTCCAGTTACGAGATGTATCTCCACACTTGCCACTTCTTGGGGCTTAACGCGCCGGATTTGGGGGACGAGTACTTCATAGCCGAAAGTGACGGATTTATCAGGGAGGAGAATCGCCCTTGGGCGAGAGCATCGTGTTCGTTCAAGCGATCCCAGCTTCCTCCACTGAAGGAGTTATTCGGAATAAGAAGGAAAGGCATGGGGTATCTGCCAACTCACCTCGGAAAGATGTTCAATGGCCGCATTCTGACTGAGGGGGATTTTCTCGACTGAGCGCCAGGTCTGTTTAGGGTATGTTTTAGCGCTTTTCTGCCAGGGACCCGACTGACTGCAGTTCTGGTCTACAACGACTGTGACAACACTAGGGCCCTTCATCATAATGTAATTTCTTCGTGAATGTATTTATATGCAAATCTGAAATGCTATAGTTTGTTGCTTGAGTAGACATCCAATATTTCTATATAAATTAGATAAAGGAGGTTCATCCACTGAGCGTTCATTTTGCCGCACAGTCAATTGAAAGTAGGGTGTGACTCTACATTCTCGTTTCGTTGCACCCGCCCACCGCTCCCTCAGCAGGATGCGTCTCGTTTCAATGAAGTCCAAATATAATGAAATCAATCACAATCTCCGCTCGACGTATCTCTCTCAAACCGCAGAACAACATCTACATCAGGAAAAAACAAAAATCGTAGGAGTCCTGGTGACGCCTATATAGTCCTATATAGTCACCATAGGTCTATGTAGTTCACGTAGCTGTAACTCAGACTATATAGAGCTACAGTGGGCTACAGGAGGCTACAGCGGGCGCTGGTAGTAATCAGGAATCGCAATAGCAAAATTTCAGTTCGTAGTTGATGGTAGCTGAGTAGTAACAAAACTAATTGATGGCGGACATGCAGAATGTATCAAGGTCGATAAAGGTATTTAAGTAGAAATCATTTGCCAACTCGTAGACATTTGTACTGGTCCATCCACGGTCAACAGACTGTCCCATCTTTGGAATGAGATGACACGGACGAGCGATTTCGTCGACATGGATCACCGCTGCGTTCCGGTGTAATTTGTCCCGTGAGCTGCTGTGGTTCACCCGCTTGACCCATCTTTTTGGCAGAGGCTACAATGTTCTGCTCTCCCGTCTGAAGGGCGTGAGTTATGATGGTATTGTGAAGGCTAGAGCAAAATCTCAGCGACGTTAAGGGCAACACTGAGGCAGAACGACGACGAGGACTTCGTTAAGTATCAAACATCAAGATGTAAGTTACGAGGAAGCAAGATACTACCGGTGACAACGATAGCGGTAGAGACGACATATAGTGTGGAAGGTGCCAAGAGATGATAAGGACATGGAAAAGGAAAAGAAGCTCAGAGGCTAATCCCCCGAGACTTGGAAGCATGTATCTGTCTGTCAACAGGCATTAGAGCACATTGTCCATCGATGAGGTCATGCACGGCGAGGTTACTCGCTGCCAGATCATCTCAGTGCATTTCTCCAAGTGATTTGTAATGGAAGTGCTTACTATCTGGGATCGATGCGATATTCAGCGAGTTCGTGTTTCTAACAGGGCGCGAATGTAATCAGACCATACAGTGAGCGAAAAGACGATTTCGGCCGAGTCACCTAACTCTCCGATAATATTTGTTGTTGCCCGTTACAACTTGCATGATGATTTCTTTGATTTCTTCAATGGGTGAATGATTATCTGGTGAGTCCCCCGTCCTAGCGAGGGCCTTCTCACTTGCTGCAGTCAATGCATCCCACAAGTTTCTATTCAGATCTATCTGCCTCCGGTATAAATCAAAATCACAAACGCCAGCAGTGTTCATGTATCCGGGTTCGATGAGAGTTAGGCCCACGTCGAGAGTCGCAAGAATTAATGGCCACCAAATGTCCCTCTGAATCGGCTCTGCAAACACTTCAGTTAGGTTGTGATAGTTGTAGTCGACCCACGCGGCGGGGGCAGTGAAATGCTGGGTGACATTATAGTTATTGGGAGAGACTGGCAAGAGAAGCAGCCTATATGGAAAGGCGTATTTGGACTCGTATTCCTGGAACTTAGTATGATACACTCGAAAAGAAAAATTACTGTGACCGCATAGGGTTTGGAAATGATGGCAGCGCGATATCGAGCACAATCAAAGGATACGGGTGAAAGATATTCGACGTCAGACGAAGCTACATGTACAATGTCATATTGCAACGCGACCCAGATGGCTGACGCCAGTGATTGAATTGCAGGGGAGTTGGGGTCTAAGACCTGGTAGACAAATATTACATAAGCAAAACCGTCCTTGCCAAATTACTTACCTGTGCTAGGACAAGTGCTAGATCATCCCGTACGCCTATCAATATGGACGGGATGAAAGTTGCAAAGTACGATGTCCATGAATTCTCATACTCAATATACTGAAAAATCCCAAGGAGACGCAAAATTACCGACAAATCTGTCCCAAATGCTCTTGCGCAGCTCCCAGAGTTCGCCGAGGACTCACAAATGTACCAAAGCTTGCTAGAGATGGAAAAGAAGCTTGACTGGACGATGAACCGGAAAAAGGTGGAAGTACAAGACGCATTGGGGCGCAATCCCACTGTATGTTTCGCATGCCTACAACATACGATTGGTCTATTAAACAGATAATCAGACTGTGCGTACACTGCGGCTATTCTTGAGCCATACGGTCTCTGGGCAGCTGTGGCAAACTGGCGAAGCTGGTGCTGAGGGGGTAAACTTTGAGACGGGGCAGGGAATTCCAGCCTGGTCCCTGAAGGTCGAAGGGCGACTATTAGAGGCACGTCTATTTCAGCGAGGATCAGCGTATTGCTTTAACGCCCATGAAGCTTCCCAATCAACGTGCGCGGGACAGGGTCCCTCCTAGGAAGTTCTCGACTCTCATAAAACGAATGATCGTCGAGCTTGACCGCGACCCAACTTTGTATCCAGACGGGAATGTCGTCGAGGTATGCGAGCTTGGTTGAAATGAGGTGGCTGTCTTGTTCTGATTTGTTGTTTCAGTGGCCTCGAGGTCCGACTGTTCAGCAGCCTCTCGATGGGTTCACCATAAGGCGAACCGGAGACCAGCCGACGAAAGTGCGTCTTATAATATACCTCGAGCAAACACCAGAACAGTATAAAGTGGCTGCAGACCTGGGTGTGTCTCGCTCATCTTGACTTGAATTCTCAACTTCATGGCACATCGCAGGCAACATCTTGGGCATTAAAGAGGAGAGTCGTGTTGGCATTATCCAGGCCATGTGGAATTATATCAAAATAAATGGCCTGCAAGACAAAACAGATCGTCGAAGAATACGCGCCGACGATTACTTGAGACCGGTACGCCGACTCTGCTAATTCTTCACTATCATATAAAGTTTATGATTGCAGGTCTTTGGCGGAGAAGGCATTATGTTTCACCAACTGCCAGAGCTAGTCAATCGATATTTGATGCCTCCAGACCCTGTAGTCATCCATTACTCCATCAATCCAGCACAGGCACCCCTAGAGCGCCCTTCTGCATGGGATATTGAAGTCAAGATGGAGGACACGAGTCTGAAGAACCGCATCATGGTGACAGTACAATCAAGTAAAGACAGCATGTCCGACCTCACCAAGTTGGACGACGAGGTAGGATGCTCACTCCCTTTAGTCCGACTCTTTCTCTAACGCCTGAAATTGTAGATTGCGCTGTTATCACAATCACTACATAACTCGCACACGAAGCGGCAATTCCTTCAAAGTTTCGCCCGAGACCCAGCTAATTTCATACAGATGTGGTTGGCGTCACAGTCTCGTGACTTGGAAAGCGTGCTTGGGAGTGGACCGAGCGAAGGTGCTACGATCCGTGCTGAAGAATTGCGTAGGAGCGACTTCTTCAGACTACCTTGGGTTGAGGAAGCTGTTGCTGTCCACGAAGGATTGCGCCTGGCATCTCGAGGCATGCAATGAAAGTAATAGAATTAAGGTTCCTTGCTGTGTCGACCCTGCTTTTGCAGTCTTATTTTATTCTAATCGTTGCATTGTTGTACTTACGTGTGTATTTCGCCAAGAGCTTTCGATGATCATCTTTTCCAAATTTATGCTACGCGCAAGTGGCACGGCTCACCTTAATTTTTTTTTTGACTCCGAAATGAAACATGGGATAAAGACAACAATAGCTCTAAGCGCTGTCTGTCCGACTAACGGCACACCTTTTTCATTCTTACTGTCATGGCCAGTAGACAGGCAAGTCCTTTATTAATTGCTTTTGAGCTATGTAGTCATAAAGGTGGTTCGTGTCACAGCTCGGGAAGTTGAGGCAGGTTAGTCGCCAGTTTGTATTACGTGACTTCTCTACTCAAGTGCCGTTGGAATTAACAGTGGGCTGGTGAGAAAATATCCTCCCGAGATAAGACTATCGTCACGGACGAGTTCAAGGACATCGAGCAGGACATCGAGCTCCGAAAAGAAGGGATCCTGAAGTGCGTTTGCCTTTCGCAGAACTGCATAGAACCAATTGACATCGTATGCGATAAGGCTGCAGGCAGCTGCAGAAGATTACCAGCATGTGCTTTCCAAAAAGAAGGAATCAACCGCTGCACAAGAGACGGAGAAACTCATGCCGCTGGATGTACTGGGAATCGTGATGATCTCCCATGGGGAAGAATTTGGAGATGATTCTGCTTTCGGTACGCCAAAATTCTTTTTGTCAATCTATTTTCCCTTAGTTGATATGTCCAGGGACATCACTGGTGAAGTTGGGTAAAGCCCATTGCAAGGTTGCCACCCTGCAAGAGGCGTACGCCCTCACTTTTCAGGATACCTTCATCACCTCCTGCCAGACCTTCGTTCAAGACATTAAGGACTATGAACACCAGCGGAAGAAGCTGGAGAGCAGGAGGTAAGACAAGCTAGTGCTCCCGCTGTCTTGAAGGTGCTCACCCTGAGTTCAACAGGTTGAGCTATGATGCCGCTATCACCAAGTTAGATAAGATCAAAAGCAGCAAGAAGGAAAAAGAAAAGGAGAGACGAGAAGCTGAGGATGAGCTTCAACGCAGCCGTTTGCGCTAGTGAGTAACACGCCCACATCAATCATCTTACTTGCTAACAAGGACGTAGCGAAGAAACTGCTGAGGATGTGCGCTCCCGAATGCAGGCTATTCAGGAAGATGAGATACAACAACTTCGAGAGTTAACGTCGGTTTTGGATCTCGAGCTCAATTTCGCCAAGCAGTACTACGAGGTATTACAGGATGTGAAAGCAAACTGGTGTGACGAGTATGTTCATCCTAGCCAGCCTGTATCTAGCTCTGATCCCAAATATGTTCAGGTCCACTCTGGCAAAGTTCGAGACTCAACGGAGGAGCTTTCACCCTCCTGCCTTCTCACGCGCCACAGACGATGGCAAATTTAATTCTGTATCCAAGGGATCCATGATTTCCCATGCGTCTGGTGCAATAGCTTCCTTTAACGATTCCGATGAGCACCATTCGTCCCCTATTTCTACCCGCCGCAAGTCGGACGCAGGGAACAGGATTATCTCACGACCATCGTCGCGGGCGTCTCGCAAACGTTCCGATAGCAATGCTACACGGAAACGTTCTGATAGTGATGTCACATCTGGTGCCCCCGAGACTCCAAAGGCAGATAAGTCGGGTAAGAAGATGAACGTTACCGGTTGGGCATCGAGCGCTATGAACTCGGTGACGGGAAGAGGGAAGAAAGACAGAGATAACTTTGCAACTCTCACGAACGATGACGACCCTGAGACAGATATCACCGACTCTCCCCGTCCTCCAAGCTCTCGATCCTCTTCTCGGAAATCATCCAGCTCCAAAGCAAAAGAGCTACTTAATGGGTCCCCAAAAATGCCGACTCAAATCATGAAGCCGCCTTCCCAATATGCACGAAAGCTTGTTCGGGCGTTACATGACTTTACGGGTTCATCAGATGAGCTCACCTTTAAAGCTGGTGACGAAATTATTGTTATTCATGAAGTCCTGGATGACTGGTGGCTTGGCGTTTTATCAAACGGTCGGAAGGGGTTGTTCCCCTCTACGTATACAGAAAACATATCATTGTCATCATCTTATCGAGGCTCAGGGCAGTCATCTGAAGACGACTTGCACCATACTACCGCCAGCGAGGACAGCGAAGACGATATCGGTTACCTTCTCGGAGGTCGTGTTATGGACACGGGCCATCTATCTGCGAGATTTGGACGTGGTTTCGATACAGAGAGTGTCACTAGTACCGTTCCTGAAGATGAGGAAGAGTCAAGGTTGGTGACGGCGAAAATTGTCGAAGAAGAAGATGTGTACTATAACCCGCGTCGCGCATCTCCACAATTGCTTCCACCTTCCATTTCAAGCAGCCGACCTACCTCTGATACCAGCTTTGCAATCAAGCGCGCTCCCCCGCCTCTTCCGTCACGTCGACCGACCAACGCAGCTGCTCCCCCGTTACCTAGCCGCAACTCTATCAGGCTCCAGTCACAGTCTGACAGTCCTCGTCCTCTGACATCAGCATATCTCACACCATCGCCTTCTGCGAGCAGTGTGCAAGGACCAAATGTCTCACCTTTTGATAGCCTGTTGGACGTGTCTTCCACTTAAAGCTTGGGATGCAGTTACTCCGATTTCGTGCAGTGGTCTTGGATTATCTCCATTTGGTGGTTCGATAAGCAACTTAAATTGTCGTTTTACTAAATTATTGACTGACTTACTTACACTACGTCTATCGTGTCAAGGGGGACTCGTCGGGTAGACGAGCCCGGGGCCCTCTAGGTCGAGTTTGACTTCTATTTTTGTTGTTGTGTGCATTCTTCGATACAAGCTCCAGAACAGACATCTTCATTAGTACTAACTACAAGTGCATAATCATTTGGTGTGAAGAATTCATGTTCAAGTCAGGAATCAGGATGCTCGGTTATCACTATAATTAGACACGTGACTTGCAACAATCGCAGCATCTTGCTGGTCATTTCACTCCAACAACCATGTCTTTTAGAAAGATCGACATTGATGCATATGACGAAGATGTCCTACTGGAGGCCGAGCTTTGTGAACCAGATCCACGCGATCCCGCACAGGTCTTAAGCGATGCGAAACAAAAGCAGGCAGCAGTCCGGAGCACATTAGCCAAGTACAGTCCCATCTCGCTACTTTGCAATGTGATCTAACCTAAGCACCACTCATTCGCGCAGAGGAGACATACCAGGAGCCCTGGGGATCGCGCTTGACAGCACACCTTATGGGCCAAATGTAGAGGAGGCTAAGGTGACTCTGTTGTTGCACGACACTGCACCAATACGCTGACATTTGCGCAAGAACCTAACGCTGCAGACGGTTGTTTCGATACTGAATAGCACGAAATCGTCAGAAATAAACAATGTCGTGAAAGCGCTCTCCCAGGATGCTCAGGACACTTTGATGAAGTACCTTTACAAGGGTATGGGGATGCCGGGCTGGGGTGATGTGAGCGGCAGCGTGCTCTTGGGATGGCATGAAAAGGTGCGTCTGGAGCTTGCTTCACATATAAATTTCTGACCATCATTGTAGCTGACGGAAGTCGCTGGCACTGGCTGTATTGTACGAGTAATGACCGACCGAAGAACTGTATGAATTGGCATACCGCCGTCGCCATAGCATCAGACATGGTATAATGGGTTTCAACTACGCGGCAGAATAAACTTAAATCTCCAGTATTCTGATTGACATGGAATCTACTCAAGCAGTAACACGTTTCAGATTCGACTACAAATACATTTACGAAGAACGTCACAATATTACATCAGGCCCTAGTCGCTGTTGATTAGAACTGCAGTCAGTCAGGTCCCTGGGAGAAAGACGCCTAGACGTACCTTAGACAGGTGCTCAGTTGAGAAAATCTTCCTCAGTCAGAATGCGGCTATTGAACATTTTTCCGAGGTGAGTTGGCAGATATCCCATGCCTTTCTTTCTCATTCCGAACAATTCTTTCAGCCGAGGAAGCTGGGATGACTCGAACAGGCATGACGCCCTTCTGCTAGGGCGATTCTCCCTGACAAATCCATCACTGTCCACCATCAAGTCTTCATCCCCCAAATCTGGTGCGTTGAGCCCCAAGAAACCGCAAGCGTGGATATACTTCTCATAACTGGAAAAATAGAGTTGGGCGGCAAAAAGGTTTAGCTGGCAAATCAGTGGTTCCAATGGTGCCAACTGTGGTGTCGAAGGAACACAGTAAAGGCGAAGGTTGTCGCATGCCTGCATTGTTTTTGTTGTGCGAGGCGTATAGATGCATAGGTGAACTGCATTGCTTCTGCGGATGACAGGTGGTAGTGTATTCACTTCGTTCGGGCTCAATACCACCAGCAGTGGGGAGTGTCCAACGTTACTGGATATAACCCAATTGACTGGCCGCAGATAATCATTTGCGTTTTGAAACGAAGAGAGTGTCCCCACCGTACGAGCGAAGTCATGTGTGACTAGAACAGTTTGCGCCCACTGATTGCGCTCATGAAATACAGCAGTAGTGTCGACAAGGCTGGACATGGCTTGAATGAATGCAGGGTCTGTGTCGCCGAACGAATGCCTCGGTCAACTTCCGTTGGAGCGAAGAACATGACTGAGTGTCCATTGCCCAGCTTTCGCATTCGCATGCATCCTGTGCCATTGGTTATTGTCGAACTGATACGCATGAACTCTGGAATTACAAACCTTGCGTCAGGCGGTCTTTCGTGACTTTCGGACCAAGCGTAACAGCAGCCCGGAAGCCAGAAGGAAGTTTGACATCCGTTCCTCTGGTGTGCGCGTCGTCCAGATATATCACGCACTGGTCAAGCTGCTGGGCAAAAGGGGATGACACAAGGGGTTCCACTGTCCCATTTCGACTGACAACAACAATTTCATCATCGTCATTCACGAAGACTGCAGCTTGGGCGTCGCGCTTGACTCGAAGCCATGTCTCGGCCAATTCCTGATTCTTCAATTCTAGCATCTGCGCCCCCACATCCAGGAGCACGCGGACCTCGGGGGTTTGGGCGATAAGGGCATTGATGAAATGTGATACCTTTTGGCCAGGCGGTATGCATGTGTAGTAGTTGTTCTCCGGGCGCAAAAGGAACGCCAGGACTCGGGCATTCGTGCTGCGTTGGTAATCAAGGTCATGCTGGATTATTGAACTTGGTAACAAACAACGATTGTCGTTGGTACCAGAAAAGCCGGTTGTAAGATGTCTCTTTTCCTGAGCGAGATCCCACCCGGAGCAGGTGAGCTTTTTTGGAAATGCCTTCGCTTCCTTGGGAAAAACCACTCGAGACAGGTAGAAATCTATGACTGCCTTGTTGCATGCAAATAATTCCTGAAGATCTCGGAGCTGCTCTGCGGATTCCGTATTGATTCCGCTAAGGTGGTGCAAACTTTCTGGGACAGACGGAAGCCCAAGCACCCAGGACTCATACTCGAGCGTGGGATTATCCTGCTTCAGCAGAAGCTCGAAGCATAACATCAGCTGCTCGTGGGTAAGACCCGCATAATAGTACGATATGCATGTGAGGGTGATAGCAACATCCGGATGGCCAAACTCAGCCCGCAGCGATGGCATGTCTTTAGCACGAAAAGGGACGGCTAACATGGTTCGCTTTAGGGCAAGGCCATAGTCTACGCGCCAGCGACGTTCTTTGAGGGCGTATACCAATATACCATATGCTAGCAATCCACGCAAGATCAAAAGGCCGGGCCAGGCGGTGGTATGTCTATAACGATCCTCCACCAAATTAATACTGCGGTCGGACATCTTCTCAGTTGCGATGAACTGATGGATTGCTTGCTTCACTTGAAGAGATGCTTGATCGAAGCTGATATTTTCAAGCGCGCCATCGATGACATCGTCTACGATCCATTGGACCAATGCTTCGCCTACTGTCGGGTGGAGAACACGAACGAAAGGGAACCCTCCGTGCTCGCGAATGGACACTTCTGAACGTGAGTGAAATTCGTTCATGAGCCGAGCGGCGTGCTTCGCGACCAGACTCAACACTTGTTGTGTCGTCGTCCACCTTTCTGGATGACTTTGAAGCGATATTTGGAGACCCACAGTGTATACTAGCTGGTAGCGGACGTGCAGAATTTCATCGCTTTCATCCAGAATGTCGCGTGTGTGATCGTCGAGCCATAACTGAGCCTGAAGCATATTTTGAGCGGTATGATTCTTGGGGGACAGTTGACGGTCAACAGCCATTAAATGGAACGACAGAATATAGTCCGGTTGCACGACCAAAATGCCCTTGGCGTCCATGTATTCTTGCATCAGGTCACGATACATTTGCACCTTCGATGAGTCAGTAGAGAGTGCACGGGAGAACGGGATATAGAAAATGCGCCTCTGTGCAAGGCCACTGAGTCGTTCAACCAGTAGCTGGAACACCTGAACCGACAACGACTTCAACACGATTACTCGGACCAGTCTGTGGCCATCAAAAAGTGCGGCTGCTGCGAGGGGAACGATCACATAGGATTTGCCTTCGCCCATATTCAGCTGAAGAGAAGTATTTCCTCCTGTGGATGGCGACATCATCTCCAGCGCAACCTTGACCTGGACTGGCCGTACTAAGAACTGACTTTCGATCTGAGGATGCTATCATCAGCAACCATCTACGCTTGATTTCTTTATAGCGTACCTGTATTAAAAGCCAGTCAGGGTACAGCTCCGGATCAAATCCCTCGCATTCTTCATTCTCCAATTCCTTGAAGAACTCAACCCAGTTTTTATTAGCAGCAAGGACCACCAGCCTCCGCGAGCGCTGCAGTTGGAGAAGTATCTGCGACATGCGAATGAGAGCCATACGCCATGCCCTTCCCAAACAATTTCCGGATATAGATGCCATGCGATCGAAGAGAAAGTTTGGTGTAACTCGGGGCCACAACCCAGCATTGTACAACGCGTTCTCAACGACAGAAGCAGGAGAGAGGGCGTCTGTGATAATGGCGAGTGAATCTTGAAACCGTTGACTATGCAGAGAATGGTGCTTAAGCAGTACTTCCATAGTGTACGCCGTAGGATCTGGTAAGGCAACGAGCCTCTCTTCACAGAGAAGAGACCTACTCCGGTCCAGATCATTAGCATAGTTCTCGTGAAACTTAGTGCTTCCTCCAGCGCGAAAGTCGTTGATCAGCTTTTGCAATCTCGACGATGCGACACTGGGATCTGCGGATACCATATCTCTCCGTTGGGTATTGGGTGAAACTTGGGAAGACCCGAGCGTGCGTATAACGGGTTGATTCCTGTCAAAAAGGTACTGTGCATTAACAGATGAGGTTGGTGAAGTAACATCATCGAGATTCGAATCGGGATTATATCTCGAGCGTAGTTTTGGAGGAGGATCGGGAACGTAGAATCGGTCGAGAGTAACTTGCTGGGCATTTAAGTGCTCCTTCAAACAACGGTTTGCCCAACAACTACGAAATACCGGGCGAAGTTTCTTCAACAGTTTATTGAGATTGAACCAGCTTGCTTGTGGGGTATCAAATGTCGGTGGTTTTTCGCACGGCCAAGCATCCCAAACTTTGCTGAAAATGAGTTCTTTTTGAGAGCGACAGATTTTGTCGAAAGCTGCGCGACGACGCCTTTGTAGAGCCTTTTTACTTTCCCCGGGTATTGCAGTTGTGCGACTCTCCTGACTGATTTCATACTTTTTCATACACGAATTGCCGAGATTATCCACTCTGGCACGGGAAGGCATAAAGCCGTCGGAGAAATCATAGGAGGTGAACTCCGGAAGGCGAGGTAGATTGCGAATTTCGGGAACTATGGAGAAGGCTAAGAGTGTCGGGATGAGCGCGTGCTTGTCCGTTGAGCTGTAAGATGCTGAGGCCAGGGTGAACACCAGCTGAAATTTGTCTTCCTCTGTAGCACTATGGCAGCGATCACACGCAGAAAGGAAGATGCGAGGAAAAGCCGGTTGAAGCCAATCTTTGGAGTACCGCAAGCTGAGGGATCCGCAAACACCCTGGACCTTTCCCCATGAAGTCAACAAACCCACTAGATCTCATTGCACCGGAAGTCTGCTTGGCCACTGGTATACCATGAGGGCCGCATTGAATGCCCTCTCTTCCGCATTTTTATCAGGGACCTCGTGTGGAGTATACACGCCATCTGTGTTACCATGTGGAAAAGGCAAAGAAAACTGTTCGGGATAGACCACTGAGGCACGAATGGATGTGCGCCCCAGAAGGTGATCAGTGGACGGCAGAAGATCAAAGATAAGCTGAAGGTTTGCAGACCCTTCCAAAAATTTTGACAGCCGCCTGCCATAGTCCATGATAGATTTTGCAACTAGATGAAAACCGTAGTGCTGTGCAAGGGGTGCAAGGGACGACCATGAAACTGTCTGCATCTTTTGGAGATGAATGGGATACCAGACGCGCCTGGCTGACAATGAACTGATCCCACGTAAAAGATCTGTATCGCGAGAGTGAAGTTTCATGAACGGCTGGCAAGCAGCAGAATGCAGGAGCTGCAATGCTTCCTCTGTCCCCGTTCGACCTGTAAGGGGATCAGGTAGACAGCCGCTGGTAACAGCATGAAGGAGCGCCTGATAGAGCTTACTTGTCAGACCCATGTTCCCAGTGAGACAGCATAGATCTGTATCAACCCTGTACAACTGGTACGTCACTTGAGGGCCTTCAGGAGTGATAGTAACGCGGGTGTGGTTGCCATCACTGGAATGTGAGATACGACCGTCAGGGATGATGACAGTGCGTGGATGCTCATCGGCAATTTGTGACTTTGGACGCAAGACGAGCTGGTTGGTTAATCCCAACATCGTTCCAGTCGACTGAATGGTATCGACAACCATATTGCACATATTGCGAGACTGCAATTCCCCATCCTCATTGACGAAAAAATCAAGACCATATCGAGGCAAGTCAACCTTTGAGAAGAAAGCACCGCTGGATGCTCCATTATGTGTGACCACAATGTAGCGGGTATCCTCCAGAGGGGACAACCTCTTGGAGATAGTGATGTTCTGGCCCGGCTTGGCCCAAAAGCCACGGCTTTGGCCCGGCTTCAGATGGCTCTGGCTCGTCAAAAATCCAGGCCAGGCCAAAGCCGTGGCCCAAGCATGCAAAATATGCAATATTGTACAAGATATGTATTCAACATAAATACTACAGTAAATCAATGTCAGTATCGGATTCCGAGTCATCACAGCGAGTGTCTTCGAGAAATATACCATCCCAACCCTCATCTTCAACCTCAGACTTCTCACCAGACTCCTCTTCAATCTCGAACGCATCAAGTTCATCTTCTACGAGGGACGACGGCCCTGGTTCGCGGAAAAGAAGGTCGTGGCGGATAGCACATTTTACACACTGGAGGGCCTCGACGATGTCCCCTTTAAGGCGATTGCAGCGTTTGCTGATGGTTATCCCGCCCTGAGAAAAAGCGCGCTCGCTGGAGACGGACGACGCCATAATCAACAAATAGTCTCGCGCAATCGAAGACCACACCGGCCCATATCTCTGGGCATTGATCTTGTGCGAAGGAAAGGTAAGTAATATAAAACAGTGAGAAAATGAATGGAACATACACCCCACCATTGAATGGTGCTCATCCCAGGCGGAGGTGCTGCTTCCAATGTGTCCATATACTTCATAAAATCAGCCTGCCATGGTTTAGCTGACACTGATGGTGCTGCTGCTGGAATATCCTCATCTTCGTCCGAGCTTTGAGTTTGGCGAATGAGCTTTTTGAGGCTGCTCGCCTTTCCCATCTTGATGCGAGTTTGGGGTGCTGATGCATGTGCACCCATTTCGAGGTAGCAAGCTTCAAACTTTCACACTTGTCAAAGATTAAGATATGTACAATGCATTGTTTGACTCACCACTCGTTCCACACATGCAAGCACATCTTGTTGAAGATCCTCTGGCCAGTTTTTTTTGAAATATGCCATTTTCCCCATGGGGTCGAGCACTTGCATTGAGCGTTAGCAATCATTATATGAGCTAACTACACAGACAAACCCATAGTCATAACATATGCAGAAGACTCTGTTGTCTTCTCATAATACTCATTGATCTTGTTGGCAGCTGCCTCCAGCGCTGGTGCGAAACGAGAATACTTTAACTGGCCCACACGAGAAGACCATGCCTTATGGAGTGCCTCGAGGGCAGGAACTGCAAGGTGTAGCGTGGTGCCTGCATCCGATGAGAATGCCTGCTGGGCAATGTCTGCATACTTGCAATAAAACAATACATTAGTCGTTAGATGAAAATCATTTGAACTTGAAATACACGCACCAAAAGCAGGTCTGCAAACTGTCCAACGCGAATCCATTCCGCACTTGTCAACCTCAAATAATCTATTTTGGCGCACTTTCTAAGGTTGTGCTCCTGCAAACCCATTTCATATACAAAAACGTCGACATGCTGAGAATTGATATGAGCACAGGCAGCTGTGAGCTATTATGGACACACCTTCTGGCTATTCTCAGCATGATTGAGCATGACGTATGTCAACGACCACCGAACCTTCATGTCAAGAAGCAACTGGGTTGAAGGTATGACACCAGCCTTCTCTTGAACTTGCTTGTAAAGCTCCTTCCGTTTTGCTGATGAGCACTCCTATTAAATCATTAGTCGATGTTAGTCAGTTATAGCGGTGGTAAAGATGAGATAGACCTTGACACAAATGGCACAAACTAGTCCTATCTCGTCATGCTCATCCATCTTTGAAGTGTCAGGTTCATGTGCCTTGGGGTCATGTGGAGTATAGTGCAGAGATTTACTATAGGTACTGAGTAAAGTTTGGGTTCCAAGATTTACAACGTAGGCTAGACAGCTACCCAAACTGTTAGATATGAAGTACAATAATATAAAGACTTACTTTATCTTCTGTTCATGCCAAGGGAACACCTTTTTGTATTGCTGATGGTATATCCATGCGAATTCCTCGAGCATTGTGCTGTTTTGGCGGCATTATTGCAGATAACATGACCATGCTTATGTGCGATGCCAACTCGGTCCAATACCTTGTACAGTGTGCCACTGAGTTGTTTTCTGTTATGGGCATTGTTCAATTTGGTGAACCCAAGCAGTGCACTTCAGCAGTCCCACATCAAGGGACTGTCTTCCTGGATCCAATGGCCAGTTACAGCAAAATAACCATCTGCATTGCTGGCTTGCCACGCATCACAGGTGATATTGACGGCCCCCTGAACTTTGTCACTCTATCCATGAAAATACCTCCCATCAGAAAATATATGGTGAGATGGTGAGAATCAGTAGACATACATTCAAAGTCACCTTGAGCTTCATTAAGTGGTTCTTGAATATGCGCATAATCTCTGCACGTGTTGCCTTCCTTCCAGGAATTTTGATGCCATTAGTCGTGCGAGCAGCCACATCAATCATGTCCTTGAATTTCAGATGTTCAAGGGCTTGTATCGGCTAAACGCACCAAATATTAACAATAGAACTACCATTGAACAGTACAAACACACCTGATCAGTTGCTATAAGCCATTCAATAGCTGCTGTCTTGAATAGCTTATCAGAGTATGGGACCACCCACTCCGCAAGCTTTTGTTCAGTTAAATGTGAGTTGATAGCCTGTTGAGCGTGTGCAGCTTTCTCTTTGTGGTCCTTGATGTCACCAGGCAGCATCAATTCAAATCTATTTGTTTTGGCCCAAGTTTGGTATTTTCCCTGTGTGATAGTACTTGTCAGTTTATATTCACAGTGATAACAAACATGTACTGCAAAATTGGCTTCTGCATGCCAGCGAAGAGTTGTAGGTTCACTCACAAGAACACAACCATTCCTATGAGATACGAGTGAGTGTGTGAACAAAATCAATGACATTGGAGTCTTATGCACAGCCCTTGTATTTTCAGTGCTTCTTTACCTTCCCATTTGGCCCTGTTTTCTCAAATGCTGGCCCAAAAAAATGATCAATGTCAGCTGTTTTACCTTCATGTGTCGGGGACACATCAACAATTGCTTGGACATCAACATCGATGGGGATGCCATCTGTGTCAACGTCATCTGGCTGGGCCTCAACACGTCTCTTTTTTGCTGATGGTTGAGTGGACCAGTGGTGTTAGTAGATCATTTTTATGGTAGATTATGGTACTAACACTTTGGATTAACATATGCATTCTCCTGTATCTCCATATTGTCATTGTCTCCAAAGAATTGGCCATCATCATTGACTTGATTCGAATCAATTACTGCAGCCATTTCTTCAACACGCACCCTTTTGCCTTGCTTGGGTGCAGCAGAGCTTGAGCCTAATAGCATGGGAGAGTCGCTGAAGGATGAATTCTGGGACAAGCTGTGACCAGGATCAGCAACTTGTTGAGTTTCAGCCATGCACTTCACAGCCTCTGCTGCACAAAAGGCATTAATAGCCTTTGTTTGTGATGGGAGAGCTGCCCTCTTGGAATGTTGGAGGAGGATAGCAGTGGGCTTAGTTTGTTGGACTGGGCACGCATTGACATGACATTCATCATCGCTGTCTGTGAGGACAGTTCCAGCCATCAGAGGCAAGTAGTAGAAGGTAGATACAAAAAACATACCATCATGGAGGCATACATATGTCTCAAAACAAATCTGATGGTCGTCGAGCTTGTGAATCACAAGAAACTTGCAAAGGAGCAGTCACTAAGACCAAAATGAGTTGTTTCAAGCTTGGAAAGAATGTGCAACTCACTGTAATTGATTGACATACTATATTGGCCCATGGAAATACACAAGGAAAGTGATTCAAAGGCCAAAGTGAGATAGAAGCCATATGTTAAAGGTACAGTCCAATCATCAGTCCAATCATGATCAGTAGTTTGGGGTGCTGCAGGCACTGTTAGTATATGACATAAGCCATGGCTTGAGCTGGTGGCTTTGGCTTTCCATAATCTCAGGCCAGGCCAAAGCTGTCACCAGGCCGTGACTTTGGCCTGGCCTGGCCCATGGCTTGAAGCTGGGCTGTGCACATCACTACTTGGAGATCATGTCCTATGTTTGGCTGCACATGTCAACAAGAGTGACACTGCCAGCCTTCTCTAGTGTTGAAGAGCCTGAGACAGTGAATTGCATGAGCCAATTGTCAGGGGAAGACTTCCATGCATTTTCTGCTGGGCGAATCTCAATTTTGCTTGTGTGCAGGTTGAGCCAATGGGTATGGTTGTCTATCAAGGTCATTGGTAGGTCATTGTCAAATTTTTGGCTCAGAATGAGTTGAAAGACAGGCACATCAGTAAAACACCTGGTTGCTTACCCTCCTTATATTCAACTTTTCTTGTCCAAAAAGCACAAAAAAGCAAGAGTGAAAACAAGTAGAGGGAGGCACCACCACCTGGTACAGTTCTCCCATGCTAGAAAAAGCCTCAAGAACAAGTCCAAAAAACTCTTAGGGTCCCCTCCCTAGCCTCCCAAAGAAAAGAAAAAGAAAAAGAAAATGATGCAGATGCCAACCACTTCACCATGTATCACATTGTTGAAAGACAGAACAACAAAATAAAAATACAAAATACCAACCACACAAAAACCAGAAAACAGACACCAACCAATTGCCCAAACCCAAAAATGCCGAAAAATGCCAAACAACCAAGCAAGAAATGTCAGAAAACATATCAATGTGCCCCAAAGATGTAAAGATAAGCAACCTAAAATGAAAAACACACCTCACACACATAATAAAAAACAAGAACTAACACCTAAAAGTCTCAGATCAACACCCTCTGAGATCCCCCACACATAATATTAAGACCAGAGATTGAAGACATGACACTATAATACTTCCAACACAGCTGCCCCAACAATGATAACAACTTCCTACCTTGGCCATGAAAAACATGCCTCCATCCCCCCCTATGCTTCACTTCATCATAACCTGTGCAAAGAAACTTCACTATAACCCCCCCCACAGAAAAGATAAACTCATCCTCCTCTACAGACATGAAAGAACCTTCCAGCATCAAAAGCGCTAGCATCGCTGCTCGTCCATCACCCCTAGGTTCACACCATCCCTCTACTAGAGTGTCCCGCTCAGGACCACAATTCTTCCCTGAAAATACCCTGGAAAATGAAGGAGACTCAGACATGAATGCAAAGACCACCCAACCACCTGCCATGCCCCCAATCTCCCCCCCACAACCTCCATCTACCCCACCAACCCCCCCCAACCTGAGCACCACCCATGAACCCTCTACCCACAACTCTGTAACTACCCCAGAGACATCTCCCATCCTAGATGCATCAAAGTCAATCCATGCACCAGAGACCAACAAGGACTCGCAAATGGAAATCTCCCCACCCCTATCCCCACACTCCCCCCCTACTGAGCCTCCTGCTAGACTTACATCCCTTGGCACCCTTGTGATCGAGGAGATAAACTTGCATGCCCACATCGCAATGGCAGAACAAAACTGCTCTATAATTAAGAGCAGTGCCCTGAACGCAACCATCCTCCTACCCCAATTCACCCCAATCCCCAACAGAAACTTCCCTAGCATCCACCTTGCACATGCTGCTCAACTCTTCGACTACCAAGCCCCCAAAGTCATCACTGCTTGGCTCAAAGTCCCAAACCCTAAGATCCTCTTCTGAATCTTTGACTACGATGGAAAAAATCTAAGCATCGTCACACCTATCCTAGTTGAACATGCCTGCAAAGCCTTCATACAGATTGGAGAATCCCTTAACCAGGATCTCCAAGATGTGAAAATCTCTCCACCCTGCCCAGAAGCAGGGAAGGAAGGAAAGGGCTACCCCCTGAGCTTTCTAGCATATAACATCACCGATGAAGCAAAATCCCTCCTCCTCTCCCAGTGTATATGGTCATCCCCTGACATCTCCTTTGCTGCTAGTGCCTTTACCATAGACCGTGTCCCCACCCTCCTCATCTACCTGCAAGGCTTCTCAACCATGGACCCCGACACTGTCAAACAAGCAGTATATGACACCTGGTCTGAAGATATCGTGAGATTTGATCTAGGAGAAATCCTCTCCAAATCTGAAATCCCAGAAAATGCCATTCAATACCACATCTGGCAATTCATCAACTCAATCACCATTAAACACCTGGATTTCAAGATAAGTGGTGGACTACCCCTACCCCACTATAATGTCTTCGCAAACAGCCCCATGTCTAACCCAGAAACATGGAAGAACCTCCACAAGTACATCCACAGCTTCTCCTACCCCTCAGACCTTGATGGCTGCGGTACCACAGTCTACTTCATCCCCTGCACTGTGTCACTCAATCGCGCACCTGCAGGGCCTATGCCCCTTCCCAGATATTCCATTCTGGAATGGCCCCAAGCATGCGAGAACCCCCACCACTACCCACCAGAGAGGAAGAGGGAGAGGACGAGGAAGGCGCACACACTCTTAAGTCACACACATATATAGTTAAAACCAGCTCCCCAATCATTCTGTCCTATAACCACTGCTACATGCTACAACCCCACCTCCCTACCTACAGTACTAATCCTCACCCCAGTACCTACATCACCTGAATCCCATCATTCTGCTGTCCAAACCTGCAAAACAAATAAACCCCCAAAGAAAACAAGAACACAAAAACAATAAGTCACTAAACAGTTCCCTCTGACCACACTGTATAGAATGACTAAGCTGACAGGTTTAAATCTTATCAAACAGAATGCGATAAGAAACCCCCCACACTCACTGCCCAAATATACTGATCAAGCAATTGAGACAGGAAAGCAATGAGAATTCCAATGGCCCTTGGCCAAAAAGCAGAGACCTATTTAGGTCAAGAACTCACTGTGCTGAGAAGCTTAAGTCCCTGCGAGAATATTATGGAAGATGAGGCCCCATTCTAAGACAGCACTGACATATGTTCACCATGTTTAACTGGGATATGTTAAACCTTGCCTCTCAGATCATTGTACGAGAAGTATAGTACATCAACAACCACAACTACAACAAACCACCACCCACCCCCTCTCCCTGGTCTTCAATCTGGTCTTGGTTTCCCCCTCATGAGAGACAGAGGGGACATCCTTCAGACCACTAGGGCTATCCCTGATGAAGTTCCTCAAGAGATTGGCAGCAGAATAAACACCTACCATAGTGAATCACAAAACACCCACCAAAAAAAAAACAAGAGTGAACCTACTAATTGCAACCCTAAATGTCAACAGAAGAGCATCCCCTTCCCTAGGACACAACCAAATATCTAAATGGGCATCAATACACCAAACAATAAGAGATAAAAAAATTGGCATACTCTGTATACAAGAATCCCACCTAACCAAAGACCACAAAACACAAATTAGAAACCTATACTCAAGAAGAATAGAAATCATAAACTCACATGACCAAGAAAGACCAGGAAGCTCCACCGGAGTAGCATTTATCATGAATAAAGAAATACTAAACACACAATCAGCTACCCACATAGAACTAATACCAGGAAGAGTGGCAATACTCAAAATAAACTGGCATAACGACAAAACACTAACCGTCCTGAATATATATGCCCCAAACAACCTAAACACATACAAAGACTTCTGGGAAGAGATCACAAGATCCTGGAGAGAAAACAACTCACCTAAAATAGACTTCATAACAGGCAACTTTAACCTCACGGAAGATCCAATTGACCGAGCACCAGCTAGACTCGAAAATGCTCAAGCAACAGAAGCTTTAAGAAACATGAGATCAGCGCTCAATGTACAAGACTCATGGAGATGCTCCTACCCAAACAATAGACTGTTCACTCACCACAGCCACAACAACAAACTATCTCACCTAGATAGAATATACACAAACTCGACAATATACGAAAGCTTATCCACATGGGAAGCAGGACCAACATCAATAATAACCAACCATAAGTTAGTTGCAGTCCGATACACACCCCCAAACACACCCTTCACAGGGAAAGGCAGATGGACCTGGCCACTAGGCCTCCTACACAACAAAGAACTACAGAAGAAAATACATGAGTCTGCAATCAAAATACAAGAAGAAATAAAAGAACTACACATGAACTGAAATGAATCAATCAACCCACAGACAATATGGGAAGACTTCAAAACACAAATAACACAAATAGCAAAACAAGAAGCAAAAAAACACCTAGTCAAAATCAACTCAAGAATTAACCAATTAAACAAAGACTTACAACGATTCAATAAAAACCCAAATGAACTAGACATGAACAAAGACCAAAGAAGACACACAATCCTCTTGGAAAGTGAAATAAACCATCTAGAAAAAAAGAAATATAAAAACAACCAAATCAAAGCACAAGCACAATGGTCAAAAAACAGAGAAAAAATAGGAAAATACTGGTCTAAGATAAACAAAACAAAAAAACCAAGAGATATAATACACGCACTAAGAGATCCAAAAACAAACAAACTCATAAACAGATCAGACCAAATGGCGGAGATCACAAAAACACACCATGAAAATATACAAAAAGACCATATCCCATCAGTAATAAGAAGAATGGTGAGACAAGAAATACTCCAAAACATACCAATAGAACAAAAACAACTGGATAATTCCCCACTCAACACACCTATCAATGAATCCCACATCCTCAATGCCCTATACTCCTCAAAGTGTGGAAGCACAACTGGCATAGACAGAATTCCATACAAATTCTGGAAAACAATGCATGAAAAAAACCTAGAAGACATAAGAAACAACAAACCTAACTTCAACATAATAAAATTATTCATGAAAGTAATAAATGACATCCAAAAACATGGAACTGACACTAAAACAAAATTCTCATTAGGATGGATGTGCCCAATCTTCAAAAAAAAAGAACACACTGAGATAGAAAACTACCATCCAATAACACTACTCAACACCAATTACAAACTCCTGACAAAAGCATTAGCAATGCAAATAGCCAAAGAAATAACAAGAATGATCCACCCAGACCAAAGCAGATTCGTACCAAAAAGATCTATCTTTGACCCAATAGGATTAGCCCAAACAATGATAGAATATGCTGACATAATGGAAGAAGATGGAGCCATCATAGCTCTAGACCAAGAAAAAGCATACAACAAGATAAACCATGAATACCTATACAAAACACTAGAAAAATTTAACATTCCCCCAATCTTCATAAACACAGTAAAAGCCCTATATGAAAATACCCAAACCCAAGTAGTAATAAATGGAGTCTTCAGCTCACCATTCAAAGTAACACAAGGCGTCCAACAAGGAGACCCACTCTCCTGCCTTCTCTTCGATCTTGCGATAGAACCATTAGTGTGTGCACTAAGAAACAACAAAAACATACAAGGTTTTAAAATTCCAGGAATAATCAACCAACTAATAATAAACCTATACGCAGACGACACGACAATATTCCTAAAAAAAAAGAAGATTGATTCACCAACCTAGAAAACACCCTCAAAAAATGGTGCAATGCTTCAGGAGCCAGATTCAACACCAAAGAAACTGAGATAATCCCAATAGGCTCTATAGAACACAGAAATAGAGTACTCACATCAAGAAAACTACACCCAGATGACACTCCAATAAATGAAAACATCAAAATAACAAAGGATGGATGCCTGATAAGATCACTAGGTGCCTGGATAGGCAATGGAATAAATAATGCCACACCATGGGAACCAATACTCAACAAAATAAAACTCACATTAGACCACTGGAATAAAGGTCACCTGACACTTGATGAGAAACAACTCATAACACAAATGGTAGCTGGAGGAATGTCACAATTCCTAACTAAAACCCAAGGGATGCCAAAAGAAATTGAAAAAGCCTTAATCAATATAATTAAAAACTTTATATGGGAAAATGCAAACTCACCGCCCATAAGCCTAGATCAATTATATCGACCCAAAAAAGAAGGAGGAATAGATCTATTAGACATAAAAAATAGAAACATAGCAATCAAAGTCACCTGGCAAAAAATGTTCCTTGACCTCTCACCCAGCAGACTGGCATGGGCCTTCACTACAGATGTGCTAATAAACAACCTAAAAAAAATGGAATTAAATCAAATGAAGATATGAACATATTTCTACAAACTTGGAACCCACCTACACAAGGTCCAAAGACAAGAGGAATCCCACAAAACATACGGAGAATGCTAAAAACAGCGAAAAAACTCAACCTGAGTTTTGTGCCTCCAAAACTATCAAAAAACCTTAAAATGCAACTACCCACCTGGTTTCATCTTGGAGCCCCCCCAAAAACATACAATAAATCAAAAGATAAATGCCTTCAAACAAATCATGAAACAAACACAATCAAAGACCTGCTAACAACCAGCAAAAGAATACATACCAACACAACATCACCAAAACACTCGCCTAGGAAAAACTGTGCATGTCAAGCATGCAAAACAGATAGAAATAATGGCTGCCTGAACCCACACAAATGCGCAGCTTCAGCAAACATGATACTAAACAAACTAAACCAAAAACTAAACCCACTAGCAAAATCAAACACGGATGACCTCACCCTAACACACCACAGAAAAGAAAAAACAACCAAACCTTCACAACAATGAAAGGCAAAATAACCTTTGACCCATCCCTGACTATAAGAACATGTCTATTGGACTGTTTCAGAATATTCAGAAATGACAAAAACACAAACTCACAACCTGCCCTCAGACTAGAAAAACCAACTAGAGGACTAAACCTCATAGATGATAAAATAACAATCTTCACGGACAGATCGTGCATTAACAATGGCAAAGCCAACGCAAAATGTGAAAGCAGCATATGGGTAGCAGAAAACCATGAAAAAAATAAAGCAATAAGAGTACTGGGTCCATCACAATCAAACCAAATAGGAGAACTCACCACAATACTAGTAGCCTTACAAAACACAGACCCCTTCATCCCAATCAACTTTAAAACAGACTCAAAATACGTCATTGAAGGACTCACAAAGAATCTCAAAACCTGGGAAGACAATGGCTGGACAAACATCGAAAATGCAGACACCTTTAAAGCAACTGCATACCAACTAAGGAAGAGATCAGCACAAACAACATTCGAATGGATAAAAGGACACTCAGGAAATGAAGGAAATGAAGCCACAGACTCCCTAGCAAAGAGAGGAGCTGAAAAAGAAACATGTGATCAAATCAACTTAGAAATACCCACAGAATTTGATGTACAAGGAGCAAAACTCTCCAAAATGACACAAACATTAGCATACCAAAACCTCAAAAACCAATACCAAATAAAACAGTGGAGAACAACAAAAAGAAACCTTGAAACAGCAAGATATGCAATAAAAGAAATATCAAATAACCTAGAATCAGACAAAACAATCTGGAAAGAATGCAGAAGAAAAGACATACAACGACCAATACAACAATTCCTATATAAAGCACTACACAGCACACACAAAGTGGGAGACTTCTGGTCAAACATACCCCAATATGAACAAAGAGCAAAATGCGCCATCTGTCATAATGAAACAGAACCAATGGCACATATACTAACAACATGCTGTTCAAATGAAAGAAGAAAAATCTGGAAACTAATAAAAGACATATGGCCCAAAAAATACAGCCCATGGCCAAGGATAATGATAGGAACAATACTGGGATGCAGATCAATCCATATCAGCAAACAAAACAACAACAACACTGAAAACATTACACCAACAAACAACAACATACCAAACTCAAAACACATACCAGGTGCATCAAGACTCTTCCAAATCTTAATATCTGAATCTGCCCATCTGATCTGGGCCATCGGGTGCGAAAGAATAATAGGAAACAAAAACATATCCAATAAAACAATCGAAACAAGATGGACAAACAAAATAAACATGAGAATAACAATTGATAGAACAATCGCCAACAAAATAGATACAAACACACAAAAACTAGTCAAAACAACATGGTCAGAAATAATATCATCAACAACGCATATCCCTGAAAATTGGGTAACAAACCCAGAGGTTTTAGTGGGTATTAAACCACCCAGGCCCTCTACTGAACAAGGTCACCAGGTGTAATAGAGTCCCACACATCCCATACAACATGGAGAGTGCATAAAAGCATTTTTCCTCAGACCGGTACCTCCCAAATGGTCACCAATATAGCATGTTTAGTAGAACTAGATTAGTCAGTGGCTACTAAACTAAGTGCTTGTCAAAAAAAAAAAGAAAACAAGTAGATAGCCACCCGAAAAAGGCCACTCATTGTCTGATTTTCTACTTTCCTTTCACTTGTTTTCCTTTTTGGCATGCAAAGCAAATTTTCATTTGATAACAAGTGCACTCAAACTAGCAGCATCAGGAAAAACCTCCCAGAGGAAAAAACACATAATTTTGATAAAACAATGTAATTCAGAGAATTCTATGTAATTACAAGTATTAAGATAAAACCAGCTGAAAGATGATAAAGCACAATGAGATTCTCAATAATCATTTGAATAAAGAAAAAGTATATCTATCTATGTATGAGTTCAACCAAAAAGTATTACAATTATTGAGAACCATATCACTCATCCACTCTTGTGGGACAATGGCTCCAAAATTTGGCATCAGATGGACACTACGCACAATATTTGCCAATGGCATGATACTTGCTACTTTTTCACCACTGTGCAATGATTGCAAGAGCTTGTAAAGTCTGTGATGTTGATCGGGAGCTGAAGTGAATGGTTCAAACCATTCAATGTAAGCAAAGTGAGTGGGAACCTTGACTGTTAGTGGAAACAGGAGTGGAACTGATTTTGAGGGTAACAAGAAAATGACTCGCACTTGCCCAACATGGACTCCTAGATTCAGACGACTGTGAGTGACTCCATCCTTAGCAAATAGTGGTGGCGAAACATACCTTCTATACTAACAACATCTGGATTCCCACAAATGCTCACCAGAGCAGTATCTGAACAGCAAGGCCACAGACTTGAACCTGAACTGCATTGTGGTCTGGCATGTATAGAGTCCAATGTGGCTGTTGCATCACCATGACCATGAGTGTCTACTGAGAGCCACTTTACCCTGTGAAAAATGGGGAGAGTTTGGAATGGGAAATGGACATCCTGCGCTAACACATCCAGTGTTTGACTATGGAGGGGGATAGGATCATTGGCATGATTGAGTTGTGTGATATAGCATGCAAGTGCTTCATGGAAATAGGTAGCACTGTAATCTTTGACGAGCTTGTCTATACTGATGGCCTTTGCAGTAGGGTGCTTTGAAACTGATTGAAGCTGTTACGGCGAACTAGGATGGGCGCGGCAATAGATACTCGATAGGAGTAACGTCTAAAGCTGGATCTAGACCTCACAAATGTAAGGCTTCTTAAGACAAGTTAGAGAGAGTGTCTCCGACTTGAATATCAATATCAGACACTTAGGATTGGGGGTCCTAAGTGAAGGATGTTCTGGTTAAGACCTAGTAAGATTAAAGTGAAGTCTAGCTAAGTACATGACCGAGTATATATAGACGTAGGTAACTTTAGGGCAGGTATGCATATGTCATTGACCGAGTCAGAGATAAGAGAGATGAGTCACTCAGTGATGTCATGAATGAGTCAGAGATAAGAAAGGTGAGTCACCTAGCAACGGCATGTGGTGATCGTGATGTAATACAACGAACATAGAAAGTGGTTAGTCTAATGATGGCACAGCGAGGCGCGGTCACGACGTAGTACACAGGTAAGAGAAGAAAGAAAATAAGGGGGTAACCACGACTGTAACAGAAGCCGACAAAAAGTCATATCGGGGGGGCATAAATGGTAAGGCATAGTCTCTTCAGCACCAGCACATCGCCAGTTGACATACTTGTCATGGTGCATAATCTTCTCCTTGTGCTTGAGCCACTGCATCATCTGCACAAATTCATCTTTGTGATTTGTAGTGCAGTAAGTGTCCTTTGCAAAATCAATGTGAAGTCGTTCAGTGTACTCAGTATTATAGTTGTCCATCATACCAAACATCATAATCATGGCAGAATAGTGGCGAGTGGTGTGATGATCATACTGGCACTAGGCACGTATGATCAATAGCACAGTTCTTCTCACCTTCAGAAAGGAGATAAAGCACGGATCATTAAATCCATATATATCAACCCATCCACTCTTACTCTGGTCCAGTCCTAGGAATCCACCCTCCCATGTCCTATCCATGTCCACCTATCTCCGCTGGTGCATTATTTATCCCAAATGTCATTGCTAAACGAGCTGCAGGTCTTATTACACAACTACTCATGTTCCACAGTGCATGATGTTTTATTACCTATAGACTCATCACGCGCTTGCTAACTATGCTACAATTCTTGCCTATGCAATCTGGGCATTCACACACTACAATATAAATGACTGCAGTACATATGATTGAGTAGTTCCCTTTCCCCCAGACTCAGCTCTATAGGAGAGTTATTCTCGCGTTATTTTTGTAGACCTTGTGCAATCCATCTATTTTGCTCTTTCTTGACAATCCTGCACAATTCGACCGCTCTGAAGTTCTGTACTGCTAGGATCTTACCCTTAAAGCTCTTGCAAGAATACCCAACCTGCGACCAGTAGTTTAGCGCTGTTCTTCACTTGTGCTATATCCCTTGTGACTGGCCGCTCCATAGAGTGCAGTTGATTTTGTGCGCGTTACATCTGCTGCACTGGCATCTGACATCCAATACGTTTGCACATACAGTGGCTCAAAAAACTGTCCACATGTTTTTGCATTTTTTACTATTTACAATATTGTGTGAGAATACATAAAGACCTCAGTGACATGCTGATACCATATTGTAGTGCTGCTTCAGGGCTTTGGATTGAGCACCACATCGTGAGAATCAGAGGAGATATGGTGGAGATACAAGGCTTACAAAATCATGACTCATGCGGACAGTTTTTTGAGCACATATTAAAACTATATAAATCATCATTTATGACACCATAACAATCATGCCACCATTAAATAAATTATAAAGTGGTGTCATTATGTCATTTTAAAACCATATCTAACTATACAAACCAAAAATTTCCATATGTCATGGTTATATTCATCATGAAAGCCACCCCCCCTGCTCAAAGGGATAATATCCTCTCTCTTTCCTATTCTGGCCTCTCTGCTTGTCAAATTTCCTCTAGAACTGGAGTATCCAAGTCCACTGTGGCCAAGTTCATCAAAGAAAGTCACACAGACAAGGAAAACTTCTGTGAAGGGCGTCCATCCAAGCTCACCTCTACTGATAGGAGGGCTATTATTCAACATATCACTACAGGAAAGGCTGATAATGCTGTCCAGGTCACCTATTACATGAATTCCACCATCACATTCCCTGTCTCTTCACACACTGTGAGAAACATTCTCAAGACAGCTCATCTCAGGTCAGTAACAAAGAAGAAAAGGCTCTCCTCTCTATCACACATATGCAGAGATGACTAACCTTTGCCTTAGCCCATCAGAATTGGATTACATGGACTGGAAGCATGTTATATGATCATATAAGACCACAATAAATAGGATTGGGTCAGATGGCAAGGTATATATGTGAAACAAGAAGGGTGCTAGTCCTCTCTGCATATGTGTGATAGAGAGGAGAGCCTTTTCTTCTTTGTTACTGACCTGAGATGAGCTGTCTTGAGAATGTTTCTCACAGTGTGTGAAGAGACAGGGAATGTGATGGTGGAATTCATGTAATAGGTGACCTGGACAGCATTATCAGCCTTTCCTGTAGTGATATGTTGAATAATAGCCCTCCTATCAGTAGAGGTGAGCTTGGATGGACGCCCTTCACAGAAGTTTTCCTTGTCTGTGTGACTTTCTTTGATGAACTTGGCCACAGTGGACTTGGATACTCCAGTTCTAGAGGAAATTTGACAAGCAGAGAGGCCAGAATAGGAAAGAGAGAGGATATTATCCCTTTGAGCAGGGGGGGTGGCTTTCATGATGAATATAACCATGACATATGGAAATTTTTGGTTTGTATAGTTAGATATGGTTTTAAAATGACATAATGACACCACTTTATAATTTATTTAATGGTGGCATGATTGTTATGGTGTCATAAATGATGATTTATATAGTTTTAATATGTGCTCAAAAAACTGTCCGCATGAGTCATGATTTTGTAAGCCTTGTATCTCCACCATATCTCCTCTGATTCTCACGATGTGGTGCTCAATCCAAAGCCCTGAAGCAGCACTACAATATGGTATCAGCATGTCACTGAGGTCTTTATGTATTCTCACACAATATTGTAAATAGTAAAAAATGCAAAAACATGTGGACAGTTTTTTGAGCCACTGTATGATAGTGGTAGGTGCAGCTAGGACAAATTTAGTAGCGGATACGGTTACGCCTACATTCTCCAGGCGCTGGAGTATGCGGTTCACTACTATGCAATGCTCCCATATAAAACAACATATTCCCGGGTTCTCCACTATGGTTTCATATGAGCCATCAGCTCTTTGATAGCGCGTTTTGACTGATTTGATCGGGAGGTCATCAATAAATGGGGAGGTGTGCTTCGGGATCTCGTCCTGTAGAGCAAAACAGGAGTCACCTTGATATACTTGTACCACATTTGCATGCCCTTGCAGGAGAGTTGTTAGCCAGTGCAGTCCTAGCAGTGTTCTGAAGGTTGTGAGGTCATGGGACTCCTCATGTAGCACACGCTGATCATAACCTGAATATAAGTCCATCATACTGTATACCGCATACCCAGTGAAAGATTCAGCTAATTGTTTGACAAAGGGAGGAAGTGATGAGTCTCGGATAGTTACTGTGTTCAGCAGTTGAAGATCATGTACTAATTGCAGTGATTTACCATCTTTCTTGACCATGCAAAACCACCACGAACAGTAGGCTGCAGTTGACAGTTCATAAAAACTGGACTGGATCTTCTCTTTGATGATGTGGATAACTTCTCCAAGGGTTGCCAGCAGTATAGGGATATTGCATTGAGACCAGGGAGTGTGCGGGATGGTAGGAATTTTGTAAGGAGGGAAATAGGTTTCGTTGAGATGACCATGCTCGGTCATGTCCCACACAAACGCTAATTCATGTGTCCGGATGAGCCAGCATATAAGCTCAAGCTCTTCTGGCCATAACCAGTTAGCAGGGTCTAAGTCCAATTTGTTCACTCTTTCTTGGGTGAAGTGGACACCTGGGACGAAGTCAGGCGGGTGGGTTGGCAATTGGGGCATGCTGGCCAATGGGTCATCAGGTAATCTTCTCGTGATTCTATACTCGGGTGGCATGGTGGTTTGAACCGTGCAGACCTTCTTTGTGACCAGCTTATAAACCAGTGTATGTCAGGTTTTGTTGAATGAATATACACTGTTAAATGCATCGACTGATGTATGGTCAATGATTGAGTGTGTAGATATGAGATGATTATAGCATGCTGAGAACTGTGCAGGTGAAAAGGAAAATAAGGCATGTTTGCTCTGTAAGAGTGGGTATTGTGCAGTTGGTGCAAGACAAAAATTAGAACCAGGAAGTTATGTAGTAGGACGAGAAATAAGAGAGAGTGGTGGGTAGGAATTTGTCCATTTGTCTCCTCGCATATTGTGTGAATCATCAATCATCAAAAACCCTTCTTGCACGCACCTGAGGGAGCATGCACGCTGGCTTTGCAACCTGGACATTTCTTTACCCAACGCATGGTAGGGATGCATATTACCTTCCCTGAATTTGGGTCCATTAGTGTGATATCCTGGTCTCCATTAGGAAGATCTTCTGTATGGCAGCTGGTGAGTGTAAAGAACAGGCGCCCTAGCAAGACGTCAAAGTTAGCGGTCAGAACAACCTGAACTTGAAATAGCATTTCTCCTGCACTGAAGTCTAGTGGGAGATTCTCTATTACTCCTAGTGTCTCATTGGTTGAAGTATTAACAGACTCCATGGTTAGCTTGTGGTTGGATCTTAGTGGAATACCGCCCAGCATGCACCAGACAGATTGCAGCATTACGATGCACTCTGTGCCTTGGTCGAGGATGCAGGAGAGGATCTGGCTGTGAAGTGTCACCGCTCTGATACATCTCAAGGATTCAAAGTGTTCAGCCACAATGTGTCTGTCGTCATTCCTTTGCAGGCAGCTGTCGTATTTTTTTAGAAAATCTTGCATTCCTGGCACACTACCTAGTTCATTGACTGAGATAGTCCCTACCATAATGTGCTTGGTTGTGGTCATTTCCTTGAATACCTTGTGAACATCAGTGGATACTGCTATTAATGTGCACATAGGTACACTGATGGTAGATCTAGCATGTGGTTGACTACACGCTTGTCCACATCCTTGTCTTCCAGCAGGAAGGAGTATCTGAACTGCATTGAGGGTTGGTTGGCAGCCAGTGGTTCATAGGATGAAGAAGAGGTCGCAGGGTTCGAAGATGAGGAGGCCATACCAGGTGCGGTTGAAGAACCCATGGGTGTCACAACCACCATGCCCTTATTAGGGGAACTAGTGGCCTTTGACCCAGATGCCTTTACCTGCGGGGAAACTACTTCTTCTACTGCGTCAGTGGTTCTTGATGATGGACCTGGCTTGGGATGTGGTGGTATGTTGATGCCCTCAAACCGCATATTTTTACCTTTGCCTGCTTTGCGGTTAGCATGATCCGCTTTTACCGCTGTGAACACTTCGCGGGCTCTGGTAGCTTCTTGTTCAAGGCACATCAATTCTTCGTTGTCTTTGCTCACATCTTCCTGGACGTCAGTGCATGTGTGCATGAATGCGCAAGGCTCGATATCAAGCGCTGCTTGGATGGTCAGTTCAGCATGACAGTACATGTTACCAAGAACCGTAGCATTGGCACCCATTGTGGGCCCATTACGCAAGAATTTGTTGATGCACTGCTTGAAGTTTCTGTCTCCTTGCCTTCCGGGAATACCACGACCATTGGGCATAATGATCTTGTTATCAGAGGTGATGCTTATCTTACCTTCCCTTGTGTATTCATCGCACATTGCGCATCACACAAGTCTTCGTAAAATGGTCTCCTCTGCAAAAGTAACAACTGTT